GCAGATTGATGGAGAATGGATCCACAAATCATTCAAGGTAATCCTCTCAAGAATCGGACAACTATTGGCAAAGATATAGCTTTCGGTTTGGTCCATATTGACCTCTCAAGCATTTCCCCCATTTTTGCATGGGTCTACCCAGAAAATTTGACAAAAAATCTAAAAAATATTTTGTTCCTGGATTTTGATGCAGATTGATAGAGAATTGATCTACAAATCATTCAAGGTAATCCTCTCAAGAATCGGACAACTATTGGCAAAGATATAGCTTTCGGTGTGGGCCATATTGACCTCTCAAGCATTTCCCCCATTTTTGCATGGGTCTACCCAGAAAATTTGACAAAAATCTAAAAAATATTTTGTTCCTGGATTTTGATGCAGATTGATGGAGAATGGATCCACAAATCATTCAAGGTAATCCTCTCAAGAATCGGACAACTATTGGCAAAGATATAGCTTTCGGTTTGGTCCATATTGCCCTCTCAAGCATTTCCCCCATTTTTGCATGGGTCTACCCAGAAAATTTGACAAAAAATCTAAAAAATATTTTGTTCCTGGATTTTGATGCAGATTGATGGAGAATGGATCCACAAATCATTTAGGGTAATCCTCTCAAGAATCGGACAACTATTAGCAATGATATAGCTTTCGGTGTGGGCCATATTGACCTCCTCTCAAGCATTTCCCCCATTTTTGCATGGGTCTACCCAGAAAATTTGACAAAATATCTAAAAAATATTTTGTTCCTGGATTTTGATGCAGATTGATAGAGAATTGATCTACAAATCATTCAAGGTAATCCTCTCAAGAATCGGACAACTATTGGCAAAGATATAGCTTTCGGTGTGGGCCATTTTGACCTCTTAAGCATTTCCCCCATTTTTGCATGGGTCTACCCAGAAAATTTGACAAAAAATCAAAAAAATATTTTGTTCCTGGATTTTGATGCAGATTGATGGAGAATGGATCCACAAATCATTCAAGGTAATCCGCTCAAGAATCGGACAACTATTGGCAAAGATATAGCTTTCGGTGTGGTCCATATTGACCTCTTAAGCATTTCCCCCATTTTTGCATGGGTCTACCCAGAAAATTTGACAAAAATCAAAAAAATATTTTGTTCCTGGATTTTGATGCAGATTGATGGAGAATGGATCCACAAATCATTCAAGGTAATCCGCTCAAGAATCGGACAACTATTGGCAAAGATATAGCTTTCGGTGTGGTCCATATTGACCTCTTAAGCATTTCCCCCATTTTTGCATGTGTCTACCCAGAAAATTTGACAAAAAATCTAAAAAATATTTTGTTCCTGGATTTTGATGCAGATTGATAGAGAATTGATCTACAAATCATTCAAGGTAATCCTCTCAAGAATCGGACAACTATTGGCAAAGATATAGCTTTCGGTGTGGGCCATATTGACCTCTCAAGCATTTCCCCCATTTTTGCATGGGTCTACCCAGAAAATTTGACAAAAAATCTAAAAAATATTTTGTTCCTGGATTTTGATGCAGATTGATAGAGAATTGATCTACAAATCATTCAAGGTAATCCTCTCAAGAATCGGACAACTATTGGCAAAGATATAGCTTTCGGTGTGGGCCATTTTGACCTCTTAAGCATTTCCCCCATTTTTGCATGGGTCTACCCAGAAAATTTGACAAAAAATCAAAAAAATATTTTGTTCCTGGATTTTGATGCAGATTGATGGAGAATGGATCCACAAATCATTCAAGGTAATCCGCTCAAGAATCGGACAACTATTGGCAAAGATATAGCTTTCGGTGTGGTCCATATTGACCTCTTAAGCATTTCCCCCATTTTTGCATGGGTCTACCCAGAAAATTTGACAAAAAATCAAAAAAATATTTTGTTCCTGGATTTTGATGCAGATTGATGGAGAATGGATCCACAAATCATTCAAGGTAATCCGCTCAAGAATCGGACAACTATTGGCAAAGATATAGCTTTCGGTGTGGTCCATATTGACCTCTTAAGCATTTCCCCCATTTTTGCATGTGTCTACCCAGAAAATTTGACAAAAATCTAAAAATATTTTGTTCCTGGATTTTGATGCAGATTGATAGAGAATTGATCTACAAATCATTCAAGGTAATCCTCTCAAGAATCGGACAACTATTGGCAAAGATATAGCTTTCGGTGTGGGCCATATTGACCTCTCAAGCATTTCCCCCATTTTTGCATGGGTCTACCCAGAAAATTTGACAAAAATCTAAAAATATTTTGTTCCTGGATTTTGATGCAGATTGATGGAGAATGGATCCACAAATCATTCAAGGTAATCCTCTCAAGAATCGGACAACTATTGGCAAAGATATAGCTTTCGGTTTGGTCCATATTGACCTCTCAAGCATTTCCCCCATTTTTGCATGGGTCTACCCAGAAAATTTGACAAAAAATCTAAAAATATTTTGTTCCTGGATTTTGATGCAGATTGATAGAGAATTGATCTACAAATCATTCAAGGTAATCCTCTCAAGAATCGGACAACTATTAGCAAAGATATAGCTTTCGGTGTGGGCCATATTGACCTCTCAAGCATTTCCCCCATTTTTGCATGGGTCTACCCAGAAAATTTGACAAAAATCTAAAAATATTTTGTTCCTGGATTTTGATGCAGATTGATGGAGAATGGATCCACAAATCATTCAAGGTAATCCTCTCAAGAATCGGGCAACTATTGGCAAAGATATAGCTTTCGGTTTGGTCCATATTGCCCTCTCAAGCATTTCCCCCATTTTTGCATGGGTCTACCCAGAAAATTTGACAAAAAATCTAAAAAATATTTTGTTCCTGGATTTTGATGCAGATTGATGGAGAATGGATCCACAAATCATTCAAGGTAATCCTCTCAAGAATCGGACAACTATTGGCAAAGATATAGCTTTCGGTGTGGTCCATATTGACCTCTCAAGCATTTCCCCCATTTTTGCGTGGGTCTACCCAGAAAATTTGACAAAAAATCTAAAAAATATTTTGTTCCTGGATTTTGATGCAGATTGATGGAGAATGGATCCACAAATCATTTAGGGTAATCCTCTCAAGAATCGGACAACTATTAGCAAAGATATAGCTTTCGGTGTGGGCCATATTGACCTCCTCTCAAGCATTTCCCCCATTTTTGCATGGGTCTACCCAGAAAATTTGACACAAAATCTAAAAAATATTTTGTTCCTGGATTTTGATGCAGATTGATGGAGAATAGATCCACAAATCATTTAAGGTAATCCGATCAAGAATCGGACATTTATTGGCAAAGATATAGCTTTCGGTGTGGTCCATATTGACCTCTCAAGCATTTCCCCCATTTTTGCGTGGGTCTACCCAGAAAATTTTACAAAAAATCTAAAAATATTTTGTTTCTATATTTTGATGCAGATTTGTGGAGAATTGATTTACAAATCGTTTAAGGTATACCGCTTAAGAACCAGATAGGTATTGCCAAATATATATACCTCAAAGGGGATCATATCGTCTCTCCCATACATGCTCCACATATTGAAGGGATCCTCCATATTTCTCGTATGCACAAATGTATCATGGACAAATATTCAGCCAATTTAGTAACCATAGCTTACCAGTATTGTGCCTGTTCGAAAGCCTCACCCTCTTCCAAATAATAAGAATAATTTTTTGTAAAAAAGTTTTATTAAAATTCAACATCTATTACAAAGTAAATCTAACGCCACGTACATCAAACGATAAAAACTCATGGAAATGCTCTATCTAGTCAAGTGCCCGTACGCTTATTATGTATTAACTAAATTCTTTGGAATTGTTTTGGTTACGCCTTGTATTTGAGTATTATTGAAATCATTCCATTTTTGTACTTAACCGTCCTGTGACCTGATATTGGCTTGGATGTGCCCCTAGTGCGTCTCGCCTTCGACCTTCTCCTTCCACGAGGGCTCCTCCTTGGGATCGACATGGACTTCGCTGCCCGGAAAGGCAATGGTAGGCTTGCTATTGTTGGCTATGAAGGTGCGGGCCATCTCCTCGAGCGCTGCCGAGGAGCGACGATTGCAGTCGAGGGGCTCCTCCATCTCGTGCGCCCGCTGCAGTTGTTCCCTCTGCTGCTGCTGCTGTTGCTCCGCCGTAGCCTTGGCTAGATCGTGCAGATTCTGCACCATCTCGTGAATGGGTGAACCCTGGGCCAGAGCTTCGGGAATCACCATCGACGGCAGGCCCCCGAGACCGGCATGGTTGCGCTGAAAGACACCCATATTTTTGGTGCTCAGGTTGATCAGCGCATTCATCATCACCTTGTTGCGCTGGTAGTCCTTGCGCAGGTGCTGGCGGATCTCCGTGTGGCAGTGCTCGTTGTTGGTGACGATGATATCGCCGGTGTCAGTGGTGGTGACGCGCGCCTTGCAGTTGAACTTGCGGGACAGGTTGCACTGCCAGTACTTCTTGTCCTTGCGCACGTACTGGATGCCGAAGGTGTGGCCGTCGTGGACGAGCAGCGGCTTGCCCCGCTGGCTCAGCATGAACTCCAGCTTGCCCTCGAACCAGTGTTCGCCGGGTGCTACTACAAGACATACAAGAAAGCTGGTGAGGATCGGTACGGGGTTCGGTTCACAAGCACAAGCCGGCAATACCCAATTGAATGTCGCATAACCAAGACACAAGGAATCCTTCAAAGGTTAATCCTCAATGGTTAGTAATGCTCAATTCGATGGAGTAGTGCCACTTGCTTATCTCTATCGGATGGCTAATCTCCTCTTGGTTATGTTTGTTTGGTTTTTCAATGCCAGGACATACACGAATGAGCCCAATTATGTGTGTTTTTATGTGTTTCATGCAATCGACTTACCTGCCAGGATATTATCCCACTTATCTAAGGATTGGTTAGTTAGTTGGTTACTATTAAGGTTAAGGTTACCCAGTGACATACGCTCGGGGCTTCGAAACATATCCAAAATTACTCTGGTTAGCTTAATCTGGGATTCATTTCAGAGCGCCCACTCATGGTTATGTAATTTTTCTTTTGGTTTATCGGTTCGCATTATTTTTATCAAAGTAAACAAACTATGTACATTATTACTCGCCTTTTCGAATTAAATTCCAATTCAATTTTCTACTAAAACTCTAACTAGACGAAAATAAGTTACTCCTCCTCCTTCTGCGACAGGCTTACATGTTCTCCATCTTAAAGCTGTGCCTGCTGCTCGGCGATATCGTAATCGAGTTGATCACGTGGGCGGTGCTGGGATCAGGAGTTCCATCACCGCTGGCGGTCTCCTGCTGGGTCGTCTGTTGCGCCGGTTGCTCCTCTGCCCCTGGCGGCGGACTCTGCGCGTGCAGGGAGTGGCTACTCCGATTGGACTGCGGACTCTGCTGCAGCTGGGCCGGCGAGAGGAGCACTGGCCCAGATCCACCGCCCATTTCCATGTGGTGTTGCTGCGCCGGAGGAGCTGCCGGATTGTGGGGCGAGTGTTGCTGCTGGTGGTGGTGGGACTGCGGTTGCAGATGCATTAGATTCGGGTTGTGCATTAGACTTGGCTCCATGTGGGCTGGCGCCGCAGGATGGTGCTGCACTAACAGATTCGGCAGCGGCTGCCCCAGGTGATGGTGGTGGTGGTGCGGGTGATGCGATCCTGCAGTGGCGGGCGGCGGAGGTGGTGGTGGTGGCGGTGTCTGGTTGGCAAACATGTTGCTCACTCGACTGCCGTGCTGCAGTTCAGATCCCAGGTGATGCGAAGCCTCCGAAAGCGGGTAACCCGTCTGGCTATGATTGGGAGCCGCAGAATTGAGACTCTGATTTCCACTCGAGGTGGCAGCACTTGTGGCTGGCGCTCCTCCCGATCCCTGGCCGGCACGCATATGCGGCGCATGATTGTGCACTCCCGTCGCCGAGATGATCCTGCCCAGGTGGGTGATGCAGCGCGCCCGGCACATGCTGATCCGGTAGGACTTGCACAGCCAGTAGGTCTTCATGCCCTGCTGCGTGGCCACCGTGTTGTTGCGGTTGAATACGCAGTTGCCGTGGAGCAGCGATGTGGTGGACAGCATCACCATGTTGCTGCCGTCTGGTTCGCCGGCGACGAAACGGACAATTGTGGATCATTAGTGTCAAGTTCATCGCTGTGGCGCTTATGGGGTTGGTGTTATTTACAGGGGACTGGGTCGGTGGTACAAGCTAATCTGTGTGTTGTGTGTGTGGAGGTCTGTCTGCCACAGATCCTCCCTAGGTATGTGCTAACTAGTGTGTCTTAAGACTGTGCGGTTGTTAGGCATAAGAGGATATTTCTTTGAAGGCAGCCAATAAGCAGGTTAAAATTATTAAGTACAAACTTAAGCTTCTTAGTTTTTAATAAGCTTTACTACTGTTAGTTAGAGTGTTTTAAAATGTTTTACTAAAATTCCAATTGTGCTTTAAATTAAAATAAAAAAGGTGTAGGTATTTATCCGCCAAAGGCATATGAAAGGAGGAATGCTTTCTACACTTCTTAAAGAAAATATTGGCTATTTTAGAACAGATTTTGTTACTAAAACCATAATGAAATACTTATTCTTTTTATAACATTTATGAAAACTCTTTTATAGACCTCCTTATAAACGCTCTACTCTGTCATCTATTCATCTGTTTTTTTCAGACTCGGATCAACGAGTGAGTCTACAAGTCTGGCCTGGTCATGTGAACAATTGGATCTCAACGACAATCAAAGCTATCAATTGTTTATCTATCTTCGCCTTCAGTTGGAGTGCCTGTGATTAGTGCCTCTACCCCACATACAATAAAGCAGTACATATCCCTCCTCCTCTACAATCAATCGGGTGGCTCTGTTAGATTCTCCAGTCGAGGGCACTCCTGGATACGGGGCGATGTGTGCAGTGAGTGTGGGGGATGCGGATGATGTGAGCCAATGGATGCAATGATGGTGGATGCAAGCATAAACCCAGTCTTATTCAAAAAAAAACAAATATGGATGAAAGCCAAGCTACATGCAACAGAAACGTGAGAAAAAGATTTAGAAACTCTTTTGGCACCTACTTTGTGGAATGTCCATGTGGTTGGCAAAGTTCTTGGAGTAATCGTTGGGCATGTACAGCTCGTTGGGGTATTCGGTACCGGAGCCGAGTCCTGCAGCTCCATTGTTGTTAATGGATGATCCGGGACCGGTTGCACTGCTTGAGCTGCCGCTGGCTCCGCCACTATTGCTGCTTTTGTAGAAGTTGTAGTTCTCCATATTGAAGGGCGGTCCGAAGGGATTGCGCATCCCCGTCGAGGAGGAGGCCGAGGAGGTGAGGCTGCCAACACTGCCGGAGCTGCCGGCACCGCCGGAAGAGGGTCCATGGTGCGTATTCTCCGACTCGCGCTTCAGCCCGCCGAGATCGTAACGCGGCTCCACCATCGAGATGTGCGGAATGGGCGGCAGGAAGAACTCCTCGGAATTCAAGCTGTTTTCTAAAGCAGCTCCATTATCGGAATTTTCACCGCCGCCGCCACCCTCATTCCCGCTGGATCCGTGGTCCTTCAGCGATCGTCTCAGCTGCTTGCCGGAGTAGATGGACAGAGCATCGCTGCCAAAGTCCGAGGGCAGCGGGCGCTTGCCGGACGAGTATGGGTGGCTGCCCTCGTTGGAGGCTCTGCTCGCTCCACCTGGCGAGGTGGTCCTGGAGTGGCTTTGGCCCTTGGTGTCATTGTGATCCGCTTCCGACTTGCTATTGTTATTGCTATTAACGCTAGAGTTGTGATTGCTGTGTGCCTGGGGTGTATTGCTGTTATTGCTATTGCTGTTGGGGGACTCCTCCGCCTGGGTCTGGCTGGCGGACTTGTCCGAGGCACTCGATCCTGGCGAGGAGTTGGTGGCCAGGCCCTTGATCTGCAGCAGCTGCCCGATCTTCATGAAGGACTGCAGCTCCGTGTGCTTCACGTTCACCACGCCCTGGTACATGAACTCCAGCAGTTCCAGCATTATGTTGAAGCTCACATCTTTGAGTATGACTGAAAGGAACGGGGGAATTTTTTGGAAAATGTTATTATAAAATTATCAGAACCCATTGGAATATTTTCGGGAATGTTTTTATTTGGGAATTTTTAGAGAGTTCATAAAGTTAGTTCAGCGTAATTTGCTTGTTTACATAAATTCTGTGGAACGACAATAACATCAGTAGGAAAGGAGGTCACATTCGTAGTGGAGATGTTATCATCGAAACGTTCAAATACTAAATCAATACATAAAAACAGCTATGATAAGAAATCTGAAAACTTAAATATAAACTCAACAACAGCAGCAGCGCATTAGCACAGCCATACAGCCATACAGCCATAATTATAAAATAAGTAGCTTGCCATATCATCCGGCAGGCAGGCATCCGTGCTTTCGACACGGCCTAAGAAGCTGAGATTCCGCCGTACTACTACAGTGGTGCTCGATCTCTTATCTCTTGGTGGGGATAGGAGATCAGACTTAATAGTTCAAAACTTAATAGTTCCCAAAGGCAATTAAAACGGTCTGTACTTTTCAAACCTTCAGATCTACAGAGCGTAGAGACTATACATGATTGAGATTAAGTATGACGTGTGTTACAGACAGAATTCTTGAAAGTTTGTACCGAATATTTCATAGAGTTTTTAAAAAAGTATAGCTTATAAAGATATTAACGTGGCCATGACATATTGATCTTCAAAAACTATTCAAAAGATTTCAAAAACTAGTAACTAACTTTCAAACCTAAATGAAATTTTTGAAATCTAAACAATTAGTCATAAGGTGACTTAAGTAGAAAATACAAATAATATCTCTGGAAAGAGCCTCTCTGGTGTTTTCCCTCTCTAGACTCAAAAGCGAATCTTGAAAAACCCCCCATCTTTTTGGGTTTCTTCCCAATGTCTTGCCCCACTGTGCCCCAGCATCAATCTCTAGTTAAAAACAATATTATCTCTTGTTCTCAATAACAATTTTATTACACAAACAGACGTACACACATCCCGCTAGTAGAGCTGTGTGTAAGTATATTAATCCCCCGATCGGCAACAGACAAACTCGGTTGCTTAATCTGACCGTGCGACGACATCAATTGTGCCCTATCATTTGCCGTAGTCGTCATTACGGATCGTTTTGTCTCGCCTATCTATCTATCTGCGCCTTGGCATGTCCGTATTATGATCGGCGGGGTGTTCAAAGTTGGCGAAGATCAAAATCCGGGGTACAGTTTAGCACGCTTCGATCTTCGATTTGGGCTTACATATACTAGCTAGTGGCATTAGTAATGTTATCTCTTTGAAACAGCCCCTAGTAGTAGATACATGCCGTGCATCTCTTCCTTCGGAGAGATAAAGCCACTGGCCCTGGACCCAGACAAAGAGATCCACACACGCCGAATGCTTCTCCTCTCGAATCAATAAACCGTTTATGAGCCCCGGACTGTAGATAAACTTTGTCTAAAGTTCACGGAAATCGTGATAAATCCGTGTATGCTGCCCTGATAAGCGCCGCTCCAAATCGAAGTCGTCAGTACCCAAAAGTCAAATTCCAGCATCCCGGCGTGCTCACGATCGTCCATTGCTTAAATGTATGCCACTGGATTTAATGGGCTTGTGACCCGCGGTGATCTCCGCTGATATCAGATCCATCCCGAGAGCGGAGCGGCGCTGGGAAAGTCCAGCGATATCTTCCTTGTGGTGGCCGCTGCTTTCGATTTGTTCCACCATTCCCGAAGATCACGCCCACTCGAGTCGTTTCCACCAATCGAATCGCAGCCGATCGACTTTGAAAACAATTTTATTTTATGATTATGATAAATGTTTATCGAATCAAAACGCCACGGGCTACGTGGTGTTGTTGTTCGCCCCATCGAGTAGCGTGGAGTGCCTGGCCCCTGGCCCGGCTGCCTCATTTTGACAATGTCGTCGCACAAACATTCATAAATATTTGTTATCTGTGAACGCCATAATAGTCGAGTAGTCGAATCGAATTGAATCGAAGCGGTATGTCTTGCTGGTAGTGGTACTACAACCTGATAAAAAATAGACCCAAGAAAAGCCAACCCGGCACTGAGAGGGCTGGCCAATCGAGCCCGTACCGCCCCCCTCCGCCCAACTCTCTTTTGGGCCAAATTCAATGGCGATGTCTCCAAGACGAGGCCCAGGGATTAGCCCAGCTTAGCCGATAGCCAGCCAATATTTGTGGCTACTGGCTACTGGCTAGTGGCTACCGGCTGGCGGGGCCATAAATAACCCATTGTCAGCGCAAATGGCCAATAAAAGCATTTATGAAATTTTGTATGCTCAAAGTCAAAGTTTGATATAATATGAAGAGACCATAAATGCTTACGTACGATCAGGAGTAGCGATCAATGCGATCGATTGGGTAAGGCCAGAAGCGGAAATGACTGGAAGGGTTCCAATAAAGTCGATAATACAAACAGGCTTGGTGCTCAGATTATAATCCCTTCAAGGAAACCATGGATAAGCTTCTAAAATACTAACCCCCACTTTCCCATCTAATCTTTATGCTAATTTATTAAAACAGTTTATAAAAATCTCGGCCAATCAACCCTAATTCTGACATAGTTCTGACCGAATTAAAGTACTTTTGATTATCATTGGCAAACTTTTAAAGAGATTAGTCCACCAAAGTCCACCACACCCGAAAATGAACAATGTGCAGAGCCCCCCAATAAACATGTTGTGTTTACCCCCTTAGGAGTTTGGAAAAAATACTCGACGTCTTTGGTTTAGTCACGGCCTGGCAATATATTAATAACATTGGGAATTTAATATTTACGACAAGTCCATCGATCGATATTATATTATCTTTCAGAACCGTTTATGGCTGGTAAGCAACCGCAGCTATATTCGATCGCCTAGCTACTTGAAATCGGGAACGGAATCAAGGCGAAAATGGACGGAGGAGTGGGGATACATTGGACCTGGTCTTGCTCTTGGAGAGGCCCAATATCACACATGGCAATTGCTCCGGCTGGCACTGAGTTTGGGTGTCTGAGTGCGTTATCTAACGAGCAATAAGTTCAAAATCTTATTTTACGATCAAGAGTGATACCCAAACTAAAGTGGCTGGCACTAAACGCAAGGCTGATAAAACCCACTGGCCATAGACGATGTCCGTCTTGTTTATGCCAATAATAAATAGATAATTTTTGGAGGATTAGCATTGTATTGGGACTGAGATATAACCACTTGTCCGTTAGCCTAAAGTGGGGGGAGTGGGTTGATTTACACGAGCAACAGTTCCAACGGAAATGGAACCAATATGGCTAAGAGTTCTGGCATATTTTAGTTTCTTTTTTAGGACTTGTTTGAAGGTCAATACTGAAAGACATTATAACTATTGTTAGCATAATAAGAGAGGATCCTAAGAGATCTAAAGACAAACTTTAAGAACCAGCAAAGCTCTCTAATCAATATATGAAATACTCAAGTCTTCGTGTGACTGAAAGGGGGCGGAATAGACGAGGACTGGGTGGCGGGACCCAGTTGCTCAGTTGGGCAATAAATGATTGTTAAACGCGATAAAAAGATAAAAATATTTAGAGTTTTGTTGTTGGTGCGTGTTACACACAAGGTACATAGACAGACGTAAGCCAACATCGGGACCAACACCATTTGGCTTGTTAGCACCTCCATGATTGTTGTTGGCTGGTTAGGTTGGTGGGTGATTGTTGGTGTTCGACAGTTCGACTGTTTGTTGGTTTATTTTTAATAACTCTCGCCCCCACTGCACGCTGAACGCCTACCGTTATTTATAGGGTATATTAATATTCTTTATCTTTGGAAATACCTCTTGTAGCAGCAAACGATCGGTGGTGGGCATAGGTAGCACCTTTCTGCTGCTACTTGAAAAGATAAAACCTTATTTTTTATTGCCAGCCTGATCAGATAAAGCCACCGTGCAGCAGGCAGCCGTGTTCAACACGTCCGCGAACGAGGGCCCCCGGGCGATATGATATCCATGCGCCATATACCATATTTTCTATAGCGAGTTCTATAGTCCATTTGAAGTACATTTGATGAGGTCAGCAGCACAGCGACTCAGCAACGCAGATACGCACCAACCCAATCCCCAATCCCTGATCGGATCGAATCGAATCGGGCCTCGAACCGTGGACCTTATCATGGTGCATATTCGAATGCGTGCTTGGGTAAACAAGACCAAGTGTGTGTGGCACTGGAGGTGGTAGCTCTAGGCCTCCTGCAGGCCATAGACAAAGTGGCGGCGGAGGATTATCAGACCTAGATTCTGGGTTACTGTTGCTGTTTACTTTTAGATTTACAACCAGCGAAATCATTCCCGACTCCGGAGCAAACTCTTAACGTGCTGACGGAGGAGTCGTAGCTGGTGGTTGTAGGAGCTGGCCTGATAACCGCCGAATGTGTCATGGAATTTAACACAAAGGTTGATTTATATCTAAGCTGTTGACAACGGTGACGAGCAGACAGGCTGTCGATAAACTGACGGACATGTCCAAGTCCCTTGGGTGATAAAATGACCAGTACCCAGAGGGAAGTAGTCTATGCAGGCCTTCACAACTACAATGCATGCCCCAATTCAAATGTATGCACACGGAAATGCTCATACAATGTAATACAATGCTCAGACCGCCGAATAATTTTGCATTCGTTTGTTAACATATTGTTAATGGTTGGGATTAATTATAACCAATAGCACATCAACCACTTGCGTGGTTTGTTTTCGAAACTGGTACTTGAACTCCTGCTCCTGTCTGAAGCACCTTCAAGCTAAGGATTCTGGTTTCATGGGATGGTTCCTTAAGCTGGTAACCAACTTAGACAAACTGAAAGGTGGAGGCTAGAGATTTTTAATTCACAGCTCCATAAGACTAGCTGCCGCATCCGCATTTGCAAAAACGAAAAATGTTGACACATTTTAAGAAAATTAGTTAATCTTTGGATACTCACTAATGGGATGCTTGCAGGGATTCGTGGTAAAGATCTCCTGGAAGTAGGGACTGCATATGGCCAGCACAATCTTGTGGGCGTGGAGCAGCTTTCCATCGCAGGCCAGTGTCACATCCACCAGGTCGCCGCGGTCGTAGAGATTTTGGAAGCCGCTGGCTATATTGTCCTGGAAGTTCTTCCAGCAGAGCTTGAACTCGTCGTCCATGGCGGCCCAGTGAGACCGCTGGGATTACCTCTTTAAATCTTCAAGCTAATCACCGGATTCACAGACAAGAGATTTTCGGTGTTCTCGTGCGATTCTGTTTTTTATGGCTTTTGTTTATCCGCTTTGCTTCGTGATTCGTTCACTCGGAAATCACAACTCACGCGTTCTCACGCACTAATATATATTAATTATTCCTATTTGAGCCGGCCGTTGAGTTAAATATTAATCCGCGTTCACGCGCTTACGATCTCTAGCCGTCCGCGTCCACAGGCGCATTGATTTTGTTTTCGGCTCTAATTAACACTGTGTGATTTAAACATTTTTATCGCTGTTTACGTTCCGGCTGATAATGAATGCCCCGCCTCCCCGCCCACAATATGTTGGCTTTTCTCTTTTACCAACACTGCTTTATAACGTTCGATAGTTTTGCGATTTCAATCGTTCTCCGATAAGTTTAACGGATTGATTTAAATTAAAAATTAATGAAGATTAAGTTTGAAATAAGTGGTTGAATTTCCAAAGAAACTAAAAAATTATGGTTAAATATAAAACTAAAAAACTAAAGAGTAAAATATTATTTTTAAGAATGGACACTGAAAGCAAATCCAATATTTTGGTGTTGGTTGAAAAAAAACTATAAAAATTTAAATAAATATCATGTACATAAAAAGTCAATCCTTTTTATATCCTTTTGAAGGAATTAAATATTACTCGATAACGATTACTTTACCAATTAAATTTTAACCGCCAACTACAAAACGGTAGAAAAACTTTTGTGATAAGAGCTTATCTAAATTGGCAAGTTCGTAGCTTCGGCTCAGCCATATCCGAAAGGCTGTGTGCGCTTTGGCCATATTGCTAGGTTGGTTTCTACGGCGTTCACACAACCCGGTCGGAACCTACAAATGATAACGGACATGCCCATGGTCATAAATAACCCACTTTACATTTTAAACAAAAAGAGAATAAAAGTAACAGGGCCGCTTATCAATGAGCCATGAGTCGCTGGCACGCTAGTTTCAATTGGCCACCAATTTGATGTGCCTGATTTAGTGCTCAAAGAACTTTCAGCGAGGAGAATTCAAGCGTTCACCATAATGGGTTGTTGTTGCAGTAAGTGCTTTGGTTTACAAATATCTGCATAAACAATGATTACTAACAAACTGATTAAAGGTACTAGTAAATCGGTGGACTTGCCGCCGGTTCCACCAGCACCCGGCAAGCAGCGCTCCACTCTTCCCGAATTTCCCGTGTCAGGATCCGTTACCACTTCTCAGCCAGGACCAGGATTCAATGGAGTCAGCAATGCCGCTCTCGAGGACGACTAAAAGGAACTTTTATAAGTAAACAATTTTCAAGTGCTGAAAGCGATTACGTCGAAGGGAAAATTTTAGATTGCCAAATGGCAGATTGGATCATGAGTCATGGATCATGAGGGCTTGCCGGAATTGCTTCTGTATAGTCCGTAAAGTAATAGTTTTAGTAAAAAATTGTCTTTTATTGTTTCAAAATAAAATGTTATTTGTAATTTAAATCTAAATCTTAATCCTTTTGGTCAAAATATAGTTGCTTGTGCTATTTTATAATTCAAGTTTCGCGGCAAAATGGTTTTCACATTTTTCAACACTAGGCCAAATAATAGGTCTTTTTTTTAAACTCAAGTGCAGTCACATTGCTTGAATCCCAGCACGTGTGTGCGGGTGTTTTTTGTATTTAATTTTTAATTATTGCTTAATTTGATATATAAATAAAGGAAAGCAAATCACTATGGCCATCCAAGCAAACCGGCGGAAAAGGAAACATGAGGAGGCTGAAACAGAACAGCCGGACGACGGCGAAGTGGAGATTCCTAAGAAAATTTCAAAGGAGTCCGATACGCCGAAGAAAAAGAAAGATAAGGTAAATAAAAATGCAGAGGGAGCGGCAGATGAAACAACAGAACAGTCCGTAGAAACTACGCCTAAAAACAAAAAGGCAAAAAAACCAAAGCCGCCTAAAGGTGAAGAAGCGCCACAGGTGGCCATGGATGTGGAGGAATCCCCCTCTAAGAAGAGCAAGAAGCGAAAGGATAGAAAGAACACAAATAATGACAACGGTGAGGAAAATGGTCAGGATGAGGCGGAGATCAGTCCTGATTCCGGTATTGAACCAGAGGAGAACGCTCCAAAATTTCCAAACGACTTCAAAATGATGCATTTTCGCTCCAAACTCCGCACAAACAGCTTTATTACAGGTAAGTAGCAAGAAACTACTTTATCCATTAATCCAATGAACAAATATTTCCAGAGCTACGACACTTTCTGTACATGTGCACCACGCGCCCTAAAATCGTGGCCAAGTACATTGAGAAGCGCGGGAAACCTTTGGAGCTCGTAGAAGCCTTCGACCGAATCGACAAAAACAACCTTTTCCACGCTGATTACCTTACCGAGGCGCTCCAAAGGATTGTAATGGAGGTGCTCACCAACCAGAAGAGCCATTTGGAATCTGCCGTTTCCGCGTGCCGTTATTTCCTTAAAATCCACGGTGGAGTTCTCGATAGTCTCCTCCAGTCATCGCGACCAAGCCATCGTCGGAATGCTCTCAAACTACTTACGGCCATCGTTTGCATAGATCCGCAGCTGGGTCGCCAGGTTCTCAACTCCTATGACGTGCTCTCCAACGGAGCTGTGATGCAGCAGATGTTGTCGCATGCCAAAAACGACTACGAAAATGAGGATACAGTGCGCAAGGCGTATATACACTTTGTACTGGCCTTTCTGGTCGAGGGAAATACACTGCTAATACGAAATATCCTAGATCACGGCCAGTTAATTGGTGTTTTGGCCAAGGGATTGGTCTATGACGACCATGTCACCGTGTGCGTGGTACTAAACGCTTTAAGGCAGTACGTTTTGGAGAACCCTGACATCCAAAAGACAAAGAAGGTTATTGTTTTCGATTTGGAGTGCTGCAAGAACCTACGTCGCCTGTACGATTGGGAGGGACCAGAAGGGCTCAAGGTGTTCTTCAACAGGCTGAAAGCCAGCAAAAAGGTCGCCCCTAACCCCCAGGATGCTGAGGCTGTCTCGGCAGCCGTTCACGAACTGTTGCTTGTACTGCTCACTTCCCGGAAGCACGGAATCTGTTTCGATGCCATGACCCACTACCGCCAGAAGCAAAACAAGATGCAAGGCAAACTGCTCGGATCCCTCTACAGACCCTTCGACAATCCCCGTAAAACTGATCTGGTCATCAAGACATTAACAGCCTGTCCCGATTTGGGTCGCAATACTGTGAGGAATGTATGTTGCTTGCTGAGCCCCGCAAGAACCGCCATCGCAGACATGGATAAAGTGGCTTTGTTTTTGGCCCAGATCATTGATGCGGTTCCTCCCACAGCCCTGGGTGCCGCCTTCAACAAGATGACTCTGACTGATTTTAGTTTTTGGATCAAAGACCTGTGCCTGCCGATTGAAGGACTGCTCCAAATTACGAGTAAAAGTTATCTGAATAACCCAGACTTCAAATTGAGATTGGCGGTGCAGAAGTTGCTCTTCTCCATGATGCGGCAGTACAGCAACTATGTTCGAGCCATAGCCCTCCGGGAACAGTCGAAGAAGGCCGGAAACTCGCTGCGGAAATTTAAATTTGATCTTTTGAACCATCTGCTAGTTAGTTTTCCCACGATCGAGTCAATCCTGTATTCTCTGTTTTTGTCCATCAGGCAGCAGCAGAACAAGGATGAGGTTGATGTCCTGGAGTTCCTTTCGGTCACCCTGGACTTGGTGCTGCTTATGTGCAAGGAGAACCGAGCGTTTGTGAACAAAACAAGTCAGATTCTAAACTACTTGAATGTCTTACGACCCTTGTACGAAACTGATTTTGATCATCTCGACCAGCCGCAGGAACTGAAAAAGATCGAACTGGAATTAAAGTCGATTAGAACTATTCTCTTGCTGTTTCCCCGATCACTTAATCCGCAGGAGAAACTCTTCGGCAAGGTTTTCACATCTTTTATCAAAGCGTACATGCTGGAGGATGTGGCCATTAAATCAGAGGCGGGAAACATTCTGCACCAACTCTTCCACAACACGGGACTCTTCGATTCCTGTGGCCACGAAATAAACATCTGGCTGGAGGCCCTCATAGGATTCGAAGCCGAAACAGTTTCCAATGTGAAGAGCATCCTGGTGACCATACTTTGCTTGGATTGGCGGCAAATTCAGCTACCAGAACTGGCCATTGCAGGGACCGCTACTAATAACGAGAACCTCAGCAGACTCTTTGCTCAAATCGAGCAGGGTCAGACCGTGCAGGCCTATGTTGAAACTCTGACCCTAAGTAAGATGATGCCCCTACTTCTTAAGGGAGTGGCCATCGAAGCTCCCTATGATGCCTATGTGGAGCTGGTCTTTGTACTGCTGTTTCATTACCACAGTCAGCCGGAGCAGGTGCTCCAGCTTTATAGCACTCATCTGGAGAAGTACACAGATTACATGAGGAGTTGGCTGCCGTCAAGCGCCGGAAAAGAGAAACCCAAGAAACTTCCATCCGCCATTGCCGAGAAGTGGCCATTGTTGAAGCAAATGCGCAAGGCTTTTACTGAAGAGGCTGTCCAGCCATTTGACCAAATTTTCAAGGTGGAGACTGAAGACAAGCACTTTGAATTGAAGTTAAGCGAGGGACAGACTCTGCTCTTGCATCCTAGTCTAGTTAATCCCCGACGCAACATGATCTACGTCCAGGACCTGCTTTTCGTTTTCACGCATTCTTTCTCCAGCCAGCGATTAAGTAAAGTTCAGGCTGAGCTCGTCGCCGACTATCTTATTAAGTTCCTCCAAATAGCTAATCAGGCGGATGATGGCCGGGAGGAAGCTTTGGGAGACGATGAACAGCAGCAAGACGAAACCCACACCCATAACTTGCTCCACTACATTTACAACATTCGCTTGGGCCAACTACATCCCACCGAGCTGCTGAGTGTAACCAGTGAGGCCCGTTTGAACTACGTGATCTTCCTGCGCCGTTTGACGGAACATTGCCGCACTTTACCTCGTTTTGAGACCTACATCTCCAACTACCGCCTGCATTTGATCAAGGCTTTGGAAATTGCACTGGATTCTTCAGAGGACCAATGCGACCATCCACAGCAACTTGTGGAGTGTGTGGCTCTGGTGGACGCCTTTGCTCTGAACTCCAGCGAATGCGTTCAAATACTAGACCTCCTCACTACCAAACTGGAGGCTAAAGACTTCATCACGAAAACCAAGCCAAATCACTACTTTGAGCTGTTACTGCGCCTGCTGGCTCGCCTGGTTGAACTGAAGGAGCCCGTCGACTGCCACAAATCCTTCAAAGTACTCCTCAGCTTCTACAAGGATTTCTGTGAGTTGCATGAACAACAGCTGGAACCTTTGGAGGTGGCCCTGTTGCAGTTCCTCACCAGCTATCACCACCATTTGGCAGCCTGTGATGACGACTTCTTCGGGTGCTTCTTTAGTTCCACTAGGAAACTGAGCAAATCGGCCATTCGAATGGCGAGTTTGCTGCTGGAGCGACAGCCCAAGTTGGCCGAGAAGTTCGCAGAACTGCTGCCTAGTAACATAGAGCAAAAGGAACTGGTATATCCACTTCTGGACATAGCCCTGACCAAGGACTATCAACTACCTCATGCTGTGCTCCAGCGCTGCTACCAGACCTACAAAAATGGCTTCATGAAGAGCATTGAAAAGCCGCAGAAGGCAGCTCTCATCTACCGGGAACATCCAGAGGCCAGTGCCCTACTCATTGCCCTGTGCATGCCCAAGTCCGAGTGCCTGGATTACTGCCAGAAGCAGTTGAAGCTCGATTCGGTGGAGCTCTTCCAGGTGCGAGTTCTGCGAGAGATCTATTGGCAGGCCTTTGGGGCAGCCAAGGATGAGAAGCAACAGGCCACCATCTTTGTCAACTACATCAACCTCAACGTCCAACTGCTGGCTCTGGACTTGAAGAAGCAGGCCCTGGACTTGGCCAAGCTGCAACAAATATCCTGGAACTGTTACGAGTGGTGGGAGGCGCACCACAAGGCCCAAGAATCGCTTCCTCTGGACTGGAGTCGTTTGCTGGGGAATCCGCAGTGGTTCAATTTCTGCAAAAGCTGCTTGAAACTAGCTCTGCACCTTGCCGAGGAGCGCCTTCCGGTGCAGGATCAAACCAACGGTCTAATCCTTAAGCTGATGGCCTTTTTATGCAACCTTATGTATGAGGATTACAAAGAGGAGGCTCAGGGCGAGGAGGATGCCTCGCCTGCGCTGCTCTACGAAATGATCTGCACTCACTCCTGCTGCTTCGATCACCTCCTGGGAGGCGAGAGTGAGACAAAGACCCATCTGCTGCAGCTGATGGAGACGCTGGCCAGAAAGGGACCCAGTGCCTTGCAATCCTCCCACATCCCCGTAATTCTTGGCTCGTACCATGCGAAGCTTTCTCCTGCGGATCGTTACACGCTCGCCCTGCTGGAACACTACGAACGCTTCGAGGTGGGTCTGGAGCAGTACCGCCCCTTCATCTGGGGCGAGAGTGCGGTGGCCCATTACGCCCTGCGGGCTGCGGACGAAGACGAGAGAGCTCGGCTGCAGCAACAGGAGACGAACGTGGCCCAGGTGCTGGCCTTGATTGTGCGGGAGACCAGCGAGTACACCATAGAGAACTTCCCCATCTGGAGAAGCCTGCATGCCAGCCAACAACTGCCTTCGGTGGAGTTCATTAATCCGGCTAAGAAATCGCAAAATTTCGGCGACAATCAGCTCGAAAAAATGGTGGAGCAGGGCATTTCGGAGTTCCCCCAGGAACTGCGGCGCATCTGTCCAAAGAGGGAGAAAATATACGAGTCGTGCTACGATCCTGCTTTCCTGCTGCCCCTGATGATGCACTGCTTCGCTCCGGAATCGGTGGTTTGGGCTCGCTGGCCCGTGCAAAATGGCTTGCTGGCCATCAGCTTCTGTGGACTGTCCTCCCTGGACAAGGACATGCGATTGGCGGCGGCCAGTTGCCAGCAAAGGTATCGCGCCCACTTTGAGCTCTCCAAGTTCTACGAGAAACCACTATGGACCCAGGCCTACGACAATATCCAAGCTGGATTGGCGGAGCTGAGAACCTCGTGGCTGGCCCAGACGAGAACCCACGGCGGCACTCCCAGAGTACCCCTGATCCCTGCCCTGTTCATTGCCCAGAGCTTCAACCTGAGCACAGAGCCCACCCATCTGCTGTACAAGCGCCTGATGATGTACCTGCGACTGAAGCAGAGCTTCAACTTCCAGACCATACCGGACTTCAATGTGTTCTTCTACTCCCAGGAGACGGAACACCAGCAATACCGCGAGTTCATTGTGGAGCTGCTGCGGTGTGGAATCAAGTGCAGCGCCGATCTCTTCCTGCTGGTGTCCACCAACACGTTCAAGGTCCTGCTCGGCTTTTACGGATCCAGTTTGGCCACGCTCGAGACTAATCTGCTGCTGTTGTCGGTGCTTTCCACCTGCGTCAAGATTCCCGGTGCTGTCAAGATCATGTTGGAGCACGTGGGCATTCTCTCGTGGCTGGTGGGCGTCATCCGCGACACGGAGTTCCATCAGTTCGACATAATCGAGGGCATCATTAGCATAATCAACAATCTGTGGTATGCTCTGGCAGCATCTCGCTCGGAACTCCCCGACTACGACCAAATCCAACTGCGTTTGCATCGGCTGGTGCTGCAACTGCTGCCCAAACTCTCGCCAAGGATATCGGTGCCTGGAATGGGACGCTTGCTGAATGTGCTGTGGAAGACGGGCTCAGCCAGTGGCCAGCATCGGTCTCTCTCCTCTGAGCAGTTGGACGTTCTGCTGGAGTGTCTCTCCCGGCATTGGCCAGATCTGCTGCCAGGAGTGCGTTATGTGAAGAGCTACGGTGGCCTGGGAGCGTGTTCCCGATCGGAGTACTGCAACTGGCTGGCAAACGAGCACCAGCTAGAGGTTCCCGCCATACTGGCCTTGTCCAGTCTTCGCGAATATGTCGGCGATTGGTGGCAGGCACACAACGCAGACAAGGATCAGAGGCAGCTGACGGAGTCGGCCAACTAGGAAAGCTTTTATAAAATTATGTTCGCTAAGCTGAAAATTTGTTTTTATAGAATTTAGATATGTAATAAAATGTATGCAATGAAAATATAAAATCAAACCATAATCCATGCCATGCGAGTGATGATTGAGAGAAGCTCTTAGCGCCGCAGCCTGACTTATTGCCGCCGTAACTCATGGGGTATCAATATTTGTGGGAGTCACTCGCAGATGTGTTGAAAGTGAACTGTCACGTCTACGGGGCTGCTCCGCAAACCTCGTCAGCCTTCATTAGTTTGGCCCGCAGCATATGACAAATTACGGGCCATCAACATAACAAAAGATCGGCTTAAGTCGAACCTGAAAAAAAATTAAGTAAAGAAAATCCAAACAAAAATAGCTTGTGTATGGCAAAACCCTTTAGTGTGTCTTTAATTTGGCCAATCGGTTTTCACACGCAGCACAAGTGGGTGTTCCCCTGCAGCACACCCCGTCCCTGCCACATCCATCCGTGTGTGACCCCAGTCGCCACCTACAATTTGTTGGGTCAACAAAATGTTAATCATCCGAAAAGGCTTAAGCCAGAGCCGAGTCAGAGTCTCAATTTCTAATATTTAAAGCAAAGTGCGCAAAGTTGACGCAACAGTCGGACGAAAATATTCACAAGATTTATGATTTTACTAGACGCCTCGAAATCTAACGAAATCTTAGCCATTCCGTTACATAAAACCCGGGGCTGGGTCCCGTCTAGAGTTGCAGATGGAGCTCTGGGACTCGACATAATTGATTGATATTGCTTAGCGTTTTGTTGTTTATGAGGCGGACGTCATCCCAAAACGTATCAAATGTATCTCTTTGGCCCAAAAAATATAGTGGATCGCATAAATGTATAAATTTGATTAGCCCGAGGCATATACATGGGAGTATAAATATAAAAACCAACAAATGATCTGAGAAATCAACTCATATTAGCTCACATAATGGATCGTCTTAATATGGGTTGGTTGTAAAACTTAATTGGCTTAATTAGCTAAAAGAACTTAAGTTATAGTGGAATAATATAGTTTTTTACTTGATTATTATTTAAGCCATAAACTTTATTTATTTAGAAAATTATATTATAAGCCCCTTTATAATGATTTTCCCTGGGAACTTCGCTGATTTCCCTAAAGGTCTCTGAGATTTCACTTCAGACATCAATCAAAGTCCTTCAAATAATTTCATGGGTTGGCTGGCATTTGAGGTGCCCCAACCAACACTTTCAATCATTGTGAAAAATGAGGAAAAGAAAACGGATTGCCATGGCATTGAACTACGCACAATGGGTCACCCGAAAAATAGAGTTCAAAAGGTCAGTCAGTAGCCATCGCAACAGCAGCTGCCAGAAAGCTAGAAGACAATACTGGAGATCCCATCGATATGGCCTCCTTTCCAAGGCGTGGCATCCGATCGACGGCCAATTAAGCGGCTGTCAAATGATTGATTTAGCTTACTTAAAAAGCCATTTGGTCTAATCCGGAACTGACAAGGCCCCAAACTGACCGAACTGACAAAAATAGTGTAACCGAAGACCCCAAGCAGCGACAACTCCCAATAAAAACATAGCCAAAGTGGATGGATGCATATGATTATCCGAAATGCGTTAGCAAATCTTTTCTCGGGTTTCGGAGTGTGTCTCCTTCTCTGGAGATTTGAGACTGGCTGGCTGCGATCGCTCCTCTGTGGCGTTCATATTTCACACCTTAAACGACAATCTACGATTGCTTTTTTCGACTATTTGCATTTTAAATTATTGGTCTGGCCCTCATTGACACGTTGATTTCATAGCTCACAATGCCATTGTCTTATGTCAAATGTATGCAATTTATACAAATTTATTTATAAACAAATTTCTCGATTGTTTTGCCAGTTTGCCAGTGTCCCATTTATTGAACTCGCTGCTCTTTTTGCTATTTATGATTTCATTTGCTTTTTTCCACTACCAATCATAAATGCCTGCCAGAGCTCCCTGGACAATCAAGTGTCACAATAAAGCTTAGCCCCAGGCCACTCCGATGATCGTTTGCTCAGATGGATGACTTTATTATGCGGTATAAAAAAACCTTTTTATGCATATATATTTTATATAAAATATGTGCACAGTAGTGGGAAAGAGGCGTGGCAAATTGAATCAGGTGGCTAAGGTCATAGGCAGTTACCAGTTACCGGGGCTCCAAATTGCGGCTAACCTGAGTTGTGGATTCAGGCTTCACCTGAGATGATCGGATGCCAATCCGTAACCACAAAACTCCATTAGGAATCCAGTTCACATGGCTGTTTAAAAAATACATATAGCTATGGGTTTCAATTATGGTGGCACTGGAAAGAAATCAATCTTTAAAAACTCTTTAATATAAATTTTAAAGTACTTTAAAATAGCGCTCTAATCTTTGATACATTTAAATTTATATATTTTTTTCTAAAATTTCAGTAGACGCTTTTCAACATTGTCTCAGTGTTTCAGGGCAATACATCAACATGCTAAATGAGCGATCCAAATGGCCTGCGGATCGTCACGTTCGGCCTCCAGTCGGAGGCATTTGCATCATGTTACCCAGGTAGGCGGATAGATGGGTACATACATTGGAACATGGGTAGGCCATGTCCTGGCCGCAATCAAAATTTGTTCAGCATACAGAGCAGCTAACTGCTTGGCCTCGGAAAAGTCATTGGGGAAAATTGAAAATTTGGCAGACGGGGGTGGAGAGAAACGCATGCCGATCGAACATGAAACAGATGGAAAAGGGTGCAAACGGATTCAAAAGCTCACTGTTGTTTCACAGTCGGCGTCGAGGCGTCTCGGCATCATTTCAAATATCAAAAGTCACGACGACAAAGAAAGCTGGTTTGCCTTTGCCTCTGGTGGGTTTGGAATCCCCTCGGATGGGTTCAATGTTTAGTTTTTGGCTCGCTTTTGCGGCTTTCTGTTGGTTTGTGGCAAAGCATTTGGCAAATAATATGCGCCTAAGAGATGTGACTCCAACACCGACTCTCCTCCCGGTGGCATGTGGAGAACTTGTCCAACTGCCTGGCAATCTTTTTTCCCATTTCCCATTGACAGCGGATGAGTACCCAGTGCCCTCCCCCGCCGATTGGTAATTTTTTATGCAGGTTACCCAAAAGGTGTTATGGCACTAGGCAGTGTAATTTGGTAATACCCGAAAAAGGTTATTAAATGCGATGGCGAATTACTTATTTAAATTAAGGAAATTTTTGTGGCTTTTGAGTTATTTGAGATTTAAAAAAAAATATAACTGACTGACTGGGTTTTATATTCCTTATAAATAAAAAATAAAGTTAGTCCTTACTTCCGATTGGTTTATATAACATTAATGTCATTTAACAATAACCATTCATGGCCTGTGTACAGCTCCAATTATATAGTTTAAAATACAGCAAAAAAAATAATAATTGGCATCGGGGACTTTGGAGATGACCGGAAATGAAAAGAAGCAAGCGGAAATCGAATATATTAAACCATGCGTCTTCAGAAATGAGTTAATTTACATGCTGAATTGGCGATAATGCGAGAGAAATTTGCACCACAAAGTGGCCCAAAAATTGCAGAGACCCAGACAGCCACTAGGAAGTTCAAGCCGCAGACTCCAACTTTGATCTGCGGCACGTGTGTGCGTTGGATGTTGGAAGCTGGACGGACGTTCAACTTGGCTGGGGTTTTGGAGCGGAGCTCGGAGCACTCATTAAGCGCGCCGGCTTTGGCTCTGGGCAAGGATTTGGCCGAAAACGAAAACGAAACAAGTTGGCCGATACGGCGGTGAAGATGCCACAGCGTTGATGTTGGGTAATGCCGTAAAACTTGGCCAGCAAAAGAAAAGGAAAGTCTGGCGAAAACACATCAAACGAGACACGCATAAAACACCAATAAAAAAAAATTTATAAATAAAAACGTATATAATTTAATTAACCGGCTGCAGGCTGATTTTAGAGTAGAATTTATGTTGCGTCATAATGGCCACTAAAATGTGCAAAGGGCGCCTCTGAATCGCCAATTGGCCAAGTTCAAGCAGCAAGCCACAATAATGAGTGACGCGCTTTCATTCATTAGCCCGCAAGCCAAGCTGGCCAACGAGTCGGCAACATGCAGAATGCCAGCAACATGTTGCCAGCAACACTTGCAGCATCTTCAGGCCAAAATGCTTTTGTCTTCGGCCAGGAAAAATTCAAAACCACTCGCGCTTCAGACGGTTTCGAGCGTTCAGACGGTTCGGTTGGGTTTTTGATTTTTTGGTTCAGTTGTTGTGCGCCAGCAACTTCCCAAAAAAAAAAACTACAAAAAGTACAGAAAAAAACTAAAAAAAAAGTTTAAAAAGACAACGAAGAAAAATCAAACAATCTCTGAGCCGCGAAAATTAGCTTTGTTTCATCGATCCCGGCCGGTGTGAACTGTTCGCTAATTCGAAAATAACGATTCGAAATTTGGCAATTAATCGAAAATAAAGTGCAACGAGCCGACAGCCTGCGGCGGATGAGCTGTAAACAAATCAAATGTCGATAATCCAAATACAATAAAGGAAACGTTAGCAGTTAATTCGCATTTGATTAGTTTCTGTCCCTATTATCGAATATTACAATTTGATTGCGGGCATCATCTAGAGGAGATTCCAAGGAGTCGTGTAGTGAAACAGTTTGGATTACAGCGCTATATAATCGGATATTTCCCAATAAAGAAACGCTGTCGAAATGTTTGGTGTGAGTTTTGAATATTCAATATTTTTTTTACTTCACTTTTTTTTTTCTTTCATAAACCTTCAAAAATTTTGTTAATTAGGACTATTTTTTACTAACATTTTTCTTAAAAACGAATAAAGTTCTTAAAAAACAAATCTTAAATATTTAACACCAATCAATTTCCAATTAAATGTCCTAATCGCATAGAATTACTAAAAGATCACGTTTTGCAAATTTTTCCTTGAACTACCATATAGTATAATATAGTACGATAAAACCCCCAAAAAATCCCCTCATACTCTCTTTTTTAAAAATTTTTTTGCTCCAACCCGAATAGAAATTTCACTAATTTAATTAACTCAATTAGTAAAACACAAGTCAATATTGTCGAAACACGCCCATTTTTGGCACTTTGAAAGAAACCTCAGAGTGTGGGAGTCTAGGCGAACTGACAGCAGCGATCGATCGGATAGCCCAATCATTAATATATGCATGGGATTGTTTGGTTTTTCGGCAAGACCAAATTATTGAAAGTCATTTGCCAAGTCATTTGTGTAATGGCTTTTTAATGCCATTTAATGGATCCGTCTCAGAGCTGGACACAGCCGGGGAGCTCCAATAAAACAATTTAATTAGCGACATCTGAGACGCAGTTAATTTGAAGACTGAATGACTGAATGTCAGCTACCGATCGAGTTGTTTTACGAGCGTTAATCACTCATAGTCAAAACGACCAGAAAGCCATCATTAAATTCCTCTGCTGATTAAGACCCAATACCGATAAAAAGGCACTGTGACTCTGAGACCTTAAAATGGCCATAAATGCGACCGGATGTTGATCAAAATAAGACATCTAATCGCAGGTGGTCGTTTGACTTGAATTAGATTGGTCAATAGAGAACGAGGAGGGAGGTACAAGGATTTATGTGTCTTGTGGCCCGTATGTTGACCCAGCATCGAAGTCCACACCCCAAGCATATCCGATTTCAGGTTGCGCAATCGACAGTTTATGGCCAAATTCAAATTGCCAGCCCGGGCGACCTGTTCCAGCCAGACAAAGTTGAGAGTTGGCTCCAGCCTTTGGACCTGAGCGGCGAGTTTTTGGCATCCAGCCAGCGCAGGCAGAGTCCCAGCCCAGGCAGCAAGTCATCTGTGAAGAAGCAAGATGTGTGTAGATGTCTGCCGCTGTTGACATGCAATAAAATTTCACTTTTCACCGTTGCATAATTGCAGTTTGACAATGCTTAAAATTGATTATGCTGCACTCGCACTTTTTTCGCTTTTCTGTTTGCGTTGGCAAAAAAAAATTATATATCCAAACAAAAAGCATCTTCCTTGCCGATTTCTCCAACCCAAAATTAGCCATCGGGTCATAAATCATCTACACAGTGAGTGTCAAGGGATGTGTTTTTGTTCGATTTGGTCAGAAAATTAAGCGATTAAGGATTAGATGAAAGTGCAGGGAAAAAGTTAAAACATCTCTTTATTTTATCATCAAAAGAAAGTTAAGGTGTCTAATCAAATAAACTACTATTTTATTGTAATAGTAAGACAACACATCAACTACATAATACAACAAATTGTAAAGCGCTACTATATCTCCACATCATTATCATTTCCTTAAACATTTTTTCCTTCAATGGGCCATATAATCTCTGTGTGAGTTTCAAGTATCTGAGCCATTTCAATTAATGTTTTCAAGTGCCCCGGGGTTCCGATTTTCACAGTCATTGATCAGGGAATGGTATTTGATTTACTTATCGGAACTGTTGACCCGGCGCTATTGTATCCCGCCGAACCCGTAGAAAAGTAAAAGTGCCACACACTCACTCACGATCAGCGGCGCTTCATTCACAAGATATTCAATTCATGGATCCAACAAGAAATAAATAACTAGACGCCCGCACACTGAGCTGCGAACTCATATATCGTGCCGGGAGATCTGTATCTGTATCTGATTCCAGGGTCTGCACGAAATTGTGCAATTGTCAAAAACTAACAATTTACAATTTACCATATGATAGATGGGCCACTCGGAATAGGAGAAACCCATCTGCACTTGTGCGCATAAATCAGCAGCCACCTGAGATATACATAGATATATATATATATATACATATATATGTGTGTATATAATATATATATATTTATATCAGATATCATTTATAAATGCTGAGAAGCGTAAGCAGCAAGTGCAATGATGGCTTTTAGGGGGAGTTTAGTGTCGAGTTCGTTGCCTAAGTCTTTTGTTTTGTAAACTACCTTCACGCCGAAAGGTCAACAGCAGCCTCCGATGGCAATTGTACGCTGAGTAGTAACTGGCACACGACGCTGCACACACAATGTAAGCGATTTACATAATAATATGTAACTATATGGACACTCCACAGTCCACAAAACCCAAAAACAACAAACAAAACAAAGCCTCCGTCCAGGCGCTGAGCATAAAAAAACATTTACCACTTCCACTGGGCACTGCCACCAGCCGATGATCTCTTCTCCGGCTCCATCTCCATCTTTATCATCCGGGGTCTTCCTCAAAAAAGACCTCAAAAGACCAGGGGCCCGGGCATCGATAAAAGTGAAACCGAAATTGCCGAGTACACGGCGCAATGATGCCATTGACATTGCATTTTTGTTTCAACGCGCCATTAGATGTAAAGAGCAAAACAAAAAGCAAAGAAAAAATATAAAAAAAAAATGGAAAAAGCAGCAGATTTCCCTCCAGCCCCTCCCATCTCGACTATACATATATAAATTCGAACTCCCGAGACCCAAAACACAAACAATGGGCAGACATTACGCGAACGCGCCTGCAAAAAGCCCGCAAACAGACATTATCTTAGGATGGAAAAACCTTACAGATACAGTAGGGTGTCTTTAGGTGTGTGTCTGTATCTCGGAAATTTATTGTAATATGCGCACATTGGTAATTTTGTCTTATTTTTATTATGAAATGTGCTGTGTGGCTAAATAAAAGCCGGGGAGATGGCAAAACGCGTTGGTCAATCAAATGAAGATACGGATTTTCACTCAGTTGCTAATGTTGGCGAGAGTTTGTTTGGCGTGGCAAAAAACAAATACAAAAAAAAACAAAGTAAAAATATCTAAAATTATTATGGAAACCTGTTGTAAAAGACAGCATAATATTATTATTACCAGACAGGCTGGCAAATTGAATTTGATGCCTCAACTTGAACTTGCTCATCTGCTTATCGAGCCGATCAATAAACTTGACCTCTGGCCAATCAGCCAGAGATAACCTGTGTCTCTGGGCCTTGTTATATTATATTATATGAATGCCATCGGATCTGCCGCAGCTTCGAGGGCTTACACGCAACCAAACCCAATTAAATGCACATCAATATGCAAATAACAGTCAGCAAAATGGGCCCTAATCGAAATGTAAACAGCAATGAATCCAAAAATATCCCCTGCCATATCGCATATCGCACACATATATCGCGATATCACGTTATTGGTCAATATCTGAGGGTCCAATCAATGCCAATCAAAAGCCCGCTTCCATGTCAAAACAGTCTCGGACCGATCGGCGGAGATTAGGTTAATATATCGCGCCGAAACAATGCCAGGCCCGATTTTTGAGCAGGGCGCGTCAGCCTCGACTCGATTCGAGTGTGAAATTATGTTAATTCCCGGGGACTTGCTATTTAGCCATCCACTTTCTGGTATCTGGTATCTGGCATCGAGCTGGAAAGGTGGCTTCCATAGAGCTAAGATGCCCACACACGCAATTACAGTCGTTTTTTATGGGCCTGTGGACAACAAAGCTTGGTAGCCACAAAGGCAGTTAAAAGCCCATAAAATACTGTAACAAATTTATTGAGCAAGAGAAAACAAGGGGATTGTTATTGAGACGACATAAAAAGTAGATGATCGATTAGGGCATGTCCTCTAGTTTGAAATTTGATGACTGTTTTCAGATATTATGATTTTAAAGAACTTTAGATCAAACCCACCAAGAAAACTATTTTCCCGACATCTTAAATTGCCATATCTTCGATCTATTTTGGTAACAAACACTCCATTGTTTATAAACCATAATTTGGTTATGAATGTAAGCCAATTTGTTTTTTATATTAATAGCTAATTTGGAACAGCATTGTTAACTGTCACAAGAGATATTAATCCCTTTAAGATATCGTTTGTTTGGGCGTGAACTTGACTTGCTCGTAAAATAACTGAGAAAATATTGCATTATTATTTTTATTGCATTTTATGACATTTCTCAGCCTAGTCAGGATTACAACATAACTGTGACACACATAAATATTAATGCTGGCCCACATTGAGCATAAACGGTAATTTGCACCAGCTCGCCAATTGGTGGACTGGTTGGTCTTTCGATTGGACATCGGCGGAGATTGCGTTATGCGAGAAGATGTACAACTTTCAACCAGGTTTTCGGGGCTTATCATTTGGCCACTGCCGGGCTGCTTAATAATGCGTGGCGGCTGGTAGATGCCACTGGTGGTGGGCAACCACCACCCTGATTGCATCAGGCTTGTCTGATGCAATCCAATCCTCCAGCGAGTGCGGCTAAATGCAAAATGCGGAATGCATCTGCAGAATGCGAAATATCCGAGGTGAAGCCGAGCTCAGCAGGCGTGAAATTAATCACAAAGCCAGGGGAGAGGCATACGAATATGATGTACCATTTTTTTTATTATTGTTTTTCTTATTTTTTATTGTTGTCGAGTGGAACTGGGTTACCCAGTCTTGGCGTCGAAAGTGAAGTCTTTCGGTTTGGTCAGCTCCGCGGCTTATGCAATTGCTGCGTTATTTGCTTATGATGCGGAGGGGAAAGACAAAAAGAAAACATTTTCTACCCACACACACTTTACACACAAGAAATCCAGCAATCAATGAATAATATAGACAGCTCTGGGCCATTAACCATTGGGCTATTGCTAATTTATTGGCGTTGTCCGATTGTTGTTAAATCACTTTTACACTTTGCGGCTTTTGGGGCCTCAAGCTATTTTGCGGAACTCTGCGGCCAGCGAAAATAATTATGGATAATTAAAGGAATTTTATTGAGCTGCCTTATGGCGTTTTACGCGCTTGTTAATTTCATACGTTTACAATATGAATATCTTCGTCCAATTAAAACGGAAATTGGCAGCTTCGGAAGGGATTATTATGATGAAGCGGGCTGTGAACTAGTATATTAAATAGAGAAATTTTAAACATTTTGATAGCTTTTATTTTTAGCCTTCAGTTTACTTAAAGACTTTCCCATCCACTCAACAAATAGTGATAATATTCAAGAAATATCAAAGGGAGTTTTCCTCCACGGTTTGCAACAAATATTTACAATTAAACACTTCCGTATATTGCGGATTGTATTTTCGTGTTTCCAAGTGCCAAACATTGCAGGGAAATAACCCGAAATGAAATAAATAGAAATGGGAATGGGAATGCCTACATGCGATTGAGCCAACATGCTCGGGTAGCCTTTTAATATGACTATGCCAGAGATATCCAACTACCTTGGCCTGACCATTACAATTTATGATGATTGCTATTTTTTCTCTTCACTGTTCCCTACCGGCTCCCCAACCTGGCCTCTTCACGAAATCAAAGCCGGCAAACTTGATTAGCTTAGCGCCAACTTGATGGCTTCCATACCGCGATTGATGCAAATGATCAGCAAAGTAGACAGGGCTATTGGTTTTGTGAGCTTTTGCTTCGCGAAAAATACAAACAAGTTGGAAAAGAAATGACTGCCAACTGGAATTATTTCCCATCGAAAAGGGTGGCGTGGCTCCTAATGCTTTGCCCTTTAGCAGAACTTGAACTCTGGCCTTGGCTGGGGCGGAAGAGGACTGCCAGTTAAATTGTAAAAAATAATGGTGATTTTCCCGCCAGTCTTTTTAACTCAAAAAGCATAAAAAGTCGCGTCATGTTCGATTTTATAATGACGAACATCAAAGGAAAGACCTGCTGTGGATGTTTAAAGGCAAACAAGTAGAAAGTTTTGGGGCGAAAATCTGAAGTCAAAGGTGTTGAGCAGAGTTGAAAGATTTAATCAATGCGAAAGATTGATGAACCATAGGCGGTTCAATTGAATAAAGGTTTCTATAAATCACTGGAAAAAAATTCATGAAAAGTCTATTTCTTTCGATACACAAAAACATTCAGGTTTTTTTGCTGTGCAATGGAAATATTTATGCAACATTGGCGATGCAAATCGCTGGAATCCTGGCTGCGAATCAAATGGGCTTTTCATTTCATCTGTTGCTGCTGAGCTGATTAAATAATTTCTGATACAGCCGGCCAGAAACGACTTCCCCACGATTGTACAAATTTGGCCAAAAACGAGAAACAATGCAAAGTGCCAAGTGGCAACAACGTGACTGGCACAAAAACCAAAGAAAATCCTGGGCACCCACAATGAGCGCCCAAAACCGAAACGAAACCAAATCAAAGCGGGAAACTCACGTAGTCCGAACTCTGTGCTTTAGCGACAGGTGGTCAGATGGCTTGGCTCCCAACCCCTCCAACCAGCCAACCCTCAGCCAGCATCCAAGGCTCGTTTGGGGCAACAATTAGCCTAAACTTTCGGCAACGGCCAAACAAGCGTTGCAAGGCAATTTGCAAAAAGTCTCGGCAAGCTAGAGCCACCAAACCACCAGAAATCAATCGTCAAGCTGTTGAAAATGGGAAATTGTGCAAAAGGGGCCCGAACACAGTCCATGGATTCATTCCCCTGGAAAAGTCAAGAAAACCCGAATGCCCCGATGCCATCTGAGTGGGCAGTCTGACCAGCAAAAAACCAAAAAAACTACACATAATGCGTTATGATTTTCCGTTGGTGCATATGCCGGAAAGATTACCACGCCGCGATTGGTAGGCTTGATTTGGAAAACGAAGGGGTCAGAGAGTGTTCATGCATTTTCCAGCAGATTGCACAAGTCGGCTCAAAACTGGGCTTGGTCTCTAGGAAATTCCAAAAAAATAACCAGAAACTTCAAAGCGATAATTGGGCCTGATAATTGAGAAATGCATGAGACAGATAGCAAGTGACAGGTTAATAAGAAAATTATGATTAGTCTGGAGTCTGGGTAAGATTTTCGATGGGTGCTTTTTAAAAAAAGATATATCATAAAATAAAATTTTCTATTTCCCCTTTTTTCTCCCATACTTTGTTTTTAAAAACTCTTCAAGTACGCACATTTTGTATACTAGGTTGAACATAGGTCTTAGGAAATATATAAATCATTCAGCTCTAATTGTTTATTATTACAAAAATAACTTACAAAGGTCAAATTTACGAAGCGTTCGTGAGTTTGCTTTTTACAAAACATTTTAAAGAGCTCAGCATGCTCTAAACGCCAATTAAAATCGTTAAAAATCCCCAAAAACTTTTAAAAATTCCACCTTTAAATAACACTAAAGCCCACGTCGACCAAGGCAATGGCTTGTGAAATAGTGAAGATGTCACAGACAATTAGCCAAACCGATTCAGCCCAAGGTGTCGCCAACAAACCGAGCATCAATGATCGTTAAACGAAATGAGCCATGAAACTAAGACCCCCAAAACGTGACGTTTTGAACTTATTAAGTTATTAACTTTTAAGTTCATCCATTAATATTTCCTCTTTCTTTGTTTTCTCTTCCCAAATAATAAAAACAGAGACATCTAAACGGCCTGCCCTGGGTATTGCTGGCCCTTCTACTGCTAGCGGCTTTGAGGCTTCATGTTACCAATGCTGCGGAGGAGGCGGAGGATACTGCAGCTGACAACGGCAGTACGGAGAGCAACGAGATCATACCAAGGGAGGCCATACAGAAGCTGGACTATTCGGTGCGACAGGCGCTACTCCGGGCCATTGATAAATTGGAGCAGGAGGAGGCGGCCGCTGGGGTGACAGAAAGTGGCGAGCAGAGTCCCAGCAGCAGTGGATCCAGGGCTCTCCTGCGCACGGAGACCAGCACTCTGCCATCGCATCGTGAAAAGGACGAGATTCTGGAGGAGAGCACCAACGGCGCCGAGCCGGAGGCAGTGGTGCCCACAGTTCAGTTTTATACGGCCACCTTCGATGAGAGGAATGCCCAGGAGCAGTTGCTTTCCTCCTTCATCGATCGCTCAAAGCTTTGGAAGAAGACCACGCTCCGGAAGCAGAACTCCCCCACGGCCACTTCTCCCCTAGAACCAAAGTCCGCAGAGGCAGATGGTCCGGAAAATCGCCAACTGACCAGGAGTGTGGATAGCGCGAGTTCCGGATCCGTGAGCAGCAATGAGATCTCTCACGACAGTGGCAGCCATGAAATCAAGTTCGAGATCAGCAATTTAAGGAAGCCGACCACCACAACAACGACTACCAGCACTACAACAACGACGCCAAGACCCCGCACCACCAGGCGTCGCACAACCACAACAACCACCACGACAACGACAATCACTCCGCGGCCCACGCACAACGAGGACGGAGAGAACATCGAGCTGGTGGACAAGCAGGATATCCGCATCCAGGAAGCACCGCTAGTGACCGCATTCACTGTGGATCTGGATGAGCGGGGTACGGCCCAAAAGTTCCGCCCCCTGCTCGCGGGCAATCAGCGCAGCAGCTTCGCTCCACAGCAATTGCAACAGACACATCAGCCACTCCAGCAACATGTCGGACCCACCATTACCAAACTGAATGTGTTGGAGTCTGAGCCGCCGGCCACACCACTGCCCACACAGTTTCCACCCACCAGCAGCACTACCACCACCACCCAGATTACCACCAGTACTGCAGCCAACAATGGTTTCTCCACCACGCCCGCCTTCTTGGCCAGCACTACAAATAATTTTGTTAAGGTAAGCTGAAAAATAGGAAAAGGAAAATTAAGACTTAAAGATTAAAGGCCATATTTCTAATAGCCCTAATTTGTTTTTAATTGTTTCAAGACCCAAGTCTTAAATTTTATTTATTTTTTGGTAGCAGGAGCCCAGAAGCAATATTCAGGAAGCCCCTAATGTGAACAATTATCTTATTGAACGGCAGCGGGCTTTGGAGCAGCAGATATACCAACTGAAGATACAGGCTCAAGAGCAACAGGCTCTGATCCTGCGCCAGTTGAAGCTTCTGGAGGAACAAAGCCAGAATCGTTACCAAGCCACGCCCATTGCACAACCTAGTACATTGCAACCACAGCAGCAACTGCAACAGCCACAGCAGCAACAGCAAACCCCTCCGGTCCAGCAGCAACACGGTTCGCTGGAGGCCATTCAGACGGCACTGCAACCGCCCTCAGTGGGTTACTCCATAAGACCTTCGGTGGAATTTATACCCAGCACACATACCAAAACTGTTATTTATCCCACATATCCAATTGAGCAGCAATTGCCACTGCGCGATGCCGTTTCGGGTCATAAATTCGCCCTGCAAAACAGCAACAACAATGCCAACAGCAACAACAACTATCAGAAACTGCAAGCACCAACGAATGCTGTTCAACAAATTTTCCAAAACCTGCAGCAATCGCTGCAGAAATCGAATGAAAACTTGCAGGTCCAGCCCTCGAATCAGTTCAACTTTTCACCCGCCGAGGCGTCTCAGCTTCAGGCCCTGCCCCAGCACAATTACAAGCAATTTCAACAGCAGCCCCTCCAGCAGCAACATCAGTTGCTGGTGCCCAACTATGTCAGCAATGCGATCTTCCAGCAACAACAACAGCACAGAGGACGCCAGTTCCGTCAGGAAACGGGAGTGGGAAACTTTGGACTCAACAACAACGTAGAGATCCAGCCCAGCAACTCCTTTGCCACCACAATTGTCAGCCAGCAGCCGAGTTCGAATCCCACTTTGGATAACCAGAACTTTTACAGGCAACACTTGACGCCGCAGCTCAGCAACCAGTTGCAGCAGAACGCCCAGCAATATCTGCAGCAGCAGCAGCAACAGCAGCAATTGTTGCAGCAACAGGCGAAATCTGGAGGTGAAGTCAGTCCAGGTAATGCAAACTATAAAAATAGACATTCGAGCCATTCGAGTGGCAACCAACTTAGTCAATTTAGCAGCTTAAGAAATCTTGACGAATTGAAAGTAATCAGTAAAGTTCTAGCTCTCAACCACGGGATCCCGCAGTTCGCCTCACAAAACCTGCACTTCAACGGGGCCTTTTGAGCACTTGCACCACCACCACAAGCACCATCACCACCAGCAAACCCCACACAACAGTAAAATCTAAAAAAAGATGCACCACCCAACACCCTCCGTTTCCGTTTCCGGTCCTGCTCCTGAGTCCCTACCCTGGTATAGTTATTCGAAAATCTACGCAGTTGAGTTAAGTTTTACGTACAACATCTTTGTAAATATTCATTTTATTTTAAAATATAAGACTAAAATCTAAGAAAAGTATAGAAAAAAACGGAAGAGTGCAGCTCGAGCGACCCGAAAAACGATGGAGGAGGATAAGGATTTTATGGTGAACCACTTGGCTGAAAAAGTGTTGAAATGTAATAATTATTTATTTTCTTTGTGAATAAAGCTTATATTAAAGTAAAAATCCCCTTTTGTTTTTTTACGGCGCGAAACCAAATATATTTTTTACTCCATTTAGGATATACAATATCGTATAATTTAACAGTGATCTTACAGAATGTTAACACTCTTCCATCTCTAATGTTGTTGACGTCTATCGTTATCGATCTGCGCAAATACAAAGTAAAAGCCCCCAAAACAATCCCCCGATGTAAACAAATGGCACAATTGCACAAATCAACCGCGATAATCCTATTTTCGCAAACGCAGCAATTAAGCTTGCAATGGATAAGGAAACATATATTTTTAGAATTGACAAAGCAGAGTGCTGACCAAACGATTTTGATGGAAAAGCTTGGAAAGCTTTTGTACCCTTTGATAGCGACGCATGTGTAGCAATCCATTTTTGTTAATAAACAATAGTTTAGTACTGGTGCAACCGCCGTACTAACCCCAGCGACATGTGGTCCCGCAGCAGCAGCTCCCGGCGTCAAGTAGCGACCTACGAAGATGATCCCGAGAAGGTTCTGCAGCAGGTCCAGGAGCTAAGCGACTGGCTCTCGGCCAATCCCCAGGTCAACGGGTGCAACTCTTACGAAAACCTGCATTTTTTTCTGCGAACTTCTAAATTCGATGTGGAACGAACCAAGAAAAAGTTGAAAACATTCTACCAAATGAGGGCTGAGCGCACCGAGTGGTTTGACAATCGGGATCCAAAGCTTCCAGAGATCCAGGAGTTGCTTGATCTAGGCGTATTCCTTCCAATTGGACCGGATGCGGAACAAAGGATGGTGGTGGTGATCCGAACTGCGGCTCATGATCCTAAGAAGCACTCTCAAAACAACGTATTTAAGGTGAGTCATGTTTACGTGCCCAACTCTACCTTTTGTTTTATAAAAAAATAAGAAACCAACGCCAGTTTGTTTATATACTATAAAAGTGAGGATAAAGTTCGTATTCTGTATTATATGCAGATACATACAACCAAACATACATACATATGTAGATGCCATTGAGTTTTTTAAACATATTACTCATACGCACTGTGAAACTTTTAGCGAAAAATTGTCTGTTTATATGTGATATATTTGCTCCTAATATATATATTTTTTTTCAAAAATTCTATCTCACAGACAAGTAAAATGATATTGGACCTCCTGTTAAAACTCGAGCCGGAGGTATGTGCCCGAGGCATGGTGGCCATACTAGATATGCAGGGTGTTCAGCTAGGTCATGCCCTGCAATTAAATCCAAAGCTTATCAAGCGATCGGTGGAGAGCTGGACAGCGTACCCCTGTCAGCCGAAGCTCCTGGAGTTCACAAACGCTCCAAGGCATGTCAACATATTCTTGAATACCTTCAGGTGGGCTTACTTTAAAACTAAATTTATTTAAATTTAAATTTATTTCTAATTTCAGAATTTTTATGACTCCCAAGATTCGATCTCGCTTGTTTGTTCGCCGCGAGGGAACCTCTGTGAACTGTGATCTACTCCCCAAGGATTTGGGTGGCCAGGGACCGAGCTATGAGGAGCTTGCACTCAAATGGAAACAGCTGTTGGAGGAGAATGCCGATTTTTATGTGGAGCAAGACAAATACAAAAGCAAGCTCAAGTGATTGGGGTTAGTGTGGCGACAGTGATAAGACGACGATTAGCCTAGAGATTACTTGGGCAAAAAATGCGCAAATACTCACTAAGCGCATATCGGTTGTCATGTCATAAGGAAGCAAACTACAGCAATTCCATAATACCCCAATAATCCATAGTTTTACAATTTATTCGTCACAATCAAGGTTAAATAACCTAGTTAATCTAACCCATTTTTTTTTTTTGTTTTGTTTTCGTTTTGAAATAAAGAGTGTCAATGCACGATAATTCATAATATTCTCTTTATTAGTATAAAACGTATCAAAAATGTTTATCAAGTCTACAATTATTATCAGTTATTGGGTGCTGTCGACGATCATCGCCGCCTCACATTTCTGGGGGTTTGCATTACAAAATCATTTCGTTTATTTCGCTGCACGACGCCGAGCTAAATAGCGATAGTTTAATAGTAATAAATACATACATACATACACAGAAAGAAAAACGATAAACAAGGAAAACACGCATAGTTTGTGAACGTAATAATGATTCTTGCAAGCGGGGTATGTGTGTTAGTATTAGAAGGCGTGCTGAGGCTGCTGTTCAGTTTTCTCTTTTACAAATATGTATATAAATATGATTTATATTTCTTAAATTTACGTTTTTCACATATAAAAATATAGTTGTTCCTCTTGGATCAGCATTTAGCCCGCTATATAGTTTTTCTTCTGTTTTGTTTCTGTTTTTAGTGGGGGGAACACGTGAAGCACTGAACGAAACTTAAAAGCTATAAACGATAAACGAGGAAGGGGAAGGGCGGTAACTAACTAAAGTCTGCCGAAGCGCTCCCATCACAAGTCCAACTGCATGCCAACGCCTCCCGAATCACTACCACAACCGCCACCTCCAGAGTCCACCAGCTGCAGTGATTCCTATATCTGCCTCTCATCCTTTGCCGTCAGCTTATCGATGAGTTCCTGCAGAGGGGCCAGCTCGCGGCGCTCGATCAAGTTAAACTCCTGCACGAAGAAGATAAAATGCTTAAAGGACGTATTGAGGTGGGCCTCTTCGCCCAGCGTCACCACTTCTGAGAAGTGTTGGTGGTAGATATGCGCGTAGACGCGGAAAAGACGCTTCAGTATGGTCTTGGCGGAGGAGAGAAAGTTCTTTGGGAACGGGACACCGATCTTTGAAGGGAACAAAGTCTCATCGTCCAGCTGGTCTTGCACCCAGGTCATCAGGTAGTCAATATACTTGGGGGCACTACACTTGATGGGCTTCTTCACTGTCAGGCCATCCGCCCAGTGGTATTCGTACTTGGGGCCCGCCGACATAATGCCACAGCTTTCCTCCGTGCAGAACTCTGTTATGGTTCCGTACAGCATGTTGATCTGATTGAAGAAGTCCACAGCTAAAAAAGCATTTAATAAGATTTCCAGATCCAATAGTAATAGGTATGGTTTACTTACTGTTGACAGCCACCCACTCGTTGAGATCCTCGCCATCGGGCAGGGCTACTGCATTGCGAAGATTGCCTGAGCCTAGAGTGGCGGCTGCATGCTTCATGAGATCATATTGGTGTGTGCCCTCGGGTATATTCTTTTTTGGCTTAAAGGTCTTGCTGGAACGCGAGCCGCTAGAGAGAAAGAAACGAATTAGTCTTGGCCCCAACAACCCCATTTTGTAAACGAAGTTGGGGAAGTAACCCCACCTCCGACAGGGCAATTTATAGGGAACAAAGCATCGGAGGAGGGGAGTATTCGAAGCTTTCTTTGTCCTCTGAAGAGTTGCTACTCTTTTTTTGTGGTGTTTTTGCATTGAATGGTTTTTTTTTTTGCTTTTCAATAAAGAACTTACAACAAAAAGTCCATGGCCATGCAGTTCTCCTTCGCCTTTCACCTGCTCCAAATCAAATTTCGCAGTGGAAGCTTTAGCTGAAAATTTTTCGGCGAGTACCTCACCGCTTTTCCGGGTGTCTCGGGTGTTCCTCCTCCAATAGTCACACAATTAACTTCCAATCCGAAGCAACAATGAAATTATAAAAAAAAAAAATTGCTGGAAAGGAATTTTTGCAGCAGGTTTTTAAACGAAATGGGGGACGTATAAGAATCCGATGTTTGTTGCGGTTTCGGTGACACGCTGCTACACTAACTCAACAGCTGATAAGCTCGCCTCCAGATAATGAGCAATGCAACGACGGATTTTAGTTGTTTATAAACGCAAAAATTGTTATAAATAAAAATAAAATTGCTTTCACGCAGACTCTTTCTTTCCTTCTCTGTCTTTTATCAACGTGGCCAGCCTGCATAAAATGTATCAATAGCTAAACAGGTCTTGTATCGGTATTTTGTGGAAGGGCTGCGGTATTTTCCCGTTTTCAGGTTTTGGTCACTCTAAGAGGTTTAGCACGTGGAAAAACAACGGCAGCACCGCATTTTGTGGATAAATATATATTTACTAATAAAATCGGTGCACTTTCGGCATAAATATGGTAAATATAAATGCTAAATAAATGCTCTTTATGTTATACTATATGGAAATTGTAAAAATGGAGTGTTTGTGGTGCAGAAACTAACCTAAACTGATATCAGAAAAAAGGGCCTCCAAAACATGTGCTTGCCACCACACCAAAATGATTGTTGCCCATAACTTATGTGATTTTGCCCTTCCACAGTCGAACCTCTATGTGCTCTACGAGCATGCAGCGGGATTCTCGCTCTTCTCCGTCAAAGAGTTCGAGGAGGTGTCCATGTTCCTGCCCCAAGTAGAGTCCTCCGTCACGGACATTGCCAAGTTCAACTCGATAGTGAAGCTGGCTGGATTTGCTCCCTTCAAGACCGCCATTGCCGCCCTAGAAAATATCAATGCCATCTCTGAGGGTATTGTGCCACAGGATCTGCTTACTTTCCTGGATGATTTCTTCGCCAAGCTAAAAAAGAAGAAGTGCACCCTTGGCATTGCTGATGCCAAGCTGGGAGCAGCAATCACTGAGGCCATTGGAGTACAGTGCAGTCACTTTGGTGTAGTTCCTGAAATTCTGCGAGGTGTACGCTTCCACTTTTCCAAGTTGGTCAAAGGTAGGTTGAACTGCAGTTCCAAAATAGATACCATTTCCTAATCTTTTATGGAATTCTTTCTTCTTAGGATTCACCGACCAATCTGCTGGCGTTGCTCAGTTGGGTCTGGGCCATAGCTACTCGCGTGCCAAGGTCAAGTTCAACGTCCATCGTTCCGACAACATGATTATTCAGTCTATTGCTCTGCTGGATCAGCTCGACAAAGACGTCAACACCTTTTCCATGCGCATACGCGAGTGGTACTCTTACCACTTCCCAGAACTGGTCAAAATCGTGCCCGATAACTACATGTTTGCTAAGACGGCCAAGTTCATTAAGGACCGCAAGAACCTCACCCAGGATCAGCTCGATGAGCTTGAAAAGATCGTTATGGATTCGGCCAAGGCACAAGCCATTATAGATGCGGCTAAGATGTCAATGGGAATGGATATTTCCATCGTGGATCTGATGAACATCGAGCTTTTTGCTGAGCGCGTTGTCAAGCTATCCGAGTACCGAAAGAAGTTGTCCACCTATCTGCACAACAAAATGAACTTGGTGGCGCCCAATCTGCAGTCTTTGATAGGCGACCAAGTTGGTGCCCGCCTCATCTCGCATGCCGGCAGTTTGACCAACTTGGCCAAGTACCCTGCATCCACGGTACAGATTTTGGGTGCCGAAAAGGCTCTTTTCCGTGCCCTGAAGACCCGCTCCAACACTCCCAAATATGGTTTGATCTACCACTCTTCCTTTATTGGCCGTGCCGGAATCAAAAACAAGGGACGCATTTCCCGTTTCCTGGCCAACAAGTGCTCCATTGCTTCTCGTATCGATTGCTTCCTCGAGCAGCCGACTAGCGTGTTCGGTGAGACGCTAAAACAGCAAGTGGAAGATCGCCTTAAGTTCTACGAGTCCGGTGATGTGCCGCGCAAGAATATCGAGGTCATGAAGGAGGCCATCGAGGCAGTTGGCCAGGAAGCTGCCGCTGCTGCTCAGTCTGAGAAGAAGAAAAAGAAGAAGAAGCGCGGTGCGGAAGAAGAGACCGAAACCAATGGAGCCAGCAATGGAAACGGAACGGCAGAGGCTGAAAACGGCAACGGAAACGCCGATGGAGAGCCAAAGAAGAAGAAGAAAAAGAAGAACAAAAATAAGGAAGCCGTCGAAGCGTAATTGTCGCCTGCATTCAGCGTAGTTTTAAGTTCACAATTTCGTTTTACTTTCCTAATTTGTACTTTTACCCTTTTCCAAATGGACCCAACTTTATATTCAATAAACCGTGTAGGGTATTTGTCCCGAAATATATTTGTGTTTGTTATTTGTTATTCAGAGGGTTTAAGAAACAGAAATTACCGGGCTTTTAGAACGATCTTTATCCGGAAGGTTCTTGGACCATATCTGCCGGTCAGGCTATCCAATGGCAAGTTCCTGAATAAAACGGAAGCGTTGAGGCTTGTGGCAAATATCAAAAATTTTTAGACACCTTTTAGTCAATATTTCAGCCAATTCGTATCGGATTTGGAAGAGGAATCCCTTTTATAAATCAGGGATCCTAGTAGCTTCGACCTGGACCGAAATATTGTAGAAGTTGGAAAATAAAATTTTGGGTCGATTTTTTGCCAAAATCATGATGTTACCCCTTTGAAAAATTTCGAAAATTGGGTCAGATTTTCGTCGGCCAGGTTTTGATTGAAAATGATAGTTTTCGAAGATCTAAGATCGGGAATATTTGACATTCGGCGATCGCATTATTATTGACAAAAATATAGCATTTTCCCTGAAAAAGATCCATGGACACCATGTTGACCAAGTTAAGACCATTGGGTGGCTAAAATGCGAGATTTTGAGACACCTTTTAGTCAATATTTCAGCCAATTCGTATCGGATTTCGAAAAGAAGTACCATTTACAAATCAGGGATCCTAGTAGCTTCGACCTGGACCAAAATATTGTAGATGTTGGGAAATAAAATTTTGGGTCGATTTTTGGCCAAAATCATGATGTTACCCCTTTGAAAAATTTCGAAAATTGGCTCAGATTTTCGTTGGCCAGGTTTTAATTGAAAATGATAGTTTTCGAAGATCTAAGATCGGGAATATTTGACATTCAGCGATCGCATTATTATTGACAAAAATATAGCATTTTCCCTGAAAAAGATCCATGGACACCGTGTTGACCAAGTTAAGACCATTGGGTGCCTAAAATGCGACATTTTGAGACACCTTTTAGTCAATATTTCAGCCAATTCGTATCGGATTTCGAAAAGCACTACCATTTACAAATCAGGGATCCTAGTAGCTTCGATCTGGACCGAAATATTGTAGAAGTTGAAAAATAAAATTTCGGATCGATTTTTGGCCAAAATCACGATGTTACCCCTTTGAAAAATTTCGAAAATTGGCTCAGATTTGCGTCGACAGGTTTCGATTGAAAATTATAGTTCTCGAAGATCTAAAATCGGGAATATATGACATTCGTCGATCGCATTATTGACAAAAATATAGCATTTTCCCTGAAAAAGATCCATGGACACCATGTTGACCAAGTTAAGACCCTTGGGTGGCTAAAATGCGAGATTTTGAGACACCTTTAGTCAATATTTCAGCCAATTCGTATCGGATTTCGAAAAGCACTACCATTTACAAATCAGGGATCCTAGTAGCTTCGATCTGGACCGAAATATTGTAGAAGTTGAAAAATAAAATTTCGGGTCGATTTTTGGCCAAAATCACGATGTTACCCCTTTGAAAAATTTCGAAAATTGGCTCAGATTTGCGTCGACAGGTTTCGATTGAAAATTATAGTTCTCGAAGATCTAAAATCGGGAATATATGACATTCGTCGATCGCATTATTATTGACAAAAATATAGCATTTTCCCTGAAAAAGATCCATGGACACCATGTTGACCAAGTTAAGACCATTGGGTGGCTAAAATGCGACATTTTGAGACACCTTTAAGTCAATATTTCAGACAATTCGGATCGGATTTCGAAAAGCACTACCATTTACAAATCAGGGATCCTAGTAGCTTCGACCTGGACCAAAATATTGTAGAAGTTGGAAAATAAAATTTTGGGTCGATTTTTGCCCAAAATCACGATGTTACCCCTTTGAAAAATTTCGAAAATTGGCTCAGATTTGCGGCGGCCAGGTTTCGATTGAAAATTATAGTTCTCGAAGATCTAAAATCGGGAATATATGACATTCCCCGATCGCATTATTATTGACAAAAATATTGCATTTTCCCTGAAAAAGATCCATGGACACCATGCTAACCAAGTTAGGATTATTAGGTTTTAGCCATGATTTTATAAATTTAAAATGGATATTATCGGAATTATTGATTTCAATTCTTTTATATTTCATATTTTTCACATACAATTTTTATATACAGACACATCGTAACGTTAACTATTGCTAAAATTGTTTGATTTCATTATTTGTAGTATTTTAACAATTTCAATGATGGATCGCTCAGCTGTCCGTCCGCGCGTTGTGCTAACATATATCCGTTCAGTACAACCATTATTCATTTACTCAGTATTGCGTTCGCTTGACTCAGCCGACGATGGCATCCAAGCTTCGAGTGGACAATCAGGACGGATGTGGAGTTCATGCGTGGGTGGTGGGATCCAAGAAACGGGGAGAACGGAGCCTTTTAACAATAAATTTAGCAACAAATTGCACGCTTCGCAAACTTTATACAGCAAAGGAGGGGTAGGTATACGTAAATAATAGTAGAACGATAGTTCAGCGATCGTGGAAATGTGAATGCGTGAGTGGAAATATCGGAAAGTAGATCGGAGTTGGGTTAATTAAGCTAAACAATATCATTGAAACAAATCGAATGCCGACGAGCCGTTGTTGTTATTGCTATGGTTCTGCTGCTGAGGTTGCTGCTGAAATGCTCCAAAGTTAGCAAATGCTGCCTGGTTTTGTGGAATGTTCTGCTGGGCCCCGAACACATTCGGACTAGTCATCGGGGAGAGTCCTGGGAATCCGCCAGTGGTCTGCACATTCAGAGGGTTCTTCGCCGGACTCTGGGTCTTCAAGGCATTCATCGATGGCGCTGGGCCGCCTGATTTGCCCGACTTGCTCACCAGCAGGTTGTCCAGATCGATGTTTAGATTCCCAGCCTTGAGGTTGCCCGACCAGGTGGCCCCCACATTGGTCGGTTGGACACTCGACGCAGTGGTGGCTGCTCCATTTGTGGTGTTATTATTGTTATTGTTACTGGTGACAGACATTGGCTGGAGCAGATTGTTGCTGATAGGTGGCAGCATATTGTCTGGAAAAGAAAAAGAGTAGAATTTCGTTACAAAGAGGCTATAACCTTATATATGCTTTAAAATAGAAGCTGGATGTTTAGTAGAGTGTCTGGATAATGATTGAAATTGCACTACTAGTTGGTGGTTAGTGTTCTCTACTCGGAAGCGATGTTGATCAACTCAGGCGGAGCAAATGAAGTTGTCGGGTGCAATTAGCTTTTAAACAAATAAGATCAAATATGCATCTATTGCGGTGGCTGTTTCTATTGAATGGCTAGGGTTTTGTTTGTTTACCTAATGGGTCCGCGGCTGCGGCGGCGGCACAATGCCCGGAATATTGAGAAATGCTTTTCAATTAAGTACATATTTATATATTTATATTCGAGAAATGGAATTAGATCCGATGTGTGTGTGGTTGCAATACAAATATGCAGTAGGAGAAAAACAAATGAACAGAAGAAAGAAGTTTAAATAAAATAAATCCGTATATACCTGCAATACAATGCTTTGCTTTGGCGGGCTTTAAATACATAAATTGTAATTTCATGAAATATATAAGCTATTCCAAACAATATTTTATATTATGGTATGGTAAGTACAAGGACACTGTGTCTTAAAGGAGTATGTGTATGTATATTAACGTGGGTGAAGTATTTCTAAATGAAAATATATTTTACACATCTTCTGTTCACAGATAGGCCCACCCTATATGGTTATTATCTAAGTCTAGGCAGCTTGCTCCATGGCAGCTGTATCGAATAGCTTGTAGCAGGTATCTAGGATACTTTGGGCCAGATCTCGACACTCCTCGGATGTTTCGCCGCCCATCAAGGGCGATCTTATGAAATCCTCCAACCAACGCTGCAGCTCATTGAGAGACTCTGCAAAATGGTGGCCCAACACATGGGCGGGAGTGGTGACCAGAGCAATCCCAATCAGCTGGAGCGTGGCAGCCCGGACGCGAGCCTCTGCGTTGAATCTCACGAAGGCGCACAGGTCGAAGATCTCACGGGTCATTGTCGGCAGCAGGGGACAGTTTTGAGAAGCCATGACCACCACGGAAAGAGTGTGCAGTAGGTTCACCAGCAACTGGGTATCGATGTCGTGGGCTATGTTCTCGTACTTGACGAACAGCATTTGCCTGGTACGCTGCCCCCTAACCAGGCTGAAGAAAAAGGTACCGGCCACTGGATGGAAAGGGTTGGCCCGTTCCAGCCGCTCAGTGGACGTGGGTTTGTTAAAGTATCTCTTGGTCTTGGCCTTCAAACGCTCGCGGATGATTCGCTGGGCAGCCGCCAGACGAGCTGCCGGATTCTCCTCTCCCTGTAGGCGATCAAACTTGCGCGGTTGCTTGGCTGCCGGGGGGATAATGTCTAGGGAGTCCATTGACATTTGCTCTTGTTCCTGCTTCTCATTGCCGGACGACAATTCTTTGGCCGAGGCAGCGAGCACTTGCAGGATGAGGATGCGCACGTCGGCTGCGTAGCAGGAGTTGTCCGTGTGGAACTGACGACACAGGTACTCGGCACAAGGCCCGGGATGCGAGACACAAATGGCCACACAACACTGGAACCGGGTGTCTTCAAAGTTCTCGTAATAGAACTGCATATCAAGGGTGAGGAACAGCTGCAGCAAGTCCAGCGCCAACTGCGTGTCATGCCTGGCCAGCTGGCCGCGAATTAGTTTCTCCGCCGTGCTCAAGGCCCCTTCGAAGACCTGATAGTTCTCGACCTTGGTGCGCAGCAGATGCAGTAGGTCGAGTAGAAACTTGGGACGCTGTTCCAAAGTGGTGCTTATGTCGTTGCTCATGCTGTAGGGCTTCAGATCATCGTCATCTTCATCTAATGGCTCATCATCATCCGAATCCAGCTCCATTTTGAGATTGTCTTTCTTGGAAACATCTGGTTTCTTGACAACTGCAATAATAGTGTTCTGTTTCTTCTCCTCCGAGCCGCCCATAAACTCCTGCAAGTCCAACTGCAAGAGATGAGAGTTCCTTTTACTGGGCTTTTCGTCCAATTCGGCGATACTAGGGCACTCGAACTGGGCCAAGTCGTCAAACTCTTCGAAGATGTGCCAATCAGCTGTATCCTTCAACGTTGTGTAATCAAACCGCAAACGATCTTCCTCTTTCGTTTCCGGACTAGCCATAAAGTTAAACAAAAGTTCCACAGTTTTCATGCCCACATATCGCTGCAGTGCATCAGGGGACTGCAGGTGGTGACTGAGGCCATCGTGCAGCTGGCGTTTGCTGTCCAGGCCGATGTCTAGGCCGCGACAAAGGCATTTGCCTGCAAGGACCAGGAACTTGGATATGGCCAAGTGCTCCTGGGTGCTCAGTTTCTGAAGAGAGATGCGTTTGGACCAGATTCCCAGCAGTTGATTGAACAGCACCTCCACCTGTGTTGGAGAAGTGGCATTCAGATACGTTGCTAGGGTTTTCAACTGTTTATTTTCCACAGGCGTGCGCTGAAGAGGTATCTTTTGAAGCAAGCAGTGTTTCCAATGCGGGCCCTCTAATGCTCCAGGTCCGAGAAGAAGGTAAAGGTTTAGACTCGCCGAGAGAGCCGACTGTGCTACTTTTACACAGGCAGCCGGGTCAAGATCGTTTAGGATCCTCTGAACCAATTTTCTCCCACTGGGGACGATCGCGTAGTCCTTTAGGACCTTCAGAAAGCCCTCCAAGGTTGGACCGTCGTAAAATAGATTGACGATTTGAGACAATAGCCAGGCATAAGGAGCCAAATCAAAGTACTCCTCTGCATTCTCGCACTGAACCATGAAGTGAAAGGACTTAAGCCACTGGCGAAGTAGTAGCTGCTTGTAGGGAACAGGCGAAAATATGCCTGGAAGATTGCGGCCGAGACGATTGGCCACATGGGAGGGCAGTCCAATGAGCAATTGTAGAAATCCCTTCACCTGGGCATCCAGTTCGTCCAACTTCCTCTCCGGAATGATTTTAATGGTTCTGGAATAGCGTTTCATCAAAGATCCTCGCTGGCGGGAGATGTGCAGCAACGATATGGGAACCAAACACTCATCCTGCAACATTCTTTCCAGAAAACCGCTTATTGTAGCTGGCAGTTGATCTAATTTTTTCATGAGCGTCTCAAAGGACGCCAAAATGAAACCAAAGCTGTGATCCAGTTTGAACAAGTTGAGTACTTCCAAGTCCCGCGTGGCATCTGGCCAATCCTGGCTGAAAAGATCCATCAGTTGGTTGAGCAGATCCGCAAACTCTTCGTTTGCCAGCGCAGTCCAATCGTATTTCTGCCTATCCAAGCCGAGCAACTGCTCCGGGGTGGAAAAGCCGGGCAAAGCATTCAATTCCTGTAGCTGCCGCAAAATACCAGCCACCTGGGCAGCTGCTGAGGCACTCTGCACCCGCTCCAACTCCCGCAACTTCGTCTGGGCATTGGCGAAAGCTTGTCGCACCGATTCCGGGGGCGGTGGTAGAGGTTCATCCACGAATGACACCTGCTCCTCGACTCCAGCTGGGGGAGAGAACGAGAAGAGAACGAGTGCATCCGATTGGAATATGTTGCCGTTTATGTGTGGTAGGTAGGGTGTAATTAGTCTGGGTGTGTTTCTGTGTGTGGACAAAGGGAGCTCGAGGTAGAGATTAGTGGCTCTAGTCAAGCTCGGGAGGCGCGCCTGCATGCAGCGATTCCTAAATACAGCCGAACTCTAAATTCTAGATACTCTAACCTAAGCCTAATCCTATAACCTAAGTCTATGCATTACGACACAATTGCAAACGGCAACTCACCCATTGGCATGCTTTGGTGAATGGACAGATCGCCCAGGCCCGCCAGGAGATCTGTGGCCGTGGTGGCCCCCGGCGACGTCGCGCCCGTTGAGGGAGCAGCATTGAACAAGTCGAAGGAATCGTTGGCCGGCGTGGCCGTCGTTAGAAGATTTGCATCTAGTCCCGAGCTCGACCCTGTGGTTCCCTGGAATGCTGTAAAGTCGGCAAACTCGTCGTTGCTGGCTGGGATTAGGCCCGTTGAAGGTGGTTCGGCAGTCGGTCCTCCGAACGCCGAGGCAAAGTCGCCAAAGTCTTGCTGACCAGCGTCCCCCCCACGCGGGTTAAAGTCGTCTTCGTCATCAGTGACTGGGCCGGGGTTCAGTGTCTTCTCCGATTGCTTTTGCGGCGTGGGCGAGCAGGTCTTGAACAGATCATCCAGTAGATCGTTACTATTGCTTTGCGTATTGTTGTTGGCCTTAGAGGCAGAGGCTGGTGAGCCGGCGCCCATCAGGTCTACGCTGGTGGGTGTGTCGCGGTGTGTGGGCGAGTGGATTCCGGCCGCTCCGCCTGGTGCGGGTTTCCCGAAGTTAGCCGCCGCTCCAAGATCAATCTTCTTCTGCGATGGAGCCTGCTTAGAGGTAGCCGGTGTTGGCTGTTTGGACACCGGCGAGCTGACAGCCTTTGAACGGATGTTCATGTTAAGACTCGAGGGCTTAGCTTCGGTGGCCACATCGGCGGGACTCGCTCGGTCATTGTAGCGATAATTACGTCTATAAAAGAAATGAATAAGAGACTATAGACTAAGTGGAATATTGTTTGTTTACTTACCTTGGACTGGGTGAGTCGCTGTCGGATCCTTCGCGCTCGCCATCGTAGTGAGTATCATCATCTTCATACCGATCCGCGTTGCTCTTGTCAGAATCTGTGGTTATGAAACCAAAAATGGTCTAGCTTTTCCAATAATTGTTATCTTTTACTTACACCAATTGTCTCCGCGACTGGAGCGATAGTCGCCATCGTTGTAGCCACCACCTCCACTGCCGCCACCACCACTGTAGCCGCTGTAGCCACTGCCTCGCATACCCATCGCATCGCTGCTCATGCCGATGTACTTGTCCTTGTTCTTCTTCGCCTTCTTGCGCTCCTCGCGCAGTCGATCATCATCCTGAATGAAGTCTATAAGCTCTCGTACCTTATGCCTAACATTAATACCCTGATCCTTGCCGCCCTCGTCGGTAAACGTGTAGTTCTCCAGCGAGCGCAGATCGTAGATGTGCTCCCGCGAGGATGTCACCACTCGCTCAGAGCCGTTGCGCACCAAATAGTTCAGCAGAAGCAGGCTCTATAATTGTACAATTTTAAGAGTTAGAAGAGGGTACGAGGTGCTACTGAAGGAACATACCTTGTAGGTGCGACGCCAATTGGTTTTATTGTCCTGCAGCATGCGCTTCCACAGCATGGACATCACCTCCGGGAAAGTTTCGTAGGAGAAGGTGGCGTAGGCAAGCTCTTGCATCAGAGGGCCCGTGGGGCCCCAAGGATCATCGTTGGTGGCCTCCCGCACTTTACCCTCCGTCTCCGTGTAGTTCATCACGACATTGGTGCTGTAAGGATTGAATAATTGGAGGTAGATTGTTAGTAAGTTGAAGAAGTCTCGCAAAAAAAACGTTAAAGCCAAATTAGCATCTCATAAAATATTACACTTTAGATTTTCGTAACCTAGAAGGTTAGACCTGGTTAGGCATTACATTTACTCATTGGATCGACTGCCTTTTAAAGCTGCTTTCAAGACATGTCGGCTGCTAATCAGAAATCGTAAATATCTTAAAATATACGATCTGCGACAATACAGCTTTACATTGTTTAGTCAAAGATAAATAAAAGTAAGTACCCTGACGTTGATAGGCATTCGAAACGTGATGAAATGGCGATGGCAAGAGCTCATTGTACCAACAGGGCCAGTTTCCGTTATCATTCACTGATAAGCCCCAGGAAAGAGTCTGTCCCCATTATATGAGCTTGACTTTTATCCGATTAGCCGTAAAGAGAGTGAGTACTACCCTACTAGGTGCAGCCGTAGGAAAGTAGAGCCCCGTTGGGTGGCCAAATATGGGGTGGCCGGCCCCTCCCACCCCGGGCAGGCAGTAATTAATAATTCGATGGTCGAACAGAAACATCAATTTCGCTGGAAAGTCAGGCGAGCGGACTGACTGGAAGTGTTAACACAGGTGGAATATTTTGTTATATTTGGGCAGCGGAAGCAAACAAATTGTTTTCTTGATAAAGCCTCACGCACACGTCCATAGCTATGTACACGTTCGGGGAAATGAACAGCATTTCTTGTGTATAATTATATATTTATTATTTTGCTTTAAGTTTTGAGATAAAAGTTTTTCCTTGTTCGTCAAAAAATAAGCTAAGATAAGCCATAAATTATTAAAAATAAAATGCGGAAATTCTCAAATAAGTTGTTTTACAGAATGAGCATATTTTCTCATTAAATTCAAACTTTATTACAACTCAATTTTTTTTTCCAAGTTTATAATTCATTTGTAAATAATTAAAAGTTGATTTACTAATATTTCTCCCTCAGGTGTATACACAGGCAGGTATCGGAATGTGTGTGTGTGTGCGAGAGCCCGTTCGGAATTACGAACAACCTTGAAAGCAGCAACAAAAGCGACCATAATCTAGCTCCCAAATGCATCGCATCCAAGCTAATGCCCCTCCTCCTTGAACAATCAAGGATTTACCCAGATTTTAGCACTTATATGTTATTTTAAGGGGGCGGGGCCAACGCTTTGGGGCGTGGGAGTCGCCACATTCTCTTCCATTCTTCCCCAAGAAGAGGTTGTACACACATTTGCTATCTGTGGCCCCATTATCATTTCATTACTGGTCATAACTTACACTTTGTCCGCCAATTCGCGCACTTTCCACATGCTTATGAATTTATCAACCATTTTCGGGGCAATTGAAAGCTAAGGAATTTTTCACACAATCTCGTCAAAGACCGTAGTAGCTGGAATATCCAACTCGAACTCGTTTTTGCTTGGCGTGCTGTTTTTGCTCGTCTGCTGCCGTTTTGTTACACTTTTGCATGGAAATTGCGCACTTTGTTTAACCGTCTACCAGCTGCATTCGGACCGCGCTCTCCGCCAAACAAAAATGTAAAAATTTAAACCAAAATTGTAAAACAAAATCACAGCAGCAAATTTTTTGGTGAGCTGTCGTCCTGTAGTGTTGCAAAGCGCAGAAACTGGACAGTGCTGCAAGTCGTCTTTACTTTTGGTGGCGAGCGTTGGCCAACACTAGCATCAGCTGCCGACAGTGCCGTCATCTGTGGATTCTCGTCTAATAGGAAAGTTATCCTTTTATTTAAACAATTCTAAATGAAACTCAATTGATTTTTCGAAATATATTGACTATAATGCTGGGCAAAGTATCACCCGATTGGGAAAACTACCCCCGGCTTGTTATGGGTCGTAAAAAATGTAAACAAAAAGGTTATGTAAACTTCTATGTGGTTCTTGCAGCGTGAGGAGTGACCGAAAATGTTGGGACTGCAACGATTCGCCGGCAATATGGTCCAGCAGCTATACCGCCGGACCACCTTCAACAGCAGTCTCCGGACGATGGCTACGGGTACTAGCCAGCCGGCGGATGCTGTGGAACCTGTGGAAGCCCCACGCACCCCGGCAACAGAATCGGCCCCCAAGAAGCCAAAGGGTAAACATTCCATGATCCAATTCGAAAATATAGATAAAGGAATATTCCAACTTTACTTTAAGGTCAAATGGTGGCTGCTGCCTTCGAGTCCTTGAGGAATGACAAAGATGATAAGCGAAGCCCTGCATCTAACAACATTGAAGAGCGTATTATAAACGCCAAGACAGTCAATGGCCTCTTGGCTATCACAGAAAACAATGCTGCCTTCTCCCGCAAGCATGCCCTTAAAATCGTGTCGATTCTGGCGGATTGGAGTACCATTGATCGGGTAAAGATATCCGAGTTTGAGAACGATACCAGGTTTCTACGGATCTGCCGTATGCTAGGACGCACTGTTCCAAAGAATGCGGCTTCTGGAAACGGAAATGGAAATAAGATATCCGGAGATGGCAATAGTGCAGTTAAACGGATTTCCGGCTTCCGCACGGACGATCTGAACACTGTTTTGGGCGTTGCGGGGGACGATGAGGCTGCCAAGTTAATAGCTAGTATTAGCCTGCCCCAGATGGTGAAGGTTATGAGCACGCTTGCCCAAAGAAAGCGAAGAAGTACACCATTGCTTCGCTCACTGGCCTTTAATATTAGCAGCGCCTCGGAAACCCTGGATCTAAAACAGTCGGCGGATGTTCTGTATGCCATGTCCACGCTTAATTTCCAAGACTCGGTGCTGGGCGCCAAGGTGTGTGCGGATGTCCAATCGGTGCTGCCCAAGAACGTGGAAAAGTCTGCCGTAGTGGGATCCATACTTACCAGCCTGGGCATTTTGCGCTACAGAGACTTGGGTATGTGGCACTATCTTTAAAATTATTCAAAATCTTGATAACAATTGTTTCATGTAGACATCCTGGAATCGCTGACACAGTGGATCCTTAAGAACAGTGAAATCTGCCGCCCACAGGACGTCAGCGCCTATTTCTTCACCTCTGCCTTGCTGAATTTCAAAAGTTCGCAGCTTGAAGAAGTGAGCAAAAAGCTTGTAAAATCCATTGTAAGAGAAGACTTTACAAAGCAGTCCGAGTGGTTGAGCTTCGTCTGGTCCCTCACGATGTTGGGACTGGTGGAACAAAACCATCTGGCTTCAGTTCTAAGGTTAGCTTACTGCGTCAAGCTATAAAACTATTTAATTCATAAATTTTGTTTCTTGTAGTCCCGAATTCCTTGAGAAACTAGCCAAGGATAAATCAGGAGTGACAGCGACCTCTAAAATGAGGCTACTCAACCTAAACAGTTATGCTCAGCTCTTGGCCACAGATTACAAAGGACCACTTCTGCCTGCCGATAGTCCTGCCTACGAGGTTCTCATGGCGCATCCAAAAGCGAAGCAGGTTCTTGTCAATGGCATGCTGGATGCTCTTAAAAGTCTACTGCCGTCCACCAATCATGTACAGACGGCGGTGGATAGCAAAATGGGTTTCCTAATAGGTAAGAAAATGTATTCAATAGTTATAATTCAAAGACTATAACTAATTTTCTCGTAGATGCAATTTGTCAGTTTGATGCGAATAAGAATCCGCTGCCCCTGGACAAGGAAAACCCCAAAGCCATTAGGTATCCTATTCAAAGAATCTTTTTGGATTTTGGTTACTTACTTTGGTATATTTTAGGGTGGCCTTGATGGTGATCGACTTCCATGACATTTGCCACGGAACGCATCGAAGTGCCAGCGGCGTTACGAATCTGACGTTCGATCTCCTCGAGAAGAGCGGCTATAATGTTATACCCGTGCCCTACAATGAGTTTAGCACCAGTGACAAGTTACTGAAGCGTGTTCAGTATTTGGAGGCGAAGTTTAAGGCACTTGGACCGAGTAGCAAATAATTGAAGTTGTAGCTTTTATAATTTTCCTTGTAATGTTTGATCAAGATTGGAATTGTTTAAATTTTGTAAATGTAAACTTAGGCGATGAATTATTACATGCTAAACCAAAATGAGTTGATACTATGAGACGGTTGTTAAGGCATTGAAGAGTTATTATGATTTATACGGCGTCAAGATTGCTGCTGCGTTGGTGGTTCATTCCGACCTTCCACCACTGCCCGGTTTCCTGGAATTCGACGGCCACGGCTGCTAGAGTGTGGAACAGGCTGCGTGCGAGCATGTGCAGATTGCCTACATGAAGTACAAACTTTGGATCGTACACCTTTGCGATATCATCGATCTTGTAGTGATCCCGGGTCTCCCGCTCCGTCAAGCAAATGCAGTTCCACGGGGCCCAGTCATCGCTCTTGATCCATCGCGGTAATCTATACGAGTTACCTCATAAAAGGGTCATCCAATGTACTATTTTTTAGAAACTTACCGTAGCTCACTAAGATTCTCCGACTTGCTGAGTGCCGAGTGTCCATGCCAGATTTTATCAATGATGTGACGGACATCATCTGATTGCATCACGAAAGCAAAGGATGTGGTGCACTTGCGTTTGCGCTCGTCGCGATGGATACATCTAAGAATCGATTGGTAAACTGTGTTCTCCGTGGCAGTGAGCTGAATAATAATAAATATAATTTAGTTTTAAATTGGGTTCGGATTTTAAAAGAAACCTTGAGGTAATAGCAGTGCTTGCAGGTATCCACATGACTCTGACGGGTGCGAATGGCAAACTCCGCAAAGGTCTTAACCTTCTTGCAAACGATGCACATGCGTGAGGGAGTTCCTGAAAAGGTCCGAAATCTTAATATGTTTCAGACCGAACTTCAAACCTAAACTTACGATTCTTTGGCGGTCCCTTTGTGAACTTGATCAGGTCAAAGAAGAGAATAGCCTGACGCTTGCGCAAAATTTCCACATCGGAGGACGTCGTGTAGAGTAACAGATTCTTCTCACGATCGAAGAGGTCGAAAAGCTCGGGAAAGTTCGGATAACAAGCCTCATCTGCGATAACCGTCATGACTTGACGGAGGAGCTCAAGGCGTTCATGCTTTTTTCGCGGCTTCTTCAGATCCTTGTAGATCTCGGTTAGGAAACGCACCCGTTGTGTGCTCAACAAATCCATGTGAATCTTGCAATCCTTGTAGCCGATCCATTCGATAGGCTTACCCATCTCCTTGAGCAGCTGTTCGTTGCGGAAGTCCTCCATGGCCTTGAAGACTAGGTCGCGCTGGCGCTCCACTCCATTTAAAAGTTGGATCTCTTTGTCCAGCAGGATGTTCACCTCAGCAATGCGGGCAGGACCTTCGTAGTTGGCCGTTATCCTTTTAAGTTCTGCTTTTTTCCAGCGCCCAACTTCGGCAAAAAGAAGGTCAAAGTCGTCCTTGGTTTTGGGAAACTGTTTCAGAACTGCATTTCGCTCCACTCGCTCCTCCACGCACTTTTCGTATCGCTTGTCCTCTTGCTCACGATTATCGACCAGGAGCCTGATTTTAAAGGATGTTTTCATCAATTGTTAGATAATCAAATATTTCTTCTCACCGATATTCCTTAGCCCTCAAGCGGATGTACTTCCAGAGGATCCAGCGCCGCCAATTACGCTGAATGAGTAGAACCTTCTCCAGCTTCCGCTCGGCCCGTTGCTTCTGGGCGAAAGTCTGGTACTTTCCAGGGATTATAGTGAAGTCATTGGCTGCGGACACATACAGGACATTGACGCCATCTAGAAAGCATTGCACTGATTGCTCATGGGCAGTATTCTGGAGAGGATTTAGATTTGTAAAGTGAACTGAAGTGCTTTATGCATCACTTACCAGAGTCTTTTCCTTGTGCTCCCAAGTCTGCGTGTCTCTGGACTTGTATTTCCTGAACTTCATCTTGTCGAAATAGGGACCCGTTTGGGTGAAGGCATCCAGGTACTCCTTTCCACTGATTTTGTCCCTGTAGCCGCACAAAAAGGGTTTCACAATCGCCGCATTTTCTATTTCCACCACCACGGTTTTGGCCTGGCCATCCTCGGTGTCGTCGGCGGAAATGTGAACTGTGATGAAGTCTGCCAGGCGGTGTTTGCTGCAAAGGATTATATATTTTTGCAAAGCATTATATACTATTGTTTATTTGGCTCACTCGTAGTAAACATCCAAGTCCAATTTGGGCATTGAGGAGTCACTGTCGTGTTTCTGGTTGGACCGCAGCTCCATCTGAAATTCGTGGATACCGAACTCATCTAAGGCGGTGGAGTTCAGTGGGAGGGAGTCGCACAGAACCCGACCATCCTGGCGCAGCATTAACAATGATGGATCTACTTCAAACTTGCGGGCCATGTCCTGCTTGATCTCCGAGAGAGTCATGCAATTCGGATACACCTGGGCCACTATGTCCGCCTCAGAGATGCGGAACTTGACCGTCACATTCTCCAGCTCTACAATGCACTCGTCCGATTGGAATTCATCAGATTCGGTCCGAGAGTCCAATGGAGGCGGGCAGCCGGGATCCAGCCTCGGCTGCTCGCTGGGATCCACGTTTAGCTGTACATTCGCCACGAACGTTGGGGGTCGCTCCTCGACGCTCATCTTGCCACACAAAATATATTCGTCAGTAAAAGAGTAATTGTTTGAAGACTAGTTACGTTAATTCAAAATTGGAGCTCTTCACTGCCTGCTGGGATGTTTTTTATTGATTCAAAAAGGGCCATAGCCCATGGGCGGCGGTACGTGGCCACAGAATTTGTTCAATAACCTTGCGGCCGCTGCTAGGCGCCCTGTTGTGGCAACAACGCTTTGTAGGCCAAAAAGCCGTTCTGGCCCTTAATTTATCGGGGTGGAGGCAGGGGAGCTTAGAGCGTGCGAACCATCATTAGTTGGCTTAAAAAACGTATTTGATGTAAAATCTCAATAAGAAATTATTGTTACATTTTCATCATTTCACGAATCTAGAGTGGAAATATTTTAGCAAAAATTTTATAAAATGTAATGCCTCAATTTTCAGGTTAATAGTTCGAGGCTATAGTTAGATAAGAAGAAGTTCTACTGTCTTTTAATTTTCTCACGCACTCGCATTGGATTTCCACAAGTGAAAGCCCCACATCATCTAATGAGCTCCAATATTCGCATTCGCATACCAACACCAGATTTCAAACTGGCCCAAATTCAGCATCTGGCTAGTTCGGTTCAATCAGCCACATTTCATCGGCTTATTATTTATTATTATCGATTGCACAACGCCAAAACATTTAGCATGCGAATAGACAACGGTGACAGTAATTACTTTTACTAAATGGATTGGAAAGATGGCCGGGCCACACGTGAAGATGATTCGGAGCTGCTGGCGAACGGAGCTACCGATGCGGAAGCTGACTTAATCATGATGGTTAACTATTATATCACGATCCATACAACTATCATCAAACATAATGGGCCCCCTCTCCGCATCTATTTCGCTGGATTTTGACCCAATTCGGGGGTTTTGTCAATTCGGCTCATAGGAAACGCGATCCGCTTGAAAGGTTTTTGGCCATTTCCCTTTTGGGCGGGGTCTTTTCAAAGAAGCTTATCCCCAATCGAATCAAAACACTACTGGGTTTCCAATTTTTTTGTTTGTTATTATTATTTTTTGCTAACTAATCTTATAGGTATTAATAAATAATATTTTTATTATAATAAAAGTTTGACTTTAGGTTTTCGGCCGTCAGCTTGGATTTCGCATCGGCATGGGCCACCTGCAGTCGGTAAGGACGACCATTGAAGTAGTAGTCCTTGTGGTGCTGCACCCTCAGAACTTTGCTGGGGTTCTGATTCCGGTGGTCCAGCTTAGGCCGCGATGTCGTGGGTCGGACGGTTGTCGTCTTTTTCTGGACCTCCTGAGTGGCCGGAAGGATGGGATTGATCTTCATGGGCTGGTAGTCCAGACCGATGCCGGGTATGTGGCGGAAGGGCAGTGGAGGTACGGGAATGTAATAGATTTTCGAATCCTTTTTCGTTTTTTTCGTCTTACTGCCATTTTTGTTGTATTTGCGGAGGTTCAGCGGCTTTGAAGTCACAACATAGTCCATGTATACGTTCTCCAGAGAGGGTGACTGGACCACAATGCGGTTTGGCAGTCGCGTAGGTGATGCCTCTGATCGCGGACCGTAGGAATAGGGTCGGGCTGTGACCAAATGGGCCAGGATGAGCACAGTTACCAATGGCAGCAAGGGTGACATTCTGAAAAAGGGGAACAATTTTATATTTTTTTTATTTATATGTAAAATAATATAGAGTTCTAAACCAACTTCTTGATTTGTTAGTTTTGTATTAGTGAAATATAAAGCATGGATTATAATAAAAGGCTTACTTCAATAAAAACAAAGCTTTATCTTTATAAATAGCACCATTTTGATTTATGCCACAAGCTTCGTCTAAATAAATTTGTTAGGTAGCGCTTAGCCTAATGTATACGAATAATTTTTGCATATTATCTTAGTTTAGAAATCTTAAATTTTGCAATTTGAATAAATAATTTTTGGCTTAAGTTCTTATACTAAACCTAAGCTAGCCTAATGATTATTGTTTTGTTTATCATTGATTGACTTTGTTTTTGTTTTGTTCTTTTAAAACTAAAATAGCTTTCCTTTAAGAATAATAATAAGGCTTCAAGAAAAAATTTTTTTTATTGTATTTTACTGGCTCATGAGACAACAATCACCGGCTCCAAAATATATAAGAATTTTATTGATTGGCAGTTTGGAATGCTCTTTGAAATCTAAAAATTATCCATGCCTTGCAGTGGCAAACAAAAATAAGGCAATGTGAGAGGCAATATCGGGTGTCAAGGTAAGAAAGAGGCATCGAAAGTGCTGAGTGCCGCCACCACCCACGCCCCACTCGACGGGAGTGGCGATTGTTCAAGGCTGTGATCGATGGGGTGGCAACCGAAGTGGCCAACTCGATCGCTCGCATTTATAATAATTATAATAGCCAGTGCGATTTTCTGCAAGTCACATGCCAAAGCCGAATAATTTAATAACAAATAAATTTTGTCTGTGCGCATCAAAGCGCAAAATGTTTCGCCTTTACATTGTAAAGTTTCTCACGTTCTCCACAGCCACACAGCAAACACCACACACGCCACACATCACACACACATGCCAGCCAGTAGACACTCTCACACCAGGTTTGAGATAATTTTCGTTTCGATTTGATTTAAATGAAAGCATTTAATGCACGCTAATCAAAGCGACGCCGACAGCGATGCCAACTGCGACGCTGGCAGAGCAATTACGCTAATGAGCGCGTCGAGCGCCATCTGGCGGCGGAGATTTCAACGCTTCAGTGATTAATGAGCCAGTAAAAACAAATTGATCGCCATCGCGCAGCCGCAAAGGCCGAAAAAACCAAGCCAACACCGACACGATTTTTGGGGCTAACTAGGGGCGTTGCGGTACCGACCCCCGCCTCAACAGGTTGTCCGCGATATGCAAATCAGTCGAACATATATTTTTTGTTCCGATATAGACATTTGTCTACGGATAATTCTAGTGTCTGGCTGAATTCCCTCAAGCACTATGTTAGGTGGCGCCCTCTTTTTTTTAACCCTTCGTGTTTTATTTTTTGGAATTTTTGAAAATTTTTGCTTTTAAGTTTATTGACTTTTGAGAGGGGCTGCTAAAAATCAAGAAAATAATTCAATTTGAATTTTTCTAATAGGATATAAATACAATTATATCCTTTACATTTTTTATTTAATTTTTTTCAGATTCTATAAAATTCCTTATTTCTTTCTCATTTAATATCAGATTTGTCAAACTTTGGTGCTAAGCCAAAAAAAAGACAAATGACAGAAATTTGCTTTGTTTTCCCGCATGATATATGATCTTTGGAATTCAAGTGATAATGGAACAAAAAGCGGAATTTAAGAAATATTTTTATTTAAGACCACACACAGTCGCTTAAAAGTTCATTACAATTTAATTGTTTTTATTTTTGGGCCCACAAAAAATGCCTAATGGATTTCACACACTTGAAAGTCTTAATTTGTCCACTGGCTGACTTCAATTATCTTAGGCAGTCGTATTTGGCGGTTATATTAACATTATTGCCAAGGCCATTTTCAGGTTTTCTTAGTTAAAGCCTATCCTCGGATATGATTAATCATATCACGCTCCTCTCCGGCAAGTGAACAACGAAAAACGAAAGACTTAGGCAACGAACTCGCAGCGGACGGGGCGGTAATTATTAACTTATTAATAAACGGACGCCCGTCGGCCGTCAAATGCAAATAATTAAACACTGCAAATGGACAAGCGACTTTATTCTAATCGCACTCACTTTAAATGGCTGTAACTGCAGCTGCCGGTTGGATCAGTTGATTGCAAAAGTTTCTTTAATTAATTTTTGTTAATTTATTGCTCAAGTGTCCTTCTACCGAAGATGATTGTTGCGTTTTGTTTTTAGTCTTAGTCTTTAGAAGTCGTTATGTACTTGAATAAATTGTGGAAATTAATTTATGCGTAATGGCAGGCGCACGTTTTCTAACGTTTTTTCACTTGAGTAGCTGTTTTTAGTTTTTTTTCCGCGTCCGTGTTAGAAGTTTTCCGCACTGCTTTGCCGACTTTTTGTGCTTTTTTTTTTTTCGTAAGCTTGAGCGCGACGTTGTGAACGCCTCGGCGTGCGGCAAATAAATGAGATCTGCGGACTGTTTGTAATTTGTTTTTTCTCTTCTTTCTTCTTAAATCAAAAATCAGTCGGCCGGCGTCGCTGCTTCAGCTGCTGCTGCGGCTTCTGTTGCTGCTTTCGTCATCAGCGGCAACTGGAAGTGCGAGCGTTCACTTGCCGGAGTTGGGATTTATTGTTGTGTGAGGTCCAAAACCCAGACGATGAAGACGCCGATGCGCCAACTGGTCGGATGCTGGACGGACGATGATGAGCGGGCCATAAATTAGCCAGTTTATTGTTTGTCCACTTACTGTTACAGTTGGCAATTGCACTTTGTGGGATTTGCCTTACCTGCTCCGCATTTTGCCATTTGCTAAACAAATTCATCAGTTTTGCATTTCTAGGGGAGTCGAGACTCACGTCCAGAGTTTCTGGATCAGAGCTGCAGAACGGCCGGAAATCCAACACCACTTGACCAGTCAGTCAGCTTTCGATTGGATTACACCTCGTCGGGCAATCCGCCAGCTGCCTTAACACTTTGTCCAAGAAGTGATATATTTATTTGCGAATCTGCCGGAAGACTGCTCTTCCCGGCAATTAAAGTCTTATTATTTGATAATTTGAATTAAAATAAATAGTTTGCTAGATATAAACATTTGTATAATAAAATGCATTTTCCGCCAATGATACGGCAATTGTAATAAATTTTTATTATGTTTTCTTTCGAAGTCAAATAAACAAATAATTAAAATGGAAATGATAAATAGATACGGTTACCTTAGGGTTAAGGTACTTCTTTTTGAGTCTACCCTCGGAAGAAGGTCTGCAAAGGGTTAGGGGATCTGAGAAATGGGGTCTAGAGTCTGGGCTGTCAGGCTCCTTTGTCTCTCCCATGTTGTGCACAAATTAGTTACAAATGAACCTACGACAACAAAAGCCGTTGGCGGTAACACGAAGCCTCCATTGAGGTAGGCTCTGGGCTTCTGTTCTCCTCGCTTCTGAGGTGTTCTATGCAAGTATGCCTTTTTAGTTTGGCTTATTGACAGGCCACCAGGCCGGCAGCACTTCATCCCAGCCGGAGACAGTGCGTGTGGCGCTTGAAGGGATCTTGATTTTTGCCCTCATCATAATTTAATTGGAATGGTGTTTGTAGGAACTCCTTTAAACACCTTTGCGTGAGCTGTTGACGCTGATTGGCTGGGAGTCTGGGAGGGCTGGTAGTCAGAAGGAGAGATCTTCCTCTGATCTACCTCTGACCCAATGGACCAAAAAGCGCAGCCGTAAATCTGCCCAAATGGTCATAATTTATGGCGAAATTTGGGCAAATCTGCTTTAATTAAATCGCTTCCCTTCGCAGCACCGTTTTATGGCCTGTTAATTAAAACAAGTAAAAGCAACTAACAATGAGGGATTATATAAAGGCATTTCCACTCCATACCACAACTTTCCCAGGGCCCAGCCGCACATATGGGTGTCTTTCACCATTTCCAGACCACAGAGACTCTCTAAACTTGGCTCCCAAAAACCCAAGCCATCCAAACCGAAAACTAAACAAATGACATAACCGCAAATACTTGAAACTAATGATAGTGCTAGTACCTATCCGGGGCCTGGCTAACTAACTTCTGGGCTGGCTGTAAAGACCCTTTTAAATATTAATTAGCCGTGGCAGCAAAACTGTTGGCAATTAGACCTACGAAGTGTGTGTTGAAGTGCGTAAGCTCTCGCATGGCCCATGCCAAATGGCGTTGTATCTGACAGATACACGTTCTCACAGATCGCTGCCGGCACGCATCTGCATCTGCAATAGCTCCTGATGGTGCACCAGAACAGAAACGAGCAGTCGGAGCGGATCAGTAATTGTTAACGATTAGACAACACAAATCACGAACAAGCTGCAAACGCCAGGCGCTCCTGTATCTGTATCTGTGCGATACTAGCGGTGTATCTGCAAGGTGTTTCTGTGCATCTATGTATCTCATTTGGAGCGTCGTGTGTGAACCGAGTTTTAGGCATTATTAAGAGTAATATGTTTAATTCTGACGGAAGCAATGCGGATAGATGGCCCGGGCACGGGCCCCGGACCTCGCCAAACCCATCAGCAGTCTCAGTTCCAGTCTTGGCTGGATGGTATGCTTCGGGTCTAGACCCGGGCCCCCTCCTACCTTTGGGCCTGAATGACAGGCACACACACTCATGGAACTGCTCGCGTGTTTGGCTACTGAATTTTTAAGCATTCGCCAGCACGCCGTCTGTTTGGGGCAGGTGGAAGGGGTCTACCGTGGATTCAAAGGGGTCTAAGGGGGTCTTAGGGATCATTTACATTGGCAACGTTTTAATTAGCCGCTTATAAAGATACACAGAGCCGCAGATCCATTTAGATGAATGGCGGGAACACCCACCGCCACTACGTCACAGCTAAGAGGGGACTAATCAGTCGGCTTAAATCGCAAACGATTATATATGGGCCAATTATAGCGAATCTTTTATTGTCGATAAATTCGCAAGTTCGTTAAACCCGCGTACGGCCCATAAAAACTGACTCACTGGCTCCGTACTTTGGTTTGTTTTTAGCATTAAGCCAGGGGAGATAAACTCGGATTTTGGTGCGATCTCGAAAGATGCGATGCCTTTGGAATAATGTTGTTGCTTATGCAATGCCACCGATGCCAATCATGTCGATTAGCCATTTCTGGGATATACGTTGAGCTCCTCGAATGGGGGTCAGGCTGCCTCCACGTCTGAGCACTTTCATCGAAAGTCAAATATTTGTGGAGCGCACACAAAAAGAAAAGTGTAACGAAAGGAAAAGACAAGTCAAGTCAACCAGCCACTTGCCACTGCCCGGCCGCAAAATTCAATATTTGCTCATCCGTTCCAAAACGTTTAGTGAATTTTTCGCGGGATTTGTGAAAGTCCCCGGGGGCATGGAGCATGGAGCAGGGAGCACGGTGCAGGTTCAAAATGGGCGTTGCGATGGTCACTGGAGCTTGGCCTCCGTCGAATGGGGGCGATTGGCTGTGAATTGGCCATGGATTGCCATCAAAGTCAAGACTGTTGGCTACCTATTGGAGTCTATTGAGTCATAACCGGGTGCTCGAGTGGTTTCGGGGAAAGAGCTCTCGAGGTTGTCTACAATAGAATGTGAGATTGAGGGAGTGAGATGATGAAGGGGAAGCCCCTTAAAAAAACTTAAAGAGTTTCAAATTATTAAATACAAATTAAGATTAGCTTTTTATTAAAAAACAAATGATTTATAATCGTCATAAAGTTGATCCGCTTTCCAAAAATCATGCACAATCAGAGCACACGATAGATGGATAAAAAGATATACAATCCATGAGATACATAGATCGCTAATGATGACTTTATGGCCTTTTTCAGTGGCTGGAAAGATTTTAACACGTCGTCGTCCGTCGAATGGCGCAAAAATTCTTTACCGATTTTCCTTTGCGATCATTAATGATCGAGAAGTACGTTTTTCGTAATTGAAAACCAGTTGGCCAGTAGTCGGCCAGTAAAATGGAAAAGCAGATGAAAACCCCCCAACCGAATGTTGGGGAAAATATAACAGAAAATGCCCATGGATGTGTGTATTGTAATTGCGTTAAATGCATTAATTAGCCGGCAGGTGGACGAAGAAAGAAATCATTGGAAACTACGTTAATTACACGGCGGCTTATATTGTTTTGGACTCGCACCGGGCTGGCTCGGTTGGCAAAAGCCAACTATTACTTCAATTGGAATTTAATTTCGTGAGTGGGCATTGTTCGCAATACTATACTAAACTAGCAAAATGGAATTTGCCATTTTTAAACGCCTATGGCCACGGGTTGGCGAATTTCATTCGACCCAGGGTCGATTTCAACCAGCCGACCTTGAGCGGCCAAACAGCCGGGCCATTAAATGTCTCGAAAGGCACACTTTGGGATGACTTCTGGTCGGGTTCGGAGTCAATAAACCTCTCTTGATCTGCGTTCTCCGTTCTCGGTTCTCGGTTCTGGGGAATTCATCCGGCCGAGATGGGCTGGTGCGTCTGGGCCATATTCCAGCATCCTCCACACGGGATAGCTTATCAGAAGGCCAAAATCATCCAGTGCTTACGCCAGCATCATCGGCGACACTTAAGCCGTTATCAATGTATCTATTTTCATTGCGTTTTTAATGCCAAGGCCGTAAAACGTTAATTTCAATCGAAATGCGATAAGCATCTCGCTTTTCAGAGCATTGTGTCGGCTTTAATGGTCCTCCGTGTTTAAAAGTTTATTTTTGGACTTCGGTAGCAAAAGAACTAACTAAACGTTGGGAAAAAATAAATAAAAACTATAAGTAATGGGAGCAAAAAGTAAACCGACGAGGATGGGATTCGAACCCACGCGTGCAGAGCACATTGGATTAGCAGTCCAACGCCTTAACCTCTCGGCCACCTCGTCATATGCGACCTTGGTATCCAGATGCTTCTTTAGTGACCCACTTGCTCATTTGCGAAATATTTTTGCAAAAGTTCTTAATAAAGAAAAACTCATCTAGTATTTACGACTATAGATGCTTTTATATTCAATTATTTATTTTATTTATTACGTCGACCCAATAGCGCATTTAACAGCAGAACAAATCATTTAACAGAGCTTTAACACGAACACAATGTTCTAATTAACAGAGTACACTGCTTACAGTCGATAACACAGTTCCATTCCCGCCACTAATGACTAGTGCGCACATGGACCTACCCTCGTCACTGGACGAGGTGGCCGAGTGGTTAAGGCGTTGGACTGCTAATCCAATGTGCTCTGCACGCGTGGGTTCGAATCCCATCCTCGTCGACTAAATTTTTTGATAATTTTTAAGTTTTTTTTGTATTATTTTTTAGGTTTATATTTCTAGTTAATTTTAGGTTTATTGTAGATCAAGTTACCAGATTTGATTTCCAAATTTAAGAATTGAATTTCATATTTTATGATTATATAACATAATTTCTTAAGTTTTAAATTCAAAAAATGTTTCGAAAAGGATTATTTTTATATGACGAGGTGGCCGAGAGGTTAAGGCGTTGGACTGCTAATCCAATGTGCTCTGCACGCGTGGGTTCGAATCCCATCCTCGTCGAGAATCTCTTTTTTGTTAAAATTTATTACGTTGCAAGGATATATTCACATTAACCCTCGAGTCTAAAACTCAAATAAAAAAAAAACTTTTTATATTTTCTGAAAATTAATTTTTTGTCTGTATTGTCATAAAACTAAAGTGACCATTAAATATTTTTGATATTTATTCTATCCCTTATAAATAAAAAATAACGAAATAAAAAATAAGGGTTCGACGAGGATGGGATTCGAACCCACGCGTGCAGAGCACATTGGATTAGCAGTCCAACGCCTTAACCTCTCGGCCACCTCGTCTCTTGGTTCTGGCCTCAAACAAAACTAAACTTCCAATGAAACAAACGCATCCCCAAGTTCTTATCAACAGAACCAATGATAACCGCAAATGAAATCAAGTACTCGAACTATTTTTATAGTATATTGTTCGATGTCTCGGCCAAACACTGTCCGGAAGCCTTTGTTTGGTTTATTTTGGCAGACTCTCCATTAATTGTGTCAATTGTTGGAAATAATTGCAATAAAAGCTTAAATTGTTTATTTATTTGCGATTAAAGAAAGCCGAGTACCGCACGTGTGGGGGCTACGTCTTAAGTGAAGCTTAAGGTTTTGGAAGATGTTATATGATGGGTATTAGAGACTGCGAATACCTGGGATTCTTCCGAGAGATACCTGGGAGCCTCCTTAGAGAAAGACAATGAACTTTTACAGGGTACTTGCTTCGAGATAGGCTCTTCTTATTATTTGCCAAATAATTTGTTTGTCTAGCCCGTCTGGAGGGGTTTTCGTAAATTCAGATTCTCGACCGGCGGTCGGTCGTGCCGCTTCTGACCCACTTCTCTGGTGATCTTATGTCTTGAGTCTTCTGGCTACTGGCTACTGGCTACTGGCTTCGATTTCTTTTTATATCTCCTCTGGTTCGGTGTAAAAAACAAAAGTGGTTTACTTTAGATGGGCCATGCTCGAGTGAGTGTGTCGGTAGATGCTGATGATGATGATTTAATACGAGAACAAACACAAATACTAGATACTAGATGGAGTCGGAGAGCTACGGCCTTTTAAATGGCAATTGGCCAACAGCATCATTTTGTTTGGGCCATGTTTGTGTCCAGGCTGTCAGTTGGTGTTAATGAACCCTTGTAGTCGCAGCCTGATAGCTGTTAGTTGTTTACGTTCCGAATGCCGATACTACGATACCACTAGCAATCCTACATTTAAAAGAACTACGAGTTTACACAGTAAAAAAATGAGATATTTAAAATTATTAATAACTATATGTATATGTTAGTTTAGATTTTCCCAAAAACCCTTTACTAATATTTGAAAAAAAGAAAAACGTATTACATCATTATTTTTGTGAACCCTTTTTTCTCTTTGTGTATCGACTGCATCGTCACCTAACGTGGCTTCGTTAGGAAAGTGGCCAAGTTTGATGATCCGCAGGCACGCGCGTTTTATATTTAGCCCCACACCATGGTCCATGGCGACTCCTTCCGCGGGGCAAGTCACGTGCACAAGGACATTCCAAGGCTAATTACGTGTGGCATGGCCGGGGCTTGGCCAAGTTGGGCTTGGTTTGGCCAACACACTCTAACACACATACACGTATAGCACGAACCGTTCATTATTGTCGTCGCCGCTTGTTGGAAGTATGTAGTTGCTGCAGCCGCAATCTGCGGCATGTATCTGTATCTTTTGCATCTGCGTGGATGTCGCTAAAGTTGCTGATGCTGCTGCTGCTGCTGCTGCTACTGATGTTGCAGTTGCAACCGTCGCTTAATTAGCTGCGTAATTTATTATTGCTCTAATCTCAACGCCGGCGCCAACGCCACTGGCTTTGACAAATAAACAAATTATTCATATTAGAATTATTAATAATGCCCTGAAGCTCTGGGAGCAGGGCCAGTTGGTGTATCAGATCGTCTTGATTCCGGAATATCAACATAATTATAAAGCCCAACAGGGGAGTAGGCAGTGAGGAGCTAGTAGCTTCTGGCCAGGGCACAATAAAGATGCACTCACTCTAAATATGAAGCTATGCACACCGATGCAATCGCACACAATTATGCCCAATTATGCAACTGGGAAGAGATACAGATACTTCAGCGGAGAAGAAAATGCGAGAGAGTGGAATCCAGAAGGAGGTGCATGTGCTACCAGGTGCTTGTATAGCGATAGCCGGATGGATATCATTGACTAATGAGCCCATCTCCAATCTGCAGCTCGAGATTCTTTTCGCCCCGTCATAAAAATTAAAATGCATAATCGCGGGCGTTGCTCGCAGAGGGCGCTTGTTACTTTACCTATAAGGTCCGCTCGACTCCAAAGGGTAATTAACATTGCTCGCAATTTCTGAAGCTTTTTTGTGGCGTTTTGTGGCGTTTCTAGCAAAATGTTGCAATTGCATGTGCATGCCGGCAATGTGATCTTGCCACTTGCAGCTGCAGATTCTGCTTCCCGGCCCGGGAACGCTAAGGTCCGGGCTAATTAAGCTGGCGTTTAAGCCGCCAGCAATTAGCCGATTTATCACTTGCCACAGAACCTCAAAATCATGGCTGAGAACAGCTACAAGCCAGAGCTTTGTGCAAACAAACCAAAAGACAGTTCAGAATCGCACTTGACTCATGCGCATGCACACCTTCACGGGCAGCGACGCCAGCTTCTACGCCAGCGCCGACTGAGGAGCGCGCGCGCATGCGCAGATTCTTCTCTGGCCATATAAAAAGCCCAGATTCTGGCCGCGATCGCACTTCCAGTTGAACGCCTCTGCAAGCAGGGGCCCTTAAGATAATTTCGAAATTCCAAAAGGACTTAATAGCTTAATAGCTTAAAAATAGGGTAAGTTTATAAGAAAAATAAGTGAGCCTGTGGGTGAAAACCTAAAAAGTCCTAAAGGGTAAAAGAATATCTTGAGTGAAAAATTGCGTATATAAAATAATAAAGTGATTAAAGTAAAGTAAATTATTTAAATAAAGTAACTAAAGTGATTAAATTTCTATATGAATTCTTAGCAAAATAAATGTTCTCTTTTTGTTGGCTTTGTTGTTACAAAATTACAATGCTCCCCGCCCTGATCTCAACCAGCCGTGGTAATCCGAATATTCCGTTGTTTACACTTTGCCAACTTTATTGGGGAAACTCCGCCCGTTGCGCAATTGGAGTGTGAGAAACTATCTGGAGGCATGCTGATTAGCTTGGCTGGTTCGGGGTCATCCGCAGATCAGCTCCGACTTAACTCACATCCAATCCACAGCTACCATCAGAAATGGCCAGCCACATGTGGAACGTTTTCTTGGGAGTGCTGGTGCTGGAGCAGCTACTCGCCGGAACTCTGGCGGCGAATCTATCTCAACTAGTGAAGAAACAAGGCCAGCAGAAGCCAACGGTGGTCCAGTCCCCCCAGCCAAGTCAGCAGTCAAGGATTCAGCAGCAGGAACAGCAGCAGTATGTCCATGAGGCCCAGGAACAGCAGGAGCTAAAGGTGGAGGAAGAAGACGAGCATGATTCCTACCAGATGCTGCAGGAAGCGAAGCAGGAGTCCCGACTCCCCGCGTCAGCAAATTATCCGTGGAGTCCGTATGCCGCAGCTCCAGGAATTTCAGCCAATCCCTACGAGCCCATGCCCAAGATGCTGCCCTTCATTGGATACGCCCAGCCAGTGCTGATACCTTTCCCCCTCTACCTGGCGCCTGACATGTTCTACCCCGCTTTCCCGGGGGCCAGCAACGATCTTGAAGACGTAGTCATGTCGAGAGCGGCAGGTGGACGTCGTCCCCCACCCAGCCATCCTTCACCTGCCCGCAATTCGCCGATCTACTACGTCCGGCTGCCACCCACGCCGTACATGTTCCTGCCCAACATGCCGACGTCTCCGTTCGGTGGAGGATTCTCCCCGCTTCTCACCTACCAGCCGATGCCCTCATTCTCCGCCTTCGGGTCCGTCTTTAATCTTCCCGTCAACTTCCTGGCCAATGGAAAGCCCTCTGGCATCTACCAGGTCAATGGTTCTCCCTCTGAGGGCTTGGGGCCTCTTTCGCCCAGCTTGGGAAGCGGCGGGGGATACGGCATGAGACCACCAACACCAAGTAACCCGTACAGGCCTATGTCTGGGTCCTCTTCCATGGGAGGCTATGGAGGATCCACTCAGGGCTTTGGTCTGGCTTCGATGCCAGCTCCCCAGCAGGATTCCAAGCTGACGTCCCTGAAACGTCCCTTCGTCTTCAACGGACGTCCCGAGGACATCTATATCCTTCCGAACAACCTAAGTCCGATCTACAACGAGCCGAGCTACTACTGAGAGTGACACTTCCTCAGAGGCTGTGGCTGCCACAGTGTGGCACCAACTGAAAGTATTATGAAATGCATTTACTAGATTCTAGTTTGAAGAATAATTAAATGCAGGACTATCTAAATAGATAAATATCTAACATATTTTTCCAAAAATATGCTCCTTATACATGGAACTCATGGAATTAAAAGAAATAATGTTTAGAAAATCTTAAACACATAATTATGAAAATGTAAGATATGTGTCTTTTGTAATGATTGTAATATTAATGGTATTAAATTATATTAACTTAATTAAGAAATGATGAGTTTCTAAGCTTATTTTCCCATAAAATAAAATAAAAACTTGAACTTGAAGTCTAAAAAGAACGCTTTATGTTAGAATACCTTTATCTTCTGGGCGTAGTATCTAAAATATTAAACTAAGCTCAAAATAAAAACATAATAGTTGCTTACTTTCCCAAAAACAAACCACCTTTAGTATAAAATGTATATTTTTGGCCAAAAATATTTGATACGTTAGACAAAATAAATTAAATCCATAATATGTAGTACTTAAATTCATACAACTCAGACTTCATCCAGCAAAGACACAGGGTTACGTACAATCGGTGTCATATATCATTGAATCGAATATCAGTTCCCAGATTAGTCCCCGATGGCGGCCACCTCGGCCACTTTGCGTTTGATGTAGTCCGGGTTGCCCAGGTTGATGCCACCGCCTATCAACTTGCCCGCGGTAAGATCGAACTCGTATACGCGGGGCACACAATTGGCGATGTTGATCTTTTCGATGGCATCGTTGGAGACGCCTGTGGCGATTCCAAATTATAATATATTATACCTAGGGTCCTAGGGAGTCCTGTACTCACCCTCTATGAGTTGGACGAGGGCACGGGCTACTGTCCCGTGGACCACCATGAGCACCCGGGTGCCCTTGAGCACCTCCTGCCGGACCTCATGCCACACCGGCGTCACCCGATCGACGCACATGTGCATGGATTCGGTTAGCGGAAAGTGTCCCGGCGGCACATCGTCGAATATGGGATTGCTGCAGATGGTGTAGAAGTAGCGGTTGCTCTCCAATATCGGGGGAGGCGCCACATCGTAGGCCCTTCTCCACTGCATCACCTGTTCCTCGCCATACATGTTGGCCACCTCGCGTTTCCGCTGCCCGGTGAGATTGCCGTAGTGGCGCTCGGAGAGGCGCCAGTCCTCCTTGACGGGCACGTAGGAGCAGCTCATGTTGCTCAGGATCATGTCGGCGGTTTCCCGAGATCGGCTCAGCACCGATGTGTAGACCATGTCGAATTCCAGCTTTGACTGTTGCAGTGCTGGAACAGCGACGGTGAGAGCCTCTTTAACGCCTACGATTGAGCGGTAAACCGGATTAGTAAGGTAACGAATTCAACCGTATTGCCAGCTGGGAACTTACCAATGTCGCTCAATGGAGCGTCGTGCCAGCCGCAGAATCGGTTGCCGATGTTGAAATCGCTTTCGCCATGGCGCAGAATAACCAAACGATTTTGTTTTGGAATGAATTGAGAACTGAAATTGTTTTTAAAAAATGGATTTTAAAATAAAAAAGAGATTTTAATTATTTGAACCTCTGGTTCTTCTTTGGTTTGAAATTAAGTTGATTGATTTAAATTTTACAAATATTTATATTTTAAAATACATTATATAATCATTATATCTATCTCTAATTCAGAATTTGTCTCGAGCAAATCAACAAGTCAGGTTGGCCGAGCGGTCTAAGGCGCCAGTTTTAAGCACTGGTTCTCTCTGAGAGCGTGGGTTCGAACCCCACACCTGACAAGACAACGTCCTAGGATGTTATTTTTTTTATTTTTGAAGTTGATTTTTAAAAGTTAAATATTTTATAATAAATATATATATATCTCGTTTTGTGTTCTTTGTATATTAAATATTTAAATGGGATAAACCTAAGGCACTAGATACGCATTTAGAAATATAATATTTTTAATAATACCATAAAAACTTGTACCCCCCGGTTATCACATATATCTTGCCACTATATCTCGAGTATCTCTATTAAGGGGAGGGTAAGGTCAAATCATGCAAAAAAAGCCATATTTTTGTGATTTTTTTCCTGACGACACAGTTAAAATTTATTTATTCAACCAACGGTATATTAAAGTATGACATTAGAAGAATGTTTAATAAAATTTTTACAAAAAAATATTTAAAAATATGGCAATGGTAGCAGTTGTCCGGACGTGTCGCCAAAAAAAGTTGAATTGCGGTGCCCCTCATAACTCGGTGCTGGATCATTTGTAATCAAAAAATGAAAATTCATTCGTTAGATAATAGTTCGCCCCAGGTAACGCTGTAAAGGTTTTTTGAAAATTGCAATTTTTAATTTTTCGAAGACTTTGAAGTGAAAAACTCAATTTTTTGGGAAAAAATCGGTTTATTTGTCATTGCGAAATCAAAACTATGAACAAAAAAAAAAAAACTCGACAGCGTTACCTCGTAAAATATGTACAGAAATAGTGTTTAAAATTTCAAAAGGATCGGTGAAGTAGTTTTGAAGTTATGAGGGGCACCGACTTTGAAAACGTGAGTTGTGGGAATAACGCTTTAAAGTTTTAAACAAAACAAAATCCAGTGTAAAACGTTTGCAAGCAACTTCGTCAATAACTAATAACTTCGTCAATTTTGCTTTAATTGACTTGAAATTTTGACACAATATTCTTCAGATATTATGCATTCAATTTAAAAAATTAAAAAAAAATGGAAAAAAAAAAAATTTAATACCTTACCCTCCCCTTAATCCAGTGGCACTCGTCACTCGGCTCTATCTGCCTTCTAGCCACAATATAAACTAGCTTTACTACAGAGCTTAGTTACCACCAGATTAGCCGAAATGTGAAGGAAGCGAGAATCTACTACCTCATAGCTGCGGATGTTGTGTTTGTCGTTGATGATGGTGTTTCGGCTGCTTTTTTTTTTTTTATTTCTTTAGACGAAGATAACGGTAACGGATAACTAAGACGAACGTGTGGTGCTCACCTCGGCATCGTCCGGATGCGATTGAGCCGCGGTCCAGAAGCGGACTCCACACGAGGCCAGAACTCCGCGTCGCTTTCCGCTGCTTCCCGTTCCGTTCGCACCCCCCCCTCCCCACATTCCGCACATATTTTCGGCTAGTGTACGAGTGTATCTGATGGATACAAGCGCGGAAAAAGAAAAATAATAATAATGAAATAAAAAAGCGCGCGCGCTCTTCGGCTGGCCCAACATGACGAGACAAAACAGAATATAATTCGCATTATCTGATGTCCAGACGGAAGCATAATCACACACACACCGATACAGGCACCAACACACGCCAGAGTGGCTCATTCACACAGATACTTTTGGCTGGCTTCGCGTCTTCTGTGTTTTGCTCGCCTCTTTCTCAGTCTCAGTCTCATACTCAATCCCAATCTCAACCTCATTCTCATTTCTCAATCTGAATCTCATTCTGGTTCTCAGTCGTGTCCGCGCCTAATTCCCTCTCCTCCCTTCCGCCTCCTAGCGACCCTAGCGCTACTCAAAGATACTTCCTAGACGTAAACAACGCCCACGCCCCCTCGCATACTTACGCCTCAAATTCGCGCATTGTTTTTGTCGCAGAAACGTAGTTTTTTTTTGTCACGCTTTGTTTTGGTGTTTTTTTTTCGCGGATAACTTTGTATAGTTTTTTTTTTTTGTTTTAGGGCTTTTTTTAAAATACGTTACAGTTTGCTTTTCAAAAACTTGAACATGGCCGGGACTTGAGCAGCGGTGGTGGCTTCTCTTCCTGTTTCAGAGTTTCACTATCTCGCGGTATCTCGAATCTCTCGTATCTGAAAATGTATCTGATGCAGCTGCAGCGCCAGCCACGTTCCTTTATCTTTCGGCTTCCACTTCGCACTAAGCTCTATTCTTATTGGCAAACAATTTTATCGCGGCGCAGTTGTTTCAACGGTTGTTGCTTTTGTTGCCTGGCTAACTTGGCCAACAGCTGATGCCGGCTGGTGGCTGGTGGCTGGTAGCTGGTTCCACGCTCAATTTGGGATCCACTTGAGGAAAATCAATATCAACTGAAATTTTTACGTATTTGTTTTTGTTGTGCCAGAAAGCCGAGCTAAAAAAAACAAACTGTTCAGATTTCCGCCAACTGGGGTAGATTTCTTTTGAATTTGACCGCGAAAAACTTTGCAAGGCACTGGTTCGCATTAAAAACCCATTTGATTACATTTTCGTTATTACAATTTTAAATTTAAACCACTGCCCATAATTGCTTGGCTACAAAAAAAATACTATGACATTTTGGCTAATCAGGGGCAACTAGAGAATGTGCTAGTAATTAGTAACTTCTTCACTTATTTAAAATATTCAAGTCCCTCGGAGTTGCTAAGCCATTCCTTTTACTGATTTATTATACTTACATGCATATATCTTTTTTTAAAACAATTCCAGCTGAAAGCAGGTTAAAAATAGCTTACATGCCTTTTGTTCTACTCATTAATTGTATTATAAATATGGTAAGTAATATACGCTTAAAATTCCGCAGCTGCATTCAAAAACTGGATTTCAGATCTCAAGAGCCTGACGCACTTGCCTTTCTAAGCCAAGCTAACATAACTAAATCACGGCTCAAGGACTAACCAAAAAGTCTAAGACAAAACAAGCTGCGACTTACAAGAAGATGTCATGAGAAAAGATCAAAATAAATACTGTTTATTTTGGGTATTATGCTAATGGAGTTTTCATGGGGGATCTCTAAAAAAAAGGTTATTTTAAGGTAGGTTTAATATTTATAAGAAAGAGTTTTGTTAGAATTTATAAAATTTGTATTTTTAACTTAAGCTATGGTATAATTTTGAAGGTTTTTAGCTGACTAACACTCCAAAAATACAGTACAGAATTACTGATTTTCAATTATCTTTATCTAAGCCCTTCCGGGCCAAGTTATTCGGGGAGAAGCTTCACGGGCTATAGGGTTTCAGGAACTAAACTTTCAATAAGATTTATGGTCAGGTATTTGCCGTAATCTCCAGTATGTCGCCCCCAACTTTGACAATTACAATATGCAATACCCGGGGGTAACGGTGCTCAAACTCCAGCTCGGCGCAAGTACCAGGTATTACCGCGTCGAGTTGCGATAACCATCTACTGGTGCTCCGTCGAGCGTTTGACAATGTTGCTCTCAAAGAGCCAGAAACCCTGGGACCCAGACTGTGCAGCCCTTTTGGCCCGGTGGTATAAAGGTTTTGGCCAAAGTAGCGGATGGCTCAGTCTGCAGACTACCGTACGTGGTTCACTTCTTTGGTGAAGATCGGTTCGAGTTCAGTTTTCGGTGCAACAAAGTATCTAGCGGGTGGAAATGCATTTTCCGGCATTCGATGAGTTCTATCAGCGGTTTCTGTTTCTTTTGCCGTTCGTTGCAAGTGAGTGGCAGTACACAAGTATCTGCAAATCAGTCAACTGTGTCGTATCTGAAGAATACGCATCATATAGCTCTACCCTCACAGTGGATTTCCTTGATATTGAGACAACATCGATATGGTCCAGTCTGAAAATCAAGTAGTCCCCAGACTTTGTCACCCGAAACGCCACATGACCCCCAAAGCCTATTGCGCAGCTTCTAAGACATACCGAGGGTTTATGACCCATCCCCGAGCCCAAAAAAAAATCTATTATAAACCAACACAAGCCAAGAAATCTGAAGCCCATGAAACTGTCACATAGCGGATCGTCTAATGGATAGCAAACAACCCACCCGGTGGCTTGTAAATAATAACAATAATTAAATTTTTTGCATTCACAAATGCTCCATGAAAGCCAATGAGCGCGTCAATTTCGGGGGAGGAGTCGTTGTCGGATGTCGAAGTACTCCCCATCTATTGTTATATAACCGGCGTGTGCGAGATCCGTCGTACGGAACAATGTAAACAGAAAACTGAAGATTTCCATGGTCCGGATTCCGGAGACCGGGCCCAAATAAAGCAATTATGTATCGCTTAGTATTTCTCAAATTTCAGAGGGTTTTTGGTCAAAATTGCAAGCTGCGTGCAAAAATTACAGTAATGTCTTGCCAATCTGGCCTATGGAAGATGGGAACTTGGGGATTAGTCTCGAGGGGATTACCCAAGTTGGTCGTTAGCTACCTCTAATATTCCCTTTCCCTGCCACCTGTCATTACAGACTTCAAGACGGAAATCCACTTTGATTATGATGCGCCTGAAACTTGGCAGCTCACCTACCACAACTGTGGAGGTCCCCAACAATCCCCCATTGCGATTAACTCCCGAAAAGTAATACCCATTGATATACCCCCTCTTGAATTCGTTCTCTACGACCAGTCATTTGTCACCCAAGCGATAATCAGAAACAATGGACACACAGGTACTTTACTTTTAAATAATTTAGGTACTTTTATAAAAAATAATTTATTTTTTTTTTTGAAAAGCTGATTTTCAAGTACCGACAACCAAATTTTACGGCGTTAAACCATATATTACGGGAGGCCTGATGCTGGACTGCTACGAGGCCGAGGGTGTCCACTTCCACTGGGGCTCTCCGACTAGCAAGGGGTCCGAGCATGTCCTGAACGGACGACGCTATGACTTGGAAATGCATATAGTCCACCGAAATAACAAGTATCTGACCCTCGATGAGGCACAGTTGCACAGCGATGGTATCGCAGTTCTGGCCGTGCTTTTCAAAGTTGTGAGGGTAGGAAGCATCAGAACAAGATACTTTGTCCGCCGATTAATAAATCCCATTCCAGGCACCGCCGATATTCTACGAAAATGGACTCCACGAGGTGTTCAGTTCGCTGCTGCACCTGGGAGCGTACAACAGCAGCTACACTCTGCCGGAAAACCTGACACTGGACTCACTGCTGGGCAACTTGAACCGAGGCAACTTCTACACCTACCGCGGCTCGCTGACCACGCCCCTCTGCTCTCCAGTGGTGCTGTGGCACGTGTTCGAGGATGTGCTGCCCATATCGTTCAACGAGCTGCCCAAGTTTTGGCTACTTAGGGATAAGAGGAATAGGCCGCTGGTGAACAATTTTCGACCTCTGCAGCCGCAGGAGAATCGGGCGATCTTCTACCGACGTTCAGCTGTGCACCAGTTGCAGCAAGTACAGTATCGGCAGCAGCTGCTGGAGCTGCCAGAACTGATTTGGTTATAGCCGGACGAATAAAACTTAACGTCTTTATTTATATATAGTTATACTGTAGTAACACTAAGGGAATTGATAGGTCTGGGGTTTAGGTAGGTCTGGTTGGAAAGATTACTTCCGGAAACGCGCCAGGTAAGAGGCAAGGAGACCAATATGCAAGGCGCAAAGGATCTTGGTGAGTGTAGGAGAACGCGGCACCCCGGACGGCATCTTCAGAGACGGACGCCGAATGGCCTGCACCGATCGAGTCATCGCAGATAGTTGCTTTAGCTGGACCTTGGATACGATGGGACTTTGAAGGGCGTTCTTCATGGGCATCGAATGCTTCTGCATTATTGGCACCACCAGACTGGTGATCATGGTGGAGCTCAGCGTGTGGTACTCCTGATCTCGGCCATCAAATGGAGGACGCGGAACACGAACCCGAGGATTGATTGGTGGGTTAAAAAGTGGTGTAGACACCACACGGCGACGCCAATTTTCGCCAGCTTGCTTTGTTTTGGACGTGTCGTCCATTGGCGCATTTGATTCTGTGCCTGACCCTTCGTGGAAGGGATTCTTGCCTCTGTAGTTGACCGGGCGACTCTTAACCTTGCGCATAATGCTGTTCATATCCCGCTGCGCTCGGTCCAATGGCGTTTCAGGGACTTTGCGTTTCTTGATCTGAATGTAATCAGGCGCATGTCGCTTCCGGTCAGACTTACTGTTGCTAGGTTGCGGGATTTCTTCATGCTTGTGTGTTCTTTCGCCGGCGGGCCTGCGTGCGGGAGGCTCCTCGCCCTTCTGCATCCTTTCGCCGGCGGGCCTGCGTGCGGGAGGCTCCTCCCTCTTCAGCATGCTTTCGCCGGCGGGTCTGCGTGCGGGAGGGAGCTCTGTGTTGTGCATCCTTTCGGCGGCGGGCCTGGGTGCGGAGGGCTCGTCCCTCCGCATTTTTACCCCGGCTGGCCTGCGTGCGGGAGCCTCCACTTTCTTTGGCGGTTCCTCCACTTTCTTTGGTGGTTCCGACGACTTGGCCACTGGCTCATCTTTCTTGGACTGTGGCTGTTCACTTTCGAAAAGGATGGGGTTCATCTCCTCGACTTTGTGAGGCCTAATTTGAGGCGGTTGGGTGGGAGCTGTTTTTGGCTGGGTCTGAACCTGGGGAGTGCCTTCCTGGATTTTAGACTTTTGTTTGACGCCTTCTCTGGGAATGTAGGCAGGCGTGGCAGCCGGAGAGGGTACTTCAAATTCACGTGGTGGTACTCGCTTCTTGCTAGCCTTCGCATCTTGCTCTTCCTCGAGGTCTTTTTTGCTGTGATCTGCCGATACTTCGGCCAGATCCTCCAAGGACTTAGACTCTAATATGGCTTTCTGTAAACCAGTATCTTTAACATTATACATATTCTTTAAGGAGTCTTCGCCTTTCTTGGTCTTTTCTTTTTCCAGGGCCTGAGCAAGCTGATCGCTCAGCTTTTCCAAGTTTTCCTCATCCGCTCGGCTAAGCGTTTCGTCGGCCTTTAAGAGGGTCTCCGAATTGGGCTTGCCAATCCTTTCGTTGTTCAACAGCCAGTCCCACTCATGACTGCCCTCGCCATCCTTTTGGTCGCTATAATATCGCATGTTAACCTCCTCCAGGCTGAGGAGAGGCCGTCTTTCGCCCATTTTGGTCGACCGTTTTTCTTCTGCTGCCTTGACGAGTTCTTCGTCCCGACCTTCCTCCATGGAACGAATGTGCTTCCAGAGCTTATCCTCTTCCAGGTTATCTTCGGAGCTTTCTTCCACCATTTTCCAATTCTCTAGCTCGGATTCTTCCTGCACTTGGATGATATCTTTATCCTCTATTTTTATGATATCTTTGTTGTCCTTAATTTTGATGAGATCTTTATCCACCACTATTTTCCAATTATCTATTTCCGGTTGCTCCTGCACGTTGGTCATATATTTATTCTCCGCAATTCGCTGACTTTCTAGATCGACTTTTTCCTTAATCTTACCCATATCTTTACCCTTTACCAGTTTCCGATTTTCGGGCTCGGCCGGCTCCTGCAGATCCTCTGCCATTTTTGCCTCGTAAAGATGTTCCATTTGTTGCTCATCCTCCTCTAGCTTTCCATAACGAGTCTCCGATTCATTTGAGCTTTTTAAAGTCCTCATATCCTCATCATCAGATTTTCCGAAACCATCGACATGTTTGTCCATTACTTCAATATTTTTATACTGTACTTGTGGTTCCCAATCATCGGCATTCCTTTCTTGGCGTCTGTCTCTAATAGCTTCGTCCAGTCCTTCTTCCTTTTTGGAGTTGTATGGCTTTTGGGAACCTGCTCGCACTAGAAGATCTGAGTAGCGACTTCGCTTTACAGAGGGCTCTGCGTCAAATCCCTCTACATAATTGAAACTCTCCCTGGTCCAGGGGGAATCCGAATTCTTAGCTCGGACTCTTAAACGGTCAGATTCCTCCACATCCTGACAGTCCTCCAAGTGCCCCTCTGATGTCTTTTGAGTCTTTCGCTTTATCCGCAGCTGAAGATCTGAGGCCTTTCCTTCTTGGCGCACTTCTGATATTTGGAAGGACTCCGTATCGGGTAAGGTTTCTTTATCAGACTCATGTTGTTCCGAAACAGTGTATGTCTGCTGGAACTTTTTCTCCAGCTGCTCAAGGTCGTTTTCATCGCCGAATTGGGCCTTCTCTGTCAGGTCCAAATACTCATTACACGGATAATTAACTTCAATGGGCTCAGATACAGTGAAGTATTTGGACTTTCTATTCTCCGGATCGTTCTCACTAGTTTCCAATCGGAGCCTTGCCTCTTGATCCTTATTATGTTCTAAGGTAGTCTGCCATTCCTCCAGATAATTCACATCAATGGGCTCGGATTCGGTGAAGTACTTGGACATTTCCGGATCCTTCTCAGTAAGCTTTGTTTCTTCTTGATCTTCAAGCTCATCCATTAAGAGCTTCCATTCTTTTTCATTAGACTCGTGGTCCGTTGGCTCTTCATCACTCAGAAGCTTTCCCACCATTTCAGTTTCCCCTCTAGCCTCTTTGTCGTCCTTAAGCTGTCCGGAATGGGACGATTCCATGTCCATTGATTGAATAGAGTCGTCTATGAGTTTCATTTCTTGTAACCGAGGGTCGGAGTTGTTGGCTTCAGTGCTTAAGTCCAGGGAATCCATATCCATGGACTCCAATTTTGAGTCCATTATAGCGCTTTTACCGATTCTGGTCACATCCTTACCTTTTCCAGATCCCATCCCTTCTGAAACCACTGATTGACCCATAGGAGTAGAAGTTCTTGGCGCCTCTTTCAGAAGGAGTCGCATGTGGCGGCCTTGGTCTGCAACATCCATCGTAAAGGCAACCTTCACGTTTCCATCACGGATTTCTTTCTGTATCTGCAAGGCTTTTGCACTCAACGGGTCAGGGATGTCCTCGGTCTCTATTGGGACTTGATTCTCTGTGGGCGTCTCTAGATTCGAATTTTTCGGGGACCAGCTACCCAAAATTTTCAGATTCTTGAAGCTCTTGTCACCCGCCTCGGCCAAGATTTTGTCGAGAGCCTTCCTTAGTTTTGGCAGGGTGTCGGCCACTTCGTCCAGGACTTGGGATGACATCTTTTCGCCAGTTTCGTCGTTCAACAGATGCGATACGGATGAGTTCCTAATTATAACATAAAGGCCAACTTTAGTTTCATTAGATAAGAGAACAACTGATTCTTGTACCTTAAATCAGGATGATTTTTAAGGGCATCCATTATTACATCTGGTGGAGCCTCATTGTGGCATACCTGGTGAATGGCCGTAAATAGAGGAAACCTAAGGATCGGAAATTAATCAATGCCCTTATGAAACCATAAGACAGGACCCTATACTTATGTAGGTTTTTATCGGCCTCCAGAATCGCATTCACTTCGCTGACCACCAAGGGACCCAGTAGCCCGTTCTGAAGATTGCTTTCTATTTCCTGTATGGACTGACCCGAGGTAATAAAGCTATTGGCAAAGGTCACATTTTTATCAACTGGAAATAAGGGAACTTATTACTGAATTCCGAAGACATCAAGGAATGGACGAACCATAGGCAGACGTGGACATTTTTGCGGATGGAAAATAAGTTTCAATGAAGCGCATCATCTCCTTGAGACCCAGATGGATGGCGGCCACACGAGCGTTGTCTCCCAGGCGAAGGCCATCAACAAGGCCCGCTCCAAGGGAAATGATGTCCTTTAGGGTCCCAACCAGCTCAACACCATGAACATCATCGACGGAAATCACCTTGCAGTTGTTAGTTTGAAGAGCTGAGACCAGCAGCTCCCCGTGGTCTGGATTGGTGCAGCCCAAAGTGATCTCGCACAGCTTACCCTGAGCCATTTCCATGGCGCTATGAGCGGACATCATTGAGTAGCAGGGAATGCCCAGGCGCTCGCTAATAGCCTGCGACACGAGTACCACATCGTCGTCGCACACTTCCATTAGGCCCTTGACCATGGAAACGGCAAAGGCCGTCTCCTTCAGGTTGCCTTCTAGAATGTTGCAGTAGGAATTGACAAAGCTCTGCGGCATGGCAAATATCAAGATATCTGCATTCTGAGCAGCTTCCAAAAGATCATTCACCGCCACCTAAAGAAGTAAGTTGATGCTTAAAAATTCGATATGTTTATCTTTTATTTATAAAAAATATTTCAAAGAGCTTTATACTTAAAACCTAACAGTCTTACATTAAAAATATATCTAAGAATCCTATTTTACTAATTATATTGTTAAGTAATTCTATATACTTAATATATATCTATATATAGCCAAAAGCCAAAGCCAAAATAGATCTCACCAAGTTCTTGGGTAGCTTGATCCCAGGCAGATACTTGACATTCTCGTGACTATCATTTATGACCTCGGACAAGGGAGAGCTGCGAACGAGTTCGTCCAACACATATATGTGAACACGGCTGTTGAAATTGCCCTGGCGAACATTTTTGCTCACGGCGGCGGCAATGGCCGAGCCCCTAAATCACAGGAAAAAGGGTCATCCAATGGTTAAAGATATTGCTGAAAGATATCCTGCACCACCTACCAGCCCTCCGCTCCAATTATGCATACTTTCAGCTTTCCGGACATCGTCCCCTTGTTATAAATTTAAAACAGAAATTTAGGGCCGAAACGCGACCAAATGACCGCCTATATGTTGGCTGGATGTAAGATACTCGAAATTTTAACTGAGAATTTTGATAATCCGGAGTTAGATTCGTCTTAAAACAATCTGATGTGATTGTATGAGCTGGAGCGCCCAAACAGCAAACTCCCCACCTACTTTATGGGCAAGGATGAAATTCATAGACAACACCGGCTGCTTCATCCAGTCTATGCTGGCGCCCTTGTTGAGCCGCCGCTTGCAGCTCCTCCTGCTGGGAAATGGCGCGGATCTCAAACTCGGTAATGATCTGCGATATACGGCTCTTGGCCTCGGCTGCCAGTTTCGGGGGAAGACTTTTGACACTGATGCAGGCGCTTTCGAAAAACAGATCATAGCTATTACGCGCAGGAGTTACGGGAATAGCTGCAACTGGAGGAGAATTAATCGCTGCAGCAGCAATAGCCTTAGTTTCGGTCTTCTGTTCCTTAAGTCTTTGAAAGTAAGCACCCAAGACCTCTCTTTGCTCTCCAATACTTTGGAGCAGTTCCTGACGGGTTTGTGGCATCGGCTTCTCGTAAAATAAGTCCTTCCTTTTCCATACGGTATTAAAGCGATTCCATTTTCTACTTTTGAACTGAAATGTAAAAGTTGTGTATACTTAGGCTCAAAGAAGCTCAAACGGTGAAGCTATTACCTTTAAATCTTGCCCCATCGTTCCATAAGACACCCCATTAAGGTCGGTTTCTTCATTCATCTCAAAAATCTCAGAATTCGAGGACACATTTTCTAGCTGTGAGACTCCAACGAAAGTCCTGGCCATCGATTGGTGATCTTGCAAGCGCCCTACCGACGTTCCAACCGACGTTTTTCCATTGCTCATTAGGTTAAGGTGGTTTTTACTTATTATATCTTAAGTATAAAAGTAAATGTTTTTAAAATGGGTATACTCTTCGACCAGCTGAGCGTTGTTTATTCAGCTTATTAGAGATGGAAGATTCTTCAGTTTAGTCGATAACAATTATTATTCAAAAATAATCGAAATAATTATTTTAAAAACCATATCGAAGTTCTTACAATTTTTTTAAAATGTAAAAATGTATTTAACGAAAAGATGTTTTTACCTTTGTTTTGTATAAATTGGTTTATCTAAAACCATCTATTTAAAAAAATATACATTCAAACACTTATTTACCTACAAGAAATTTACATAAAATACTCCATAGTAATATTAACTAACTAGCTAACGCCACTAAAACGTGGCTGTTGTGGTACTATCTGTCCTCCAGTTCCATTTTGACGAAGTATAAATAGACTGTTTGTCGGAGGATTTTCGCCTGGAGCATCGTGGGGACTGATATCAGTGAGGCCCCGCAACTCCAGCTCACAAATAAGCTGTGAAACGCGCATCTTAGCCTCGGCAATGAGCTTGGGTGATAATGCTTTAACGCTAGAACTAACGCTCTCGAAGAACAGGTCAACATGGTTCTTTTCCTTTGACGGCGCCGGAGCTGAAGGGTGCTGCACTTGAGCCTGGCTTCCCATCAGTTCCCGAAATGATTCCATCAACTCGTTCTTGTCCTGGTGGATCTGTAGCAAGAGTTTAAGGCCCTCTTGGTTTGAAGCAGAGGAAGCACAGGGCCTGGGTTCGCTACTTGCAGTTTGTTCCGTTTTCGCAATGGCTTCTGTCTCTGATAGTTCCTGTTTGGGTACAGCAACCTCCTCTACGGAGCCTATGTTATCATCAGGTACCAGAGCAATGGAATTACCAAGTTGCTCAGGGTTTTTACTTGATTGAGGCTCTGATTTGTTTTCGTGCTTGGCTGGTCTTCGCTGATGGTAATACTTGCTCCGCTCCTGACGCACACGCACCTCTCGTCGGTCCAGGCTCTCACCTTGGGTGAGATATGACTCCAAATTCCGCTTATGTTTCGTGGTGAGCTCGTGCCGGACCAGGTGGCACCGGTTGCAGTCCATGCTGCACTGGCAAGCCCGGCAAAAGGGCTTGTGTGGGTCATTGGGATCCCGCCGGAGCCATGGTTCGAAAATCTTTAACCATTTCTCACAGAACTTCTGGTTGTACTTCGGTTTGCTTAAGGACAACTTCTTGTGTTTTTCTTTATCTCTTGTCCTCCTTCCCGAACTGGATATAGATTCCTTGATGGTCCGAGATACTTTCACTTTGGCTTCCTTCCTAAAAATGTTGTGCATTAGGGTGGCAGGCACAAACTAGTCTTTCTCTATGTATCTTACCAATCTGAGTCGGAGGTATTTTCCGAGAAGCTCATTTTAATTTAACTTAGTGTTTCAGGTCCAATTTGTTATGATTTGCTTTCCTCAATCAGCTGGCATTAAGTTATCGATTATAGTATTGTTATCGATATCAGCGAAGCAAATTTCGAATAATGGTTTTTAAAATACCCAATGGAATTGTAAATTAATTCCTATTTGTAATAATAACTAAAAAACCATAAACTTTAGTCTCCTTTAAGCACAAACATATTTTTATATATTTAATGGAAGCCCAATCAATAGAATTAAATCGATATAAATAAATTATTCAAATTGTAAATAAATAAAACATTATCTGTACAATAAACCATTTATAGTTCTAATTATTCTTTGCCAAATGTTGCTTGCAATATTCCCAAATAAAAAGTGATCCAGTCACATGTACATTTAAGGATCTAACAGTTCCAAACTGCGGAATTTCCACGGCAAAGTCCAAAAAACCAATAAGATCCGCAGGAATTCCATGTTTCTCGTGGCTATAAGTGATCGAACATGAGGAGTTTTTTTTTTATTTCAGTTTTTGAAAACAAATAATATACTCACCCTAATAAAAGAATGCACTTTTTCGGAAATTTAAATTCCGTGAAACTTGTACTGTGGGCAGTTTGTTCGGCACCAACGATTTTATATCCCTCTAGTTGCTTTCCAATCAAAAATTCACCCAGTATTTCGGGCTTTACCTCAATTATGTTCAAAGTTTTTTCTGCAGTCATGCTAAATATATTCACTTATTAATGAGAAGTAATAAATAAGATAAATTTGATTATTACCCACCTTAAGTTAGTAAAATCGCTTTTTTCCGCCTGCGATTTTAATCCTAATATTAAGGTTCTGACTCCGAGGACATCACAGGTTCGCGCCAAGCCTCCCAAGTTAGGCAGCTTGTCGATTAAGGAAGCCACCACAATGAGTTCCCGATCTTCGTGTGTCGTGGTCGTATTCTCAAAATCACATCCAGGATATATATCACCAATAGGATTCATTTTTCTTTGCACATTTCCGTTGAGCGAACTTGTCGGCGAGTTCTGCTCAGCGATCTGTTCTCCCCTTTTTGCTTGAAAGAATTCTCGAACAGCCATTACTTTTTTTCTGAAGTCGTAGCGACAACCAAAAAAACTAATATTTTCGTCGAAAGGGGCATTTGTCATCCAAAGAATAGCGTCTGAAACATTACTACGAAACATTGCGCACTGCTCTTCTAGTTCAGGTAACAATAGTCGAGCATCCTTTTGGAACTCCGCCAGTTTGTCACCCAACGTAGCCTCTATTGAGTTTTTCAAGACTTCCGCGATGGGTTGATCAAGGCTGATTAGATACAAAATTAATTATTATGGGCTAACGCTCTTAATTCATAATATTTACCTGCTTCCAATGCAATTTGTAGCTAACCGATGCAAGACCAATTGTGCAAATAAACGAGTCTGAAAATTGGCACCCATTGTTAATGGTAAAAGAATTGAAAAAATTCCCGTCAATTGTTCCTTTTGCAGAGTGTCCCACCGAGCCAAGCAGTAAATATGAACTACGGAGATCAGTGACACTTGCTGACTGGGCTTAAGGGTTATTAAGTTTTTCAGTTGGTCCAGCAGAGGATCAATGGTGGGAAGCAGCTTCGCGACTAGATATTCGTACATGAAGCTTATATTCAGCTGGTCGCTTGGACATAACAATGCATCCCATAGCTCAGGCATCCACTGATTACTTAGGTCAAGTATGGCTTTGGCAATGCGCATTTTTCTTCTGTGCTCCTTCGAGTTGGCAAAGTACCGCGGCTTCTTCCTCGATAGCTCGTTGTTCATGTTCAGCAAATCAAGGCAGATGGAATTGACATCCAATTCTTTGCACTTTCGACTATATCCTATAAAATGAACCCGAGCCATTGCTTCAACATCAGGTCTTTGCCCAAATACGTTTTCAAAAGCTCGCTCTATGCTGCCGAATTTCGGTAAATAAATGGTTTATGGGGGTTATCAATGGGTGATGATTATAAATGTGGTTCCTTACCGTGCATCGCCTGTGGTTGTTTCTCCGGCCAACAGCCTTTGAAGAACATATGATTTGGGTGCCTTTATATAACTCTCACAATCAAGGAGTTGCAACAAAAACGTATTTTTTTCAAGAACCGCCACTACACACTTTTCGTATTCATCGTCATTTAGGTTGGCCACGGAATATTGTAAAATTGCTTTCCTAGAGCGATAAAGGTCTGATTAGTTTAAATCTCAATTTTTTTTTTTTACTTTGCTTACGCTTCTCGACATTTCAATCGGTCCAATCGCGAAACCATGGTAGGCAGAAGCTCCACATCTTCTAGTGGTTTCGTATGTTCTGCTAAAATATTTGCAAGGATTGCAAATGTGACGTCAGTCCCCTGATCTAATAGTTCAGTGGGCTTGAGGTTTAACTCCTTGAGCTTATCCCATGTTGGAACATTAACCTTCACAAAAAGATCAACACAATTTTCACGGACAAACGATTTTTCCTCTCGGGTGCGGCAACCCAGGCGGTCCAGCAAGTGGCTCTGCATCTGGTCTAGACTCACACCGGATTTAAGTAGCATGCAGTCCACTTTATAAACGTCTCGGTAGAAATCCAAATATTGTTCCGGTTTGTCAATTTGTAGACGAAGAAATATCGGAACTAGTCGCCACCATCCGTGCTTTTCCATTGGCACATTTCGTATTTTTTCCAAAAAAGCAACATATACATTATATTGGATATCTCTCCTCGTTATAAGCTCGGCGCAGCGTTTACTAAAGTATTCAATATGCTCCTCCAAATTTGGACAATTTTCGATTTTGTCTATCAGTTGATGGTGTTCTGTATATTCGTCAACGGTGTTGTACAAAGATTCCATAAACATCAAGTAGTCGCTCAAGGATAAAGCGTTTATTGTGTTCTGTAACCAAAGCATAGGGAGGATTAAAAATTTCTAAAATTAGGAGCACTTACTCTAAACAAAAAGATGACTTCTTTGATGGCAGCCCCACGAAGAACCGGATTTTGCAAAGAACGTATCCGTGCACTCAAGCCAAGAAGCAACTCTTTGGGAACCAGAGGCAGTTCTATTTCACTCCAGCCCATGAGCCAGTGAAACAGTGGTACACAATGCCACTGCACTGTTACCATGGCCTCCAGCAATTTATCAGCCGGGAACCCTGCCATGAAGTCCTTTATTTGCTGCTGTGTGAGGTGATCAGGAACCTCAAGATTATACAGTTGAGTTCGATTGGTAGCCGCTACGAACTCAGTAACTAAATTTAAGTGCGACAGTTGGTCCAGACTTAAATTAGCCAGCAAATACTTGATAGTCCATCGCAAAACGAGGCTATTGTTGTCGTTTAGAAGGCGGATAGAGAGGATACGCAGCCACGACATCCAATCCTCACTATGATTACTGGCCATTAAGCCAAGGCGGGGCATCAAAGTGCCCAAGGTGGGAAGCACTAGGTGCGACTGCTGTTCTTCTAAATTTTCCAGTATGCCAACGTAGGCATTCCAGTTCTGTTCGGTGCACTGAAGGGCAGCAAGAACCCCATCTACATCCTTCAATTTGCTCATAAGGAAGTAGGCCGATCGACGATCCTCCCGCACCTCTGACTGCAACAGAGTCTGTGTTATTCCCAATAATTCCACTCCGCACTCCGTTCCGAGATTGTGGACAAAGTCGTCTACTAGGTGTACGAGGATCTGTGCCGCATGCGGTTGTCGGTCGTTACTTAAACTGAGTGCCCATAGTTGCTGCAACACAAACTTTCCCTGGATCCGGGGAAACTTCCTGCCGTGTAACTGCACGCAGATAAGAAGATTGGCTACCAGTTGCCGACGACTTGGTGTGTCTTCACGGCTGTCGGCGATCACCACAGAGACGAGTTTGTGGAACAACTTGGGGCCAAAGCGCACATTCCACTTGCTGTTCGTTTGCAACAGGTTATGAATGCACTGTAGTACACGTTTTAGGGCAAGCTCATTATCCTTGTGCAAGTCCACTAAATCGCACAACATTTCATCCAACTCGGCAATCTCGCCGAGCAAATTTTGGTTTTGAATGTAAGTCTCCACGGCCTGGACTACAGCATGCGTAGCCGTGGCTGATGTGGCTTTAGTCACCGGCAATGACATCCTTTCGGGTTTTAAAACGAAATGTATTAGTCCTGAACTAAATTTCCAACTATAAGCTTTTCACAACAAAATGAAATAACAAGAACGTGGTGCGTGTTTATACTTCGCGCATTAGAGATGTACCTTGTAAAATAGTGTTGTGTTATCGATAATTATCCGTTACAAAATCATTTCAAATAATTTTAAATTCTGGAAAATTTTATTGGTAGAATTGGCTAGATTTTATAACCAGAGATTTGATTTGACAGACTTTCTATACTTATAATTAATACAAATTTTAAACCAGATCGGTGAAGATTCATAACACCCCTTTCAAAATCGCCATCAAAAGCCCGCCAGGTGTGCTATCCTAGAATTAGTCCATCTAGATTCTAGAAAAACCATGAATAAAAGTTCCGCTATTAGCCATATCTATTTTTTGTTTGGATTGTCTTTGTTCGGATTCTTTTGCATTTCGGCCAATTTCTTGCAAACGGCTTTCATGATCTTGTCGGTAGCTTCAGCCTCCTTTCTTTTCAACTCATCCGCCATCTGCTTGCAAAGCTCAGCTTGTCTCTTCTTTTGTCTTTTGGCTGAAAGCCTCTTCCATTTCTTAGCCATTTTGGCTCTTTTCCTTTCCTTTTGCTTTTGCTTACATTTTATATCCTCTTCCTCTTTTTTGTCTTTCTCAGCCAGTTTTTTGCAATTTTCTAGGTCTTGTTGATCCTTTTTTGCCTGCTCACATTGCTTGGCTTTTTCGGAAGCCTCTAATTGTGCAATAGCCTCTTGAATTAGCTTTATCTCCATCTCGCGCTGCTTCTTTTTTTCCTCCAACGCTTGAGCCGATACACATTTATCCTCTTGTTGTTCTTGACAGCAATCAAATTTGACTTCCGGTTGGCACTTATCCTTTTGAGATAACTGCTTGCATTTTTCAAGTTGCTCCAAAGCCTTACACCTTTTATCTTGAGAATTTTCTTTCTGCTCCTCTAAAAGCTTTTTGCAATTATCCGCTTCTGATTTGCATTTGTTCTTGGTATTATTATCCTTCTCCTTGAAAACTTTACACGGCGGTTTTCTTTTGCATTTTTTCGCAAGGGCCAACTTTCGGCAACGGTCTCTTTGCTGCATCTCCTTTTCGGAGGGCTGTTTTATCGTGAATAGCCGGAAACTGATGTTATTCGCTGACATGGCGTTCACCAGCACAGCGCACGCTTTCTGTCCTGGCTCCAGAATGTGCATTCTGGCCACTATCTTAAGACCCGTGCGGACAACGCGTCGAAAATCCAGGCAACCTAAAGCCATTTCTTCGATCAGCAAAGGATAAATGCCTCGATAAACCATCGACTGGGCGCCTTCTATGTGAGAGCCCGTAAGAGCTACAATGGGGCACATCGGTCGCATCTGGCTGATCATCTGCCCCACCATGCCGCACGGGCAAGCTACAACAATGATCTTTGCCTGGCTCACCATGGCAGCCTCCACAATCGCCGTGGTAACTGCCGAAATCTGATCCGCGGCGGTGTCCCGGATCACATGTTTGAGGTTGTCCTGCATCTTCTCGTACCACAGAACCGCCTCTGTTTTGGCGCAGATCCTGGCCATACATTCGACGGCTTCCACCGGGTACTTTCCTTTTGCCGTCTCGCCAGACAACATTACCGTATCGGCGCCGTCGAAAATTGCGTTGGCGACGTCCGATGCCTCCGCCCGGGTGGGACGCGGATTCGATAACATGGATTCCAGCATCTGGGTGGCACAAATCACCGGCTTACCGGCCATATTGCACTTGGCGATTATACATTTCTGGGCCAGAGGCACGTCCTCTGTGTACAGTTCGATTCCCATGTCGCCTCGGGCCACCATAATGCCATCGGATGCCTTGATGATTTCGTCTATGTTGTTCACTCCCTCCTGGCTTTCGATCTTGGATATGATCTTTATGCCTTCACCTTTCGGTCCCAGAGTCTGACGAATCTCGGACACGGCATTGGCATCGCGGATAAACGACGCAAAGATCATGTCCACCTTTTGCTCAACACCGAACTTAAGGTCCTTTTTGTCCCTCTCTGTAACAGCTGGCAAGTCTGGCACTTCAGTTCCCGGAAGATTGACGCCTTTGTGGGAGCCTAGATTGGCGTCGTTCAGCACGGTGCAGGCGACCTCGTCGTTAGTTGCACTCTCAACTCGCAGTCCAATCAAGCCATCATCAACAAAGATGCGTCTCCCAGGCTTGACAACGCTGGGAAGGCTTTTGTAGTCCACATAGATCTTCTCCTTTGTACATTGATTCTCCACAGATTTGTTCGTTGTGAGAGTGACCTTATCACCCCTTTTCAGGAGGACCACTGAGGTGGGACTGCCGTCAGCTAGCTGACCCGTCCGGATCTCTGGACCGCTGGTATCGAGTGCTATGGCCACCGTCGTTGGAATGCCCGTCTCCTGCACATACATCTCCATTGCCTTGCGCGCCGCCTGAATGACTCTGCAGTGGAGCTCGTGGGAGCCATGCGAAAAATTCAACCGCACCACTCGCATTCCCGCCTGGATGAGCTTTAGCAAAACTTCCGGCTTTTCGGAAGAGGGACCAATGGTGCAGATGATCCCAGTCAGGTTTTTACTCAGGGCGGGTGTATTAAACTGTATTCGGGACCGGTAGTCCAACTGAGAGAAAAAGGGCCCGCGATCCATCTTGAACTTTGCAGCCCCGGATCCATCCTTAGGACACTAAGAGGCGTTAAAAACTGTTAGCTAAATTAGCTTAATTTTCAAAGAAAAAAGGACTCACCTTATTGTCTCCGTAGGGACGATAGCTTGTGACTAAAAAAGGAGTGTGCTTGTGGGGGACAACGCGAATGGTTGCCCTCCGACAAGCGATTCTGACGTATTGGCGAATTTTGAAAGAATTTAGATTCGAAAGAGCCAAATAAAAAAAAAAAAAAGTGTGTACTGGCAGTTAAAGTTTCAATTTTTCCAGGTTCATAGTTAAAATTTGAATGACAGAACTGGAAAATAACAATAGAAAACACAGGATAAACCCGTTCTAATATGAACTGATTCCATTACCAAAAGAGGACCTCTTGTTATACCCTCTTGTAGAGGGTATTATATTAATCCGTAATATTAAGTATTACATCTCCGACCCTACAAAGTTTTAAAAGTAGTTTTCTCTCAGTATTAAAAGTATAGAGTCCACAATTTGAACACAACCTTATTTCTTTTAAACTCAGTGTAGAAGTAGGAACGACCGGGATCGGTCGACTATATGCTATAACTGCCATATAAGTGATTGATCGAAAATACCATAACTTTGTTTAACTATGTTTATAAATTATAAATCATAAAATGTAAACACTCATATTTCCATTGCCTAATTATTTGAGCACCTAGAAGACAAACAGTAATGAAGGATAAAATTGTATCCTTTTTTTGAGTATGATAGCATTCCAGAAGATGCTTTAATTTGGAAACTATTTAATACATTTTTTAAAAATTAATTAAAAAGAAGTGCTCTTCTCCTCGATTCTCATAGGTTAGAATCCGACAACTATTGCCAAAGATATGGCTTACGGCGTGGGCCATATTGTCCTCTCATGCATTTCCCCCATTTTCAAAGGGGGCTACCCAGAAAAATTGACTTAAAATCTAAAAAATATTTTGTTCCTGGATTTTGATGCAGATTTGTGAAGAATCTATCCACAAATCGTTTAAGGTATTCCGCTCAAGAATCCGACAACTATTGCCAAAGATATGGCTTACGGCGTGGGCCATATTGTCCTCTCATGCATTTCCCCCATTTTCAAAGGGGGCTACCCAGAAAAATTGACTAAAAATCTAAAAAATATTTTGTTCCTGTATTTTAATGCAGATTTGTGAAGAATCTATCCACAAATTGTTTAAGGTATTCCGCTAAAGAATCCGACAACTATTGCCAAAGATATGGCTTACGGCGTGGGCCATATTGTCCTCTCATGCATTTCCCCCATTTTCAAAGGGGGCTACCCAGAAAAATTGACTAAAAATCTAAAAAATATTTTGTTCCTGTATTTTAATGCAGATTTGTGAAGAATCTATCCACAAATTGTTTAAGGTATTCCGCTATAGAATCCGACAACTATTGCCAAAGATATGGCTTACGGCGTGGGCCATATTGTCCTCTCATGCATTTCCCCCATTTTCAAAGGGGGCTACCCAGAAAAATTGACTTAAAATCTAAAAAATATTTTGTTCCTGGATTTTGATGCAGATTTGTGAAGAATCTATCCACAAATCGTTTAAGGTATTCCGCTCAAGAATCCGACAACTATTGCCAAAGATATGGCTTACGGCGTGGGCCATATTGTCCTCTCATGCAATTCCCCCATTTTCAAAGGGGGCTACCCAGAAAAATTTACTAAAAATCTAAAAAATATTTTGTTCCTGGATTTTGATGCAGATTTGTAAAGAATCTATCCACAAATCGTTCAATGTACTCCGCTTGAGAATCGGATGAGAATTGGAGAAGATATAGCCATCACTTTGGATCCTATAGGGGAAAACCCAATTTCAAGGGATCTCATCACGTAAAATGGACAAAAAATCTAAAAAAATATTTTGTTTCAAGGTTTTGATGCAAAATGACGGCGATTCGATCCAGAAATCGTTTAGAATCGGATCAATATTGGGGAAGATATAGCCATCACTGTCGTCTCCGCCCGAAGTTAGCTTTCCTTTCTTGTTTATATTGATTCCATCTTTATTAAAATATGAACTCAGTTTCCATTAATACATACATATATCGAATTTATTTCTTTTTGAAAAAACTATATTATTCAACAATGATACATTATATTTGTGTGTCTGTTTGGGCCAAAGACGGCTTTCGGCGTCTTGACAGCGGTTCTAGCATCCTCATGCAGTTTCCAATATTCCAAATATTGTGTTATTAATAAATTAGCTTGGTTATTAATATTAATCTTTAACGTGATGACCGCAGCCGATGCGATGCATCAAGGTACATCCTGAGCGCCAAAGGTTTATTCGACGGGGCTAAAAAAAAAGATGAGTCAAAAGATATTTCAAACTATTAAAATTTCAAAAACTTACACAATGCGGATGGTGTTGGTAAATCCGGAGCCCTGTTTCCAGCCGGTGACAACGACCACGGAGTCGCCGGTCTTGATGAATCCGTTCTTCTTGCCGACCTGCAGACCGAACTGGACACGCACATCCACATCCTTCAGCCAGTCGCTGAGAGCAGGCTCTGCAAGCAGAATTCTTTTTAGAGCTATCCTATAGAACCAATAATAACACACTTACCCTTGTAGATGAGGGGCACCAGGCCGCGGTAGAGATGGGCCTGACGGGCAGTCTGCGGGAAGCGGGTCACCGCGATGATGGGGCAGCGTGGGCGGTACTTGCTGACCTGGAAGGCCGACTTGCCGCTGGTGGTGATCACCACGATGGCAGCGGCCTTAGCCTTGGTGGCAGCCTCCACAGCAGCAATAGCAGCAGCATGGGCAGCATCCAAAGTGGTTGCTCCACGGACCAGATCGTTGAACAGGTTCTGGTGCCACAAAGCAGCCTCAGCCTCCTTGCAGGTCTTGGCCATTGTCAGGACGCACTCTAGCGGGTACTCGCCCTTGGCGGTCTCACCAGACAACATGACGCAATCGGCGCCATCAAGCACAGCGTTGGCCACATCGGAGATCTCAGCGCGAGTTGGGCGGGGCTTCTTCACCATGGACTCCAACATTTGGGTGGCGCAGATGACGGGCTTTCCGGCCTTGTTGCAACGGGCAATCATGGCCTTCTGGGCCAGGAAGACCTTCTCAGCAGGGATCTCAATACCGAGATCGCCACGGGCCACCATAATACCATCACCAGCCTCAATGATCTCATCCAGGTTGTGCATGCCCTGCTGGTTCTCGATCTTGGAAATAATCTTGATGTTCTTGCCCTTCTCGCCAAGAACCTTGCGGATTTCGGTCAGAGCGGCGGCGTTGCGAATGAACGAAGCAAAGATCATGTCCACATCCTGCTCCACACCGAACTGAAGATCGCTCTTGTCCTTCTCAGAGACGGCTGGCAGATCTACAGGCACGCCGGGCAAGTTGACACCCTTGCGGGAGCCCAGAGAGCCGCCGTTCTCGACCTCGCAGGTGACAGTATCCTTGGTCACCTCCTTGACCACCAAAGAAATCAAGCCGTCGTCGACGAAGACGCGGTTGCCTGGCTTCACCACGTTAACGATGTTCTCATAGTCCACATAGACCACCTCAAGGGAGCCCTTCTCCAGGAAGTCCTTGTTGGTGGACAGCTTGATGGTCTCGCCCTTCTTCAGCTCGATCTCGGCGGTGCCGCTTCCTCCGATCAGACCGGTACGGATCTCGGGACCCTTGGTATCAAGAGCAATGGCCACGGGGTGCTCGTAGCCCAGCTTGGCGGAGTAGTTCTTCACGGCCTGACGGACATTAGCCACAGTCTCGGCATGGTATTCGTGGGAGCCGTGAGAGAAGTTCATACGGGCAATGTTCATGCCGGTGGCCATCATCTTCTCCAGCATCTCGACGCTGCGCGAGGCAGGTCCGATGGTGCACACGATTCCGGACAAGCGAACATGGGGAACCGGCGAGTCGAACTGCAGGCGGCACATGTGCTCCAGTTGGCTATCAGCTCCAGCGGCCATGTTTTGCGGTACTTCGTTGGGCTATTATAGAATGAAAATTAAAAAAAAATCAATATTGTTTATTATAATTGAATTGCAAGAAACAGACATCATCGGAGCCTGATGTGTAACGAGCTTTTCGGTTGATTTGTTTATGATTGAAACCGAACCTAATTGTCGGGCGAATAAAAAACATATTTGTTTAGTAATTTGGGACGGAAAGTGTTATTAAAAAATATAGACAAAACCAAACAAAAAATGTTTGTTTATTTGTGAAATTTGAGTGGCTTTGTAGGAATTGTAAATGGTGTTTATTCTATGGAAAACTCAGTATACATTTTGGGAAAAGTTCCTAATTAAATTTGGTTCCTAATTAAAAAAGTAAGCCCATTTAAGTTATCCTTAGTCAAAATTTTAGAAGAAGAGTTAAGATAGGTACATCATTGTCTGTTTTATAGGTTTGTCATCTTAATTCAAGTGCGAAAGTTTGAATAATTGAAAATCCAATTTAATAAATCATTCCGAAAAAGTCATACTTGCAATAATGACAAGACCTTAAGCCTTAAGGTCTTCATAACTTTTCCAACATGTGACTAGTAATAGTCATAACTATTTAGCTCTCCATGGAAACAACTAAATGAAGTAAACAATTTTGATTTCACAATCTAACAAACTATCATAAAACTATAAGGAAGAAAAACGTAAGCCTTCTCCATTGAAAAGCCAAAATATGGTGGGGCGTCTGCTAGGTTTTTGGGGGAAACGGGTCGATAATGAATTTATCGACTAAATTAGGCGGCAATTTAGCACGAATCTTAAAATAGGATTGACAAAGCCGTAAAAAATTAACCAGGCACGAGCTTGCACTTGAAGAAATGTTAGGAATTAAGTGGTAATTATATCACATATTTTAATATATCATCAGATTTGTTTCCTTTTTTGGCTACTGTCCAATTTATGATACAACTTTTACTATCAACTATCATAAAACTATTATTGTTTTATCAAAAAGCTACATTTATAAACAAAATCCATAGACACCAACAATGTGCGTGCTTGAAGAGAGGCCTGTGGGCGGTGGGTGGTCCCGGCCGAGAATAAAAGAACAAAGAGAGCGAGGAAGAGACCCTGAGAGAGGGAAAGTGCCATGCGGAAGAAAACTTTTGAATCGACGTCGCTGCACCGCCGAAGGTCAGTTCCGCCGACCGAGAATTTTCACAGCTGCAGCGCAGCTCGGCCCAGTTGCATAATTTTTTATTTTTCCCCCTTAATAACTCTTCTGGGCTATCTACGGATATTTGTACTAATTTATCGGATAACGCGAGCAGCCAACTGATTATGTATATCTTTATGGACCAGGAAAATGGGTAACTCCCGTGACATTGTGGTGGTGAAAGGCCAGGGGCGTACCTTCAGCTGGGGCGCTTGGTCGTAGATGGTTACGTTCACCATTTTGTTGCCTAGAGATCGGGCAGTGCTAATGCAGCGAAAAACGAACTTGGAATCGGGATGAATATAACCTCCGGCACCACACACAACACGCACAAAACACAAAATCCGGCAGGAAATCAGATTTCGATATTTTGGCTAAATATTACAGAACCGAGTCACCGACCAACCGACGCGGCGAGGACGAGGCAAACTTTTCGAATGCCGCACAGATTTTGGCCAGCGGAAAATTTCACGAGAAACAAAAGCGTTTAGAACCCACGAACCCCAAAGAACCGAAGGCGCAAGAGCCGCGAGAGAGTGTCGGCGATGAGACCAGACCAGAGACAAAAGCAACAGGCCACCCCTATGAGCCAACTTTATCGACTCCCGTTTGAAAACGATTAAAAAAGGTATGCTCGACCGTTACACACCCAATCCTTTTTTGATTATTGGGCTATTAAAATTATAAATATGACAAGGTGGGAATATTTATATAGATCCTTTGAATCATCAAACATAATGGGTTTTTCTTAGCGTCATAGTTGGTATTATTTAAAAAAAAAAATGTTCTACAAAATATTCATATGATTATTCATCCTTGCATATGGAATATTACCATTGTACAATCACCAACTTGACTTTGACAATGATCCATTTATTTAATCTTTTTTTAAAATAAATACATTAAACTTAATAATGAGTAATTAGAAAATTAGTAATTGATATGATATGATCCCTATACCTACCCTATCCTTTTAATGGAGGGTAACAAAAAAAAAGTTTATCCAAAGAGGAGCACGAAGCTGAAGCGGAGTTACCTGGCGCAAAGCTTGTTTCTAGCCGGCAGCCGGCAAAGCCAAGAGTTCAACGAATCTTTGAGTGCTTCTAAATTTTTTTTTAAATTTATATACATACATATATATTAACTATGCACGTGATGATTGCATGTGTGCGTAAGTGTAAACAAAAAACTGATCAGCAGCTGTTCTGTTCCACATAGCGATGTCGCTTATCAGCCGGCGCCAAACCAAGAAAAAAAGCGCCAACTGACCTTGACAAATTAATGTGCTCCACAAAAAAATTTCCCATCCCACTCGCACGCCCATTATGCAAGTGCGTGAGCATTCGATTTGATTATGTATTGGTATATTCCTCAGTTGGGGGTGCTTTTTTTTATCGTTCGATTCTCTCACGCGCAAATGGCGTGGAGCTTTTTTTTGCAGCTTTCGCCGGGAAACTCATGAGAGAAATGTTGAGAGTTCTGAGTGGAAAGTAAAAGTGAAAGCGCTTTTCCAGCTCATAAAGTTAACCACATATGTATGTAGATATGTATGCAATTTGCCCTTGAACTTGTCCTCGAAAGGACGTTAGCACCGTTACAATTAAACACCATGTCGAATACAATAAAACTCCTATCAGTAGAAATACGAAATTAGCAATAAAGCCTTGCTGGATGAAAGTATTTAAAGTAGAGCAGACAAAGCTGAGCCAATTACTCATCAGTCATAGCGTCACAGGGCATTTCAAAAAATTTCGATAAGGCTGTCCGGATTTACAACAATTGAGACAGTTTAGTGATTATTATTGCAGTTGCCGATGGCGTGTTTTATAGAGGGTGTGCTGGTTGGGCTCTTGCGTTGAGCGCCGTATGGAATGACTTCTATTTCACCTTTACACATTCCGCTAACAAGACGCTTTTTAGAGCGTTCAAATCTGTGTGAATTGAACTTTCAATTGTGTTTGTGAGGCGGCAAAGTCAATTCTACATAATGTGGAGAAATTGCTTGCATCATCATTAGCAGAACAACAAAAACTCGTATGGCCCCAAACGCCGCAATTTGCGAAATTTCCATCCCCATATAGTACGATTCGGTTGAATTCACAAAGTTTTTAACTATATTTACCTTTTTGAGGAAATAAAGACGATGAAATCGCAGGGAGTAGTGCTCTTCCTGTTTTGGAATTAATTAAAATCAATTTAAATGCACAGGTAACGCGGGTTCTCCAACTAGAATCCGTCCGGCGAGCGATCTGACTTGCGATTGGAGCAAGTTGGGTCTTTATATATGTGATATGGAAATATGTAGGAATATATACAAACTTATGGCGCGCGATATTTTCGGTATTAACTTGAGACAAAAAAAAGCTCGTTTAGTATTTCGCGGTTTTCCATCTGGTCACACTGAATAGAGCACCACTTGATCTATTCTAAAACTCTCAAAAATGCGAATACATAAAAACTTTTACTGCTAAAATTGTCAATTAGAGGAACGAACCTATTAAAGAATTTATTTTAAAAATAAGAAAATGGTTTTTTTTATCGATAATTTGTAAATGCATCGAAAGAATCGATATTGCTCCAATCAAGTCTCCAACGCAACGGTCTTTTTATTTAGTTTTTTTTTATGGTATATTTAAATTTCTACGATTTCCATAATTTTGGTATTTTTACAGCACATTTGATTTACACGTCCTGCCAACTTTATTTTAAATGAAACGCAACAAACATATCACCCCCAATAGTGTGAAAAACAAACCCTTATTTGATTATGAAATTTCAAAATGTCAGTGATAATCTACACAAAATTTAAAACTTTAAAGTAGCTCATCTCTAATTTCAACATCAATGTTATAGGAAATAGTTTTTTAGTGTATTTAAGCATTTGAATAGTAGCGCATTTTAAAAATACCTTGTAAAATCTTATTTACCGCTTTTAAATAATTACCGATTCATTATTTTCAATAATCAAACAATCAAAAGACGGCAACCATTGTCCCATCACTAGCGGTTATGCAAAGTCTGACATTTAATTGACAGCTAAGTGTTGAAATTATGTATGACACATTACTTTAAAATTCACACAATGCAAAACATTTATGATCAAACACCGAAAAATCTAAGATTTTGGGGTTTTGAGGGCTTATATACATCTTGTCTAAAATAACCGAAGCCGCCATATCGGTTCATCCCTACCGTGTTGTTAGGGCTGCCAACTTGGCCCGCTAAAAAATCGCAGAGAAAACATGCTGGGCAATAAAAAAAGAAGAAAACAACCAGCGCCAGCGCTGGCTAATATGCAGCTTGATATAACGAGGCAGCACCAGGGGCACAAGAGAAAAATTTATAACTGAGTGTAGAGAAAAAATTGCTCTTTGGGGCCGAGCACGTAACAGAAAAAAAGCTGGTAACAAAACTGTAGCGATGAATAGCAACATAAACATAAACACCGTGCCCAGGCCCAGTTCGAATCCCCATCAGCATTCCCTTCCCAATCGTAGTCCGGAATCTGTCGAGGAAGAGGAGGGGGACGGTGACCGGATGAGCGACACCAGCAGCTCGGCGAGCAGCCAGCGGAGTCGCACTTCGAGCAGCAGTTCGTCGAGTGATTCGAGCGACTCATTGGAAGAGGACCATGAACAGGACCAAGATCCAGACGAGGACATGACCAGTGGTTCGGAGACGGAGGACGATACAGCCACCTACCAGTCGGACGAATTGGAACTCGCTCAGCTAAATGGAAGGGATATCTTTCGGTTGCCTCGTGGTCTCTGCGAAAGTTCGGCCATATTCCATGAGTTCTTCTCCATGGAGACCTGGCAGCAGTTGCCTCAAGCAATCCAAGCTCGTCTGCAGACCTTGCTGCCAGATTTTAACGGCTTGGTTTCGGGACCGGCGCAGGCTGGAGCTGAGCAACAGCGAACCCTCGTGCAGCTTTTTAACGGTGGCCTCCAGCGCTTCGGGCAATCCCCGTTGCTCCAATTGCAACGGCAACTGGAAGAGGGAAGCTTGAGACCGGATGTTTTGCAGCTACGAAAGAGCATACAGCACTCGAGCCGGAGGGAATTTCGCTTCCAGCAGGCAGAGCGGCTTAGTCAGCTGGCCAAGGAGCTCTTCCTCTCCAGAGAGCAAGTCCTGCAACACGCTTACACATCAACTCCTCCCAACGACGGGTCTTTTGATAAATATTTACCAAGACAACGACCGCGGAAGCGGAAGCCACCTTCGTTAAACGCTCAGAATCGATGCTGCACTCAACGAGCGAAGAAACGATACGCTCAGGAACTACTTGACGTTATGGCGGAGCTGAAGGTAATGCCTGGAGACATTAGCGCCGAGGACGATGAAGAGGACGAGGATTGTTCTCAGCTGCTAGAGCGTCTTGCTTACGGGCCCCCAGAAGTTCTTCCAGAGGAGCCCAAGGCGCAGGAGCGGGATGGAGCTGGCAGACCTTCGAATGCAGCTGACAAGAAGAGCATTTACAACACGTTCTTTAAGCGGCGACCAGGAGTGGAAGATGATCATATACTGCGCCTAATGCAAGCCGAACGAAATCCCCAACTCAACGATAAGAATTTCCGAAAGTATTTGCGGGACTACAAGCGCCGAAAAGTGGAGCAGCCGGTAAGTTAAAATTAGTTTAAGGAGTAAAATAAAGTAAAGACGCAATATTTCCCTTATTCTGGTTAAATTGGTAAACTTCCAAACCCTAGAGATTGTTATCTCAAAAAGTATTACGTCACTCAAGTACCAAACTAAAAAAATTAAATATCGATACTATATTTTACCGTTATAAGATAATCATTGCTTATCTAATACTTTCGTAATTGAAGTTTACATTGAAACAACATCAAGACTAACTCAATTATTTATTTGTCTTTCAGGATAGTCCCGAGTTCGACACTTCCGAGGTGCGCCTGCGTGACATCTGCACCCGAGCGCAGTTTGTCGGAAATTTCAAACCGGGCAGAAAACCAAAGGCACTGATGGCACGCCTAAATCCGGATCCACCTGCACTGGTACCTATTGGAGCCACAGCCGGAGCTAAGAGCGAACTGGTTGACGAGGAGCCCATGCTACTGGATGAGCCGCATCAGCTGTATGGCCGCCGGGTCCCCGAGGACAAGTCTGAGGAGAACATGAGGCCTAACGAGTTCATGCCAAAGAAAGCCATTGCCTCACCAGCAAGTACACCTGTGTCCCAGCCCGTGCCCAAACTTGAGCCATTAAATGGACCGATTTCGCAAACGCGTGCGAGTCCAACAGCATCTGCTGCTCCCCCGAATTCTGCTCATATCACAGGCAGCCCCACAAGGGAAGCAGTTCTGCGTCCTTCATCTTCCAGCCGACCATCCTCATTCTTCGCGCTGCTTAGGGATCTGTTTGTATCGACTCCTCAGCATCGGCTAACATATGGAGAACTTCAAATCCTTCTCAACAACTGGAGAGACGCCCATTCGGATGCTTCTATTCCGACAGGGGACTGGTCGCGGTCTGTTATTGATTGGACGAAGCTGCTCCAGTCTGGGATTAACTTTTTATCTGGAGATTTCGGGTCTCTGCCAACGGAATATGTGCCCTACATTGACAATAAAACCCAAATGGGGATTTATCAATGGATCGGAGCTGGCCGCGACACTGATGCACGGCTCGTAGGCTTGTGCCAAAGTTGGCTGCGAACGCAGAAGGAGGAAAGCTCCCAGCTAAGTCCGGCCTTGACCTCAAGTGTGAGTTCCCTAGTGGATACAACCCCAACGCCCCCTCCCAGATGTCCCACTACGTGGACCGTCCGCACGGCCACCCAAGCGGAGATGCAGGAGTTCCAGCGGCAGGAGAGAATGCGCTTCGAGTATCCACATCGACCATTTACGTATCGCCTCAACGGATACGAGAGTGTCGTGGGCCCCGTTAAAGGAATTTACACCCAGAGCATGCCTTTGAATAAAGCCCGCGGACATGCCGTCATGGTGGACGATCGACCTCCATTTGTGACCATTCTCACTCTGGTACGAGACGCCACCGCCCGGCTGCCGAATGGCGAAGGAACTCGTGCCGAGATTTCCGAACTATTGAAATGCTCCCAGTATGTAAATCCTCAAGCAGCGGACAATGTCCTGCAGACGATTGTCAGTGGAGCGCTAGACAGGATGCATGGCGGTCAAGATCCCTGTGTGAAGTACGACGCCAGACGAAAGATCTGGATATACTTGCATCGTAACCGAAGCGAAGCTGAGTTTGAAAAAATGCATAGACATAATCAGACCATGGTGAAACAGAAGCAGCAACAAAGGAAGCAACTGAGCAGGCCGAAGCTGGAAGATGGAACGGAAAGCTCTGGTACTGAGCGCCAGCAGCAGGATCATCCCCCTGCTTTGGTGTCAGCAGTGGTATCGCCAGTTCCCGTTTCAGTTCAACTTCCCCTCGGTGCTTCTGCCCAAGTGAAAAAGCCACTGGCTGTTAAATGCCCTCCCGTGCCGCCTCTAAAGTATCACCTGCCTCATGGAACGCCCAGTGCAGCCGTGTCCTCGAATCCCATTCAAAATACAAACACAAACCCATCGACGCTAGCACAGAAGTCCTTACTCAAACCAGTGGCTGTGTCCATACCTGCTTCCTCGCCGCTTCCGCGTACGTCGATCACACCAAAAGGCGGAAACTTTACGATCTCCAAGATCAGTCCGACAAGAAACACTACGCCAATTCTGGTATCGACGCCCACAGGCATGCAAACCGTACACGTATCCACAACGCCAACACCTGGCGCTGGATCGTCGCCTGCAGCCACACCTAAAAAACTGATGATCAAGAAAACCCCTCCGGGTAATAAAATTGGTAACTTCATCATACCCCTGGACCAACAGCAGCAGCCACAACAAGTTCAACCTCTACCTGGTAAACCCAAAACCGTGACCATCACTCCTCGTCCTCAGATGCCGAAGAACATAATCCGTCTTTTGCCTGCCGGCGCAAGCACCACGGCAACGAGTCCCAAGGCCGCCACGGTACAAATGCTTGGGCCCCGTGTAGTTCCCCAGGCGCAGACTATACGCCCAGCACAGCAGAAAATCGGAGCGGTATCCATTGTGGCAAATAAGCCTGTGGCCCCTGGTGTTGCTGTAGAAGCTACAAATCCTGTGGCTATTGCCAAAGGGTCCTCCACGCCCGCGGCTGGAACCATTCTCAAGATGTCGCCGCAAGCATTCGCCACACTCCAGCAACAGCAACAGCTCAAGCAAGCAACCAACAACAGCACTCCTGGTCAGAGCTCGCCCCAGCAGAGGATTATTGTTGGTTAGCATTGACATAGTTTACCTTTCTTATGCCTTTTTTTATTTTTTACGTAATGGAACTTTATTTATCTGATACTTTCTTTGTTTATAGGTAACACGGCGATTTCGGCGAATAAAAAGATCGTGTTCCAGACCGTGACAAAAGCTGCACCTAAAATACTCACCACTTCCCCAACCGCTTCGATTTCCAAAACGCCAACGAGCATGTCACCACAACAGCAACAGCCCCAACAGAGGATTGTGCTTCAGAACTTTAAGCAGCCTGTGCTGTCCAACAATCAAGCCACATCCACAGTAGCTGGAGCCACAACGCGGATTATTCGAGCTACTCCAGCTGTAGGTGGAAATCCAAGTGGAAACACAACGCAGGCGGCTGGACAAATTATTACTCTAGACAGCTTGCTTCAGAAGCAATCTTCGGGAGGAAAACTGGTCAGCACGGCAGGCAACAATATCATTCAGTTGGCCACCTCTTCAGCTGGTAATATGATCACCCTGAGTCCCAATCAACCCACAAAACAGTTACCCACAATGGCGCGCATTGTAAGTGCCACTAATACGACCAGTGGTACTGGAGGAAGTCCAACTGGTGGTTTAGCTACTGGACCCAAGATTATTGGAAAAACTACCGTGCTCCCAGGAAAACCACTGCTTTTGAATGCCAAGACGATTAAGCAACTGAGCGGCAGCAGTGTGGCCACCACTCAAGTGACCACCACTACGCCTCCAACGGTGGCGTCTAGTGGAGGAACCGTCATTTCAGGCACGGGAGTCACCACAACTGGAGTGCGAACGACTCAAAACATTGTGATTGGCGGGCAGACAGTGAAGCTGCAGGGAGCGGTAAGTAATTCTACATAGCTGACCTATTACTCCTCAGTATAATGTACACTCCAAACCTGTATTCATGAACCTTAATTCCTACAGATTCCCACTCGAGCAGCAGGCGGGGCACCCATGCAGACCGTTATTATGGGCAACCAGCTCCTCAGACTGGCTGCAACCAGTAGTAGTCCGTCGACAACCACGTCCTCGGGATCCATAGCGACAGCACCCAAGACATTGGTCATCGGAGCGGGAGGTGCCCAAACTCTGCGAATCGCTAAGAATGTACTGCTGGCCAATAAGCAGATCACAAGCTCTGCCGGCACCACCAGCACGACAGCCGCTTCTGGAGCGACCACGACGGCTGGAAACAATGTCATGTTTGCGGTGCAAGGCAACGGGGGCCAGTTGTTCTTCTCGCAAGGAATACAGGGAGTGAATCTTAAGCCACTGTCCAGTTTAAAAGTGATACCAATGGCATCTGCAGCAGGAGCAGCAGCCACAACTGGTGGCAAGATCTCCTTGACGACAGTGGCCGGAGAGAGCGGTACAAAGGCCTTGACTACCAAGCTGATACCGGCCACAGTTCTGAAAACAGCCACTGGAAGTGGCAACTAGGAGGCTTTGGAGTGAGGTGGATTGAAGAAGTTTGTTAACCCGTTGTTTACCCTTCTTCAATTTTAATGAAACACTTCGTGTAATTTATATATATAGGCAGAAAGTTTGATCGCTAATATTTCTTCGTACTAAGTGAAAAGATAGACACCAGAAACCAATTTTGTGGAAACAGATTATAAAGTATATATATTTAGAAAGACACCCAATAAAACTCAAATGAAATCATCTTTGTATTATTTTACTCTAGATATACTTCTATATTTTACTTCAGATATCTCAGAACTACAAAATAACATTTTTAACTTAGGACTTTTTTAAAAAAAGACATTTTTTCGCGCACTTAATTGTCTTTTCAACTTGAGAACTTAAATAAACCTTAATTTATATGGATAATGAATTAGATGAAAGGAAAATAATACCCACAATAAGTCTTAAACATTTAGTAGGCTAAACTTCAGGTTTAGCTATGGTAACTTCCTGAATTGTGGTTCTTCTGACCGAGATATATACATTGGACAATTTATGGCTTAGATGGCCTTCTTGTGCTGTTTGAGGTGTCGGTTAAGTTTTATTTTCAAGTCGAATTCCTTGCCACATATGTGGCAGGAAGTATACGATTTTGGGCTAATAGTAGGCGAGCGGTTGGTATCCTGCAGTTCGAAAGAACCTTTCTCGGCAATGCTGGTCTGCTCCAATTCATTAGAAAGGGACGAAACCTGTGATTGACTCTTGTATCTGGTTGATCTTGGCGTTTTTTCCAAAGATCTCTTCCTCTTTTGGGGCGTTTTGTGAGTGGCCAGGACGTGAGCTTCAAACTGCTGCGGCTCGTTCAACGATTCGTCAGGAGTCAAAACAGGCGGAGAGGGAGCTCGCATGGTTGGCTTTACGGAAGCAGATTTAACCACTCGCACTGAAGTGGTCACTAAATTAGTCGGGTTCTCAGGAGGTAATTGGTTTCTGAAATCAAACTCTACCGAGCCATCAGAGATCATTTGATTGGAAGATGCCTTTGCTCTTCCTACGCTAGGTTTGGACCGAAGTTTCAGGTTTTGCTGAACATGATGAGCAAGTTCTGCCTCGCGTTCTGCAAAAGTAATCGTATTAATAAACAAAAATATTTGTTTTTATTAGTTTAACAAACCTTCCAAATGTTTATTCATGTGCTCCTGAAGTAAGCTTTGTTTAACAGCTGTAATTAAAGATATATTAAAATATATAAGATATTCATGTTTGCAGTTTCTTTTAATCCATGAATCATATTTCCGAAGACTAGATTTGGATACAGATTGATGAAGAATTGAATTTGAAAATACTTTAAGCTATTCTGCTTTAAAACTCAGAGGAATATTGCTACTCAGGGGAATCCACTTCAAACCAAACTCTCGAATCAGATATATGTATATTCTAAATAAACAAGCTCAATAAACAAAAGAATAACAAGTTTTCTGTTTACGCCAGTTCTAAGCAAAGACTTGATTGTTTAAAGAAAAAAATAAAATAGAAAAAGATTACTCACTCTTGCGGCAATAGGAACATTTGGTGCGAGTATGAACGGCCTGTTTGTGTTCCTTAAGGGTGTCCTTAGAGTTGCAAAGGAAACCGCAAATGGGGCACTTGAGATGATTGGCCAGCTTGTGCCACTTCATGTGGAACTTTAATCGTGACTCCGGAGCGTTAGTAAACTTTTTGCCGCAAACATGGCACTCCCAATCCTTGAGAAGATGGGTACGTCGCATATGGTTTAGATGCTCTTCCTGATTAGGCGACTCGTGGGAGCACATTTTGCAATAGACTACAGGAGAGGCTACAGGCAAAGGCAGCGTGACTGCTGTCTCGCCATCGTCGTCGTAGGTGAACTTAAAAATTTCCTCCTCCTCTTCCTCTTCGACCTCTTCCTCAGATTCCTCATCATTTTCATCTGCCGTTGCAGACGCTTCCTCACTGGACGTAACAAACATGCTGCCGGTTAACTCCTCTACATCCATCATGTCAAAGCTTGACCGCAAGGGAGAGCCCAGAACCTTTGGCTCTGGCGACTGAAATACAGATTCGTTTTGTGTTGGTACCCTGGCCATATGCTCCTCCTTGATGGGAACATGTGGAATGTCAAATGCGGCGCAAACGCGGCGGCTTCCATCCTCGTCGCTGACGTCTTCGTCATCTGTGTCCAAATAGATAAATCCGCAAAACTGTTCCTCCGGATCAGCATCAATTTCCTTCTTAATAACTATTCCTCGCTGAGCCTCAAGATCACCGAACAGCTCTTGCGTCTCGAGGCAACTCTGCTTGAATTTCAGCAGTTTCTTAAATTCCGCGATGCAGGATATGCACATGTATTGCGGCCGACCGTCTTCCCGCACCACCTACAAATAAAATGGTACAATCGTTGAAATTAGACTCATTGAATCACCATTGATCGTGCTGGTTTAAGAACCTTCAGATCCCAAGCAGCCATTTGCTCGATTATTTTCCCCATGGACTCCTTGGAGGCGTTGTCTCTGCCGAATATGGGCTTGACCATCGCTTGGTCCATGTTCAGGCCCATCGTGTAGTAAATACCGCATGTGCGGCAGGGTTCTATGGAGTCCTCGTCAAAGTTATCGAGACACGTGGTGAACTCCATTGCGCAGCTATATGTGAGGAAACTTCATCGGAAGCAATTCAAGTCTATTGAAGATGTTGTTTTTTGTTTTCTGTGTGGATTGGAGCCAGCAATTGTCAGTGTTGAAAAGTAACCAATTTGAGAGTGGTGGGGCTGCCAGTGATGTCAAGTCCTGCATAGATTTTCCTCTAAAAAAGCTAACGAAATTGATTATTTTTTTTAAATGGTTTAAAAAAGTTCAATTTTTCAATAAAACTTAATATGATTTATTTAAATTGATCTTTTAGTCGTTTAAACTTTTTAGTGCAAAGGCTTATATCTATAAATAGTTCAAATAATTTACTGTTTTTTAATATATATTTATTAATACAATGTACTGTGTGAATAAACTTTTATTCAAAAAACATTCGATTACAAAACCGTCAAGTAGTTAAAAGCTATCGGTTCTATTGCCGCACGGGTACTTTTTACGCCTTCCAACACTGCGCCATTGTTTTTATACGAAAAATATAATCATCCGCTCTTGCCGTCCGACTGAATCATTTTTTCCGGTGGCCCCTAATTAAAACAAAGATTTCGCTAGTGGCAGGGTGTACGGCATACCACGGAGAGTGCAATGAACCTGACGGAACAGAATCCGTACGGCAATGGGCTGCTCTATGCAGCTTTTAACCAGGACCAGGGTATGTAAATGTGTATGGTTGTGTGTTGTTTATTTATAAGATACAGAATGACTGAACTATAAAACACCTATTGCGTTGCAGGATGCTTTGCCTGTGCGACGGACACGGGCTTCCGTGTCTACAACTGTGATCCGCTGAAGGAGAAGGAGCGCCAGTACTTTCCAGAGGGTAATATACACAAAAAAGCATATTCACTTCGGTCGGCTGATGTTAGCACAACGTATTCCAGAAACCCATGATTTAATAGAACTAGATATTAGAAATTTATGTGTCTGGCTATGATTAAGCCTCTTGGGTTTCTGTTATGTGCTATAAACAACTTTCCGAACGCACTGCGGTCTTGTAAAGCGAAATTATGATCAACTCGTGTGAATGCTTATCCATTGTTATCCATAGGTGGTCTCAGCCATGTGGAGATGCTGTTCCGCTGCAATTATCTGGCTCTGGTGGGCGGCGGCATCCGGCCCCTCTACCCACCAAATAAGGTGATCGTGTGGGACGATCTCAAAAAGTCACCAGCTATATCGTTGGACTTCAACCAGCCGGTGCGGGCAGTGCGACTACGTAGGGATCGTATTGTGGTTGTCCTGGAAGGAGTGATCAAAGTGTTCACATTCACGCAACAGCCGCAGCAGTTGCATGTGTTCGAGACCAGCTCCAATCCGAATGGGTTGTGTGTACTGTGTCCGCACAGCAATAAGAGCCTCCTCGCATTCCCCGGTCGGCGTACCGGTCACGTCCAGATCGTGGACTTGGCCAATACTGAACGAGCTCCTTTGGAAGTAATTGCCCACGAGGCGGCAATTAGTTGCATCGCCCTGAACCTACAGGGCACCCGACTGGCTACTGCGGGTGAGAAGGGCACGCTCATTCGCATCTTCGACACGGAAAGTGGCAAGAAGGTTTCGGAACTGAGAAGAGGTAGCAATCACGCCAATATTTTTTGCATCAACTTCAACCACCAGAGCACCATGGTGGTTGTAGCCTCCGACCACGGAACTATTCACGTCTTCAACCTGGAGGATAATAAGCCGCGGGAATCGTCGCTGCCTATAATACCGAAGTATTTCTCGAGCCAGTGGAGCTTTGTCAAGTTCTCAATACCCCAGGGACCCAGATGTGTTTGTGCCTTTGGAGCCGATCCGAATTCGGTTGTGGGTAAGTCTGAGCATATGCAGCCGCACTTCCCATGGGATTGCAATTATCTAATACATATTTTTTGGCTTTTTACACAGCTATTTGTGCGGACGGCCATTATTATAAATTCCTATTCAATAACAAGGGCGAATGCAGTCGGGACATTTGCACCCAATTCCTCGAGCTGCAGGACGACGAGACCTAGGAACCACCCAGCGTTAGCTGCACCTTTAAAATTATATATCTCCAAGGAAATGTGTTATACAATATTACTTATAAGCATGCTTTAAAATACGTTAAAAGTCGAGTTCACATAAAAGTTAGCTTAACATTGAGAAAAATTATGGAATATTTGATAAGCGGGAGCAAGCAATTATGAAATTTTCTGAACCATTAAAAATGTTGTGACATTCTGTTAGAATCTAAAGACCCAAAGCTCATCCTCAAACAAGACCACTTCACTTACACATGTATAAAACTATGTTTATTTCTCAGAAATATCACTGAAATGTTAAGCACTTTTAAAGGATGTATTTAGGTAATGACACTATCAAACTAGTCACGATTGGCCCTCACAGATGCGTGGTGTTGCTCTCCTCAAATGCCGGATTGGTCATCCCCGCGTTGGGCGTTCGCCCGTTCTGTGGCCTGGGAGCGAAGTCGCTCTGCTGCAGATGAATGATCTTGGCCTGCTGTTGCGAGGTGATAGGCACGTGGAAACTCTGCATGCTTTCAACGTTAATGGTATTTGCCGGATATGGAGTTTCCTCCTTTATGGGCAACTTTGCGCTGGGTTGCTTGCGAAGCAGATTCATGTCCGATTTCTTAGAAAAGTGCGCCTCAATTTCCTAAAAAGATTTTTAATTCATCAATTGAAGTATTCTCTGTATAAAAGTTCTGGAACACTTACCCCTAGAGTACGCCCTTCCGTCTCCGGAAGTGTGAAATAAAGCACAATGGTTCCCACAAAGGCCACGCTAGCGTAGAAGGCGAAGGTTCCTGGCAAAGTAAGTGCGCTGAGCATTACCAGGAAGAGCTTGTTAGCCAAAAAACCGAATATATATCCCACCCCGCCTGCAAATCCTGAGGCACTGTTACGTATCTCTGCAGGGAAGACCTCGCCGATGAGAATCCAGGGTATCATGCGGATGCCCAGGTGGGAGAAGAAGGCAGATAGCAGCAGTAGAATGAGTGGCAGCCAAACCAGATAGTTGTGCTCCTGCTTAGGCACCACCAGCAGAAGTTCCTCCACTATGGGTGGTTTTGCTGTCGTGGTAGTCGTTGGAGTAGCGGAAGAACTGGGAGGCGGTTCAGGACTGCTGACTGGCGCGGGATACATTGTGGTATCCACTGGAGCATCCGTAGTATCCATATCATCGGCTTGCCGCTTACTGCGATTGTAAGATTCCGTTTCGGAGAAAGTTGTGGTTTCCAAGTCCGGCAGCAACGTCGTAAACTGTTCCGCTTCCTGTCTAATAGCCATTTGTTCGTTTTCGAAAATCTTTGAGATATTAGCCTGGGAAAGTATGGACTCTTTGGGCACAATGGAGGATGCGTTGACCACCACGTTGTTAACCGTGAATCCAGGAACTTCATTAAGAAAATGGGCGTAAGTGGCAGTACCGAAGAAGCATAGGCCTGTTCCGACCGTGGAAACCAGAACCAACGGTCGCTTGCCGGTGAAATGGATCAGGACAACACCCAAAATAGTCGCCAGCATCTCGGCCACTCCAAGGAGAATTGTGGCATGGTACTTGTTCATCGGTGCCTTGAGGGTGTGGAATATCTGTACAGCGTAGGTTTGCAGAGGCGTCTTTCCGGAGAAGTGGCCCGTAAAGAAGGTAAAGGATACCAGCATAAAGGGCACCAGGAAACTACGCTTCCGCCACATTCGAAATCGTTGGGCCAGAGTCCGACGCTGACCCGGGGGCGGTGTTCCATCCGCTGCCATTTCGATGGCCTTTTGGGTGATCAGTTCGTCGTACAGCTGATTGAACTCCGCCTCGATCTTGTGCTCCGGAACCCAGCCACGCAGCCATTGCAGTGACTTTACAGCCTCTCGGAACCTCTGCTCGCGGATCAGCCAAACCGGAGACTCCGGCACAAAGCACAGCATCACAATGGTGATGACCGGAAAGGCCGAACTCACCGCAGCCACACTTCGCCAGTCCATCAGAGATCCCAGAATGAACTGTATGAAGACACCAGTAATGACACAGGTAGTTCCCAGAGCGGACAGAATGCCCCGATACTTGGGCTCCGTGATCTCGGCCACATAGGTGAGCACCTGCAATGTTGCAAGAACCACAAGGTCGGTAGTTAGTACAGTGTCATTTAAATAACATTTTCAAATCATTGTTTTTTGTCGAAAGATTAACCCTTAGAAAGCTTAGTATTACAACATTATTAGATCAGTAATTCAGAGTTGAATGAGTAAATATTAAAACATAAATATTATATTCATGAATCCCAAACATAACCCATAAATGAACTCCTCTTTTCGGCTTAAAACCAAGTTACAATGGGTTAAAAACATAAATAGCAGCAGCCACTTTGTGGCAAAGTCAAGTGGCAAATGGCTTCCAAAGCTCTCAAGGAGTTGGCCAAGGTCACTCTAAGCTAACGACGCGGCAAGCCATTGTGGCAAGAGGAGTATGTGGGTCAGTATATGCAATCATGAGGGGCAATCAGCAAATGACATAAACATACTCAACGGAATCGGTAATCACAGGTGCAGAAGACCTTCCGATCATGGCATTTAAAGGTCTATTGGAGTTCTGAATAATCGTAAAAAAAGTAGCTTTTCTTTTTTAGTTTCAGCTTAATTAACTTGTATTAAGAACTATAACTTAATGGTAAATCAAAGCATACCAATTGCCATTATTTATCGCCTATAATCCCTTAGCAAAAAAAACTAAAGTTAGTATTGGCTGTGTTTTTGAATAATATAAATCACTCTAAATGCTGTTTAAATTTTGCACTTTCCTGCTGTTGGTCCCTAATTCCATCAGCATCCTCTACCGAACTAAATGGGCGTTTTATACCCCTAAAATGAAATATTCAAACCCAGATCCTCCAACCGATCTATGTAACGCTGGCCTTTGTCCTGCCAAAAACAAGCACATTACTTGCGGCAAAATGTTTGTCAGTAAATTGAATACAATATTTTAAAGAATGGTTGTCATTTATTCTGTCAATTCTAGTGGAGTCCAAAATGCGGTAAACACCATGAGGGAACGTCGCTAACTGGACAAAAGGATTACATTCTAAAGAGCATCAACCGGTTTCGCCAAAGAGTTGTGTCCGGGAAGACGTCTCTACCCCGAGCCCAAAGATTGCCGTCACTCTGTTGGGATGAGGATCTGTCGATTCTCGCGATGCGGGTGAGCAACCAATGCCAGGAAACCCAGATGGACCTATGCGTCAACACCCATCGGTTCAGAAGTGTGGGTGAAACGTCGGATTTCATGGAACTGAGACCTGGTGTCTATCCCGATATGATAACCTTCACCGATAAATGGATTTCCGAAGCAAATCAGTTGAAACCCGAAGACGTGGAGAGTTTTCCGGAAAATGCCGCTTCTAATGTGCTGGCGGCGGGCAACTTACTCAATGAAAAGAACACATATATGGGATGTGGAATCCTCAGCACTACTGGAAAGGTGTTTGCCACGTGCCTCTTCTCCAACAAGGTAAAGCCGGGCGACAAAATCTACACCATTAACCCAAATCCTGCGATGAATTTACGCAGCAAAAGCCAAAGAAGGTCTAAGGCTCGAAGTAGGCAAAGATCCTTCAGAACCTTACAACCGAAAAAGAAATCTTCTCAAAACACAAAAACTCCCATAACCACAACTCGAAGTTCTATAATAAAAAGGTAATTAGTTTTTCTAAGGGAGGTTTAAAAAAAATCTTTTCTAATTGCATCCTAATAAACTGTTAATTCTTTGAATAATACTTCGTATATCTCATATTTTAAAGCTTGTCTTAATAATATTTTCGCACCTACATCACTTTGCGGCTTCAACAGCGGAAAACCACATTCCCTTTCTGGCGAATTATGCAAATCAATAGATAAACAAAGGGTTTAAAGTTGGAGTGCTTTTACGACACTTCCTCCCTCTCCCTTGGGACGAAGCATGTGACTAGCTATCTATAGCTCATAGCAATTAATCGGCGCGGTTGGGATTCACTTACCGGCGCCTCCATCAAACCACCGCCGAGTCCAGCCAAGCATAAAGCCGCATACAGGTGTTCCGTGCGCGTCGCAAAGTGAAACAGCAGCCAGGCAGCCAGAATGGGCAGGTTGACAAACTAGAAGCAAACAGAAGGGGGGCGGTGGATCAGCACCATTGGATAAACATAATTGCATAAGCCAAACAAAGTCATGCAGCTCATTTCCAGCTCAGTGTGTCAGTGTTGCGAGCAATCGGTAACCGGAGTAACCCAAGCTGCACTGCAACAAGCCGCAAATTACTGCGGCTAAGTACATATCTTTGCGTATAGGCCAAATTAAATCTAGATTAATTAATAAGAATGAACCTTGGGCGAAAAATACCTGCATAGCTCTTCGTTTTCCCAAAGGTTGGGTTATAATTCCCGAAAACAAGCAACCCAGTGGCACACAAATCAAGTTAATAGAACCTAAAATAATTAAAAAAGCATTTAACTTACTCTCAAAAGAATGCACACTTCCAGGACTTACTGAACCAGGAGATCTCATCCTTGTTGAGGATTATATCACCACTGGTCTCACTGCGTCCCTCGCCGCCCTGAATGGCAGGGATCACGATCGTGGGAAAGCCCAATGTCATGCCATAGCCTGAAGAATGAAACATTATACTTGCAATAAATTATACTTTAAGCCTATTTTTCAATTAAGAGGAATGAAATTTTATGGAAAATGAAAATTTATAATCTTTCTATTACAATTTTTTATGTTTTATTGTTTATCCATTAAAACCCCCGTGTGAAGGTGGTATAAAAATTGTGAAACAATCATATACGCATCCATAAACATCAAAGTGTTGAATATTTAAGTAAATTGCAAAAAAACTTCCAATTTCTTAATGGTCGTATAATTACAGGGGACTCTAATCGTAAAATCCCCGACTTTAATAATGACTGGTGATTGCAATTAGCTGCTTCTGTTTTAAGGGATGGGAATATGGATGAAAGTGAAGTTTCCTCAATTTCATTCCCCCGTTTTGGGGCGTTTATGTGGAATTTTTGTGTTATTTACCGAATAGCAATATGTTCTTAATACTAACAGCAAGGAACTGTGGGAGGGCGCGGCGAAAGTTGCTAACTTCCACATCGTTGGCGGGAGCAATACGTCCTCCATTCACGCCTTGCATGAACAATGGCCGATCGTTCAGCGATCTGGAATGGAGAAGTGGGTATTTGGCATTCCATTAGTTTTGATTTTCAGATGGCAATTAAACGATGCTTCATTGTCTTAGTGAGAACTATGCCTGCTGCAGTTGCAGTTGTTTGAATATATTTTTTTTTATTATTTTTTTTACCCGTTTTTCTCAGCTGTTGCGCCGGCTGTGTCGGCCTTGCCATTGGACATCGTGGCGTATACTTGATGCGCCTTTTAGTTTGTTCAAGTGCTGCTGTTTGTCTTAGTTTGTTTTCTTTGCCTGTGAGCTTATAATTTTTGTTTATTTTGCAGTATCACTACTTCACTACGTTGCCAAAGGGTACTATGCTATATATATATTGGCTCTTTCTCACTTAGTTTGGCATCATTTGGCAATCATTATTCATTAATGGCTCTGACAGAGAGTGCTAAGTGGCAAAACCTTTCAAAATCAAAGAAAAAATACTTCATATTTCGATATTTATACGTCTTCTAGTTTTGTCCGCTTTCTTTATTTGTTTCGGCTTGTTTATTATGCGATGCGATATTGGAAGACGAGTGAAGTTTTTGACACAATTGAATGTTACGTGTTTTTATGTACGCGTAGGAAATAATTTCTATTTAAAAGCCAACAAGAAAGTAGGTACAAGGTGGAGAAAAAATGGTATTTAATTCTCAATTAATTTCTCATATGTCACGTGAGATACCTTCCGATGATTTATGAAAATTTTATGAGAAATTTATGCATCTGCACAAATTAAGTCAAATTTTGAAACAAAACAAAAAGGAAAGCCTTGAGCGTGAAAACCAGTTATTTTTTGGGTTCGATCATAAGGTGGATAGAAATTGAGTTTAGTGGTAAGACACTATCTATGAGATGTGTAATAAATCGCATTGTGGTCACGGGATACCGGATAACCGGTCGAAAGAGATTTCGTAGAGGAACCCGAAAAACATCCACGGATGGTGCCGCACCTTTACCGACTGTCTGTGGAACCCCAATGGGATCCACCATAAGTATGAATATTTAACTTTTTTCTGAAAATTCAGTGTCGATTCTTGACTTTGCTCTTGTTTACACCCGATTGCTATATTTACTGAGACGTATAAATTGAGACATTTTCAGAGGTACTTGTCTTGTTAAAGATAAAGGTTGTACAACGGTCAAAACAAAAAATAAAACACAAAAACTGGCTCGTTAATGGCCATAAGTCAGCGGTTAATGGCCAAGATATTGCTTCTAACTGCATTAAAGGGTTACAAAGGAGGTTCGTGCGACGGAGCTCCAAAAGTCGAACCACTGCACTTAATCGATGGCATATATTTTCGTATACTATACGCATACAAGCCATTTGTTAAGGGTTTACAGCAGGTTTAATCGGTCTGTTGAACTTTCGAATGATTTCGCCAAAATCGCAACTGGTTTTTGGGCTCTTTTTTTTGTTAACAGGATCCAGAGAGCTTGTACCCAGTAACTACTAAGGCTGAATGACATTATTTTAGAAATTCCAATACTTTGAATATTTTTATTTCGCGACAAATTCTTTAAATAATTATTAAGGCTTCCCAGCGGTTAGGGCTAACACCTGAACGTGTCGCGCGGTCAAAACAAACTGAAACCGAAGCCAAAGCTGAGCGCGAATATCTGCCTACGACTGTCCCGTTACAACAAAGTGACGACGACAAGCTTTCCACAAAGCCGAGCTTACAAACCAGAGAACAGAAAAGTCTCAGCAAAAGCTCGCCAACTGCCATTTGGGCCCATTCCGTTGTAGGAAATTTGGTAAACGAGGGAGCGCTTTAATGAACAAAAAATTACCGAAAAAACCCCATAAAAATATTCATTCAGTACGAAAACAATTAAGTTGCCGACAAACCAGTTTTGTTTATTTTTTATTTACCTGATGAATGCTCCGCCACTAAATCTTCCCCCCAAGTCGATACGAATTCAAATCGAACTGACATTCATAAATGTTATACTTTAGCTGCTCCACTAGCCAGCATTCCGGTTCAGGTTCTGGGCTCTGGGTGAGAATAAAAACACATACTATTCTAGTTAGCGCTGACGCGATACAAATTAAAGCTAGGAAATGGTGTATCTTGCATTATTTAGCCGACAATTGCATAAAAGCCGTCACACATGAATAGAACTAGAAGCGTGTAACAGTCACTGTTTGATCAAGACCCCCCAAATCTAACACGGAATCCACTTAGGTTCACTTAAGCACCTCCCATAAATACAATACTGATTTTTAACAATTGCTACAAATTTCTTACTCTATTACAGGCCAATCACAGCGTCATTCTGAAATTTGTCATTACTCTATTTAAATAAATTACTTGTTGTTAGCGCAATTTCGCGGTTAAATATTTGATACAAAAAATGGTAACTAAACTAAGTGCTTTATTAGGTGTTGGGGAAATCAATTTTAGCAAATAGGCGTAAAGCCGTCATCGTCCGATTTATTAATATTTTTGACTGCTCCATCTAATTACCTTTGGCTTGGCTTTGGCGCGTTCAAGCATTACTCACATATTTGTGTTATTAAGCAATTTGCTGGAAAAAAAACATCGCTAATATAAGTTAAATGGGCATATAGGAAAAAATACCCATATACTTTGGGTTCGGGACATATAATACCCTCTACGTTGAAAAATGCGTACATTAATTCACTACGTGAGCTATGCTATTAAGGCTTTAGGTTTTGGAGTTACTATAGGCTACAAAATTTTTAAAACTAAAAGTAAACTAAAGCCTATTGCTTTGAATGCTTTCTATAAATACACCCCCAGTCCGAATACCAGGTAAAACGTTGTGTACTTTAGTTATTTGCCTATTTGTTTATGGGCGTGAAAAAGTAATTGGTAGGGTAATCTTAAAAACGAGCGTTTTTTTTCCAGTGGCAACGAACTTCTAACGTAATTAAAATGATAAGCTTAATTGAAAGAAGCTGAGGTCGAAAACGTTCCACGATTTGATAAGCATGTGTCTGCAATGATCACAAAAACAATACCCCAGGATCGGGTATATTGCACTTTAATCTGATCTGCGTTTCACATTTGAATTGGAGAAGTGTTTAGAAACGAGTTTGGCGCGGTTGCAGCTTCCTTTTCCACTAGAACCTGTCGATTTCCGAGCTTTCGCATCAAACTGAAGGTCGTGGGAGGCTGGAAACAGGGAAAATGTCTGTGCAACAATTTGATGTAAACGGTTTTTGTGCGCTCATACACGTGATCATTGTTGTCGCCAGTGATTTATGTGTTTTTTTGTTGTTGTTTTTGTTAGACTAAGGCACGCACACACAAACTATTTAGGTTTTAATTGTTTGCTCATCAGTTGCTGCCGACAATTAACGGAAATGCAAAATTTGAATAACTTGAAGCAGTAGTCGAGTTATATAATTGAATACCCAGCAGGGGCTTGCAAGTTTAAAACTATTTTTATTTTTTTTATTTTATTTTATTTTTTGTTTAATCTTGTATAGTCATTTCACTCTTACATTGCTGGTACTTGCCGACTGATATTTCGGCGTAAGCGAGCTTCAGCCATTGCGGAAAATAAATTTTAGTTCGATCTATTAAATATCCATGCGTGGGGTTTGAGATGCTGTGGCCTACTAAATTTCCACCAATTGATTTTCTCGAATTGAAGCAAAAACCGAAGTAGTCGCTATAAGTTGTTTAAAAAATTAACATCGAATTGTTAATTAATTAGATCAACGCGAACGCCCATGCAAACGATTGGTGAGAGGTTGAATTTCTAATGAGCTGGCAGTGCTTGGTACATGGCCATTACGTATTTTTTCATAACATTTTAGTAAAATCATGCTAAAAACTATAGCTAATTAATTCAGTATTAACTTTAAATTTATCCATTTTGAAAATCCGTTACCAGTGATGCCACACTTCTACATTTTATCGATAGCCAATCCCATTTTTCCGTCGATGAGGATTTGAATTAAATCTTATCGATGTTTCGGTGGTTCCATCTCTAATGCTTGGACGACTTCTTTTACCGCGTTTTCGTAAGTATTCTCATCTAAAGTATTCTCTCTCTTTATTAAATAAATCACACGTTTTTAACAGGACAACTGGCTAGAATGACTGGAGGCACACCCCCTAAACGCTCGCCCTTGTGGATCGGCACTCACAGCGGCACCTTTCACTGCGACGAGGTGGTGGCCTGTTTCATGCTGAAACAACTGCCCGAATACGAAAACGCACAGATTTTCCGCAGCCGGGACGACAAAGAATTAAGGGAAAAGTGTGATATTATTGTTGATGTAGGAGGCGAGTATGATCATGGGAAGAAGTGGTATGATCACCACCAAAAAACCTTTGGAGAAACACTAAAAAGTGTTCGTCCTGAACTTGGCAAGGAATTCGACGTTATCAGGTAAGTAGCTTAATATCCCTAACAACATATTACAAGATCTTTAAATCTTCGACAGGCTTAGCAGTGCTGGCTTGGTCTATAGCCATTATGGCGAGAGAGTCATCCAAAGCATATTGCAAAAGGAACGGGGCATTCAATTGACTCCGCAGAACCTCCACTTAGCCTTTGTGCAGATTTACAGGAACTTTATCAGTGAGCTAGACGCTATCGACAACGGTGTCCCCATGTTCGAGGGAGGAGAACCAGTGTACAAGATTTCCACTCATCTTTCCGCCCGGATAGGAAAACTGAATCCCTCCTGGCACGAGACTGGCGTGGATATTGAACAGAGGTTCAACCAGGCAATGGATGCCGCTGGTCGGGAATTCGTTCAGAACGTAATAGAAGTTTCCTGTTCCTGGATTGCCGCCAGGGATCATGTTCGCGAAGCTTTGGAACTGGCAAAGAGTGTTTATCCTTCCGGCGAGATTCTTTTCTTAAAGACGTTCTGCCCTTGGAAGGCTCATTTGGCAGATCTAGAGAAAGAATACCAGGTTGAGGGTTTACCCAAGCTAGTGGTATTTAATGATGGAACTAGTTGGAGAGTCGCTGGGGTGCCTGTGAGTCCTAGCAGCTTCCTCGGGCGCAAGTTCCTTCCCACACCATGGCGAGGATTGCGAGATGAAGAGCTATCTGAACTGGCAGGAATAAAAGACCTTGTCTTCGTTCACCATAGTGGTTTCATTGGCGGTGCTAAAACCGAAGAGGCTGCCATGTCAATGGCTAAGAAATCCATTGAGTGGTCCGAGGAGTAAATGTTAAGAAGTTAAATAATAAAAGTTGACATTACTGTTTCAATAAAGTGATTCTTAATACAGCTATGACGTTGAAACTAAAAGAATAAATGGAAAAGCATTCAAAAGATCAGTTTGTACCTAAACAAATTTTATTTGTGTATATGTATATTTCTCTTAAACTTGTTTGCAAAATCACCAAGAGAATTCTTAACATCATCTAGTCCATGCGGGTCTTCAGTGAGCGCTCCGTAATCTTGTCCTTCTCAATGATGTAGACCGTGGCACCCCAACCGCTCATAGCGTCGCGGTCAAAGGCATTCATCATAGACTGAGCGATGACCTCAAACAGCTGGTCAGGCTCCAAGTCTGGTTTCCAGAGAGTCTCGCACATGCCGTACAACTGCTCTGCACATGTACCGGCCACCACAAAGTCATCGGGCTGGTTAGGGCAACCAATCAAATCCATATTGCATATGAAGGGTTCGAGAGTGTTGGGGTCCAGTCCTGCCACTACCGGCTCAATGAAATACGGGCCAAAACGGTGCTCGTATAGGAAACTGGACAACATCGCTGAGAAGGGTTTGGGGGCCATCTCCCGATTTTCGCGCGTCTCGTACAGATTCTTGCGGAACATCAGGCGATCGCGAACAGTGAGGATATCTGTCTGGAGGCCGGTGAGTCCCAGGAACATACGAGGGGCGATGTGGAACACCTTCTTGAAGTCCGTCGAGATGGTCTGGGCCTGCACTCCGAAACGGTGATCCGTGGCGATGGCCACACAGTCCTTGCCGCGCATCGCCACAACACATCCTCCGTTATAAGCTAAAATCGACATGGTGCCTTCGGTGCTCGCTCAATTTAATTACTTTAGCAGGGAATGAAAATTTTGCAAAATGCTAAACGCCGCCAGAGAAGATGACTTTTTGTTTCTGCTCTACGTTGCCGGACTGTGAAATTAAAAGGTGCTAAATATGACATAGGAATTTTATTTGTCTGGCAGTTGACAGCTTTTGCCGGGTAGTGCTGACACCCTGGCTTATTTTAGGCAAACGAAGATAACTTAAATTCTAAAGACCATCCACTCTTTCTAAGTTTTTAACGTTGCTTGTTGTTTTAGTGATAAACAAATTTTTATTCATGTAAGAAAATCATTACCAAAGAAATTGTTAGTATTCAAATGTGTCACAAATGTAAAACTTTCAATAGTTGGCAGCACGATATCGATCAGTGTGCCCGACGACACTAAGATTTCGGCTCTTTTGCGCTGACGGCCACTTTGAAAGGCCTTATTTTTAGAAAAATATAATTCATAAATTTACCCAAAGTTCGTCTAAGACCCAATGTCCGACGTGGAGTTCGGTGTGCTTGAATTGTCCCCGCCCGTGAAACGCAAAGCTTAGAGCTGTTGACAACCAACAAACAAACCCCTGAAACATAAAGGATTTCACATCTTGCACAACCAGTTAGCCGCGGGATAAAGAAAAGGACCTACAGGATGGCTGAGGCAATGGTGGAGGACCGGGCCGCAGACCCAAAGCGCTTCTTCTGCCACATGTGCAATGTGGAAATCAACATTCCCAACGCGGACTTCACCTGCCCGCTGTGTGCCAACGGCTTCGTGGAGGAGCTACCGGCGAACGCGCCAGAATCGGCTTCCCCGGCGGCTGCCACCACTAGCGGTGGGCGGTCAGGCAGCAGTGGATCCACGGGCTCACAAGATGGCCAAAGCAGAAGCAGCTCATCTGCAGGCTCTCAGGTTAACGTTGAGTCGCTGCGCAATGACATAGTCTCGCTACTAAGTATGCGGAATGTGCCGAACCTGGAGATAACCATCGAACCAAATAGGAGACATGGCAATGTGGTGCACCTGGGCGGGTTCGGAGGACCTTCGGCTAGTTCCTCGGCCGGTTTGACCGCCGGGGGGCGTGTGCGCCCGGCAAATCTTGATCGTCTTGACAATGTTCTGTTTGACTTTCTGCAGAGTCTGCCTTTGGCCGGCGCCACAGCTGAAATAGTTACTGGACCTGGAGGAAGTGTCGGTGGGGGTGGTAATTCTCACATGTTTTTTATGGGAAACCCTGGAGACTACGCATGGGGCCGAGAGGGCTTGGACACTATTGTCACCCAGATGCTCAACCAGATGGAGACCTCGGGACCGCCACCGTTATCATCGCAGCGTATTAACGAGATACCCAACGTGCAGATCACTACCGAGGAGGTGGACCGAAAGATTCAGTGCTCTATATGCTGGGACGATTTCAAACTTGACGAAACTGTGCGGAAATTACCGTGTTCGCATCTATACCACGAGAATTGCATTGTGCCATGGTTAAATCTCCACAGCACCTGTCCCATTTGCCGGAAATCACTTGCGGACGACGGCAGCGATGCCGACGAGGAATTCGTCCTATTGGACGGATTTTCTGGCGAGAATGGAGCAGATGCTGCCAGGAATTCCACCAGCAATGCTACAGGAACGGAGAACCCAGCCCCTACCAACAGTACCAGCAGCTCCACCCAAACTCCGATGGACCGAAACAGAGCCCGTACGGAGGCATCCGCGAATCCCGCCCAGCCTCGCAACAACGTCTTCACATTTGACGACGACAACATGTTTCTGGACTAACTGGGTCATAGCAGCGATCGACGGATTGATATTCAAAATTAAGCCAACCATTGGCCCCGGCTTTAGAAGTTTAGCCCTAAAATACAATTATTCGTATATATATATAATAGTTTTTCCTCACGCTTAATTTTATTGTTGTTCAAAATAACGATTTGTAATAAATATAGCGGAATAATAAGCGATTCCGTTGGCTCTGCATAACTAGACTTTTGTTGATGTTATATCATGTTTTGTCTTGTAATGGAACTTCCTCGACTTGTACGAGAATAGGCTTATTGCGTACATACATATACATATACATATATAAATACATATATTGTAAATAGGCACTACTATGTAAATCAAAAATCGCTAATGAATTAATTTAAAAACTTATTTGACTAACTTTATTTATGTTTTATGATTTATGTAATACTGTCGCCTGTGAATTTAAGAGATCTTAAATAAAAATTCCATATAAAGTCTATGAAATGCTCACAGATGGACACAGTCAGGTTGCTCAATCCTGAAGCCGGCAAAGATTCCGTTGGAAAGGAATACCTCGGTATTCCAAAAGTTTAGTGCTTCATAACGCCAAGTGCCGGTGTTATTCGGAGAAAAGCGTCTCGGTCATCACAAAGGTCTAATAACTTCAAGGTCTAGTCAAGGGAACCGTGTCCTTAGAGGTCGCCAATCCTGGTGCATCGTTAGCTTCTCCTTGGAACGCTTTTCATAAAAAACATCTGTTTTCAACTTTGTGGCAACACTGCGTCATTGTTTAAATTATTTCTCGAAAAACGCATTTTCCGTGGAATGAGCCGTTTGTAAACAACGTTAAAATGGATAAAGTCAATTAAACTGAAAAGTACAAATCTTAAAAAAGACTGGAATCATGATACACGAAAGCAATAACGAGTTTGTGGCACTCTCAGATGTGGTACTAAAAATATATATAGTTTTCCTTTGGAAAGGATTAGATTTAATAACTAATTTTACCAAATATATTATTGTTTCCTAGGTACGAAAGCAATATGTTCTGTATTTGGAGCGACAGTTACAGGAGAACGTTAAAGCCTGGGCGGGGAAATCCAGAAACCATCACCAGCCGACTGCTCTGGCCTGCATCCCGCAGAGCGTAATTCAGCTGGAGGACCGGGCCCTTAAGGCATGCATGGCGGCACAAGTGTACCAAAGAGTAATGGTCAAGATGGTAAAAGTTTTAATAAGCCTTGAATTTCTTATATAACTAAATTTTATTCCGCAGATAACCGTTGTAAGAAAAAACACCCAGGACTGCCGGCTGGCCAATATTATTTTCGAGCAAATTCAATCTCAAACAAGTCCTGTCAAAGGCGTGGAGGCGCCCATTAGGGGCCACCAACTAGAGGATAAAGCCACGCAAACGGGCTGGAGTGAAGCTCACAATGGATATTTATCTCAAACAGAGAGGGATGAATTTGGTAGCCATGAGCTACAGCGAAAAATCGATTTATTTCAAGCTAGCCTCGAGGAATCTGAAACTAAAAACGAATCTCTTTGTAAGATATGTCGTAGTAAAACAATGATCACGGAGACGAATCACATGGACACTCAGGCCTCACCCGTTTGTGAAACTGAAGACGAGGTAGCCCAAGAGCTGGCTACGCTCTTTGGAGACGACCGCATCGATCTTAATGATATTTTCGGCATTGAGCCCACCGCTGTGACCGATGATCCACAGATTTCAGTCATACTGGAGGAAATTGAAAAGGCCGATCTGCCATGCTCAAAAAAGACTGAAGAAACACCCTCCCCCACAGTTCCATCTTCTCCATCCGTTCCGGATAGAGGACCAGATCTCCGTCAGAGTCGCTGGCCCTGCGAACTCTACGCCCAGAGGAAGAAGCTTAATGCCTGTCTGATCAGATCATTAGAGGCCGACTGGCGGTGCGAGGATAGATTGAGGGAGATCTTTCGGGACATCTTTGGCGAGGACAGCGATGATGAGTTTGCCACTGAAATCTCGAGCCCCTCGATCGACATGCTTGACGAGGTGCTGCTGGCCAGCTGCTTGCGCCGGATTTGTCCTTGGATTGTATGTCAATTAATGGGTCCTCTGGAAGATGGCTTAATCGCCAATCGATTCCTGTTCAAGAAGTTGGCCAAGCAGCTGGCTCACTCGATTGTTATGATAAATCCCTACTGCTCGGAGCAGCAAATCAAAAAGGCAGTGGAGCAACTTTTTTGCTTAAGACCTGGAGGAATCCAGAGCGCACATGATCTAACCAACTTGCCGCCCCTGGATGTGGAGAAATTCGATACTTATTGAGTATTGATAAGTTGTAGATTAATATTTTTAAATATCAGAAGACCCTCGCTATCTGAAGATAAGAATATGCATTTCATTTAGTCATATCAGTATTCATTTCCAAAAAAATAGTTGGCTCGATTAAGTTTCTTAACTTATAGGATTAAAAATAAATTAAAGTGCAAAACTATTTAAGAGCTTCTGAGGAAGGGTCTGTGATTCCATTTCGAAAAGCCTATATCTTTACTATATCGTTCAATACACTTCCCAATATTTTTGTGAATCGAAAAATTATTTGAAACACAATCCTTTTTTTGTTTTTGTGGTTTCTTTAAATTATAATTAATTCAATGATTACAATAATTTTTCTTGCTGCACACATCTCCTCTCATTTTTTATAATTATATAAATTTTAATATATTTAATAAACGATACATAATATAGTTTTCCTTTTGACGAAATTGCTGCGGCGGACACGCCAGCAACTGCTTAAGACGAATCGGATTCCTCCGGAGCAGCAGCTATCCTCCACTACGGTTTACTTGTTACTTATACGGCTGTGTTGGTTTTAGTTCCACTGTGGCTGCTGATCTTTCTGTTTTATTCGGTTGCTGTTTGCTATGTTTGTGGTGGTGGATGTGATAGATTTGTTGTGGATGCTGCAGCTACATTGGGTGTGGCTTCTATTGTTGTAGTTGTTGTGTGGTTGTTGATGTTGATGCATCTCTTGGTGAACATCATCAGAGGCACTACCTAGTGTCGGGAATTTGATTTGTGTTAGCTGTCGCCGCCGCACCATTAGCGTTTTGTTTGTATTTCTGCTGGGATGCCGCAGTATTGGCCGTGGACTGTTGCTGCTGAGGCTGCTGCGATCCCGTGGCCATTTCTGCTGGCGGTGGCCGCCCTCCGCCCCGCCTCTCAATGCCTCTGTCAGCCGTTGGCTTGCTGCCAGCTCCGCCGGTACTTCCACCCCCCGGAGCAGCAGCGGCTCCTGGTCCTGCGACCGCTCCCCCGCCTCCCCCTAGACCTCCTCCTCCAACGCCACTTGCCGCGCCGCTTTGTGTTGTGTTGGCCTTTTTGTTTTTGTAGCGATACTCATCGCACACAAAGTCCTCTGGTGAGGTTTGTTGCATTTGATTCACCTGTCGCACCATCGCCGGTTGTGGTTGCTGCTCCACGTCGGCGTTGTTATTCAGCAGCGTCTCCGCCTCGGCGTCATCCTGCTGCTGTTGTTGTTGCCCCTTATTTACATTATCACTCTTGCTCAAGCTCTCATCGGAGTCATTCAAGTCCAGTGCCTCAGTGCAGAGCATCGACAGCATAAGCGACTGCACAAACATGGAACTAAAATAAAATATTTAAAATAATTAGAAAAAAAGCTTGGTGAGTTTGGCAGAAATCCATTTAGTTACCGTTCTCCCCGCTTGCGCTCCAAGTTCGCCCACTCAGCCTCAGTAAGCGTAGGCTGCATGAACTGAGACAGCAAAAGGGTCTCGCCGGCTGGCGCTCCCACCTGGCCGACTGCCTGACCATTAGCTCCACCAACGACTCCTATTCCGGTCGATCCTGCTCCATTGCCGTTGGCCGTTCCGCCAACACCTACACTGATGCCCAGGGTATTGGTGCCACTGGTGCTAGTGCCGACCGCCTGTATAACGAGACAATGGGAATTAGTGGACATCTGATTCATGGGATTGAACTACTGCGGGACGAACTACTTCTCTAGCATTGAGGCTGTTGGGGGCCAGACTCGACTGAGTCTGCGAGTGATTGCTGGCTGATGTCGAGAAGCTCGCTGTCACTGGCCACTCAGTGGTGCGCAGGTTGGGCGGAGCGGTGCCTCCGCTGCCGCCACCACTACCACTTCCAACTGCGCCGCTTCCTCCGCCTCCGTTTCCTGTTCCACCGCTGATCACTTCGGCCATGGCTGCATTCAAGTTCGATGTTGAGGCTATGGGATGCGCACGCCTTGGCAGCCGATCGATTTGGCGCGATGCCTAAAATAATGCAAGCGCAAAAATAAGCCAACAAAAGTCGCAGTTTCCTTATACACACAAATATAATAGATGCTTCTAGCTATCCCTTACCGTCACCTGCTGACGATCCAACTGCATCTGCATCTGTAGCTGTTGCAGCTGCGACGTAGGCGGACCACCCCTCCTCACTCCGGAAAGCTGCGACAACAGTTCTGCAATGGGATCAACAGATTCCCGACCCGAGGGCGACAAGGCCGACAGTCCGCTCGACGAGCTGAAGTGCATGTTGGAGCGCCTTGTCCGCGGTCCTCCGAGGGTGCGTCCGGGAATCCGACGCACTCCACCACCATGACGGATGGCCGAAGGCTCGTCGTATAGTCTATAGGTTAAGGTTACCCAATTGTAAAGTGGGGAAAAATATTATATAAATATTAAGAACCTATTTGAGAACTGCGCTGCGAAAATACATTTTAAATAATATCATTATCTGCAGCACGTTTAAGATAATTGATTAAAATATAAATAAATAGTAATATTTTTTTTTCTTTGCTTAGCAAATAAGATATTATTCTCTCGAAATGTTTTGAAAAGGATATCAGAAAGGAAATGAGCTCGCGCGGTCCCTGCCTGTGTTCCAGTGTAAGGTGACCGGCGAAGTCGTCTGTGACTAGATTCGGCTCCCCGCCCGGCAGACCGGCACAGACCGGACAGACCACTTCCAGACTGGTCTCCGTGTGCTCGGCGGAGACGTGCTCCAGCAAGGTGGCGTCACTGAAGCCCATTTTCTTGCAGTAGGGACACGTGAAACTCTGTGGCTGATCAGAGGTTAGCATCTCGCCGCCAAAGTACAGCTCGATGTCGGAGCGGGTAAGAATGCACTGCATGGGGTGCTCGACCAAATGGCGCGTGGAAGTGACGCCATCCTCGTAACAGTCGGCGCACAGATCATAGTCATAGCAAATCAAGCACTTGTATCTCCTTCCGTTAAAGTTGCTCTTAAGACATGAATCGCAGCTGACGCCTGAAAGGACTTAGTTATATCCCAGTAATAGTTTGTCTTTTCCAAAGGACTTACCTTCATGTCGACTCATTATTTGGCAGCGGCAGTAAGCTTCGCTTCCACTTCCACGCGTTCAGGAGAGTCTCTCCCGCTGAAGATTGCTTTTCAGTTTTCTTTCAATGCGCTATGACTCCAATGTGCTGCTGTTCGGGTTCGGGTCTGTGCCACCAAGATTTAGACGAGGAGGAGCTGCAATGATGCAGGAATTAATCATTGAAAAACAAAGAGGGGACCTGGCAGTATTTTCTTTTGTTTTCCCTGGGCCTCACATTTCTCTTTGCATTTCTTTTCTTTTCTCTTCTATTTATTTCGCACCGTGCTTTCACGATTACGGTTCTTTCGCTTCCCCTGTTTTTTTCGAAAGGCAAAGAGAAGCACACACAAAAAATGAGACTCCCCCGCACTCCCGCTCCCATCAACCCACTTTGGGCCAGCGAATTATTCAATACAATCGAGCGCCAGCCATCGAAAAATTACATTTAACACGTTGGGCGGGGGTGAGAATGCCGGGTGGCGGGGTAGAGGGTTAATTACAATTTTCCCTGCTACCCGTCGGATGCCTTAGCTCTTGCAGCACAGTAAACATTTATTTTTATCTTTTTGGTTTCGCGAAAATTTTCGACTCGACGATGTCGTGGGCTTTTTGCATCCCTCTACGTCCCCTTAACCCCTCGTCGCCTGCCACGGAAAACCAAAGCGCAGATATGCGCAAGTGTTGCCGTACGACTGTGGGAACCTCGCGGTGCAAATTCGCAAATTTATCCTTGGACAAACATTAATGATTGTTTATAAACATTCTCAGCCACTCGGGGAAATTTGCAGACTTTTATTAATCATGCCATGGGCACTCGGGTTCTTAGTTAGTGAATTACGCTTTTTCTCGTGCCTGTCTGGCAACGCCGCGTGCAATTTTTTTTATTCGTCAGCCCACAGTGGCGGAAATCCGAATAGTTACAGGCTGCAATGTGGAGCTTTTGCGAGAACTTTGGGCAGACAGGCTGATTGGGCAGCTGGGAAATAACAGTAGGCCTGCTTAAGGTTGTGATTTGTCACTATTTATAAGTTTATGCGTCGCCTGGTTTTGGCATTCATTTTTCATTATTCATCGGCGCGCAATTCGCTTACACTTATACCGCAAAACACAGACCCCATTTTTTGCACTGGTGTGTGTCTGTGTGCACATACGAATTTTTGTTCTACGCAATTGCAAATTGCGCTGGGATATCTTTTGTTCACCGCGAATTTTCGCACAGCCTATATGCATCCCGTTTGATGTGTTATTGTTGTTGTGACTGCTGCTGTATATTGCATTGCAGTTTTTTTGTTCACAGTTTTTGGGGTTACCGGGAAGACCCCATTATATTCGAATACCCGTCAACGTACATTGATTAGTGTGGCATATATTTTCCAATGATTGTTTTAAAACACTATCATTCGAAAATTATTAATTAAAACGAAAATAAGTTATATCGAGTGAAAAGCTTTTCCTGACCTGCAGTAAGACCGCGCTTCGATGAAAGAAAAATACCTATTTTCAATATACGAGCCAACAGCCCTGAAAAATGACCGATACTATCGGTCCAGCTTCTCCACCACGAAAAAAATTGTCTATTCAGCCCTTGAAAATGCTTGTTTTTATTTGTAAATTCTAGTTATTATTGATTAATCTTCTAGCTTTTCTGGTGGAGGTCCACATGGCTGCAGCATCCGCTCCATGAGGTTGAACCGTACACGCGCTTTTGATTCATTTTCAGCAATGGCGAAATAATTGAGTATATCGTAATGTCCCATGTAGCTGGCGAGGGAATCACGGTGCTGATTGGTTAGCCATTCGAATTTGGTAGTGTCCGCGTGTCCTGTACCGATGTACTTGCTCTGAAGATGTTCCAACTGGCTGTGAATGTTGTAGCGTTCTCCCATGATTTATAAATTCTTTTAAATTGTCTCAAGAAACCGGAACGGAGCGAATTGTTTTGACTTTTTGTTAAGTGTGACCAGTTTGGGTGCTGAGAAAAAGAGTTACTTTGGGAAAAATACCAAAACAAAAATTTTAGTATTTAGATAAGAGGTGGTAGATTTATCCGACCGCCTTGGAACATATTTTGTTTACTTTTTTTAGTTACGAAAATAACTAGTTAAATAATAAGTTTTTCTTCAAACCTACGCTAATGTGTGGTCGCACTTGCTTGTAAGAAGTTAAAACACTTGGTTGAGTCTTCCTTAATCGAATATTCAGGACTCTAGATCCGGACGAGGTGCTTTGCGCCTGCAAGTATCCCAAAAAAACAGTCAAAAAAGAACCGGACACTCCAAAGGAAGATGCTGTCAAGGAAGAATATGATTCTCGCATGGAAACTCCTGAGTGGCGGGCGGAGTTTAACTTGGGACGGCGCTACCAGGCATCATATAACATTGCTCCCACCGACATCACTCCCGTAATAGTATCTGCTGCGCACTTTTCCGACGCCGATGACCAGAAGTGCTCCAGGGTAGTGATGCCTATGATGTGGGGCATGATACCCTTCTGGCACAAGGGCGATTACAAGCGGCATGGACTCACCACCAACAACTGCCGACTGGAGCACCTGATGGATTCTAAATTGTATCGCGGTCCCTTTAAACGTGGCCAGCGTTGTGTCGTCGTTTGTGAGGGTTTCTACGAATGGCAGACTGCTGGCCCTGCCAAAAAGCCATCCGAAAGAGAAGCCTACCTGGTATACGTTCCTCAACAAGGCGATGCCAAGATCTACGATAAAAGTACCTGGTCTCCTGCGGATGTAAAACTTTTACGCATGGCTGGACTTTTTGACGTGTGGGAGGACGAGAGTGGCGACAAGATGTACAGTTACAGTATTATCACCTTTCAGTCCAGCAAGATAATGTCCTGGATGCACTACCGGATGCCGGCCATCCTTGAAACCGAAGAGCAGATGAATGTGGGTCAGAACTACATCAACAAAAGCCTTCACTGAAACTCATTTTTATTTCAGGATTGGCTAGACTTTAAGCGAGTTAGCGACTCTGAAGCCTTGGCCACCTTACGGCCAGCCCAATCCTTGCAATGGCACCGAGTGACGAAGCTGGTGAATAATTCTCGCAACAAGAGCGAAGAATGCAACAAACCTATGGAGCTAGCTGCCAAACCAGCGAAGCCGCCGATGAATAAGACAATGATGGCGTGGCTGAATGTCCGCAAAAAGCGGGAGGAGCAGATCAAAGCAGAGCAGAGTGATCCTAGTGACGATGAGGAGCAGGATAAACAGAGCGAGGCGAAGCGAAAGTGTTCCGATAGCTCCCCCACTGGTAGTCCAGCCAAGAGGCCCCGGTTTCGGGACTCAAAGAAGACTCTTCAGCAGAGTGCGGGTAGCAGTGACACCGACGTAAAATCGGGCGAGCGATAGATCAAACAAAATTCGAAAACGTTTCTATAAATAGTTTGTAGGACATTAAGTTTATTTCCATTAAAAACCGAAATTTTTCTCTCAATACCCAAAAATGTAAGCATTATCATCGTTGTTGCAGCTTAATTACAAAAAGTGGAACTTAGCGACTAAAGATTTGTTTAAAATTTTGTTCTTGGAGTAAAGCTTAATTAACTAGTTTTATGTTTGAACTTGGGATTGAATGAATGGGGGTCTTGTATCGTTGTGCGCGATTATGCGGCGATTTAATTTATAGCGCCACTGTATTGAGCTTACAAGTTTTCGTTTTCGCTGCATAAAATGCAATTAAAACAAAAATGAAAGCTGCACATGAAGCAAATTTGTGTGTATATGTATATTACGTTTTTTTTGTTCATATTCTCCGAATTTAATTTGCACAAAATGAGCAAAATTAATAGGAAATGGTGTCAATGTTAAAGGTTGCTGTTGGGGAAGTGGTGCAATTGTGGCTTCTTACAATTATCTATTTGTTTATTATACTATGAATTGTATATTTATATATGTATATGTACGTTGCATGAACATTGAAATTTGCTTGATGAGAAATACAAGTGAAATACAGCATGAAGCGTGTCGTCACACATAAACCTAATCCTATAGAATCGATGAGAAAGTTTAGAATTCATGGGCTATATAGCAATGTATACATTCCCTTTTATTACGACAAGCAATCGTAAAACTTAATATGTAAATACTTTGCACGGGTAAGTTGTAAAATGGGAGGGGACGGGGCAGAGCTGTGGAAAAGATTAGGGTCTCAAAAATAAAGATATCAGAATCGTGTACGTGACTACCGTTATGTACTTAAAATGCTATTTACGAGATTACAATTTGCATGCGTTTGGCTGAATTATTTCAACAATTTTCTGATGGATTGCACTTGAGAAGTGATTAAGAGAGACAGTGGGGCAGAAAATAGGAGGAAAATGGACAGAAAAATAATTCTGGATTACTCGAATGGGGTGCTAAACATATTGATGTTCAGATCCTCGAAAGTTGTCGGCGCACTGTGGTCCAACATCTGAAGCATGTCGGAGAACTCCTGGCCCTGCGGCTGGCCTGCAACGGCCGGTCCTCCAGGATGAGCGTGTGGATGGTGCGGATGTGCCGTAGGATGCGCAGGGTGTGGGTGGCCACCGGCCTGCTGCCAATCCCACATGCCCGGCGCATTGGGCGGTGGTGGCGGGGGAGCCGCCTGATATGCTCCTGGCTGTGGCTGCTGTCGGTTTCCGTTGCCGGCACTCAATTGGGTGTAAGTTGGTCCACTTGGGGACCGGGCCGGGCTTGTTTGTTGGTATTGATAGCCTTCAGTCACCGGCTGCTGTTGTTGTTGTTGCTGGGGACGCAGTGCGGCCCAGGAATTGGGAGCCACAGGTGTCGGTGAGGTACCCGACTTAGGGATTTTGGCCAACGGGGAGGGTCCTCCGCCGCCAGCACTGTATGGTGAATGCGTGGTATCGTAGGTGTAACCTACGGGCGTAGTTTGGGCTGATCCTGGCCTCTGTTGCTGTTGTTGCTGCTGCTGTTGCTGTTGGGGCGTGGGGGCCTGCATGGCCAGCATATGTGTCTGGTACATGCCATCGTTGGTAGCGCTACCTGCAGGAGTGAGCTCTCTCCTGGCGTAATCCACTCCGGGTGCTGCTTGAACATACACATGCTGCTCCTGCTGTTGTTGCTGCACTTGCTCTGGCGTATGAGCAGCCGCTGCATCCAAGGGAGCACCGTGCATGGTCTTCCCTGAGCTATTGGTGCACACAATGTACTCTACTTCGTCAGTGTACGGATTCAGGAAGGCGTAAGCTTGAGTGCGCAGCCAGACATACTCAGCATTCTTAGCCCTAGCTCTGTATAAAAGAGAAAACATCTGACCCTTCTGCTTCAAGACCTGATCGAAGCTTTCCTTCATGTGGCTCTGGTCCTCTGGGTGGAAGAAATCATAGCAAATCTTCCCAAGCAATTCCGTCGGTGTATAACCCAAAATATTCAGTACCCTCTGATCCACAAATGTAAACTTTCCATCCATAGCGTGGCGTGTTATAAACTCACTCTGATTATTGGATCCACTCATGTCGTTGGCGGCCGTGGAGGTAACCTGAAGGCGTCCAATAGCTACTAGGCAACAGTGCGAGCTCATGTCGTCAACATCCCGCTCCATATGCATGTTAGGGAACATGTCAGTGGGCGGCCAGTTCTTGATGTAACCAGTGCAATGGACGACAGCATAATTAGATCCATCCCTGGACGGCCCCAGCGAGTTTCGCTGCTTCAGACGATTTAGATGCCCGGAAACCATGGAGTCGGAGTTAACATTTCCCACACGCATGCGGCAGATGAAGCCCCGACGAGCACCCATACTCAGTCTCATACTTGACTGGTGACCTTCCTTTTTAACTGTTCCAGATTTGAGATCCAGGATGCGCCCAGCGTTCTGCGATTCCTGTGTGGACAACTGTTCTCGGATCTTTTCGCGATCGTCGGGATGAATGTGCTCATACAAGCTGGTACCATACCAATCGCTCTGGGTGTAGTTCAGCACCGGAGTGACAGAGTCAGACACGTAGATTACACGTCCCGAATCGCAGGACACAACAAAAAGAAAGCCATCCGCCGCCTCCAGGATAAGATGCTTAAGTTCCTGATCGGTTAAAAATGATGGTTTGTAGGTGCCGTCACTGCTAGTGTTCCCTGTCCCCCTAAGGGCCTTCATGTGAGCCACTGCCATGCGAAGGATAGTTAATTTATCCGGTTTACGGGCCAAGGCACTGCAGGTGGGCACCATATCCGAAAGTTCCGTGATGTAGGCCGTCATCTTGTTGCGACGCCGTCGCTCGATCTCACAGTGATTCTCGCGGCTCGCGAACCGCTCCTTGTCCTGTATGTTCGCCTCATCCATGATCGGAATGCGTAATTAGAAAATGTTTCAACAATTTAGGTCGCCTCTGCTCTGGAAAAAGGTTCGTGGAAAAGAGAGCAAGGGGCGGGGTAAGGGTTAGTATTTTGTCTACGTTGTGTGTGTGTGTACTTGAAAATAGCGAGAAAACAGTTTTCCCTTGATTGCTCTTTTCTTACTTACACTTCTAATAGTTAATATTGTTATGTGGACATTCAAGCACTTCGAACTGCCTATTTAATGCGCGTTTAACACCTTTAATCAGCTCTTTTCAACTACACGATAAAATCTCTGTTTACTGCGTGCAGTATATTTATATCGAAATGTCGCTTGGGCTGCCAACTCGCGGTAGCAAAATTATTTCACTCACGATGTGGAAAAAACATCGATAACACAGCCGATACTAAATCTACCAATACTTTCGCGGTCAACAAAAATTTAAGAACATTGTCCTATATTCTGGATATATCTTAGATATGTTCTACTTTACAATTTAGATTTTTTCAGATGTTTTGTCAAAATTTCTGAGGGATCCCCTTCAAAATGTGGAAAATACATGGGTCGATATGGGCCACTGTGAAGCCTAGTATATCTCTGCCAATATTTATCTGATCCTGGAGCGGAATACCTTTATCGATTTGTAGACCGATTCTCAATAAATCTGCATCAAAATCCGCCAACAAAATATTTTTCAGAATTTTTGTCAAAATTTCTGGGGGATCCCCTTCAAAATGTGGAAAATGCAAGGGAGGGTCAATACGGTCCACTGTGAAGTCTATATCTCTAACAATATTTATCTGATCCTGGAGCGGAATACCTTAATAGTTTTGTAGATCGATTCTCAATAAATCTACATCAAAATCCGCATACAAAATATTTTTCAGATTTTTTGTCAAAATTTCTGGGGGATCGATCTCCTTCAAAATGTGGAAAATGCAAGGGAAGATCGATATGGTCCACTGTGAAGTCTATATCTCTGCCAATATATATCTGATCCTGGAGCGGAATACCTTAATCGATTTGTAGATCGATTCTCAATAAATCTGCATCAAAATCCGCATACAAAATATTTTTCAGATTTTTTGTCAAAATTTTTGAGTGATCCCCTTTGAAATGTGGAAAATGCATGGGAGGGCCGTTATGGTCCACTGTGAAGTCTGTATCTCTGCCAATATTTATCTGATCCTGGAGAGGAATACCTTAATCGATTTGTAGATTGATTCTCAATAAATCTGCATCAAAATCCGCATACAAAATATTTTTCAGAATTTTTGTCAAAATTTCTGGGGGATCCCCTTCAAAATGTGGAAAATGCATGGGAGGGTCAATGCGGTCCACTGTGAAGTCTATATCTCTAACAATATTTATCTGATCCTGGAGCGGAATACCTTAATAGTTTTGTAGATCGATTCTCAATAAATCTACATCAAAATCCGCATACAAAATATTTTTCAGATTTTTTGTCAAAATTTCTGGGGGATCGATCTCCTTCAAAATGTGGAAAATGCAAGGGAAGATCGATATGGTCCACTGTGAAGTCTATATCTCTGCCAATATATATCTGATCCTGGAGCGGAATACCTTAATCGATTTGTAGATCGATTCTCAATAAATCTGCATCAAAATCAATAAATCTCAATCTCAAATCTCAAATCTCAATAAATCTGCATCAAAATCCGCATACAAAATATTTTTCAGATTTTTTGTCAAAATTTCTGGGGGATCTCCTTCAAAATGTGGAAAATGCAAGGGAAGGTCGATATGGTCCACTGTGAAGTCTATATCTCTGCCAATATATATCTGAACCTGGAGCGGAATACCTTAATCGATTTGTAGATCGATTCTCAATAAATCTGCATCAAAATCCGCATACAAAATATTTTTCAGATATTTTGTCAAAATTTCTGGGGGATCTCCTTCAAAATGTGGAAAATGCAAGGGAAGGTCGATATGGTCCACTGTGAAGTCTATATCTCTGCCAATATTTATCTGATCCTGGAGCGGAATACCTTAATCGATTTGTAGATCGATTCTCATTAAATCTACATCAAAATCTGTCAACAAAATATTTTTCAGATTTTTTGTCAAAATTTCTGGGGGATCTCCTTCAAAATGTGGAAAATGCAAGGGAAGATCGATATGGTCCACTGTGAAGTCTATATCTCTGCCAATATATATCTGATCCTGGAGCGGAATACCTTAATCGATTTGTAGATCGATTCTCAATAAATCTGCATCAAAATCCGCATACAAAATATTTTTCAGATTTTTTGTCAAAATTTTTGAGTGATCCCCTTCAAAATGTGGAAAATGCAAGGGAAGGTCGATATGGTCCACTGTGAAGTCTATATCTCTGCCAATATTTATCTGATCCTGGAGCGGAATACCTTAATCGATTTGTAGATCGATTCTCATTAAATCTACATCAAAATCTGTCAACAAAATATTTTTCAGATTTTTTGTCAAAATTTCTGGGGGATCTCCTTCAAAATGTGGAAAATGCAAGGGAAGATCGATATGGTCCACTGTGAAGTCTATATCTCTGCCAATATATATCTGATCCTGGAGCGGAATACCTTAATCGATTTGTAGATCGATTCTCAATAAATCTGCATCAAAATCCGCATACAAAATATTTTTCAGATTTTTTGTCAAAATTTTTGAGTGATCCCCTTTGAAATGTGGAAAATGCAAGGGAGGGCCGTTATGGTCCACTGTGAAGTCTGTATCTCTGCCAATATTTATCTGATCCTGGAGAGGAATACCTTAATCGATTTGTAGATTGATTCTCAATAAATCTGCATCAAAATCCGCATACAAAATATTTTTCAGATTTTTTGTCAAAATTTCTGGGGGATCTCCTTCAAAATGTGGAAAATGCAAGGGAAGGTCGATATGGTCCACTGTGAAGTCTATATCTCTGCCAATATTTATCTGATCCTGGAGCGGAATACCTTAATCGATTTGTAGATCGATTCTCATTAAATCTACATCAAAATCTGTCAACAAAATATTTTTCAGATTTTTTGTCAAAATTTTTGAGTGATCCCCTTTGAAATGTGGAAAATGCATGGGAGGGCCGTTATGGTCCACTGTGAAGTCTGTATCTCTGCCAATATTTATCTGATCCTGGAGAGGAATACCTTAATCGATTTGTAGATTGATTCTCAATAAATCTGCATCAAAATCCGCATACAAAATATTTTTCAGATTTTTTGTCAAAATTTTTGAGTGATCCCCTTTGAAATGTGGAAAATGCATGGGAGGGCCGTTATGGTCCACTGTGAAGTCTGTATCTCTGCCAATATTTATCTGATCCTGGAGAGGAATACCTTAATCGATTTGTAGATTGATTCTCAATAAATCTGCATCAAAATCCGCATACAAAATATTTTTCAGATTTTTTGTCAAAATTTCTGGGGGATCTCCTTCAAAATGTGGAAAATGCAAGGGAAGATCGATATGGTCCACTGTGAAGTCTATATCTCTGCCAATATATATCTGATCCTGGAGCGGAATACCTTAATCGATTTGTAGATCGATTCTCAATAAATCTGCATCAAAATCCGCATACAAAATATTTTTCAGATTTTTTGTCAAAATTTTTGAGTGATCCCCTTTGAAATGTGGAAAATGCATGGGAGGGCCGTTATGGTCCACAGTGAAGTCTATATCTCTGCTAATATTTATCTGATCCTGGAGCGGAATGCCTTAATCGATTTATAGATCGGTTCTCAATAAATCTGCATCAAAATCCGCATACAAAATATTTTTCAGAATTTTTGTCAAAATTTCTGGGGGATCTCCTTCAAAATGTGGAAAATGCATGGGAGGGTCAATGCGGTCCACTGTGAAGTCTATATCTCTAACAATATTTATCTGATCCTGGAGCGGAATACCTTAATAGTTTTGTAGATCGATTCTCAATAAATCTACATCAAAATCCGCATACAAAATATTTTTCAGATTTTTTGTCAAAATTTCTGGGGGATCGATCTCCTTCAAAATGTGGAAAATGCAAGGGAAGGTCGATATGGTCCACTGTGAAGTCTATATCTCTGCCAATATATATCTGATCCTGGAGCGGAATACCTTAATTGATTTGTAGATCGATTCTCAATAAATCTGCATCAAAATCAATAAATCTCAATCTCAAATCTCAAATCTCAATAAATCTGCATCAAAATCCGCATACAAAATATTTTTCAGATTTTTTGTCAAAATTTCTGGGGGATCTCCTTCAAAATGTGGAAAATGCAAGGGAAGGTCGATATGGTCCACTGTGAAGTCTATATCTCTGCCAATATTTATCTGATCCTGGAGCGGAATACCTTAATCGATTTGTAGATCGATTCTCAATAAATCTGCATCAAAATCCGCATACAAAATATTTTTCAGATTTTTTGTCAAAATTTTTGAGTGATCCCCTTTGAAATGTGGAAAATGCATGGGAGGGCCGTTATGGTCCACAGTGAAGTCTATATCTCTGCTAATATTTATCTGATCCTGGAGCGGAATGCCTTAATCGATTTATAGATCGGTTCTCAATAAATCTGCATCAAAATCCGCATACAAAATATTTTTCAGAATTTTTGTCAAAATTTCTGGGAGATCCCCTTCAAAATGTGGAAAATCCATGAGAGGGTCAATACGGTCCACTGTGAAGCCTATATCTCTATCAATATTTATCTGATCCTGGAGCGGAATACCTTAATCGATTTGTAGATTGATTCTCAATAAATCTGCATCAAAATCCGCATACAAAATATTTTTCAGATTTTTTGTCAAAATTTCTGGGGGGTCTCCTTCAAAATGTGAAAAATGCAAGGGAAGGTCGATATGGTCCACTGTGAAGTCTATATCTCTGCCAATATTTATCTGATCCTGGAGCGGAATACCTTAATCGATTTGTAGATCGATTCTCATTAAATCTACATCAAAATCTGTCAACAAAATATTTTTCAGATTTTTTGTCAAAATTTCTGAGGGATCCCCTTCAAAATGTGGAAAATGCATGGGAGGGCCGTTATGGTCCACTATGAAGTCTGTATCTCTGCCAATATTTATCTGATCCTGGAGCGGAATACCTTAATCGATTTGTAATCGATTCTCAATAAATCTGCATCAAAATCCGCATACAAAATATTTTGCAGATTTTTTGTCAAAATTTCTGAGGGATCCCCTTCAAAATGTGGAAAATGCATGGGAGGATCGATACGGTCCACTGTGAAGTCTATATCTCTGCCAATATTTATCTGGTTCTGGAGCGGAATACCTTAAACGATTTGTAGATCGATTCTCAATAAATCTGCATCAAAATCCGCCTACAAAATATTTTTCAGATTTTTTGTCAAAATTTTTTAGGGATCCCCTTCATAATGTGGAAAATGCATGGGAGGGTCGATACGGTCCACTGTGAAGTCTATATCTCTGCCAAAATTTAGGCGGAATGTTCTTTGTTCACATTTTCCCTTTTGAATCCATAACAAAACAGGCCATTCTGATATTGATGTCAGTATTTAATGGTATTACAGCATTGCGGTTTCTTACATATATCAAATATAATTTCATAAATACATTTAAATGTTTATTCATAACTAGGCGCAGTGTCGCATTGCTACGAACTTTCTTCATACATTTTTAAAAAAATTAAAAGGTAATTATTAATAGTGGCAATAACATCTCTCCAGGTTTTCCTATCCGGATTCATACTTATAACAAAAATAGTAAGCTTGCGCTTTGTTTCGCATTATTCTTTGTCTTCTTTACTTATTACATTTTTTGTTTGTTTTAATACAATCTTAGGTAAAGTTTTTCATCTGCATTCTTTTTCCTTCATTTATTTTTCTGCTTGGTATTGTTAATTAATTATTGGCAATTTTCTAACTGCATGGTTGATTTATATAGGCCTTCGTTTATTCATATTACGTTCGATCTGTTGGTACAACATACAAGTCTTTTGTTCTATGTTTATTTGTTTTTTTTTTTTTAATTTAAATATATAGTTAAATCTGGTTTAAAATACGTGCACTACTTAAGTGTAATTTAAAATGCGGCATTATTAAAATTGCTTAGCGTGCTTAATACGTCTTTTGTGTGGTGTTTTATGTTTTGTTCGTAGTTCGCAAGGGCTTTGGATGAAGTCCCGGTCTAGATTAAACTTCAGCATAATTCGTTGACTAGAAATTAACTTAAGTACTTAGGACTAAACTAACATTAGCTTTCAACACGCTTTTGACATTTTTAGTGTTTGTTTTTATTTTGGTGTTCGTGCATAAGTATTCTTCTGATCTGAATCTCTTCAACATTTTGTGCTTCTACTTGAGTGGCGTTCTGCATTTCCATGGCGCAGAAATTAAGCTTTTCCCTTCCGGAAAGTGTGGTCATTAAGTGGCTTGTATTCTATATTTTTGTCAAAAGGAGATATCAATTGAGATGTAATTTAGAAACTGTTCGTTATCCAATAGTTGCTGCAAGCTTAAACATAACTTTTCAAATCCACTAACAATTTTAGATTGCAATTCATAACATTTAGCACCAGAATGATTATTCGCCAAATAAAGAATCATTATATTTTAATTTTGAATTTTGACATAAAGAAAAACTAAGTAAATTTGCAACAACTCGACAATTCTAATTCAAAATACATTTAGTTCCTACACAATACTTTGGTAACATAGTATGCAGTGCGCAATATCGCGCGTCTCATGAGTTTGAAAAAAATTTAAAAACGAAAAATCTCGAAATCGATTGGTTAGGTTAGAACATACATACATCGTAGTTTTGGCTCGCGGGCACGGGCGCACTTACTCGTAAGATCACAAAAAAATTAAACATATACGTATAAATGATAGAGCATAAATAGGGTGATAATTTTGTATCCTAAACTAAGTGTTAAAACTATCCCATTCAGTTTAGTAGTCTTCTTCAAATATAACGCATCGTTCTCTCCCGTTAAAATATTTAGTTTGCGCTCCATTTCTATCAAAATGCAATAACTTGTGTGTGTGGTGTGTGGTTTTCGTAGTCGATTTCATTGCGAGTAACGGTTGGTTGGTTAGGAAACTTGTCCGACTTGCTTCTCCGCAGATCCTACGTGGTGTAGGTGCGGATGACGTCGCGGATTACCGCACGGCAGAGCGGGCACTGGCCGCCGCCCACTCCCCGCCACTGCTCGATGGCGCAGTCGTAGCACATGCACATGTGTCCGCACATGTACAGCACGGAATCAATGGGGTTCTCGTAGCAGATGGTGCACTCGGCGCCCGAATCCGTGCTCTGCTGGTCGCTCAGGCTGTCCTTCCACTTGTTGGCCGCGTTATTCGTGCTATTGGCAACAGGCTGCAATGAATAGAAAGGAGATGCGTTAAGAAAGCCGAACAGAGAGTCAAAATCTGGGTTGCAGACACTCACCTCAATGTACTGACTGCTGGTGGTGCTAATGAGGGTACCACCGGAGCAGGCTCCGGCCAGAATTCCGCTTGAGCTCACCGTGGCCGTCGGCCGGGCATTGATCTGCCCGTTGATATCATGGGAACTGCTGGCTGGGGGCAGGTTTACGACGAGAACGGTGCCACCTCCATTCGGCTGAATCTGGAGGATGTCCCCGTTGGACGGCATGCTGATCATCCGGCTGCCGTTGGCACCACCGGCCGAGGCCAAGGTGCTCGTGCTCTGGGCGATGCTCAGCTGGGAGGGATGGTGCAACAGCTTGGCGGTGGCACCGGCGTTCAGGCTGCTCATCGACTCAGTCATGGGAAGCATGCGGGATGTGGAGGCGGCGCAGGCTGAGGAACTGCTGGCGTTCACATTCACCTGAGGCTGAGACGGGTACGCCACCATGTTGGGCAGCTGCTGGCGGAACATACGCAGGGACTGAGTAGAGCCGTAGACGTCCAGGAAGGCCCACAGCTGGAGGGACTGATCCACGTGCATGACCACGACCGCGGGTCCGTTGTTCTTGCTGATGCTCACCTCCCCGTTGGGGGCCACAAAGAAGGCGATCTCGTCCCCTCGCTGCGGGGCAGCGGCAATATCCTTGCTCACCACCCAGTACTCAGGACGGTCCAGCAGGAAGTCCGAGTCGTTGGGCAGATCATTGGGCTGCAGCATGGCCGGATTGCAGGAGGTCAGGCCCAGAGCCAGTGCCCCCACATACATCTGCTCCGTCTTGAGGACCTGCACGATGAGTTTCTCGCCAATGCGAATGGGTCGGGCCGTGAAAACGTATCCCTGGCAAAAGTCGGATTCCGTGCGGGAGGCCACGAAGCGGTCGTGCGAGAGCCGCACGTTCCTACCCTTCGTGTTGTGGAACGGAACCGGGATCAGACGTCCGTTGGCATTGTAGCGTAGCGGAGGCAGTCCATTGGCCAGGTCGTGGGCGATGGCTGCCTGTTCCACGCTGGAAACAGTGCCATTGGCATTGCCGGCCAAGTGCAGCGACTGCAGGGATGGCATCACGTGGCGCTCCAGTTCGTGCTCGATGGCGCCACTGTGGCCGGGCAGGGAACGGCGAGATTGCTGGTGCGGGTGATGCGGATTCAGGGTAGAGGCAGTGTTCACAGCGGGCTGGGCGAGCTGCTGCAGTTGGGCGGGCGCAGGTTGAGTGGTCAGTGCCATGGTGGCCGGCTGCTGCTGGTACATGTAAATTCGGGAGTCCAGGAACTCTATGCCCGTACAGTTGCCATAGATGTCGATCACAGTCCACAGGAGAGCCCTAGTGTCGATTCCCGACAATATCACACCCTTCTCCTCGTTGTTGATCCCATAGATCACATCCCCGGCGCCGTTCACATAGTAGTACAGGATGTTGTCCTTCTCGCAGTACTGTTCGTGCAGTGCCTTGGCCCAGAACCCAGGGCGGTTGGTCAGATCCGGACAGGCATACTTGGGCAGGGATCCCTCCAGCGTGGCCGGGTCGTTGCTGGTGAAACCGAATCGGATGCCTCCGTTCCAGTTGTTGGAGATCTCCGCAAACTTCACGCAGATCCTCTCGTTGATGCGCACTGGACGGGCGGAGAAGGTGATGGCCCGGCAGAAGCTCTCGAAGCGGCGGGCCAGGGTTCCGTCCCGCGAAATCCGGATATTGTCGCCATGGACGCTGTGGAATTGCAGGGGTGGCAGGTTGTTGGGACCAGGGCAGGATGAAGGCGAGCGGCGAACTAAAATTAATACAAAATGAAAGTTTTAATTAGTCATTTTGTCTTAAAGATTCATTTTTCCCATTCCCAGACTCTCCATTTATCTTTGAAATACATCTGTATCTGTAGCTACATTGTTTCTTTGTCTACAAATCTTTGTTTAAATTCCAGCTCCCAGTATCGAATTACGCATCTTCGGAGAAGATTTTCAGTTCATGCTTCAGGTAGCCAGAGACATAAGCCATGTGCTTTGGATCGAATTACGCAGAAGCTGGGCCTCATCCAGAGTCAATAACCCAAATTTAGTTACTTTTCAAGCCCCAGGCACGTGACTAGATTGAGGAATATTGAACCATGGATGTCCCTTTTGGGTTTTGGAGATATTTCGTTTTAAGGAAAAAAAGTAAATCCATTTCATACTCTAAGAAACAATAAAGGATTTTCATGGTTAGCCGTCAGCTGCTTTCTTGGAAAACCAAACGTGTGAAGTGGCATTTTCTTCCTAGAAATCATTTGTTTACATTACTGAATCTACATCCCAAACGTGGAGAAGCAACAATTTAGTTTCGGCTTGTGGGGAATCCTTAAAATGTATCCCCAAAACTGGCATAATTATTGCACCTTGCAGGTAAATGGGGATTTGCTCGGCAGCTGCTGACAATTACCTAAGACTGAAGCAGCACCAGAAGGACCTATAAGCGATCCATATGGCCCTATAAATAATTACTCCAAGGAGGAGTCTTGGGATGGCGACAGGTTTCTCTCCGACTGGCTGGAATGCCCAAGATCAGACGATTCCGGCGGCATGCCAACAGTTGCATTAAAAAAAAAGAAAAATAAAATATAAAAGCCTTATAGGAATACCTAAGAAAAAGGACCTGCCAGCAGGACAACAACAGCGACAAGGAGGCGGAGGTTGATTACCATGTTGATATGCGGCGCGTGGCACTCAAGGAGATCAATGTGTTTGCTTTAAAGCGGCATGTGGCAGCTGCCTTTTTTCCTTTTTGCTTTTTGCTTTTCTCTCCTCTGCTGCAAGGAGTATGTGGAGTAAGCGTGGAGAAATAAAGGAAGGTCAGAAGAAAGCAGCTGTACTGCCGATGAACAGGTATAGCAACCCCTAAGTCTGGTCTTTGTCCCCGTTTCGAGGGTAGTTTTCGATGCCCTTCGATCCTCGCTCAGGGGTTGTTGCTTTCTGCTATTCCTGCCGGACTCGGCAGCTGTTCAAATTTCGACAAAAAACCCCGCAAGACAGATACAAGATAGACTATCTTCAGCCAGCAAGATTCTCTCGACGTATCTTGAGGGTTGAAATTTAATCCTAAGCCAGGGCCAATGACTTGCACACAAAATCTCAACTGTCTCGGCGGGGTTCGTCTGCCTGATGTCGAAATAAAATCCAATCCTCAAGTGGTGCGCCGCCGCTTCCGCAGCGGGAAAAAGGAAGAACAGGAAGTGGAAAGGGAGCACCATCAGCTTCCGGTGGCTCCCATTCTGGTAGAAAGAGCGGCGCTCAGAGGAGCGGAGGAGGTGGAGGAGAAAAGAAAGCCGGGCCCAAACAACACTGGGGGACCTGCACTTGGTGGAGTGCGGTGGAGTGGAGTACGCACTGGAGGAGATCTCCCATCCATATTTATGAATTGACCGCGACGAGGAAGTAGGAAATCACGTCTTGGGACGTGTATTGGATTGGGCCTATTAGCTGCAGGATGTTGTTGCAGTATACTGCTTACTAGCCTGGCCAACTGGCGACGCCTACTTTTTGCGGCCCAGACGCGACACACAACAACAGCCCAGACCAGACAGGAGTACCATCCGACCAGACAGTCGTCAGTCAATGGATTCCGATTCCAATTCCGATTCCGATGGCATGAATGAATGAAATACGCGCTTCGGTTCGCTTTTTTTTTCCTTGAAGTCCGGTGGTGGCTGCACTTTGAAACGGTGCTGGGAGACGCGCCGATACTTTCAATTAGCCTGGCCAGTGGCCACCAATTAATTAAGTGCATCGGGGCTTTAATGATCCCCTCTTAGCGCTAACTAACAATGGGATGTGGGCCATCATAAGCCAATATGGAGAAGCAATTTAGGGAAAAGCTCTAGTCATGATCTGAATTTTATTATCCAATAGTTAGTACAGCACCCTTATCCCTTCTTCCATTTCCCATGATCCCTGATCATCCTCAGCATAATTTGGCCAACTAACCATCCTCTGGCGATCGTCGAGATGAAAAGTTCAAACTTTCGGTGGTGGTCGTTATGCGTTTGGAGTTTGCCGCCGAAAAAGTTCCCAACGTGGCCCTGGACCGAACCGAACCGAACCGAAGCATCCCCACATCCGATCGACTGGCAGTTTCAGTTGCATTTGCAGGCAAATTTTCATTTTTCGTTGTTTGGCGAAGAAGGAAAAACCTGATTTACCGTTTGGCGGATCGCGGATCGCGTCTTCAGCACTAGAGCGAGAGCGGGAAAAAACATTTCCCACGCTATGGGCACTGAGCACTGAGCACTGGGCCAAAATCAAACTGAAACTCAAACTCAGATACAAACGCAAACACACCGTGGTGGCAACAATTCCCACGACTCCAAATTTGTATATATAGGCGACTATATAGTAAATTTGCGACTGCCGAACACCGAAAACCTGTAACAAGCCTCGGTAATTGCAAGAGCGGAGAGTGGTCTTCGGATCTTCCCGAATCGGTGAATCGGTGAAGAATTGGAGAAGCTGCAGCTGAGCCACCGAGATCGGGAGATCGCAAGATGGAGCGGGTGGGAAATGTGAAAATCATGCAGGTGTCATAAAACAAAAAACCGAAAAAGAAAAGCAATGAAAATCAAAGCCAGTGAGGCAATCGAATGCTGAGATCGTTAGACGAAATCATTTTAACGATCCGACGATGAAGATCTCCAAGCACTCGAAAGCCCATTGAGTCGACATCATTAGATTTCGATTGGCACTCGTGAATTGAAGCGAGTAGAGTCATTACAGAGAGATTATGGTCAGGTCTGAATGAGGATCGTGTTTGAGAATTATTTAGAAGAAGATTTCGTCTATAATGAGCAATGAGCTTGTTCATTTAGTCTTAAACCACCCCACTCGCTCCCTTTTATCAAGCACACTTGCCCTGATTGAGGTCACAGGTCACGTGCCGCCTCCCCCCCTGAAAGGTTGTACTTCTTGTCAGCCCACGTGCATGAGTCATGGAACGTGTGCGGACAATTAACACCAGAAAGAAGGCCCTTTAATTGCACCGGAAATGTCCCCATAAAGCCGGGCCTCTCTCAAGGAAAGGGCAGAGGTGGGTCGGATTGGATCATTTACAAATTGTATCAATTGGTCAACCACTCGGCTTTTGGCATAAATTATCGGCAATCAGTCAGAACGAGTGGGTGACTGAGTCGGATTGAGCTTTTGACTTCCACGGGCCGGGCTTGTCGTCCGTCCCACGCCACCAAATAACTAAAGCCGCCAGTCTTGGCCACTCTATTCAGTGTGTTTTCATTTTCCACATTTGAGTTTGAGTTTTGAGGGAAATTAGTTGAGGAAACAGTGTGTGGGTCGAGATGGTGGGTTAGTTAGTCGGTGTCTGTGGGCAGGGCGCTCTCGACAAGTGTCGAGATAGACGACAGACCCCCGCTAGCCAGGCTTGTAAAACAATTCTCACAGCAATAAAAGCAATGCCAAATTCTTTTCTTAAATATACGCAAATTAAGCTAATTAATGTTAATTAATCTCTCACAAACAAAACATTTGCGTAGGATGGGGAAATATGAAAGTTTTTCACATTTTTCCAATGACCCAACATCCATACTTTGGCTCGATTCCCAATAATGTAAACATTTACTCTATAATTTTCTTGTTTACGGTTTAGGTTGAGAAGGAAATTCCACAATTTTCCACAACTTTATTGGCGATCTGCCTCAAGAGTGAATGCAAAACCACTTCCGTTCTGCTTGGACCACTGGCTGGCCAGTGCAGCGGAAATGGCGATCCGAGCCACTCTCTCTGTCGCGGATTGGATTCCCCACCGGTTCTCCACACTCGTCGTAACTCTAGAAGCCTAGTCTGTAGACTATGACTATGGCACAATGGACATAGACTCGGCGAATATAATAAAAATAATTACACAACAGAGAGAGGGCCGTCTGATGATGTCGGCGATGTGACAACGATGAAACCAGAGGTCAAACTATGCCATATTGTTGTAACCAGTTGTTATTGTTCATGTTCTGTATGTGTCTGAACCGCTCTTCTTCGAGGCAAGTCCATTGCACTTTTCATGCGATTAAGCGAAATCTGATACCGCCAGAGTAGAGTCAGAGATGGAGTGGGTATTCTGAAAAAATCAAAGCCCTGATTTGTAGAAAAATCAATAGTAGGACAGACCCTTGACTATGCAACTTCTAATCAAATCAATAAAGATAAGGAAAGTTGGCAAAATGATGGAAAAATCCAAACAGTATATAGAGTGATTCACGATAAGAATATCGAACTAAAAAGTCAGAAAAATTTCCCATGATAAAACTGCTGGGATTTTGTTTAATCACTGCTTTCCATATAGTATATCTCCTCCAAAAGGAAGCCCTTTAAGACCTGCTAACCCTAAAAATGGCTCACACCTCACTAAGGGTTCAATGACTCTCAGTGACTTTTCTCCCAGCTCCACATACATTTTCCGTAAACACCCGGATGGATGGCAGATGGGGGGCAGTGCTCCCCCTTCTAATATAATTAGCCGGCGAAAGGGGTGATGGTTGGGAAGGGGTAGGTGGATAGGTGGATAGGTTGGGTAGGTGGCCAAATCAAATTTACATGTTTATTTTTACAAGCCTACAAACAACGGAGTCGGTGGAGTGGGACTACCTCTCTATCGATGCGCTTGATATATATAAAAAAATATATATATATCCATGGTTGGGCGCTGATGCGTGCGACAAGAGGCCCCAGCCAAGAAGAACCGAACCGACATGAAACCGATCTAAAATTATACCCAGGGAGCTATAAGGAAGCTACATTGTGTAAGCAAAAAAGTACAAAGATTTTGTTTATTTCTTTAAAAGAGGAAACTATGAATTGCAAACATTATATTTTGGAAATCATTTTATACTGCTTACTATGTTGCTAATTTGTATTTTTTAGATTATTTTTCAAAAGGAACTATATATAATATAATATAATTATAGTAATGTACAGTTTCCACTTGCTAGACCCGATAAGGCCGGCTTTCTTCCGCTTTGTAAGTAGACTGGTGTTTATCGAAGCGTTGCAATTACTGGCAAGGGCCGGCTCAGAGGTCCACATAAATGTTATATGGCAGCATTATATACAATACACTTTATATATCTGATAGTAACTACTCTGAGACTTGCATTTCCTCGCACTTGACTGCACAAGACACCACTCCCTCTGGCTGCCCCCGAACCTCTGTGTAATTAAATCACTCGACCGTTGAGGGGGAGAGCCTACAACAGCTCTGAGTCGAGTGGAGTGGAGAGCACTCCATAGAAGAGTCTTGTTTTGAAAGAAACACATAATTATAGCATTATTATTACACTATTATTACATTATAACAAAGGCTTACTAGACTCTTCAAGATGTTTTTGGGGGCCTCTGTTCGATTGCACTATTATTTCTCCCATTATTTAGTGTTTATGGATTTATCATTCAAATCCCTTACTTTAGCATATTAACGACTTTGAACAGCTGCAAAATAAAGTCAAATCTAGTTCTAGTTCCCTCCCAAAATAGGTGTACATATTAATTACATCAAAGTTCTGATGCCAAGAGCCAAGATGCTGAATTTTTAAAACCCGATCTGGTCAAGTTTCCAGCGATGGATCGCCGAACAGCTGCTGGTGGACACAGCCATAGATTAGAGGCCCGTAGGTGCTCGATCGAGAGCCACAAACAAATACCTACAACCGTGATTTATGCATAGCATAGCACCGCCCGTGTCTTAACCCCGTCTGGAAATCACGAAAACGCCCTCCCGAAGGCGTTCAAAATTGACCCAGAGATGCCTTTCGGATATCTGGCCATCATCTCACAGTTTGCGTGAGTTAATTGCAGCTGCTTTCGGGGCATATGGCCAGGTAAATACACTGCACTGGAATGGACTGTTTTTACCTGTTGCTACCTGGATTGCGCCTTGCCTTTTGTCTTGCGCCAGTTGCAACACCCTGCGGCGCAGCGTTTTTATCTAATTTATCTGTATCAGTACGGGGTGCGTTTGTTATCTGTCGGCCTAGACAAAATGTTAACAATTTTGTACTACATTCGGGTTTTGGGAGGGAAAACTACAGTCTACAGCTTTAAAGCAGTGCCCACTGGACTAGGTCGAAACAAGGGGAACTCATTCTTGTACATCCAAGTATGTCTGTACATCCCCCCAGTTATAACTTTTATTTATAGTCACTAATCAATTTCTAACTACACTCCCCCAGATAACTATTTTTGCACTGACCGTTATCACTTGGAATTGGCATTGCTCCCTATCAGTTCTTATACAATTATCGACATATTTTTGAGAGCAAATAAAACCACCAAAGATGGATGACACATCCAGATGAGCTCATAACTCTCTCTTGTAGGGCTATCGGAGCAGATGTGCCAATGTACATAAAGTACTCCCTGCGGGGGAGTGTTGCTGTTTGCTTTTGGTCAACGAGCGAAGGTCGTCGCTGGGGGACAGAAAAACAATAACAACAATAATGCACCGCATAGCAAATCAAAGGCTCAAACGGCTAGCTAACTGACGGATACACACGCACATAAACATTTCGAAAAGTAAACCGTGAGAAGCTAAGTAAAAGCCAAGAGCAGATAAACTTTTTAGCCAAAAAGCAAACGCGGCATGCCAACACATACACGCCACCGAGTGTAATAGAAAGAGGTAGTAGAGGTAGTACCACCACCAACAAGAAATGCAGGTAAAAAAGCTTGGTAACAACCAGCTGATTCCAGACAACAACAAAGTAATTTCATTGATTACCGATAGGCAACGCACGTTCAAACGGCTTGGAAGCCGCCACATAAAGCATAAGCTATAAGCTATAAGCCATCCCAAGTCTAAACGCTCAAAAAAACTTCAAAGCCCCAACACCACACCTCTTCTCCTGGCCAACTCCTGCTTCTTCTTCTTTTGCTTTGCTGCCCCTTGGCGGCAACGGCGCTTCGCGTACGATTCCCAGTAAAAGCAACAAACCCGACAAATGCTGAATGAGGCAGATGCCAACAGTGGTGGGTAGAAGAATAGGGCCAGTCTAATCGTATACCTGAGGTATACAACACCCAATGTGAATACTAAACAAAAGACTGAGTCTGAGTTTCAATTTCGGGAACAGTAAAATATAAATTCAAACTTTAACGGCTATCCCCGTGTCCCCGTGTCTGTTTGTATCTGAAGGCAAATAAAAGGCAAAAAACGAAGTAGGAGAAGCTTGGCCTATGCGTCATTGGCTTGGCTTCGGGGCCTGCCAGAGACGGCTGAGAATGCATTTGAGCCAAAAGCCAAAAGCAGGGAGGCTTTGCTCAGCTGGTTGCAACCAAAACAAAAACAAAAACAATGATACACCAAATTCCTCCAGCCCCCAGTCCCCAGCCCAGATAATCGTTATGATAAACATAATCGCTCCTTGGGAAAATTCCTTTCGGAGGTATGTATTATATTTTCTTCCCATCTTCAAGATCAATTTTGTGGTTAGTTTGGAGGTTCTTCTGAGTTCTTTTTTCGGGTGTGTGATTGAAAAATGCATTATTTTTTTTGGAAGAACTGACATTTCCGGCAAAGTTGTGGATACCGAGGTTAAGTTCTAAAAAAAAAAGACCTTGGTGTAATTTTTAAGATTTGAAGCGCTCGGCCAATGGCCATTTCCCCTATAATTCATTCAGCAAAAACCCATTATTTCAATGAGAGCTATGCGTGCTTTTTGGAGCGCGTTGAATCATTTGCTTTTTGCTTGAAACAATCGCAAATAAAATGGTTTCTCTGCTTTTATCTTGACTTTATTTGTTATTGTTCTCAAGACGCAAAACGCGAAATGCGAAACGCTAATGTAGGCACAAATGTTTGCCGCAGCTTATTTATCTTTGCCGCATTAATTAACCCACCACATGCTAATATTATGTGGGAATCGGTGGATATAAAAAGATACAAAGCTAAGAACCAGATCGATGAATAATGTATCTGAGACATTTTCGCACGCGATAATTATGTTTTCAACTGCTAAGGATAATTGTGGGAAGTTTAGTCACGGAACTAACTCATTATTTAAGTCAACGGTTGATTACTAACCCAATCCAAAACGCTTCTTGATCTTCTTGAGCAAGTGCATCTTCTTTTTGCTCGACAGCTTCTCCTTGGTGGACATCAGGAGCTCGTTGCTCTCCATGGCCAGCACCTGGGCGGCCTGCTGGGCGGGCGTGGGAGCCGCATTGTGGAGCTGTTGCTGGTGAAGATTCTGCTGGTGCTGGTGCAGGTGGTGCTGCTGGGATGCATGGTGGCTCAGGTGGGGATGGCTGCCCTGCATGTAGTTGGCTGGTATATCCGATAAACCCATGTTTGAAATTTTATTATAATTCCTTTATAAATTGTTAACAAAACTAAACGCGATCGGAACACGCGCGAAATGCTATATCTATTTCCCACTAATTTTCGTGGCGGCGAGTTCTTTGAATTAAGTTTTCTGTTAAAACATTTTGAATTTGGCAGTTGGTTGTTGTTTTTTGCGCGAAAAACGGATAACACGGAGCTTGACGAACGAGACGAGACCGACGACGACGACAGCGAACCTTTCGCTTCCACGTTCAAATTGCAATTAAAATTAAGATTCCTACGGCACGTCGATCCATCAGATGCACAGATGACGGTATCGACACTATCTTAGAAGCTATATCCTCGAGAAGACTCTCACACGTCCGCACAGTGGGAGATTTCTTACGTTTCTGACGGTTTTATTTTCGTTTACGGTACTCTTAAGCGGTGCCTGTGCCACAGGGTGGTTTGTACACTCGCTCTCTCAAAATGGTCGCCCTGTTGCATGGCTCTCTCAACGATGGCCGTTGGATGTGGCGGTTTCTTTTTAAAATTCTTCATATTTATAAACTAGTTTATTGTTTTAAATAAATTAAATTAAAATATCATATTTTATTAAGGTAATGCAAATATGAAAAAGTGTAAGGACCCACTTTAAACAAAATTATAACCACAGCGAAGATTATATATTGGTCTTTAGATTAGTAACATAAAAAAACATGTTTTAAGTAGTTAAAGCAAAAGATAAAGGTTAAAACAATTCAGTTTTCTATAAGAAACTTTCATTAGAAAAGGCTTAAAATTAAATCAATCCTATACCCAATAAAAAATGTCTTGAAAACTATATATAATTTTTAGTATCTCATGGAGAGTCTATTTTCTTCTACCGCTCAGCACTGATAAGAGAAGAGAGCGCTGGAGAACGGCAATTTGAGTTGGCTCTCCTCTTGCAGCTGTTTTACTAAGGTTTCCCTTTGTGCTTGCCTTTCGCGTGTATTGAGCCTCCCATATAATTTACCTTTATGCCTGTGCACCTTGATCAGCGATTCCTCCACTTCTTTTCCTGCTGTTGTGTTGTTGCTTCTGCTTTTGTTGTTGCTGTTCTAGACCAGGTCGCCAGCATTTTTTTGTTGTTGTTTTTTTTTCAGTTTTTGGCCAAGCTGCTCTGATCTCTGTTAACTGTTTTTGTTGTTGTTGTTCGTTTTGCCTGAATTTCAGTTCAGTTCAGTTCAGCCAGGTTCAAAGCAATTCTTTCTCTTTCCACAAAAGGTTAGAAGGTCTGGCTCATATAACTGGGAAACTATGTAAATTGCTTTAATGCTTTTGATCGTGAACTTTGTCGGCCAAATAATTAAGTTATAGAGAGCTTGGAGGTGCGAAAACGAAAACAAAACTCAGTAGAAAAGATTTCAAGACTTTATACCTCTTAAAAATAGAAATCTATGGATGAGGACTTCTACCCCATATGCTCCTTAATATTTTGCAAGGATTTCCCTCTCTGGGAATAGACACACGCTTTTGTGGTCTCGTTTTCTAAACTTAAACCACAATAACCGAACAACTGCCGTCTGGCGTCTGATTATCCTTGATCCTTTATGGATGCCACACAGTCATTGATGAAGGATGGATAATTGCGGCGAGTGCTCCAGCCATCCTCGTCCTGCATCAGCAAACATTTCAAAGGACAGACCTCACAGCAGATGCAATTTTCAAGATCGGAAGGGATCACGACGGACGACGGCAAGAAAGCATTTAAATTTTGATATTAAAGTGGAAATGCATATTCAGCATCCTGGCAGCAGGCGTGCGTCCTGGAAATACAGCTGCTGCCGCTGCTGATGCTTACCCAATGATCCCCTGCACCTTCACCTCCCTCCCCTGTTGTTGGCCTTTATTCCGCTTTTGCAAAAATGCAAAAAAGGACGAAGAAGGTTGGCACTGAAACAGGAACCGTCGAAACACCGTGCAGCGGAATCGAGACCAGCGAACAACCCCAATAATGTCAAAGAGAAATACAGGCCATAATGGTTTTAAAACTCAAAAAATATTCAGTTTTTTATATGAAAACAAGTAATTTAAAATGTAGAATATTTTCAATATTAGGTCTGATTTAGATATAATTTTAATAGCAAGATCATCATCTGCTTTTTATTTAAATTTCCAAAAATGTTCATCCTTCGAATACCCACTGTATCCGTCAACGAAAGGTGTCCATCTGTGGTTGCAGTCGCAAAAGGACTTGAAAAGGGTTTGCTTTGTATCCCCCCTTCCTCCTTTCCCTTCACCGCCAGTTTCGTTCTGTTTGTTTGCCAATTCCAGGTGTAAATTCATAGCAAAAGCGACAGATACGGGCGGAAAGGGATTTTCGGGACGGAAGCGGGGCAGGGGAAGCCAGCCAACCACGTGCCAGGTTACCAAAAAAAAATACAAAAAAAAAGAGACGTGCGCCAGTTGTCTTGACTGATAAGGTTGCTCTACTTCTCCAGATCAGTTCGAACTCCTTTAACGATTACATTTATTTTTATACCTATAGGCATTCATATTTTTTGTCAGCCCCCTTGAAGACAGCTGCTCCTTCATTTGCATTTGTCGCCTTGACGGGGGAGATCTCTGTGGATAGTCGTCTGTTTTTGTTTATTTGCATCGTTTCGAGCGTTGTCTGGGTTTAATTTTAGAATTTGGCACATGTGCTCCCCACCACAAACTCCCCTGGTAGTGCCATTTTTTAAATCTCCAGTTTGGTCTCCCACGAACATCTGGTAAATATATATACATAGATATATACATACATATATTGCGACCCAAGCGACCTCTTCTACATTTGTAGATTTGTAGAAACCAAGGCCCGCATTGATTCTGGTTCTATACCTTTGCCCTCACAATTGTCTTTCTGCCCATTGTCTTGAGAATGTCACAGCGATTTACCTTTCGGACAGTTCCTTAACCCAAAATCCCTATGGCTATATAAAATCATCCTCTATGGAGAATCGACCTCGGCAGGCGTTTAATGAAAATGCCAAACGATGATCTTGCTTGGCAAGTGAATAAATTCTAAAGGGAATACTTGCCAGTTGAGATATGTACACTCCTTTATCATATCTTATAATATATGAACTTAACCGTAATTCCATTTTAATAAGAAGACTAAAATATGTAAGGGAATTTCTAATTAATCTTCCCAAAGGTGATCAATTATCGCCCTCACATATGGAAGTTTCCTTGGCTCAAGTTATTTCTGATTTGTTGACGTTCCACCATTATATGTAGATAAGAAAATCACACCCCAGCCATATAATCTAATAAAGTTTTTTGCGATAAAAGACAAAGTTACAAAAATGGGTATTTGATTGAATTTTCATACAATATCCATAGTACATAGTCTTATCATAACCCCATCCCTTATGATTGAGCTGTAACCACCTTCACCTTGGATAACCGATAAAAATATAAATAATTTAGACGCAAAAAATATATAAATTAAATTCTTTGATAAGTATATGGAAATAGACAGTTGATAGTCAATATCTAGTTCTCTACCGACTGACCAGGTAAGTAGCATTAACGTAAAGATATAACGAATTGCCAGCTGTCGACACCGAGACAGCTGAGAATGCCTTGGCTCCCCATATTGATTCCCGATAGCCGATCAATATACACATAATTAAGTAAAAACTGTAGCAAATGCCGATGTTTAATTAGAAAACGACATATGCAAACGGGCCAGCGACAGGAGGAACAGGAATCGGAAAGAAAAATAAAAGGGAAAGGACTCAGTAAACAGGGGAAACGGACCCAAGGAGCAGTTGTGGAGTTTCTTACAACCAAAAAAAAAATACCCGAACTAATCCTGCCAGGATACAAAGGAGAATTGTGGAGAACCCAAAATCGAATTGCATAAGCACTTGAGAAACCGAACAGTGGAGGAGTTGGCATACAATACAATACTTATATACATACTTATGTATTTCTCCAGAGTATCTCATGGGATCGATGGAAGCCTGAAGGCATAGCCTCAGAAAATTCTCTAAATCATATGGCTTGGGAACCTATTTTTGGTTATTTCTAAAGAAAGCAGATGATAACTTGTACATTTTATATAGAAAATATAAGCAAGCATAGTTTTATTAACTTAAAGTGAGTTTAACTAAAAACATAGTTATAGTCCTTTGTCTAATTTTTTGACTTTCTTCAAGAAGGCATTTTGGGATACCTGCGTAGCAGTTGTTTCTCCCGCTACCTTGATCAAGATCTAACTAAGAGGGACTTATTCGGAAATTGGCAGGGATGTGTTTGGCAACTTCCTCATCCACATCCCACATCCGCATCGGCCGTGTGCGTACGCTAATCAAATATCAACATCATCGAGGATGTGGAAGGATGCGAGAAATACCCGCCAATGCACATAATGCAACACATGCTCGGGAAGCTGCGATCCGTTAGAGAAATATATATTTTTTTTTATTCTGCCGGCCAAATGTTTGCCTTTTCGGGGGGTTTCGCCTTTCACAGTTTCCACATTGCAGTTTTTTCCCGCCTGTAAAATGGAAAAACTCCCTCGTCCCACGAAAAAGATATGAAGCAGATACCTTTCCAGATACAGACAGGACATTTGGCAAGTCATACGGAGAGAGGGTCCTGGTCGTGGTGGGTTTTCGCCGTTCCACAGCATGTGGCTTTGTCTCAGGGTCAGGGATCGTTCACTTACGATTTGGTTATCCTACCTGACCCGAGCGCCTATTGGGGTTTACTTATATTCTCTCCTTTGTCTTTGCACTATCCTTCGTCCTTTCTTGGTCTTATTTTGAGAAATCATTGCCATAAACTCTATAATTTATTATCTACAGCTGCATGGGCAGCTACGTTCTAATCGAAGTTGATTCGACTTGGTGGAGGTGATCGAATGAAACCAGTAATGGTGAGCAGGTAACGCCATCCCAGCATCCCCCGTTAAATACACCTGTAACCTGAAGGTCCTTGCATTAAGCACAATTTATCGCCCTGCAACTATAGTAATGGTCCTTCTTTTCTCATTTTTTTTGGTTAGTCCCCAGACTTTTTGGATTTTAAGCAGCTTAAGGTTTATGGGTTTCTATGACCTCCAATCAAGCCTATTTTTCTGCTAATAAATAAAACCAAGACTATGTCTTTTAGAGATTTTTATATTCACATTATATAAATTATTATATACATACATATATATTATAATTTTTTGTATATATTATATTATTATGATTATTATATACAAATGATATATTATTGGCTTATTTTTAGAATAATAGAATATCTTTATAAAAATTGCAGTCAGCCCACAATGTTATATGAAATGAAAATTTAGATGGGGTTTCTCTTAAATATACATTACTACATTTGTAAAATTTTTTATATATTTTATTTCCAATTTTGCCAAATAAGAACCCGCGAAAAGGCAGTTTAAAAAGTGTTGGAAAACACTCGAGGTCAGTCATATGTTCCTACACTGGGAATGCCAACTTGCTGTCACATTGGTTTTTAATTCATGGGCCAATTGGATTTACATCTTCCAAAAACTAATATAGTCGTTTTCAGCTTTGCACTCACCTATTTTACCAGCCGACTGACCCATTGCACATGAGGCTCATTAACTTTTTGTTTTGGTTGCAGTAAGGCACAGCAAATGACAGCAATAAGAACAAGGACACATTTACAACTCCTTTGGCATTGAATTTTCACGTGGGCGCAGCCCTCGGGAAACTTTCGACTTGGCTTTATACGAACACCGATCATGTGCGACAGCTTTCGCGATCACTTCTGTATAATTTGACGTTAATTTCAAAGCATTTTTTAAATTGATATTGCTATTTTAATTGTTATTAGGAGCTGCCGGTTGCAAGGCTTTTTTAGTTCAATATTTTCCCATAAGTAGGCGCTAGTGCGTTTCAAAAAAATACCAATTCTGCCAATCAATTTGGTATGTGGTAATAATCGGACTTTATACATATTAAATAAAACATAGGTTAGCAGCGAAGTTGACCAAATTTACTACAAAATTTTGTATAAAACTTTGTTTTCAGAATCTTTTAAGTCTTGGGAAGTATATCTCCAAAGCCGAGCTTCAAAAAGAGCCGATATATACTGTTTTGTTTACCCCTGTGAAATGTGGTATTTTTTAGTTTCCCATCGGCGGTCACTCTCCACGCAACCTCTGCCAAAAAAAAACTACGCGAAAAATATGCCATAAAAGCTATATTTAAGTGATTTTAACGTGGTTATATCAAGAATATAAGTGCTTAAAAGCAGCACAACCCTTGCCAGCGGTTCCCCGGGGAATCCTAGTAAGCTAACGTACACAAGAGCGGCCGAAAAATGGCGGATCCGCTGAGTCTGCTGCGGCAGTACAACATAAACAAAAAGGAGATTGTCGAGCGCGATAGCCAGATCATATTTGGCGAGTTCTCCTGGCCCAAAAGTGTTAAGACCAATTATCTCAAATATGGGTCAGTAGTCGAAAGAGTCGTATCATTAAAGAGATACAACTCATCTCCATATCTTTTCAACTTTCAGATCCGGCAAGAAGGGCGCTCCACGTGAATATTACACGCTGGAGTGCCTGCTGTACCTGCTCAAAAATGTTATGCTTCAGCACTCGGTCTATGTGCGTCAGTGTGCCGCCGAGGATATTCCCGCCGTGAACCGACCCGATCGAAAGGAGCTCCTAGCATATCTCAATGGCGAAACCACAACCTGCGCCAGCATCGACAAAAGTGCCCCGCTGGAGATACCCACCCAAGTGAAAAGGGCAGCTGAAGGAGATGCAGCCAGCGGGGAAGTGGCGGCCAAGAAGGCCCGCTTCGAGGAGACCCAAGTGCAAAAAGTGCGCGAGCAACTGGCGGCTCGTTGGGATGTCAATCAAAAGGAGACAGCCGTGAACATGGACAATATCAAATCGCTCTCGGAAACCATGTCCGTGGAGAAGATTGCCGCCATTAAAGCCAAGCGCTTGGCAAACAAACGTACTACCATCAAAAGGACGGACAACGATGAGGCAATGGGCACAGATCTGAGAGCCATCCTGGACTACGATGTGGACTCCACCAAGGATATTATTAGCAGGGAACGGCAGTGGCGGACGCGTACTTCCATCTTGCAGAGTACTGGCAAAATCTTTGCCAAGAACATTTTTGCCATGCTGCAGGGCATCAAGGCACGTGAGGAAGGACGTAACCGGCCGCAGGCCCCCAATCCTATCAAGATGCCTGAGCCGGCGCGGATAGCTAAGCCCCAGCCCCAGTTGTCGCAGTACAATCGTTACGATCAGGAGCGTTTCAACAGGCAAAAAGAAGAAACCGAGGGCTTCAAGATCGACACCCTGGGTACATACCATGGTATGTCACTGAAGTCTGTGACTGAGGGCTCACTGGCGCAGCGCAAGGCGCAAGCTAACAATCTGCCCGGAGCACCTGGAATGCCGGGTGCCACCGCCGGCCGACCCAAGGAACTTATACCCACGGCCCAGGCCAGGCAACTGCCCCCAAACGGACCACAGAAGCGACCCTCTCGCACACCCATCATAATTATTCCGTCTGCCAACACAAGCCTCATCACCATGCTCAATGTGAAGGACATCCTACAGGAGCTCCGCTTCATGTCCACCGCCGAAAAGAAGTTGCAAGGCTGCCAACGCGACAGCGAGGTGTTATTGCAGGTGAGCTACGTAACAGAAATGAGTATGGTATTTTTTCAGCCGACTTTGGAATTCAACAAAAAGAAATCGAGCTTAAAATTTATTACCTTGCGTGTCTGTTCTAATAATTTCTGCCGTTGTGATTGTGTTTGTCATGTGGTAACAGTTTCTAAAAACTCTGATGTAACCACTTTATGTAATTGTATTCCAATTGTTCTGACATTTTTATTGCAATTTTCTGTTCTTCCTTCTGGCAGCGTAAACGTAATAATCAAACTGTGTCTTACCGAGTGATAGACAATCCTATCAAGCTGTCGCAACAGGATTGGCAGCGTGTGGTGGCCGTGTTTGTGATGGGACCTCAATGGCAGTTCAAGGGCTGGCCCTGGGATGGAAATCCCGTCGAAATATTCTCAAAAAGTATGTGAATTTATTTCCTCCATTGAGATTTCGCATAAAAAACTGTGTTTCCTTCTTTTCGATAGTTTGCGCTTTTCATATATGCTTCAGTGAGCTGAAATTGGACTCCAATGTGGAGCGTTGGTCGGTGACGTTGCTACGTCTCTCCCAAAACAAACGCCATCTGGACCGGGCTGTGCTCAGTAAATTCTGGGAAACTTTGGACAAGTGAGTGCCACTTACATGAAATATATTTGAAATTGTATATTTATTTGACGGAATATTTTTAGATATATGGCCAAATACAAGCCTGACTTGAGGTTTTAACCCTATACGTCTCCTATCAACATTCTGCTGAAATCACTTTATTGCAATAATCCTGTAAAGTCGCCCGCAAACCTTGGACCACCTTCGATTATTCTTTATGATCTGTACTTCAAAAAACCCCGATGGCTGTTGGGTTTCTGCCGTGTATCCAAGGCGCTCTCTTCATTTTGGCAGTTTTAGGGTTAAGACATAAAGTTTGTTGTTTGACTTGTACGATGTAAGTTACACAAGAACCAGATGCGAAACCAAGTAAATTGTATTTCTAGTGATAATAAAAAGATTGTTTCGATACTAAAAGCGAACATGCTATCTATGTTTGCTTCCCAGAATGGGGAATACTTTTATTTAGCTTCTTATTCCCAGCTATATAACCAAAGCAAGTTAAGATATGTATGATAAAAATTGTTTATATTGTGAAATCAGTTTCTGTTTGTGGTACAATCGTCATATTAGCGGTTGGTCAGTAATTCTAAACTCTACTATAGGTTAGTGGATTAAATAAAAAATACTATGTTTCGCCCAGCGAAGCGTGAACCCAGGAGATGATCGCCAAAGGTTTCGGAAGCTTCATTAGGACTGGCTGGGATAGTGCTGCTTCTTCGCCGCCAGAATGGTGTTCTGCATCAGCATGGCCACTGTCATGGGACCAACACCGCCAGGAACTGGAGTAATGTGACCGGCAACTTGACGAACTTCTGAAGAAAACAAGAAACTTATGATACAAGCTTTAAAGGATTTCAAATAGCTACTTACCTTCGAAGTCCACATCACCAACCAGCTTGAACTTTCCAGTCTTCTCGTCCTTAATGCGATTAATACCCACATCAATGACACAGGCTCCAGGCTTAATCATGTCCTTGGTGATAAGTCCTGGCTTGCCCACAGCAACCACAACAATGTCCGCCTGGCGACAGTGACGAGCCAGTTCCTTTGGAGGCGTGTATCTGTGGCAAATGGTCACTGTGGCATCGAGAGCTTTGGTGGCGTATTTCCCATCCGAATGGAGGAGAATGGCCATCGGCAGGCTGACGTTCTTAGAACGACCAACAACGACAGCATTCCGTCCCAAGGTCTCGATATTAGAGTACTCCAGCAATCTCTTAACACCTAGGGGTGTGGCTGGGATGATTCCCTCCATGTCCAGAGCCAGACGCCCTATGTTGAGCTCGTTGAAGCCATCCACGTCTTTGTCAACGTGAACAGCGTTGCAGATGGTGCGCTCATTGATGTGCTCCGGCACCGGCAGTTGCACCAGCACTCCGTTCACGCGATTGTCCTTGTTCAGTTGATCAATCAGCGCCAGGAGCTCCTCCTGCGTAGTGGAGGAGGGAAGCCTCTTGGTCTCGCTAGAGATTCCCACCTCGCGGCAGGCAAGCATCTTGTTAGCCACGTACTTCTCGCTGGCCGGATCCTCGCCCACAATCACAGCCGTGAGATGGGGCGTTGGATTGCCGGCTGCCACGAACTCCTTCAGTTCCTTGGCTAACTGGCCACGAATCTCCTGAGCTATGCCTTTGCCATCGATGACTTGAGCCATGTTGCTGGAAATAAGAACAAAATATTTATAATTATTGACATTTGTTTATTATTTACCATTTATAAAATAAAGGAAAGCTTATTTCTTTTATTCTTAGAGAGGTTTCTAAGAGAGAATCCATCTGTTAAGGATCAGATACATTTTAGCAAAATGGGCCCTTTCCAATGAGGTAATTGGCCTTCAGAAAATTTGACAAAAAATCTAAAAAATATTTTATATGCGGATTTTGATGCAGATTTATTGAGAACCGATCTACAAATCGATTAAGGTATTCCGCTCCAGGATCCGATAAATATTGGCAGAGATATAGACTTCCCAGTGGACCACATCGACCCTCCCATGCATTTTGCACATTTTGAAGGGAAAATTTGACAAAAAATCTGAAAAATATTTTGTATGCGGATTTTGATGCAGATTAATTGAGGATCGATCTACAAATCGATTAAGGTGTTCCGCTCCAGAATCAGATAAATATTGGCAGAGATATAGACTTCACAGTGGACCATATCGACCCTCCCATGCATTTTCCACATTTTGAAGGAGATCCCCCAGAAATTTTGACAAAAAATCTGAAAAATATTTTGTATGCGGATTTTGATGCAGATTTATTGAAAATCAATCTACAAATCGATTAAGGTATTCCTCTCCAGGATCAGATAAATACTGGCAGAGATATAGACTTCCCAGTGGACCACATCGACCCTCCCATGCATTTTCCACATTTTAAAGGGGATCCCCCAGAAAATTTGACAAAAAATCTGAAAAATATTTTATATGCGGATTTTGATGCAGATTTATTGAGAATCGATCTACAAATCGATTAAGGTATTCCTCTCCAGAATCAGATAAATATTGGCAGAGATATAGACTTCCCAGTGGACCGTATCGACCCTCCCATGCATTTCCCACATTTTAAAGGGGATCCCCCAGAAAATTTGACAAAAAATCTGAAAAATATTTTATATGCGGATTTTGATGCAGATTTATTGAGAATCGATCTACAAATCGTTAAAGATATTCCTGTCAGCAATCTGGTGAAAATTGGGAAAGATATGGTCGTCACTGTAGACAAAGTAGTCCTTCCATATAATTAAAATTTGTGAGTAGGCCTCAGCACACATATAGACGTGCTAATATCGACCCAAGAGGGGTTCCCGATCAAGAACATGTACATATGTATGCATGTATAATTAAAAGTATGTGTGTATTTTCGCGGAGCTTTTTCGGCTGCATTAGTATGCGAGGTCATAAACGAGGAATGTCGTAAAATGATAAGATGCAGTGGGAAGCCCCCCGGCCACCAACGTGGTTGCGCTGCAGTAATTCCCCTAGATCGCAGACTTGGGCGAATATATGTATCGAAACGGTGATTCACCCATTTATTTGCCAGGGAAGGGCGAACGGGACAATGCATAAACAATCCCAGTGAATCCCCCTTCTCAGAGTGTACTTTTAGATAGGTGCGATTTCTGGAAAAAGCTTTTAATGAATGATCTCACTATTCTCGATAGTAAAAAGTACTATATGTATATGTATATACATATATCTAAATTGGTTCATGGAAATCATCACGAAACTATAATGGCAGCATTATCATTATTATAAACTGTACAGTCTCTGTAAATGTCCCTAAACATTTCTTCAAGAAAAGGACATTAAAATTCAAGTATTAAAGTGTTAATTGTTTTAAAACTAAAGTATTTTATTGATAAAAATGTTCAATACAAAATCAACCGCTACTACTTTATCTGTAGAGGTATAACCTCCCCTGTATAGGAGACTAGACACTAGTGTTTAACGTAATTCCCTCTCCAGCAGGGCATAGGCCCTGGAATCTATCAACTGCAGGGCACTGACAAATGCTCCAGAGTCTACTGTAGCAGGATTGTCCAGAATGTAATCCAACAACGCATCAGCATTGGCCCACAGAAAGGCAAACTTCTCTAAATGGGATTGGCGGGCGATCAGTTTCCATTTGGGTACATGACCATCGGCACCATGACCCACAGGCTCAGCGAGCATAGCACTCAGCTGCTCATACACAGATTGGTTCTTCAGCAGGTTTTGAAGTTTGTCCATTTGGGTTGTCCCGCTTTCAGCATCTGGACTCGATTCCGTTTCCCGACTTCCTTGACTGCTCAGGTCCATTTCTACGGAGTCCTCATCCTCCGTTTTTATGTACATCTCCTCCGCCTTAATCTCTAGCTGCCCAGCATCGCTGCTCTCGTCGGAGGAAGAGTCAATCTCCTCTTTCACTTTTCGTGGAATCCAGGTCATAGCCACATCGCTCTTTTCCGGATACACCTTCTCAAGGAGCTGCACCACTCGCTCGTTGGCCTTGCACCTGGCCAACTGTAGGGGTGTATAGCCAGCGGCATTTCTCGCCTGCAGGATGTTGGCGAGGGACTGGTTCTGGGCATCCAAAATGAGCACCAGTAGCTCTATACTCTGCTCCAAGACTGCCATGTGCAGGGCGTTGTTGCCGTCCTTTGTGTTCGCCACGCTAATGGAACTCCTGTCGTGGCTGATCAGCTTCTTGGCCACATCGTATTTGTTTTGCCGGATGGCCATGTGCAAGGGCGTTAGTCCATCGTCGTTCTTTAGCGTCAAGTCCAGTTCTATTTCTCCCGCTCTGATGGGAGCTCCGTTCAGGAAGCTGTCCACGCAGTTCAGGTGCTCTTCTTTGACGGCCAAGTGCAGTGGCGTATTCCCTGCGTGGTTCTGCTGATTGGGACTGCAGCCCAGTCCAAGAAGTGGGCGAATGTAATGGGCCCGATCCTGTTGGCAGGCCGCATGCAAAGGACTGTCTCCATCCGCATTCAACGCGTTGTCGGCCAGCACATTCAGCTTGAAATGGTTCATCACCTGTATTGTCTTAATGGCCAGCTTCAAGTTGTCCTTCTTGTAGCTAATCACCTCGTGGAGCAACGTGTCATTGTTCTCGTTCTTGAGCGCGTGATCTGTGAACAACTCCTCCACACGCCGACGTGAAGATTCTGATTTTGCGTGTCGATCCTGGTCGAAGATCTTGAAGATTTCATTCAGGTAGTAGGTGGTCAAGTTTCTTGCCGGAGGCACGTCTGCCATTGAGCGCCCATGTCCGTCGGCTTGAAGCTCGCCCGCATGCTGCAGCTCTACCAGTTCGCCCAACTGGCACATTTTCTCCAGCTCTGCTGAATGCTGATAGATGAGTTTGCTGTAGCACGGCGAGTTCAACAATTCGTCCAGATGATCCCGTCCAAACTCCTGGCTGATTGTTTTATCGTGTTGCGAATAGTTGGCCTTCGCATTCGGCTGGGCTTGTGGCTGTGCCATACCAATGGTTTTTGGAAAATCTAGTGAATTGTTGGAGCTGGAATTTCCGGAACTACTGGTGGCTGAGGAGCAAGTGCGACGCCGCTTCCTCGAAACGATCGCATCTCGGGGCTTGTAGCGGAAGGGCAGGGGCGGGTAGGATCGTTCGTCGTCGGAGGGCCGTATCAGCTCAATGGACACTCCAACCTCTCGGTCCACATCCTTGTCTTTGTACGCAGGCGTCTGGCAAACAATCGCATATTGGTGATGGACATCCGATTCCCGAAACTTTGCGTACGCTTCCCACACCGTTTCTCCGTCTTCGTCCTCCTCGAAGAAGCGCACCTTTATGTTCTTTTTGCTAACCTTCTCGACCAGCAGGATGAGTTCGTCGTTGCCCATGACGCCGCCAGTTGGTTTGCTCAGCCGAACGATGCGCAGCTCTCCGGTTTGTGCCGACTTGCGGTTGTTGATTGGGTTGCTGTACACCGGATTAGCAAGTTGCACCCAAGCGCCGTTCTCCTCAATCTTAAAGGCCTCGAAACAAAGGCGAACCTGCAAAAACGACCAGACCAGAGTTAGCCTGAAAGTTCTGGGAAAGTAGCCAATCTATCACCAATAACCTACCTGATTAAGATTCATGTCCTTGGCCTCCCTCTCGGTCTCCTGATGAAGCTCCTGCACTTGCTTGGTTGACAACTCCCGTCGGTTCATTTGGAAGACCAATCGATCCTTCTTCTTTTTGTACAACTCATCGAAGATGTATTTCTTGGCCGTGTGAATGATTCCCATATTGATGAACTGAGCCACATAGCCGCGCTCCTTGGACACGTGAAGGTCGTGTGGATCGCACACATCCCGATCGTCCTTGCGTACCACCAACTGATGCGAATGGGGACTGTCCAGGTTCGTTTGGAACAAGCTGCATCGGATTACGGCGGGACCATCGTAGTTGTACAAAGTGACTTCCGGAAATGTTTTCGGGGTCCTCTTCGAGTTGGCGCCGTTTAACGAGCCATGGGTGCCGTGCATTTCACTCTTGTAACGAAAGCGGAACTTTTCCACTGGCTGTTCCACGATTCTCAGTAGTGGCACGTGTTTTGAATCGCCAGGTGGCAGCATCCCATGCGCCGGCTGGTATCCAAAGTTTTGTTGAACTTGCGACGCCGCTGCCGTTGACATGTGGTACTGATGGTCCATGTTGTACATGTTGCCGAAACTCATGGCGTTAGCAACACCAGAGGAATTTAACAAATTAGTCGCGTCCAGAGTCAGACCGCCATTTAACAGCTGATATGGTGAACTTTGCATCGGTTGATGTGGTGAGTTCCCGGCTGGCAAGTTGAGATTGGCGAAATCCGTTTGCAAGGCCATGGTCGCAGGCGAGTGGGCGGGCGACAAGGATTGGGTGGTTGAAGTCGGTGAGTTGCCGCTGCTGTATCCACTGGTGCTGGAGGCATCGTTCATAAACAGCACGTTCTTCCCCTTGTCCAAGTCATAGTATTGATTCATCTTTATTTGAATTTCTTTACCGAATTTCTATTGCGTCGTAGAAACTCGACCGCAGCATTCGGAGAGCGAAGCGCTAATGATCTTCAACGACCCGTGCTGCCTCGCTGCTGACCAATCGTTTTTTTTGGTACTTCCCCGAAGTCTCTGTTCGACGGGGAAATTATCTTAGGCCACGTCGCGGTGACTCACGGGTTTTTCAACAGCGCCACTCCGTGTGATTTTTTTCCTTCGTTTTGGCAGATAATATACACGATCGTTACTTTGTTCGGGGAATTCTGGATTCGCGGGACGCGGTGCGAGTTGTTTACACAACCAAATCGCGAAATATATGTATATAGTTTGTTCTGAGGGCAAATATATATATGCAATGTGAAGCACAGCGGATCGGAGAACTTGAATGCGACACTGCTGGAACGAAAATGAGCGATGGAGCGGCACTGGACGAAAACAAGTAATCACGCTCCTCAGCAAGCGAGTTGATAACAGGTTTAAGCTGCCCGCGTCGAGCTTTCGAGGCAGCTTTTCCACGATAAGTGCGATTCACGTAATTAATTTGAATACTCCTATTCAACTCGCCTGCACTCACACTATTCAACAAGTACATGTGCTAGGGCGGGGAGTTGCCAATAGAAGAAATTCAATCCTTGTGGCAACTCCCCTGAACAGCTGTTTCAAAAACTTGAGACGAGTTCGTGACTACCTTAAATCATATACATATATGGTTTATATTTAAATAAATTAATATGTACCGTAAATAATATGTATAAAATATATAAAATATATATTACCCTTCTTCATAGAAACACGAAAATAAATTGTTTCTCCTTTCAGAATTCTTTATTTATATATTTATGTGCCGCACCCTAGTTATTTGAACTGATCATACATAGTTGCGACGCATTTCACAGTTCATTTAACTCTAAATAAATCTTTTTTTAAATTGAGACCAAGGCTATGATCAAGAGCAATCATATTAATCCAAATATATATTCAATATTATATATATTCAATATTTTCAATCCAACAATATAATAAAATAATGCCAAAAGAGAAAGCCATGAAGTATGTTGCTTTTCCAAAAAATTTTGAGATATTGCTTAACAATTGCTATTGCTTTATATTTTTATTTTTATGAGCAAAAGACCATTTTTGGAAGACGAAAGGAAATAAACTTTTTGGCATATAAGAAAGTCACTCACGATGCCATCCCCAACGGACAATGTTTTTTGTAAACTCTTGATATCATTTTACAATGCCTAATTCACTTTTAATTCTACGCACCTGTGGACCTGCGGCTTGTGGACATATCTGCGGTTTGCAATAATCACTATGGTTTTTAGAGAACGCCGCCACATAATCGGCGAATTTAGAATTTAAAATGCAATCGTACAAAAAGATATTTATCCAAAACGTGGGATAAAATTTGGATGTTTCCATTTACTAGAACCGTTCGCGAGAAAATTGACCAAAACCTGTTGCCAGGCCGTGTTTTGCAAATATTTTTGATTTCGTTGCACTTTTCTGATACGGTCTTGATCAGCGAAAAATAAAACGCCAGACCCTCGACCCCTTCGCGTTTTTCTCTTCCTCTTGTTGCCAGGCCCATGTGAATGTTTATCCCTGTGTGGGTGAATATTTTTTTTCACCTTATCAGTCGTCGATGAGTTTTGTTTATTTTGATAATAAATTAGCAGGAAAAACATAAACAAATCTCGGGTCCTGACTTCTAAGCTTTCGTCTGGGGATTGGGTTAAAAATAGCTGCCCATTGTGCATCGGTTTTGATTTTATTTAAATATATAATTTTTAAAAACTAAACTAAAACGTGTTTACACATCACCAATTAAAAATTAATAAAATATTTTCAGTAAGAGATGTATAAATATTGGTTCTTGACTATCAAGGTAATCATTTTTAATTAATTGTGTTTACTTCACTTTTTGTAGGCAGATAAACGTGTTTATAAAACAATTTAGTTTTGTAATTAGATTTTCTTAAATTCGACTTGACTTAATTTCCTGAATTTTTTTTTTCTACTTGCTACGCACTTTTGAGGTGATTTCCTTTGTATGAAAATACAAATTATCCCAACAGGAACACTTTGAACTGAACTGATTGCTGGATCTCGACACAATGGCAATATATATATCCACCGATCTGGATATGCCCCCGCACGTGTTGTCAAGACCAAAGACTTGATGTTTTATTTATTTTTTTGGATAAAAGCTTTCATTTAAGCTCTCCCAAATTTGCGAGCGAGGGAGAGAGCGCGACTTAGAAGTTTTCCGTTTGTTCTCTGCGCAAAAGCTCTCCATACACGTGCCCCTAAAAGTTTTCCAACTAGCAACAGGCGATCGAACAAATATTTTTCTGTTTTGAACTTGTAAAAATAGCCAGACACCCGGGTTATTTTCCAGCCGATTGTTTTTCTTTGACGCGACGAATGACGAAACCCGAATAGCTGATTTCTAATTCCTGATTGCTGCACTCAGAGATGGGATTGAGGCTCCTGCAGTGACGTCAATTCGCTCCCCAGGGGGCCTCCCGACGTCTCAAACTGATAAGAAAACTGATGCAACCCCCTATGGATCTTTGTGAATACTCGTAGTAAGCATAAAGTGACTTGAATCGATGCTCAATCGCCTGGTAACTGGCGATCGGTGTTTTCAGCCCAGGAAAAACAATGCAAGCGTCATTAGCAAACGATGATTGCGCCCGTTTTGGGTTGAAAAACATGTTATTTTCGAAACGTAATCCCAGATAAGCCAAGGAAAGTGCGAGTGGCGAGCCACCCAATGGAAGCTGAAAATCGAAGTTAATCGGTGTCACGAGCTGCCTTGTTTTTAAAGGAATTTTTTCATAAAATGTTATTTTTATGTAAAGATAATGACAATGATTGTTATATATTCTATCAATAAAGTATTTGAATAGTTTGAAACACAAATATTAATTAATAAACCCGCAGTTTTATTTTTCATTTGATGAATTTGGAAATTTCTCGAAATACTTTTGATTAAAAACACTATAACTAAAAACCACAATTTAGGGTTTAAAATCTTCATGAAATTCAAAGTAAAGCTGGTTTAACCAAATATTTATTTGTTTAGCAATAGCCATTTGTTTAGCAATTTAATTTATTAGTAATTTGTTGCATATTTGTTTTCTTAATGTTTTCCCGAAGCAAAAGTTTAGTTTAAGACTTATTTAATTTGTTTCAGAGCCGTAATGTTTACTATAATGCGAAAATATTTTGCATATAATAAGTTATTTTAAATAATATTTGACATTAATTCTATTATAACCAGTTTAATCTTATAAAATATTAAAAAATTTGTTAAAGAAATGCTTTTTAAAGAAGTTTTATTATTAAATTAAACTCACCTTGTGAATCGCATTTTTGAATGTTTTATTTATCTTTTCACTTTAAATATATTTTAAGACGTTAACTATTGCACTATATTTCACTATTTTCACTTGATATATTAAGTATTTCTAATATAGAGCTGAAATACTTTCTCGAAGACTTTACGCGTTTAAATATTCAAAAGAATCGTGCTCGGCGGCTTATATGGCTGTGGCTCTCTGGTAATTTTTAGCACATTTTGTAGTACAGCGCTGGTGGCAACTCTGCAGAAGAAGAAAACAAGTCGCAGAAAGAATCAGCAATTTTCATTTTGTATACAATTCTTTGCATAACTGTTGCACACGCCCACTTGCACCTGCTCCTGTGATGCATACGCGTTAGGATGAAGCCCCAGTCCAAGAGGAAATCGTTTCCCTTCAATGCCCCGCAGCCCGGCGAAATAATGGAGTTTGGCTTTGGCACCTTCAATGCGAATCCCTTCGGCCATCCAGGGGACTCCGTTGACTGCGGCAAATGGCAGCATAAACGAAAATCAGAGCAGCAAGTGTCAGTCCTGTAAGTTAATATGCTAATATGAATTTTTTTTTATTTCAAAATCTCTCTGGGCTATATAGACCCCCAAAACAGCTAATCACCGAGGAACGTATAACCCAGCACTTCAGCGGCCTGCAGATTTCGGGAGATTCCAAGATCAATGTGGGCTCGTCATCAGTCAACGGCAACAATAACAGCGGGGCCAATGTCACAGGAGGCTTGGCCACCGATGATATTCCATCCACGAGCACGGGCAAGACCCACCATCCCAATCCCGCCTACCAGATGGCGGCTATGGAATTGGAGCAGAAGCTACGCAATGCCAATCGTATTGTGATTTGCGATGAACTGAAGCAAGGAACAGGTCCTGGACACGTCGGTGCTCCAATAATTCCACCGGAGTGGTTGCTGAAAACCGGTCCTCGTCCCTGCACTGCTCTAGTGCCTTGGCATCCATCTCCCTTACAGATGGTTATGCCACTGACCAAGATTCCGGCACCACCAACTCCACAGCAACAACTCGTTGGGCAACCTGTAGGACCGGAACTGGATGACTACGACGATGATCTGGAGTTTTTTGAGAATAACAATACATGTAATGTGAACCTTAACAAGTCTGATGAGCACATGGACGAGGACCTGTAGCTATAGCCATAATTTAACCTAAACAATAAGCATAAACTGTGTAGATTTGTATGTTTGTATCAGTAAGAAAAAGTTGGTAGCATGCAAAGAATACTCACCTCCCTTTACCTTATTTTGTATTAATGAAAACTATTGAAAATAGATAGATGTATGTGAATGAATCCCAACGGCCATCTGCGGACCTAATTCCAGTTTTTACATTTTCTCAAGCAAATAAATGCTGCATTAATTCAATTGTAAAAATTGTATGGAAAAGTCTAGAAAGTCAGGTATTTATTGTCCAAAGTTATTACAAGCATTTCTGTTTCTAAGAATAATAGTCTAATAGTTTGACATATACACATGGCTACAAATATTATAAGCATGCAAGAAACGAGATTTTTAATCCTTTTTTAAAAAATAAACTTAATATAATTTTTGATTTTGAAATGGCGCGTTTAGTGTTGAAAGATGTAAAAACTAATTATAAAAACATCGATATTTTTAGCGATTTTTGTGTCCAGCTTTAAGATTAAAATTTCGCAATATTTTGTTTAATATAACGTATCAATTATATTCTGTTGCTCATTTAAAATATATAAATTATATTAATTTAATATTATTAAAATGAAGTCGGCAAAAAAGGGAAATATAGCTGGTCCCACTGATATTTTGATACTGGTATATATACTGGAGTGTAGTACTGGCCACACTGAGATGGCTACTCTGAGTGAGGGTACTCTCGCGGACGCATTTTCCGAGTGACGACGAGAAAATTGCGAAAAGTGGATATAAGTGCGGGTGCCGTCCGCTTTTCGGGCATTGCATCTTAATCGGTTAATCGGATACGGAAAAGTCGTGGTTATCTGACGCAAATTAAACGGTAATTTTCTGTTTTGGTTTTAAACTGGCGGCACACACACCCAAAAATACTACATACGCGGGTGACCGAAACTGTGCTGGGTGACGGCTGTGTGTGCGTTTGTGTTGGCCTATGTACGTACACATATGTACGTATTAATTATAATTAAAATTTACTTCATGGCACAAGCGATAAAAGATTGTAATTCAGAGAACGGGAAGCGGCGACGCTGTCAGAACAAAAGCAAAAGCAAAGCCACCACCAACACAATCGCATCCGCAGCAGCGACAACAGCAGAGGCAGAGTCAGCAGCAGCAGCGGCAGCGGCCGAGCGAAAAAAGAAAAAAATCTGACAAAAACTAGATACGAGGCGGCGAAGTGCAAATTTAGAATTCTTATTACAAGTTCATGGGAAAGTAGCCGCCGTGACGAATATTCGTGGAGCCAAGTGAGTGGAGCAGCAGCAAGCGGTGCGTTGTGTTGCTCATCCTCGGCGTTTTTAAGTTTTGAACGTTGAATTTGTCGAATTGTTGAATGGCCCATCGTCGCGACTCGCGAGCCACATAGTAGACCAGTCCGAGTCCGAGTCCGAATCCGAGTCCGCGTACCACGCATCCGAAATCTGAATCCCACCTCGCTCGCTTGCTGGTTCGGCTCTCTCTCTCGTCGTAATCTCGCCACGGATTCTCACCTCGGTGGCGGCACTGGCGTAGCCCTGGGCAGCAGCACACGTGGTGGGGGCGCCCGGACGCAGTGAGCCCCACGCCGGCGAGCCACTGTTCTTGCCGCGTGGTGAGTTCGACGGCTGGGTCCCCAACTCGTGGTGGCGTGGTGTCTCTTTGCGCCTGACTTGGCTCCCTGGGCTCCGACGGGCTCTGCCTCAATCGACGTTGAACCGTGTGGGTGAGCAGGTGCGCAGCTCCTCAGTGTCGCGTGGCTGCCTGGTGTGTGTGTGTGTGCTGGCGTTCAATTTGTGTGAAGTAATAAGCGTAATTATTTGCGACGGATTGCAATCTGCATGAAAACGACTCTAAACGCCTGACGCATCTCCGATTTTGCAGTTCAGCTTGGTGGCCGAGAAAGAGTGCTCGCGGAGTGGAACCGAACGTTCACACATAAGGAGGAAATAAATAGAAAACTAATTCAAGTCGCAGGCACACGGGCTTATTAAAAGGCAGCGATGTCCACCGCCGTTGAAACGGGGTCGTCGCCTGCCAAGAGCAACAACAGCAACAGCAACAACGGCAACAGCAATAGCGGCAACGGTAATCCCAGCCCAAATGCAAAAGGCGTGCAGCGTCGTCAACTGGTGAGTACTCCCTGCACCGTGCATCGTGCCCCCCACTATATCCCTCTCACTCTCACCCACTATCAATAACCGATAAAGCCACAAAGGCCCACAGTGGGAGCCCAATAAACTGGATTTTCGTGTAATAATCGTGACATTTTCTGAGTCATTGCCGAATTAGTTTCAAAGGTTAAGAAAAGTGGGGGACAATTTTTTTTTTCTTAAAAGATACTGCATATCCTGCATATGGAACGATGGCCAGTCCATTAATTGAATTCTGATCGTAATCGAAAGTGATAAGCCTACGGAGCCCTCTATTAGGTGCGGTGGGGAGAGGTAGGAGGAAGATAGCAAATTAGTTGTGGAATTGAACGTAAAACTCATCATTAATCGGTGGAAATACATAAGTGCATGCTCACGCGGCACGCCCCGCCCCCAATCGTTTTCGTTTTCCGTCTCCGTCTCCAACTCCTTCTACCACCCCCCCTTCATCGTGGGCATCTCCATTCTGCGCCCGTTGAGCATTGGAGCTCAACTGAGGCCGCATGACCGAAACCAATGAGTTTTATTTGCCATTTTTGCAGTTTGTTGTTCTCTTCTCGCATTTCGTTTTCAATTCGCCTTGGCTCTGGGTGTGCTGGTGTGTGTGTCTGTGGATTATTTGTGTTTGGCGTATTCTGCTTCGGTTTCTATTCCGTATCGTAGATAACAGGGCATTATTTCGTTTGTTGTTGCCCAACATATTTACATACCGAGTGAGGCGGAGAGAGAGAGAGAGAGAGCGGCAGAGCAGAGAGTAGTGCTGACGTTGACAGTGATTCGTCGTGGGTGGATGGCAGGTAGGGGAGTCTCTACTGTTCTAGGGTTCTGGGGGGTTCGGCCCAAGATTTCATATCTCATTTGGCCAACTCGCCAGCGCCAGCCTCAGCTCGCATTTGATTAGCACCAAAAATTGGATCAGCAGCTGTTGCCGCTCGTCGCCTATCAGCCCCCCGAGCTTGTTGACACAGAGTGCCCCCCAACCGGCATCCTTCTGCACCCGCCTGTCAAAGGTTCTTCATACCCTGCTTTCACAAGGTAAACAAAAATCGAAACAGATGGAAATACTAAAAAGATTACAAGTAGCTATAGCTAGAATAAGTTGAGATCCATCGGGAGATATAGTTCTTGACGTCTTATCATCTCTGACGTCATAGCTATGTGAGAGTATTTGATAGTTGGCTTTGCCAACTCGGCTCCATTGCGGCTTGTTTATCTATGCATATTGAAGTGGCAGTATCCACGCAGGAAGAACCTCTACGACGCACCTCTATTAAAAATGTACGAGTTGTAGGAAGAGAGCGGAAAGTGAAAGACCCGACCACGTCGGTGGAACTCTCATTGCGATGACTAACCTAGAGAACTCTGCCGGAGAAGGAGAAGGGGTGGGGGGAGGGGCCAGAATAAAATAATTGGGAGGTAAGAGCTGAGCTGAGCCCCAGAGCACATGGCAGATAAGGGTACGCAATTAGCACCTTAAATAGAATACATTAGGTGGCCCAGGTGGCCGGGTGACCCCCTCCGTGGTTGAGGGTATGGTGGGGTTTTGTGGAGGTGACGCCACCACATCACGACTATACGAGACCACTTGACTGGATTTGGATTTTGGATTTCTGGCTTACACACTCGCGGTCGCACGCAACTTTTGTATGCGGCGGCTGTTGTTGTTGTTGTCTCGTAGTTGTTATTGTTTCCTCTTCTACCTGTCGATGGTTAATCGGCCAGACACCAAAACAAGCTTTTCAGCCACCAGCCACAGCAACAATAACACACAGGCAGAAAAAAGATCTCTGGAAATTTTCATAAATTATTTTATAAATAGCTGTTACTTCTTTGAATAATTAAAGATTAGTATTTGACTAAAACAAGAGGTTGGAGTGCTTGTAGGCTCATGGGTATATTAGTACACCTTCTGACAGTATTTTTCAGTGTGGAACCACAATAAAAACTCACTAAAAATCGTTTAGAACATGCCAAACAAGTTTCAGCATTTCTGTGGGGCAAGCCGCTTAAAAAGGATATACCACACACACACACACACTATGAGACCCACAACGCACACAGGCGAACGAGGGCAGGCGCATCCATGTTTATAGATTTTTTGGTTGCAAACACACACACACACCCCCCTCCCGCCAACTCCTGGCCAGCGAGCTATCCGCAGCGGCCAAAATAAACTCATAGCAGGAGACACGGCAGCAGCAGCGGTGCATTTGTGGTTGTTGGCATTCTCTCCTTCGCTCCTTGGAGCAACAGTCTCTCATCTGGGCCGTCTACAAGATGCGCTCCTCTGCCGGTGCATGCACCACCACCACCACCAGGAGAAGAAGAAGATATGCAAAGTGCATGCGCACTGAGGGGAGGGCGACAGCGTCAGCAACAGGAGGACGGGCAAAGGTCTCATTGTTGGGATGTTGAGGTGAAGAGGGTGGTTGCTTGCCGCGGACAACTTGATTTCCGTTGCCCTTTGACAATTCGTGGTGCGGCAGGGTAGCAGGGTGGCTAGAAGACAATCACAAAGTCCCTTGCCAAAAAGTGTATCTTAACCCTGAACCACTTAGATACTAGAGCCATTAAAATAATTAGCCTATCTGGTGACTGACTTTGCCTAACCCATTTATACATTCAAAGTATGAATTCCAAAGCCCAATTTGAAGGGGAAATAGCCAAGTAGGCAGCGCCAATAGCCGTCTTAGCTGGCGGGTGACAAATGCCGCGGAAACTGCCAGAAAACACGACATCCGACATACTCCATACCCATCCGATTCGCCATCCGAGTACGAACCCATCACCTGAACGCTCCGACAGCGAATGAAAACGAAATGACGGAAACAGCGCCTCTTGAAAGCTTCGGAGGGGGTCGGTCGCTGGGTGAGAGGAGAGGGTGGGCTCGCTCGGTCGACTGCCCTTCGTTCGGAAGGTGTATTTTTAGGAATCCATTACACTTTACACTCTCTTCTCTCCGCTCTAACTTTTCCGGCTCTTTATACGGTTTTTGTTAAGCTCTTTCTGACGTGTTCTCTCTTGATTTGCAGCGGGAGAGGAAGCAGCGCAAGCTTTATCTGGACGAGTGGTCGCTGGGCGATGACGATGGAGAGGGGACGCGCGGCTTCAGCGTGGCCGAGAAGCTTGAATCTTCCAAGTTCGCGCAGGCGGGAATGGTGCGAGAGATGCGCGGCTGCGATCTCACCGTCGCGTAAGTATCTCAAATTTGCCTGCTAATGGGAGGCTATTATCGGTTGATATTTAACGGAATTGTTAGTATTTAAAAGCTATCTAATAATCTGGGGGGAGCTTGTTTTCATCAGCTAACCCGATTAGTTGAAATGAAGTGAATGGGATTATATACGCATTAGATTTAGTTTAATATTGGGGGCTAAAACATGATAAAGATAGCATACTAATACATAACTCCTCCCTCCATTTAGTTTCCTGCAGCAGCACGGTTTCAACATCCCTTTGCTGTTTCGGGACAAGGCGGGCCTAGGCCTTAAGATGCCCGATCCTCAGGAGTTCACCGTCAACGATGTCCGCCTGTGCGTCGGATCGCGCCGCCTCCTCGATGTGATGGACGTTAATACCCAGAAGAATCTGCAGATGACCATGAAGGAGTGGCAGCAATACTACGACAATCCTCAAAAGGATCGCCTTTTGAACGTGATCTCACTGGAGTTTTCGCACACACGACTGGACCGATTCATCCAGAGCCCGGAGATCGTCCGCCAGATCGACTGGGTGGACGTGGTATGGCCGAAGCAGCTTAAGGACGCCCAGCGCGAGGGCACCAATCTGCTGGGCGGCATGATGTACCCCAAGGTCCAGAAATACTGTCTCATGTCGGTGAAGAACTGCTATACGGATTTTCACATTGATTTCGGCGGCACCTCGGTGTGGTATCACATTCTCCGGGGCAGCAAAGTTTTCTGGTTGATTCCTCCGACGGATCGCAATCTCCAACTCTACGAGAAGTGGGTTTTGTCCGGCAAGCAGGCCGACGTCTTCTTTGGGGACACGGTGGAGAAGTGCGCCAGGGTGTACCTGACGGCAGGTAATACCTTCTTCATACCCACGGGATGGATTCATGCCGTCTACACGCCGACCCAATCGCTGGTGTTTGGTGGAAACTTCCTGCATTCCTTCGGGATCGTGAAGCAACTGAAGACCGCCAGCGTGGAGGACAGCACTAAGGTGCCCCAGAAATTCCGCTATCCATTCTTCACGGAGATGTTGTGGTATGTCCTCGCCCGGTACGTTCACACGCTGTTGGGCCACTCCCACCTGGATGGTGAGCCCTCGTTGAGTGAGGCGGAGATGGCCGCTAGACCCCACACCCATCTCACCCATCACGAGCTATTCGGTCTGAAGGAGATTGTGATGTATCTGTACGATCTGCCGCCGCAAAAGAAGAACGTGCCCAGCCTGGTCTTAGATCCGGTTGCTCTAATTAAGGACGTGCGCTCGCTGGTAGAGCGACACTGCAAGGACCAGCAGGATCTAGCCATTACGGGTGTATCAGTCCTTAAGACTCCGTCGGATGCCCACCCACAGTTCCAGCTGTACGATCGAACACGGGTGAAGCAGGAGATCAAGCAGGAAATTGCCCGGAAGAACGCCGAAGTGATCCGGGAGCAGCAGCAACTGGAGGCAGGGCGGGCACGCGATGCCGAATCGGATGCGTCGGCTTCAACCGGAGCGGGATCCGTTATGGGAATGGGAGCTGGCATCGAGTACAGCAATGGTGTCATGAAAAAGGAGCAGCTGGAGAATGGAAGTGGAGCATCGGCAGCCGGTCATACATCGCAGCCAGGTAGGTTACCATATAATTCCCTATAATTCTTACAATAATTTTATGTTATTCCCTGTAGAAGCCACCTTTGTTCTGCCGACGGATACGATGAAGTATCGTCCTCCTAAGAAAATGCATCTAGCCCAGGCCGTTGCTGCTGCGTCCAGTAGTAGTGGCACACCAGGAGGATCAACTGGAGGAGGTTCTTCAGTCATTGCTAGCAATCAATGCCCCACTGCCGGAGCAGCAACTGTGGCAGGACTAGGCCAACCCATTAGCGTTATTGCCACCTGTTCAAGCTACAGCGACGGAGGAACAGGTGGTGGAATCTCCAGCCTAGACAACTGTCCATCCCCGGGCGAAGGAGGGCCAAAGCTGTCTCCCAATCTGACCGGAGCTGGGCAACCTCGAAGGCGCCGGACCCGTTGCAAAAACTGCGCTGCCTGCCAGCGTTCAGACTGCGGGACTTGTCCTTTTTGCATGGACATGGTCAAGTTCGGGGGACCGGGACGGGCCAAGCAGACATGCATGATGCGCCAGTGCTTGTCGCCGATGCTGCCGGTTACGGCGCAGTGTGTCTATTGCCACCTGGACGGATGGCGGCAGACTCCGGTGTCGCCTCAGACCAAGCAGCTGGCGTCAATTGATGGGCCCTCGGCGCTGATGGAGTGTTCGGTGTGCTACGAGATCGCCCACCCGGACTGTGCTTTGTCCCAGTTGGACGGAACTGAAGATGCCGCGGATGCCAAGGGCATTGTGAACGAAGACTTGCCAAACAGCTGGGAGTGTCCAAGTTGTTGTCGGTCTGGAAAGAACTACGACTACAAGGTGAGTTATTAAACTTTTCAAAATTTGACAAAACTTATAATATATTTTATGGTACATAGCCCCGTCACTTCCGTGCCCGTCAGAAATCCTCGGAGGTTAGACGAGTGTCTGTATCCCATGGTCCGGGAGGCACTGGCGATGGTCATCAGGAGGGAAGTGGCCTGCCCCTTCCAGTCGGTCAATACAATGACTTTGTATTCACCAGCGAATCGGAAATGGAGTCCGGGACAGCAAGCGGCCATATGACGCACTGGAAGCATGGAATGAAGCGCCATCATCAGCTGGAGGTCAAAACCGAGCGCAACAATAGCTGCGACACGCCGTCTCCTGGCATTTCGCCAAATGCCGTGGGAGGAGATTCCAAAGTAGGAAAGCGGCGCAAGAGCGATGATGGAACCAGCGTCAGCAGCAGCATGCAGGAGAGTAACGATGCTCCTTGTAGCTCTTCCGTGGACGGAGCAGCTGGAACGGGCAACCCCAATGTCTCCACCAGCCAGTGGAGCAGCGGAGGTGGCGGTGGCTCCCGAAAGAAGAACTCTATTCGCTCGCAACTGGCTCAGCAGATGCTGAACTCTTCGACGCGGGTTCTTAAAAAGCCGCAGTATGTTGTGCGTCCCGCTGGCATATCCAGTTCCTCCTCCTCGGGCGGCAATGGGTCAGGTAGTGCGGGTGGCACCAATGGAATCAGTAATGGAAACAACCAAAGTGGAGCCAATTTCAGTGGAAATGGAGAGAGAGGTGCCAACAATGGAGGATTAAGTGGCTCCAATGGACTGAGTCACCACAGTTCGGCCCAGAACCTGGCTATGGACCCCACTGTTCTTAAGATTATCTTCCGCTACCTGCCGCAGGACACACTAGTCACCTGCTGCTCGGTGTGCAAGGTGTGGTCCAACGCTGCAGTGGACCCTGATCTTTGGAAGACTATGAACTGCTCGGAGCACAAGATGTCGGCTTCATTGTTGACAGCCATTGTGCGTCGGCAGCCGGAGCACCTGATCCTGGATTGGACGCAAATAGCCAAGCGTCAGTTGGCCTGGCTGGTGGCCCGCCTACCCGCTCTCAAGAATCTCTCGCTGCAAAACTGCCCTATTCAAGCGGTACTGGCGCTCCACACCTGCCTCTGTCCGCCACTTCAGACCCTGGACTTGAGTTTTGTTCGTGGATTAAATGACGCTGCTGTCCGGGATATACTCTCGCCACCAAAGGATTCACGGCCTGGCTTGAGTGATTCTAAGACGCGGCTGCGGGATCTCAAAGTGCTGAAGCTAGCTGGTACGGATATCTCCGATGTGGCCGTGCGGTACATAACCCAGTCACTGCCGCATTTGCGCCACCTGGATCTCTCATCGTGCCAGCGGATCACGGATGCTGGGGTGGCCCAAATAGGCACCTCCACCACGGCCATCGCCCGTCTAGCCGAACTGAATCTTAGTGCATGCCGCTTGGTATCGGAAAATGCTCTGGAACACCTGGCCAAGTGCGAGATGCTTGTGTGGTTGGATCTGCGCCATGTGCCACAAGTGAGCACCCAGTCGGTTATTCGCTTTGCCAGCAACTCCAAGCACGACCTGTGCGTCCGAGACATCAAGTTGGTGGAGCGCCGACGTAGGAACTCGACAACAGTGGTCAGGAGCTGGCACCACGACTAGATTAATGTTGATCTAAGCACTCTTTCTAAGCCCCAACCCCGTTAACTCATCCAAGTCGTCGGAGGGCCCTCAGCATAAGTTTTATTTGATTTTTGAGCGCTAAGCTAGTCAGGAATGAAGTATGTTCCGGTCCGGTTCGGTCTGTGGGTCCGTGTTTATCGAATGCAATGGCCGTTTATGGGGGTTAACTCTTCGAAGGTCACTGATGAGGATGTCTGGCAGCATCCGAAATACGCAACTATCACCAAGTGTCTCACCTGCTATCTGACCAGCCAGTTTTGTAATCCATTTTAATTCAAATTTTAAAATTAAAACTCTCCTCTTAGTTCTTTTATATCGGATAGTGATTTTTTCCAGTTTTAATCCGTCCGTTTCATGGATATTTTGCATCCGTTTGGACATTGCGAAGGGCCCTGCTCCGGTTGGTCCGGAGGATAATGGTTTTCTATAGACACCACCACCTCTCACTCGGACTTAGCGTAGTGATTAAGATTAGCATTCCCATGAAGGTAGTCACCCCTATTCAGTGTCATATGTCTAAGGTATCCAGGAAAAGAAGGTAGCACTAGGTGCACACCCATCCAGCTTATTTAAACCCAGCTCGCACTAAGAACCACAGGCATAAGCGATGCGTTTCGGGACTGTAAAAACTGTGCAACAAAATGATTATTTTATTTGATTATTAAGCAAATTTTTTATAGAAATTTTTAATTTTTACAAATTAGGCCTTACTCTCGATGCAATTGAAACGAATGAGTTTCGCCCTCCCGGTTTCGCAGTTCCGAGCCACATTGTACTAGAGCTCATACCGCATGTATGGGTATAGCCCGCCTGCCAAGCTGCACCCTGAATGGAATCCCCAATGCCCAAATCCTATGTAACTCCCTCAAAAGTCCCGCTCCAGTAGCAGTTAAAAATAGTGATAACATGGCTAAAATTTACACTTGAGAGCATGTAAGAAATACACGCATACTTATATTTAATGTTTTACAAAATTACATTACAAATATAGAATAATGTTTCAAGACTTCTAGTACTTGGCGGACTTGTAATCTGGCTCATCTCCGCCTCCACCACCACCGCCGTCCTTGGGCATTTTTCGTTTCTGGATGATAGTCTAAAAAATATGGAAATAGGTAAGAGTTTCAACGGGGGGCAATAGTTTTGATGTACCAACCTGGATCTTCTGCCACTCCCTGTCCAGTTCGGCCTTCTCGTTCTTCTCGGTCTTGTTCTTGCGCGTCTTTCGCCCATCCTGCATCTTAACTCCATACTGGAATGCGGCCTTTGGCAGCGCCTCCTTGGTGCTCATGTAGTCGGAGTATTCTTCCTGCGTGTCAAAGTCCCAGCGACCAATCGGTCCCTTCTTATTGCCCAGGTCCATCTTGGTGTAGTCCACCTCGTCATCGGAATCGTCGATGGCGTCGTTCATCTCCTCCAGACCAGGATAACACTCGGCGTAGCCCTCAGGTTCGTTGGCGAATCGCGAGGCCATGGCCTTTGATATCTTTGGTGGCGGTGGTATGTTAGTGATCATGGGCTCCTCAGGTGCTTCTGGGGCGGCTTCACCAAAGTAGGAGTTGGCTGGTTTGCCGGAGTCTTGACCACGGCGGTCTCCCCGAGAAGCGGAGGGTTGATAGTCCCCAACATCGTCGTAGATGCTGTCACCTAATGGAGCAGCCTTTGCTCCTCCTCCTCCTCCCTTGTTGGAGGAAGAGTTGGCAGCGCTGCTGCCTCCACTGTGCGGATGGCTGCGTGCAGTATCCACTTCCTTTTCATAGAAAAGGGGCTTATCCTTGTCGCGCTTCTTGTTTTTCTTGTTCCGGCCACCGGCCCGAAGGTAACTAAGGATTTGAGATAATTTGTTGATCACAATATCGTTTGTAGTCAGTGTTGCCACATCCTCGCGAGCAACTGGTACCTCAAACTTGGATCGCTTCAGTGTGGTTGGGATGTCAGTTTCGCCCAACTCGTCGTCCAAATCAATTACATAGGCCATGCGTCCAGGTGCAAAGAGTTCGTTTCGTGGAACTTCTTTGGATCTCCTCGCTTGGATCAGGTTGTAAATATTCCTGGCCAAGGGCCCATTGATGGCATTGATGTCCTCCGACTCCCGCCGTTCTGCTTCCAGTTGCTCGGCTGCAGCTGCGGCTTCTGCCAGCTTTTCTCTAGCTGCAGCAGCGGCCAGCTCCTCCTCCTCAGCTTCCTTTGAATGGAGCTCGGAGCGTACTTTCTGGAGCAGCGCATAATCCAGACCTTTCACCAAATGGGTGTGCTGAATATCACCACCCAAGAACTTGGATTCCTGAATGATTCTCCTGCGTCTCTCCGCCGCATCTATTCCGGACTTCATATCAGGAGCCACAGCCCTGTAGGCTTGGGTACTGTTTCCATGTCCCGGCGTACTGACATTCACGTAATCCGGATTGGCGCCATCTCGACGTTCCCGAGCTCTGTCCCTGTATTTCTCCGACAGCTCTTGGAGTTTGACATCCTCTTGTTTCTTGAGAGCTGCGTAGAAGTTTTTCTTTTTACGACGTAGGTCATTCCGTTCGCTGCTGCTCTGCCCTTTTTTTTTCTCACTTCCGGATGCTGAGGAGGCAGGGCCAGAAGGCGTCGCAAATGTCGCCGTTGCCAGGGAACCTCCTCCAGATGTGCTGCTGGTTCCAGAGCCCGGGGGAGGAGCACGCGGCGTGGCCAGCAATTTACGGAAGTCATCGTTTGTCAGGCGCACTGATGGAGGCGCTTCCATGTGCGCATCCGACATGATGTCCCAGTTCTTTAAAAAGTCTTACGGAAAATCTATATTTACAAACTTAGTCTTCTTCTTACTTTTGGTTTTCCACAAAAGTGTTGCCAGACCCGTTAAAGTAAGTGTTATCGGGTGTCAGCTGTTGCCGATAAGAGGCGATAACTTCTAGCTTTATAGCCAGATAAATATTTTTCCGGCTGATCCTTAAAAATATCGATAATTACCGGATGATAAGCAGAGAATATAAATATTATTAAATATTATTATCACTGAAATGGAGGAATTTCTGAAAAAACTACCGAAAGTGGAACTACACGCACACCTCAACGGATCCCTGGGAATCGAAGGCCTTCGCGATCTTGGCGAGCGCCTGTATGGATCCACCTCAGAGGAATTCGCAGAGCTATGCCAGCGGTTCATTCAATTTGACGATAAGAGTCTGGATTCGTGCTTCAAGAAGTTTGATTTTGTTCACGAGCTGACATCCACAGTTGAGGGCTTACGGTATGCCACGGAGCTAGCAGTGCGAGACTTCGATAAGGACAATGTCCAGTATGTTGAGATAAGGACAACACCCAAGGAAAATAAAAACTATTCCCGGAGGGAATATTTACAGCATGTAATCGATGCAATCCGAATGGCAGGGAAAAAGTATCCACGCATATTAGTTAAGCTACTCCCCTCCATTAATCGAGCGGAGCCAGTTGCGGCGGCTGAGGAAACGGTGTCCTTAGCCATAGAGTTTGCGAAAACTCACCCAGATCTGGTACTAGGAATCGATCTCAGTGGTAATCCTGGCAAGGGCAGCTTTGCAGACTTCATCCCAATACTTTCGCGCGCCCGTGAGAATGGTCTTAAATTGGTTATACATTGTGCCGAAATAGAAAACCCCCCAGAAGTCAAGGAGATGCTAAAGTTTGGAATGACACGGTGTGGCCACGGAACTTTTCTAGATCCAACCGATATCGCATATTTAAAGGAAAGAAATGTTGCCATTGAATGTTGTCTTACGAGCAATCTGAAAGCGGGAACTGTTCCCGATTTGAAGGATCATCACCTCAAGAAACTAATGGAAGCGGATGCCCACAAAGTATTGTGCACTGATGACAGTGGAGTGTTCGACACGACGCTCTCCCAAGAATTTATCTTGGCATCGGAAGTATTCGGACTGAGTAGGAACCAGTGTATTTCCTTAACTTTAGAGGCAGTCAATCATTCCCTTGCCAACGATGAGGAGCGAAGTCAGATGTCTGCTAAAGTAAAAGACTACGCGGCCAGCTTTGCATAATAATATGTCTAATTAGTATTTGCTGCTAGCTTCAGGAATTCGTTCATTATAAGTTTCCATTTTTATTTTGAAGTAATTAAGATTATTAATAAAATAAAACGATGTAGAAATCGACGCGGAGATGATTATGGCCAAGTTAAAATAATTGGGAATCTAAAAGGGTAACTTTTTCGACACTTTTTATACAATATTTCAGCGAATTCGTATCGGATTTGAAAATAGAATACCATTTACGAATCAGGCATCCTAGTAGCTTGGATTTGCAGCAAAATATAAGAGAAATCGATGAATAAAATTTTGACTCTATTTTTGGCCAAAAACAAAATTGAATTAGATTTCGCAAATATAACAAAGGTGGGTGACCTTCAAATTTTTTGTTTCGAGTTGTTGTTCGATATCGAAAAACGTGGTACGCAGTTCGGTGGACATTCGACTGCTGATTCCGAAAATGTAAGGCGTTGCCAGATCGGACCAGAAACAGAGATTCCAGAGCCCATATCTCGGCCAGTTGTGGTCCGATCTGGCAACGCTTGGTGTTTTCAAAATCAGCGCCCCAAAGTCTATCGGACTGCATACCAATTTTGTCGAAATCGGACAAAAAGTTTTTTGGCGAAAATCGGAAAAAATCGTGATGTTTAGCCTTCAATTTTTGCGAAAAAACGGTCGAAAATGAGTTGTTCGATATCGAAAAACGTAGTACGCAGTTCGATGGACATTTGAGTGCTGATTCCGAAAATGTAAGGCGTTGCCAGATCGGACCAAAAACAGAGATTGTAGAGCCCATATCTCGGCCAGTTGTGGTCCGATCTGGCAACGCTTCGTGTTTTCGAAATCAGCGGCCCAAAGTCTATCGAACTGCATACCAATTTTGTCGAAATCGGACAAAAAGTTTTTGGCGAAAATCGGAGAAAATCGTGATGTTTAGCCTTCAATTTTTGCGAAAAAACGGTCGAAAATGAGTTGTTCGATATCGAAAAACGTGGTACGCAGTTCGATGGACATTCGAACGCTGATTCCGAAAATGGTCATGGTTGCCAGATCGGACCAGAAACAGAGATTCCAGAGCCCATATCTCGGCCAGTTGTGGTCCGATCTGGCAACGCTTGGTGTTTTCAAAATCAGCGCCCCAAAGTCTATCGAACTGCACACCAATTTTGTCGAAATCGGACAAAAAGTTTTTTGGCGAAAATCGGAAAAAATCGTGATGTTTAGCCTTCAATTTTTGCGAAAAAACGGTCGAAAATGAGTTGTTCGATATCGAAAAACGTAGTACGCAGTTCGATGGACATTCGAGTGCTGATTCCGAAAATGGTCATGGTTGCCAGATCGGACCAGAAACAGAGATTCCAGAGCCCATATCTCGGCCATTTGTGGTCTGATCTGGCAACGCTTGGTGTTTTCAAAATCAGCGCCCCAAAGTCTATCGAACTGCACACCAATTTTGTCGAAATCGGACAAAAAGTTTTTTGGCGAAAATCGGAAAAAATCGTGATGTTTAGCCTTCAATTTTTGCGAAAAAACGGTCGAAAATGAGTTGTTCGATATCGAAAAACGTAGTACGCAGTTCGATGGACATTTGAGTGCTGATTCCGAAAATGTAAGGCGTTGCCAGATCGGACCAAAAACAGAGATTGTAGAGCCCATATCTCGGCCAGTTGTGGTCCGATCTGGCAACGCTTCGTGTTTTCGAAATCAGCGGCCCAAAGTCTATCGAACTGCATACCAATTTTGTCGAAATCGGACAAAAAGTTTTTTGGCGAAAATCGGAGAAAATCGTGATGTTTAGCCTTCAATTTTTGCGAAAAAACGGTCGAAAATGAGTTGTTCGATATCGAAAAACGTGGTACGCAGTTCGATGGACATTCGAACGCTGATTCCGAAAATGGTCATGGTTGCCAGATCGAACCAGAAACAGAGATTCCAGAGCCCATATCTCGGCCAGTTGTGGTCCGATCTGGCAACGCTTGGTGTTTTCAAAATCAGCGCCCCAAAGTCTATCGGACTGCATACCAATTTTGTCGAAATCGGACAAAAAGTTTTTTGGCGAAAATCGGAGAAAATCGTGATGTTTAGCCTTCAATTTTTGCGAAAAAACGGTCGAAAATGAGTTGTTCGATATCGAAAAACGTAGTACGCAGTTCGATGGACATTTGAGTGCTGATTCCGAAAATGTAAGGCGTTGCCAGATCGGACCAAAAACAGAGATTGTAGAGCCCATATCTCGGCCAGTTGTGGTCCGATCTGGCAACGCTTCGTGTTTTCGAAATCAGCGGCCCAAAGTCTATCGAACTGCATACCAATTTTGTCGAAATCGGACAAAAAGTTTTTTGGCGAAAATCGGAGAAAATCGTGATGTTTAGCCTTCAATTTTTGCGAAAAAACGGTCGAAAATGAGTTGTTCGATATCGAAAAACGTGGTACGCAGTTCGATGGACATTCGAACGCTGATTCCGAAAATGGTCATGGTTGCCAGATCGAACCAGAAACAGAGATTCCAGAGCCCATATCTCGGCCAGTTGTGGTCCGATCTGGCAACGCTTGGTGTTTTCAAAATCAGCGCCCCAAAGTCTATCGGACTGCATACCAATTTTGTCGAAATCGGACAAAAAGTTTTTTGGCGAAAATCGGAGAAAATCGTGATGTTTAGCCTTCAATTTTTGCGAAAAAACGGTCGAAAATGAGTTGTTCGATATCGAAAAACGTAGTACGCAGTTCGATGGACATTTGAGTGCTGATTCCGAAAATGTAAGGCGTTGCCAGATCGGACCAAAAACAGAGATTGTAGAGCCCATATCTCGGCCAGTTGTGGTCCGATCTGGCAACGCTTCGTGTTTTCGAAATCAGCGCCCCAAAGTCTATCGAACTGCACACCAATTTTGTCGAAATCGGACAAAAAGTTTTTTGGCGAAAATCGGAAAAAATCGTGATGTTTAGCCTTCAATTTTTGCGAAAAAACGGTCGAAAATGAGTTGTTCGATATCGAAAAACGTAGTACGCAGTTCGATGGACATTCGAGTGCTGATTCCGAAAATGGTCATGGTTGCCAGATCGGACCAGAAACAGAGATTCCAGAGCCCATATCTCGGCCAGTTGTGGTCCGATCTGGCAACGCTTGGTGTTTTCAAAATCAGCGCCCCAAAGTCTATCGAACTGCACACCAATTTTGTCGAAATCGGACAAAAAGTTTTTTGGCGAAAATCGGAAAAAATCGTGATGTTTAGCCTTCAATTTTTGCGAAAAAACGGTCGAAAATGAGTTGTTCGATATCGAAAAACGTGGTACGCAATTCGATGGATATTCGAACGCTGATTCCGAAAATGTAAGGCGTTGCCAGATCGGACTAGAAATAGAGATTCTAGAGCCCATATCTCGGCTGTTTGTGGTCCGATCTGCCAACGCAGATTGACAATTATAGTTCTCGAAGATCTAAGATCAGGAAGGTATACAATTTTTCGATAGCATAATTATTGGCAAAAATATAGCAGATTCCCTGAAAGACAGTGATGCGAAAAACAATACTAAAGCATGTTCCGAGTTTTAATATCATTCTTTTTATTCAATATGTAGAAGTATTTAGTTACAAGTTTTTTCATTAGTTATGTTCATCCTTCATACGTACATATGTGGCTATTACCTTTTTATATTTTTCTCATTTTATGTCATTTTTAATTGAAATTAGGGTCTTTTATATTTTCTGTGTCCTCTTTTCGGCTTTTAAGTGTGGCAAAGTTGGATCGTAGGCTTTTGAGTATAATGGGGTTCAAGCATTGGTCAAGAGCAGGCTCCCTTAACTGCGATCGAAATCTAAAAAATTGTTTTCTTCCATTTCTCAAGGAAGTATTCAAGAATTTCGAAAAATGCTACCATTGAAGTCTATTTTGGTTAAAAAGTATCTTCTTCTAAAGGCACTTTCTGCCTAGAAAAACGTCATTATAACATGTTAAGGAAGTTTGCCTGCCTGGAATACTCTATATACAGTTTAACTATATATAATTAGGATTTAAGTTGGATTTCTTTTACTGCAGTTCTCTACTAGACATTTTGTCCCTATCCAGTTGTTAATTCGTCGCGCTATCAGGAACGACAAACTTAGGAGTTTACGGAGTCAATTTATATCATTTATAAATATTACTACCCAAGCTTGGGAGCCCAAGTACAAATCTATATTTATTCATATAAAGGTATACATTTCTACAATTTGGAAAAATTCTACTAGTTGAAAATGGTATGGTATGGATTTTGCTGTTTTCTTTTAGGATTTTCGTTTTGAAATTGGGCTTTAGGTTTTTTGGTAAACTTTTTCGTTAGTATGTATAATTTTTTTAAAATTTATGGCCTGGTAAAAGTTTAGCTCGCCAAGGCTAATAAAAAAATATGTCTTGTTTACTTACTGGCTCATTATAAAAGTTGATCATTACTTGGGTATACATATCATATAGACAGCTAGCCTGTTTATATATAAAAAATGCGCCATATAAAATGCCTCGAACATTGCGCTCACTTTTTTGTGCCATATTTTTTTGTTTTTGGTTGTTGTTTTGGAAGGGATATTGGTTAGTGGTAAGTGTATATTATATTGTATATAATTATTTTCAATGCAATACTAGGCTTTCCTTTAATCGAAAGCCGTATTAATATCAATTTTGATTTCAGATTTTTAGTCATCGCAGCCTTCCATTGAAGCCAATTTGTTGAAACTTGGATGTTGGAATTTTGGTTGAATTTCATCTACGGGCTTGAAACTGAAAGGCAAAACCGGAAACGGAAATGAAAAACCATAATGGAAAAACATATTGCATAGAGATTTGGATCCAATCGAGAAATAAAACGTTTGCTTTTTTGCTACATAATAAACTTGTTTTATTTTTTTCACAAAGAAATTAGCATTAATCATATTCCGTATAATAATAATAAACATAAGAGTCTAATGCATAGTTAAATCAAATGCTCGAATGCTGACCAAATTTTCGTTATATAACTTGTGCCAATTGCTCGCCGTTTACAAAACCAAGGGTTCGGGTTCGCTAGGTTGTTGTATATCTCAATTTTTAATGTGTTCAAGTGTTTGTAACATTTCCGTAATATTTCCGTAATTAATTATTTACTGTTTATATTTATATTTATATGTATGTATATGCTTTAATGTATATTTATATATATTTTATAGTTTTACTTGACGTCTGCTCTAGCACTTGCCTTTTCCTTTCAAATTTCCCCACATCCTTTGTTCGTCCTTTTTACAACAAATTACAAATGTTTATTTAGTGTATGGTTTTTAGCTATATCCTTAGCTTAGTTTACAAGGTTCTGCTTTCGAAAAATTTTACAAATTTCATTTTTTGTTTTCCTCTGCGGTATGCATAATATATGTATATATTTACTTTAATATAGGGTTATCCCTATGCCCATTCGAAAGAGGGGCTTTTGCTTTATTTAATTGTTTTCTTTTTGTTTATACAAATTTAGCGAATAAAATCAAACCATTCGCTGTCGGGGTGTTTCATATTGAGTTGTTTTCTTCCAATTTAAATGCCCGACTGCCGGGGTCGAAAGGCAACAAAAAATGCTTGCCCGTTTTGCTAGGTTTCGCTTGGCTTTACGTTACAAGTTTACACATGGAGTTCGTATAAGTTAAGTTACATTGTTTACAATTGCGTCTGTTTAAAGGTTGTTATTTATATAAGTTTAATTTTAAACTGGGATTCAATTTATTTCTTATATTTCGACTTGGTTGCTTTAAGTGTTTTCACATGCGTGCAAAAAATTGTTACTGTAAAAACTGGGCGCGTGTAGAATACGCCAGCTTACGTGTAAATTTCACTGTGCCACGGCACATCCGCTACTCTACACATGTATTTTACATATACATATTAAAAACGTTGCCTCACGTCAAGTTCAAAACTAAGTGTAGTACAATCATATCTCCTATAAGTGTGTGTATAAGTTAAAATATTTATAGGGATCGGCTTAAACTACAACTACAGCTAAGCAGCTCGATGTGTCTGTGTTTTTTTAATGTTTTTATGTATTTTTTTTGTATTGTGTATATATGGTTTTGTGTGAGCGTGGGTGTAGCTTTGTTTAGTCTACAGAAAGCATCTCTACTTGCATTGTTCACTCCGAACCGATCTCGAGAATCTTAAATACAGTGTTCAACTATGGTTTAATTAAATTAAAATTATCAGTGCATTGCGCTCTAAAGACAGGCAGTTGACAAGTTAATAACTAAAAATACCAAACAAATAATACCGCTTGAAATGCTCACTTGTACAGAGACCGGATACTGTGGCGGGAACAAGGATAATGGATAAGGATAATGTCGGTGATTTGGGCATGTGGATGGGTTGGGGTGGGGAGGGAAATTTACAGAAAGTTACAAATGTTCAGTGACTGGTATCCTTTGCTTGCTTTATATACAAAACACGACAACAACAACGACACGACAACGAAATTGTGTGTACAATAATATGCATAATACACTTTACATTGATCTCCAAAAATGGTTTTACATTGTTTGTTTGGATTTGGATTTTTGTGTGTTTCGACGAAACCGACAAAAAAGTCTAAATTCGTTTTTTCCTACCATCTCTCGTTTTCAGTATTTTCAATATTTCAATATTTTTGTATTTGGAATAAGGCGTCGCGAAATAGTCTAAATGTATATCAAAAAATGTACTTTACAACATATACAATTTTTGTTTGTATTTTACAAGTGTTTTCGATGGCGTGTTTAAAACATTTTTATACACTTATGTGAAGGAGAATGGGTTTATCTTAACAGTTTGATGCACAGCGAACGCATTTCAAGCTTCGCAGGAGCAAAAAGCGCTTTCTAATCAACAACGATTCTATTCTCCAAGTTCAGTTTCTCTCTCAGGGTTCAGTGTCGGAAAGCAGAAAATCGATTAAAATTATATTTATACATACATTATCATACAATAAGGTGGGCTAGCAATGACTGATAAACGTAAACGTATATTGCCGATTAATTTGGAAAAAAATACAAAAATTTTGAATTGGGTATTTATGTACGTGGTTTATTCATTTTACTTGATGCTATAAAAAAAATATTGAAAAATCATCATGCATAAAAAAATGAAATCGAAGTTGTTTTACATATGGGGGCAGTCACTTTTCGAAAACGAAGTATTTTTGACAAAAAATTACTATTTCTTTGGCGCATGAATTATAATTGCGTGATATTTCAAAAAAATGATGCTTGTTCAAGCTTTTAATTACAATCATTTTCCGAGACTATATTTGTACAAATGTTGGAGTTGACAAAAAAATAGAATAGGGAAAAGAACTGCCCTCTAAACTGATTCAGGCTTACGTTTCTAACAAAAGTTCATTGACTGGCGTCCGAGGCATTCTCGATAATTCTCAATAGATCGTTAATGAGCAGGCCGTCATTTTCGGTTTATAAAATTATAAATACATGAGTGCAGTTAGAATAGAATATATATGAGTTACTTGGCGACTTAAAACAAACAATTTACAAATGTATAAATATGTTATAAATTTTACAAGTGAACAATTTTAAAATTACATGGTTTACATGGTTTGAGTTTGGTTTTTTATTTTACAAAATTTTACATAGTGCGAAAGCATTGTGAATGGGCTGAAGAGTCGTTCATTGTGTAGGTGTTGAATGCATTCAAGTGTGTGTACTTATGTGTGTGTTTTTGAAGGAGATAGTGTGTAAATTTGTATTTAATTTCCTCTTTTTCTGTTTTGGTAGCTGCTGGCTCCATAAATTGTTTACTCTACATTCTACACTAGGTGTGATTTCTGCTGCTGCTACTATCCCTCGTATATAAGTATATTTCCTTTTTGTTTTTGAAATGGTTCCTCTGTCTGCACTTATAAATTTTATGCATTTTCATGCTGCCTTACATTCTTAGCTTTTCTTCCTTTTCTTCTCAGCCCCGTGGCTCTTCAGTTGTCCTCTTATTTTACAGTCCAAACATTATTCATTTACAGATAGGCATGCTAAAAAAAATTAATAATTTATACAAATTACAACGAAAATGTACGCAGACCAAATAGTGTGTGTTTTCGACATTTTAATTTACAATCATGCTTGCATTTGCGACAGCGCTCGGTGCGCTCTGTTTCTTTTTAATCTTTCTGATTTTGTTTTTAGAAATTAATCATGCGAGCGCATTGTACAAATTTCTTAAAATCTCCAATCATGGGTGAGTGTGTGATTCTCTCAAGTATTATTTTGTTTCTTCAGCTTGGCAGCGTTTTCAAGCAGCTTCGGTTATCGCTGCTTCTTCAATAAATTAGTTTACAATTACGTGTATTTTTTTTTTTGCTTATGCTTCAGCTTTCCAGCTCCTGAAAACTAGTTTGCGATTCGAGAAGTATTCTTTCCGATGGCTAAATATAGTTAATAATTTCTCTGTTGATGTTCTTACAGCACCCCATTGGCGGTGGTGGGCGGTCCGATGGGACCCAAGCCACTGTTTACCGCTGCCGAAACCACCGAGGATGAGGACTCCGAGGCGGATGGGGAGGATGGCTCCACAAGCATGCCGGTTCCGTTCTCCTGCACCGAGCAGATGGAGGGCGAGCCCAGGCTGTTGGTGGTGCTGCTGGTGGTGGTGTTGGTGGTGGTGCAGCTGATGCTGGTGTTGCTGCTAGAGATACTGGTCGAGGCCACCAGAGGGCCAGCACTGCTGACTGCTACCGCCGACGAGGATGCCGGCACTGCCGCTGCAGCCCCTCCCGCTCCGGTGGTCGATCCTGCTCCAGTGGCGGTGCCCACCGCAATGGGATTGGTGATCTTCATGTAGTACTTCTCCAGTTTGGCGTTGATGTGCTTGCCGTAGGTGTACTTGCGCAAGGCGGCCATGTGAGGCCGGATCTTGGTCATCAGCTTCTTCAGCTGCGTTGGCTCAGAGACGTCGATCATCTTCTGTACCACATAGTTGGCATACTGATCCTTCATCATCACGTGCAAGGCGCTATAGAGAATTACGAGAAAGGGATTAGCTTTCACGAAGCAATACGCAAACCCATTTGGACTTACTTGTCGTTGAAGGTGCAAACCTCGTCGATGAGTCCTGTACGCTCTCCACGAGTGGCATGGGTCACGCACTTCTCCACCACGTTGGAGGCGAACTTGTGCTGGGACAGCACCAGGACCTTGCCGCGTACACTGTTGATCAGAATGGACTTGTCCTCCTGCTTGCCGTGCTCTGTAATCGGAAAATATTAAACATAGTTTTCAGAAATCCTATTTAAATGTTTGTATGACTCACCCAGCACATGCTGAATCACATAGTTTCCGTATTGGTCCTGGATCAACTGCTCGGTATGCTCGTGCAGCTCATCTAGTATGGGGGTGGTCTGCTCTGCGGTGCAGTGCTCCAGAATCCGCTGGATAACCCGGCATCCGTACGGGTGGGTGCTCAGCGAGTACACCTGACCCTTGAAAGCATTGATGATGAACTGCAGAGCCACCGGATCCACGCACTCAATGCACTTCTGCACAACATGGTTGCCGTTCTGATCCTTGACGCACTTCAGCACATGCCCGTCCAGCTCGTGTACGATCTCCTGCTGCTGTTCCGGCGAGATGCTCTCCAGCGCCTTCTGGATCACCCGGCAACCGTACATCTGAAGTGCCAGCTGAAGCACGTGGCCCTTGACCTGCATGCCCAGGGTGTTCTTCTGCTCGGGCGTTCCGAATTCGAAGAACTTCTGGATTACATAGTTGCCGAACACGTCGGTCATCAGACTGTAGGCAGCTCCGAGGATCTCGCTGAACACCATCTGCTTCTCGGCGGCCGTGGCTCGCTCCAGCTTCTGTTGGATGAACCGCGAACCGTGCTGGTCCTGCGAGAATTCCACAATATGGTTGACGAGATCGCGCAGCTGGAGATTCGGGTAGCGCTGGTTGCGGAAGTCCTCGAGGAGTCGGGATCTGCCCGCCGGGGGAGCCCCACCCACACCTCCGGCAGCTGCCACCGCGGCTGCTGCTGCCGCTGTGGCGGCCACTTGGCGTGAATTCGCGGCGGCTGCTGCTGCCGCTGCCGCAGCCACTGCTGCTGTTCCCGGGATGGCCAGGTGATTCGAAAATAGTGAACTATTCGAGCCGAACATGTTGTTGGCGGCGGCGGCCACCGCTGCCTGGGCAGCTGCTGCTGTGGCCGGCAATCCTACGGCAGCGAGTTGCTGCTGTTGTTGCTGTTGCTGCCGTTGACGGGACTCGGCGCCCGGAGCTCGACTGCCCAGCAGACAGGACTGTGCCGATGGCGGGGGAGTGAGAGGGGCGCCCAGGGGACTGGCCGACGTATTGGCCGCTGCTCCTCCGAGTGCTCCGTAGGCACTGCTCGCTGCTCCCGGCCACTTGCCACGTGCGGCGGCGGCTGCAGCTGCGGCGGCTGCGGCTGCCGCCTGGGCCACGGTGCTATTCACGGCACTGGCTGCTGCTGCCACTCCGCTGCTGGTGTAGTCCATGGCGGAGGGACTGAAGGCCGAGGTGCTCCGGTCGAAGGAGTCGCGGCGGCCAGTCAGCGAGTTTGTGTTCAGTGTCAGTCCTGTAAAGGATAATAGAAAGGGTTAGTTTAAAGAGTAAAGTCTTATGAAATAAAATGTTATGCAGGTTGTTCTGAATAAGATATAAAATTATATTAACATATGTACATATATTTAAGGAAAGTATTTTATAAAATTTAATTGTAAATTGTTTAACTTTTAAGTGTCTCAAAAGCTATAAACTAAAGCCACTAGTTGTGTTTAAGGAATGGCTCAATCCTGGCCAGGACAATCAATCTGCAAATGGAAAATCGAAAGCCCGTAAAGCTCGCCCCTCACTTTCAATTCAGTTTAGAGCGTCATGCTGATGCTGGCCGAGATATAAAATCCGGACGCAGCTCGGAAACATTACTCCTCGATCTGGTCGCAATTGTGTAATTAATCGCGAAGGCGGGTCGGGGGAAGGGGCAGGAGTAGTGTCTTTGATGCGCCTGTAAAACTTAATTGCCCGCTTTAAGGCGCAGCTGTTGGCTTAGTTTTAGTCACTCGACCATTTGGCATTGTGGGCTTGGCTTTATCCTTTCGCGTCTCTACTATTCCCTCGGCCACATCTATCTCTCTAAGCCATAATGTACAGCATTAATGGAGCGCAGACACATGAGGCTGCCAGCCAGCCAGGATATGTAAAAGGATACCAGTCCGAAGTCTGTGTGTTGTGGGCGAACGGAAACAATAAGTGGGTGTATGTATAGAGGAGAAAGACGGTGCCAACTTGATTGATGTTGTAATCTGTCACTGGCATTTGATTTCGCCCCCACCCGCACAGCTCGAAGGATATGGAAGGAGGAGATAGACAGAGACAGTGAGAGATTTACAGAGCATCCTTGCGAGCAATGAGCCGGAAATGTGCGATTTGGCAAAAAGCGAAAGTTCCAGACTTTCAAAAACGTACATACTCTCCTCAGCAGCAATCGTTCAGATTTTGAGTTGCAACCCGAAAATGAATTGCTGAAATTTATAACCCCGCTCGGCCGTAATTGTGGCTAGGACGCATTAAGTTATTTAACAACTAATGCAACAACAGTAACAGCTGCGCTGAAAGGGTTGCAACACTCGCAGCTGGGTCCAGGTAACCGAGTGGGTGGTGGCAGCCACTTGAAAGGGGGAAATTGCTGTAAATGTCAACACAGTGTGCGCAATTTGTTGACCGAGTTATTAAGCAATTTGTAGAAAGTTACATGGAATGGTGTTGGTGTTGGTAAACCCTTTACGATGTTGCCGTGCTGCCAAAGTGGAGCAGAGTTTCCAGGTGTAATGAAGAAATCAATAGTGGCCGAAGCCAAGGAAAAGGATTTAATATTTCTACACCTATGGAGTTTAAGAATCCTTTAAAGGTGCATCAGAAGTTTCATTTCTTAGCAAGTTAAAGAAAAACTATCAGTTCAAGCTTCTCTTAAAGTTTTACTGCATTTCCGTTGCTTTTAAGGCCGCGCTTAAGCACTAATTACATTTCACGTAATGCCTCCTTAAACTGTTTTTTCATAGCCTACTTAACAGCGCGCTTACAAAGTTGCCTGCGCCGAGAATAGTTTTCCTCCCAGCATGCAGCTGGGTAGTTATTCCTCCTCCTCATCGTCGACCTTTCTCTCGACATTTAAATGACTACCAGTTTTAATGCCTTTTCACTTTTTTTTTTCTCCGTCCTATTGTTTTTGTAGAGGTGAGAGACCACAGGAAGTAGTCCACCCGCCTCCCTTCAATGGTAGAGACGCGTGTGTGCATAATGTGCACGTGTGTGCATTTATAATTCATAAAATCATTACATTAAGCTAAGAACGGGTCCCGCCTCTCTTTCTAGTGTCACACTCTGTCCCTTTCTGTTTGCGGAACGTGTGCATAAACCACAAAATGTCGCCTGCAATAAACTTGGCGTCTTTTTAATGCCACCCACTGCCAGCACACACGCAGCCCCACACTGGAAATAATATTTCGGAAAAATTAAGATAATAAAGGAAGAGTCCTTTTCTTTTTTTTCGAAATATTGATTGTATTTTACGAGTCTTAGGGCATTATTTTATTAAATTATTATTCATAAACACTATAAGACTATTTTCTCAGTGCCTGCACATGGCTGCAGTTTCATTTGGCAAAGTGTCTCCCCAATGGGGGTCTGAGTTGAGTTGAGACAGACACTCGGTCGTTGGGTCGTGGCAGCAGCTTCTGCTGGATCTGTTTCGGCAGGGTTGGCAAGTGGAGACCGTCTCCAAATCACCCACTGCCACCCGAAATGTGTTGTATCCCGCCACTGGGCCGGAGGATTGTTGCCTCAAACCCCCGTCATTGCGTCCCGCACAAATTGCATGAATAATTCCCTTTTAAATTGTGCAACTACACGCACCAAACTGAAAACCGAACCCCCTCCTCCGACCGGATTCCGGATGCCGGAACCAAAACGCATTCAGTTTCCCGGGCCGAGGAAATAAAATAAACAGACTGAGAGTACAGTGTCTACAGTCTATACGCCAAACTCCCCCGAAACACTTTCATTGATGCAAATTGTTTGTGTTTTGTGCGAACCACCCACCCTTCCTTCTCCTGTAGGGCGGGGACTGTTGCCTGTATTTGAAATTTAGCCTTCTGTTCCTTTTTGGCACTTTCCCTTCTGTCTTTCTACCAAATTAGTTGCAATTTAAATGCAAGACTTAAAAACTTTCATTGCCTTCCCCGCCGGCTGTCATTAGACTAAGCATTGCATCCGGGATTCCCCCACAGCAGGTCCTTCGTTAACTGCCAAAAACTCGCTGGCTGCCTCTCTTGTTGGTAATTAAATTTTAGCGACTGTTTTAGACAGTTACAAATTACAACTTTAGCCAACTTTAAATGGATGAACGCCATTGGATAATTGTTCGGAAGTTGTCCGTCATCATTAGTTTTGTTGATAAGCGATCTAATTGGGTTTAAAAATTAATTACAAATCTGAATCATTTAAAGAAACTATTTAAAATTAAGTATCCTACAGAGTTATCTATCAGCTTTTATATTATATCACGCATACGCCGTGTGGTACACGTCACTGAAACTTTCATTAGGCGTAAAGTACACACACGACCACAACCGACACCACGGCAAGTGTCAGTCGTGAGCTTCCTGTGATCATCCTCATCCAACAGACCGGCATCCTTTTGTGAGGAGGGGTCCCCTGGATCTGTAAGCCAACATAGCAATTGACATTTTACAAAATAAACGAATTCATTTTCACAAAAGACTGCAGGGGAATTGTGGGTGGGCGAGGAAAAAAGCATCTGCCTGGCAGGACGAACAATGTGGTGCATTGTGTGCCGAGTGGTTGGGGTTGTGGTGGGTGGTGCTGCTGCAGGAGCTTTCACTTTTCCAGTGAACCTCCCCCTCTTCAGATGCAATCACATGTTGCCAACATGCGAAAGGTGTACATAATAATTTAGCAGGCAAAAGAGGATGTTCCTCTTCCTGCTCCTGCTGCTAGTAATGATCCTGCTGCTGCTGTGCTACCCTCATTGTTTTCAAGGCAATGGCCAAAATGGGTTTGGCGGTTGCAAAGTCAAGCAGCTTTTCCCCCTATAGGTCTCTTGCCTTGGCTTCCAATCCACCGAGCAAGCAGTATCCTCCCTAGCCGTGTACCATCCTTTTCAGTTCAGGCCAAGGCGCATTAACGTTTGTAATTGCAGCTTGTCTCTGCCACAGAAAGGGATTCGTTTGCAGGATGTGCCCCCACCTCAGACCCAGCCTCCACCTCGCCGGCTGCTGCTGTTCTCCTCCAGTCAGGCCACTTAAAACAATATAATCTCCATTAAAAAGCCTTTTTGACATTGCACACAGCCACAGCCACAGCACAGACACCCCGCACAGACAGTACAGGCACAGATACTGATACGGGGATGCAAAGTGGTGGCATTCACTGTACCACATCGATGGCACAACATAATGAGTGGGCTCTGTTGATGAGGCTGCCTCTGCCAGCCAGCCGCACTTGCAGTTTGTTGCCTGTTAGTGGGGATTTGTGCCAGCGGAGGAAAGCTGGGGGCGCCATGTGCTAATTGTAATTGAGATGCGATATTTTTACACTGCAGATTGGATTCTTTCTAAGGTATTAGTTTATACTTTTGATAGAAAAGGAAAACCAGGCTGGAAAACCTTTATATAGTTAGAGTTTGAGGTTTCATAAAGACCTCAAAATAAAAGAAATCGATAAAATTAAAATTCGACACAAATTTCTTCATGTGCATGCAATCTAAATCGCAAGTATGATTGCCACTGCCACTGGCGGATGTGGCACAGACCCTTAGAGACCCTTAGCCTAATCACCTGCATCATCGCAGTTTTCCATGCAAAAGCATGTCAGGAGCCTCAGAGCCAAGTCTGAGAAACGCTTTTGATTTTCTGAAATTCAATTTTCAAAACTGAATTGTTTAACTCAAGGACTCTATACCTGCTCTTTAAGGCTGCCTGCCAGCCATGCCATGGCTTTATTTAAAAATTCCAACAATTGGTCTGGAAAAATGAAAAATGCAGGGAAAAAATTGAAATACGTAATCACTCATACGTCACGTGGAACACGACCGTGGATCTGGCACGCCCAGTTGCAATTTCATGGGCGGTGGCAGGGAAAACAGAAAACTTCATTAAACTGCCATATGAGGCAAAATGAATTAACGACATAATAATGCCGACTACCAACTCAACTCAACTCCCTTATGCCGGAGATGCGTTAATGGAATGAGCATTTTTCCATGCAGTCGGAAAATGGGGAAGCGCGAGGTGGAAAGCGTAATAATTGATTTCGCCTGATTGTTAATGGAGTTAATGGAGCTGTCCGCGTCCAGTGTCCATAACTATGAAGCGGGTCCGCGGTAAAGGGAACTTTAAAATTTTCCATAAGCTGCGATTTAACAAAGAGAACCTTTTCATATATTTTATAATATATTTCACGTAACCTTTCAAGACAAAGGATAATCGGTGTGTGCTGATGTGTTGCTCTTAATTATAATTTGGCCACATCAATGGCAGGATAAGCTATTGTTCTTAGTGTCCTTATTGGCCTACACAGAAAACCAATTTCAGACATCAGCAGTTTAGATTAAGAAAGGAGACTATTAATAGCATGAACAACTACTAACTGTATTTTAAAGTTTAAGATTCTAATTGAATATCTAGAATTTCCACCCAAAACTCATCGCGTTACATATCAAATCGCATGAGTCAGGCAGGACTTTGGCAACTATTGTTTTGTACTTGAAGTTGCAACCAGAAGTGGCAGGAGGAGAGACATTGGCTATAATAACAGTATGGGTTGTTGCATGCAATTGTTGTTTCAGTTCAGTTTTCCTCTCAATGGCTCTTCTGTGCATTAGATATGTATGGAAAAACAGGGAAATTTACTGACAAAAACAGTTGCCTTTGATGGCTTTCAGCAGAAGGTAATGGCGAATCCTTGTAACTTGCTTGCAATTGATATTTTGGGAGCTTTAAATATTCCTTATATATTCTGATGGAATTAAACAATAACTAATTTATAATTACGTCTTGATCTAGATGTCTAAATAATCTTCTCGTTTTGTGATTGTTATTTGTGGCACTTTGGTGAGCTTTACAATTTCGGGCTCTAAACCCGAGTCCTTAGTGGACAAAGCCTTTTGTTAGATAAACAGAGATTAATGACTATACAGATATACAGGCTATACAAGAGGTGAGGAAGTCTTTTCAGGATTTGCCACATAGTACACTAATTACATATCATTGCACACTTGACGAAATGGTTATATGGAATATATATATTTATTTTTCAATGTATTTATATTTAAATTGAACCTTTGAATTATTTCTGTGCAGCACACTTACCTCCGACACTGGAGCCGTTCTGTTGCGAGTAGAGATTCTGTTGGGCCGTCTGGGGCTGCGGCTGGTACAGCTGGGGGGCCTGTGGTGGCGGGGGACCGGCGCGTGCGGCGCCCGGGGGCACTAAAACGGGGGCGGGGCTCACCAGGCGCATGGGCGTGCCGGTGCGAGGTCCTCCCATCAGCAAGGAGCCAGTGTGATCGAGGAAGGCCGGGATGACCTGCAGCACACGTATTTTACATTCGATGCGATTTCAGTTTGTACAGGGTTAGGATTCAATTGTATTGGTTGTTGGTTATGGAAGCGATTTTGTTTGTTTTTTGCCGATGATGTAAGGAAGTATAAAAATAAAGAAAAGAACAGATATAGAGCATAAATATACAGAGATTTTGGCAGCTATATTCCTAGTTTTTTATACAAAGCAGATTTGGCAAAACAAGGCTTTATAGTCTTTACTTTAAGGATTATTATTGACTATTGATTATTGACTATTGACTTTGACTTAATTAGCAGTTTTCTCTATTTACTTCTGATTTTCAATTAATTTAAAGAGCCACTAACTTTAATCAACAGACAGTTATTAACGAGAGTGTGTAAGGCCTTTTGTACATCCTGCTAATCAATGCCTGTCATATGTATGTACATTGTGCATTTATGTACATCGTATGCTACATTGTACAAGGTACATGTTGATTGAAAGGACAAAGAATAACGGTGTATACGTTTTATGTAGAACATGGGATCGTCCTTACCTGGTAGGGCTGATTCTCAGCCCCCTGCTGCGAGGGGGTAAGGGGCCGACGCGGCTGCGTGCCCTGCTGCGGAATCAGATTTCCCGGATACATGCCCCATGGGGCGACGCCATAGTATTGGGGCATCTGGGCGGCGGCAATCATGCCCATATACGGAGCGGCCTCCTGGCCCGGATTGATGACGTAGGGCGTGGCCTGTTGGGCGGCATAGGCCGCGTTCTGCTGCGCCTGTTGGGCGGCCAGAAACTGTTGTGAGGCGGCGGCCATTTGCATCTGTTGTTGTTGCTGCTGTTGCTGTGACTGTTGCAGGGTGCCGTTGGGGGCACCAGGAACTGGCGGGGCGCCCACAGCCGCGGCCGCACTTGCCGCTGAGGTGGCCGCTGCGGCGGCTGCTGCGGCGGCGGCTGCATTTGTGGCGACTGCTGCAAGGCCCGGATTCTGTGATCGGAACAGTTGCTGCAAATGGAAAGGAGATTGATTGGTTAGTCATTTAATCATGGGTTTTCATTAAAATATAAGGGAAGACTCTTAGGTGTTGCAAGTACTTTAAGACTAAAGATACTCAAACAAACTTGTGCAAAATTGAACTTTAAAATGGTTTATTTTTCACTAAAAGTTTCCAACTATTTCTTTGTCGTTTCGAGTGTCTGTTGCTCCAGGTGATGATACAGCCACATACTGCACCAGACCAGACACAAAACGAGGAGGAATCTCATTCGTATCCTGCAAGGAAAAAATTCAAAACACAACATCCAGTCAGTCATGCGTTTTCCCGTTTGGCGTGCTGCTACTGCTGGTGCTCCTTGTTATTTTACTCACTTTTCTGTGTGAGAAAGTATCGCATGCTGATTTGATTGGATTTGATTTAATTTTCCAATTGAAAACACTTTATCATGTTACATCAGAAACCGTGTGGGTGTGTGTTTGGATGCCTTAGGAAAACACAAGCGAGAGCCGCGAGGAAAAAAACGAAGATTCTTTTGGGGCTACGGGGCGGATACTTGATATGATGTATAGTCACGGAGGTTGCGATACGTTGTGTCCTATTAGGTGAGAAATTGCGGGGGACTCGTGACGTATGCTGAAACGAGTCCTTACGGATATCCTTTCTGATAAATGACCTCAGAAACACATGCAGTTAAAAAAAGGAGGAAGTTATAAGAATTGGCTTGGGAGAAATACTTTTTCTTGTTTTATTTTCATTACCCAATGCACTTTATCCTGTCCCCCAGCACCACACCCCACCAATATTCATTCACTTTGATGTCTCTTCAAGAATTAGTGTCTTCTCCTTCGGAATTCTGCGAATTTGGAATATTCCCCAGGAAAGTCAGCTGCAAACTGTACTGTCTGAGCTTTGGCATAAATTCGCATTCCCCTCGGACGCACCTGTACTTGTGCATAACGGGCTTCAGTGACTCTGCCCCGCCTCGTCCTGGGCCGGCTAAGATACAGGACTCCACCGGCAGAGTCTCCTGCCAATTGTTTACATGGCGCATTGGAGGGAAAACAAAGCGATGCCGGGAAACCAACTGGGATAACATTAACATTAAGGGCGGGAGTGAAATGGAGGGAAGAAAGAAATCAATGTGAATTATTGATGAATGGCACAAGGACCAGGGGAGAGAGAGGGGCAGAGAAAGAAGTAGCTGAAACAAAAAGGGCAAATAAACCCGAAACGTGGCAGCAAAGTAAAATAATAATAACACGCAAAACTTCTGGAAAACAACAGAGGAAAAGTTACACCAGCGGCCAGAGCCGGGGCAAGGTTGTGAAAATGGAAATGGAAATGTGAAAATGGGCGAATGTGGCGAAGGCGATAAAAGCCAAATATCATGGCCTGCATGCCTCTGAGCGCGTGATGCGTGTGAACAGGAGAGGACACGGTGCGGTAGTCAGTCGTCGGCCCTCAGGACTCAGCCCTCAGGCCTCAGGCCTCATTCCTCGAGCCTCAACTCTCAGGATTGAGGACGACGCCGCCACGAGCATGAAATAATAATCAGAAGCCAAATAAGCGTTGAAATCTGAGCCATCGGTTGCCATGATGCCGGTTTGCCGGTTGCCTCATCCCTCGGGTTGCTTTCGTTGCGATTATTAAAATGAAATTGAAAACAAAGGGAAAGTGTATGAAACTGGAGAAGAGCAGTACGGCTAACGGCTCAGAAGGATATTATGTAATTTCACGCCCGTAAAGTATGCAATGCTTTGATTTAGTTGCCGAGTGACGAAAACAGCTTGCTGTACACTAAGAAAAAGAAATCCAGCTTTGTAATAAAACAAATCTAAATTGGAGAGACATTATCCGGGATTTTCAGCGGAAAACTCATTACTCGCTTTCTTGGATATGACTTTAATGACCCTATAAGTTTACACTCGCAATCCCCGACTGCAATACCCCCGACTGATTTATGCAAATGCCCCGGTCAGTGGCAAATTTACGATCCGCACATGACACACTCGACTTATTGTCCGAAAGCTAACATTACTCAGGACGAGGGAATTATGGGAATTATAGGGCACGGATTGGTAGTTCAAGAGCATGGAAAATGTTGGCAACAAGTGCGGGGCAAGAGCGGGGCCTTGGGGGAAATGCGAAATGAAATTGTGGAGAATTCTGGCCAAGTTTCGAGCTGGCGTGTGCCTCAAGAGTTGGCTTTCTTTGATATTTCAGGGCACTCCACCACTATACTTCCTTTCCCTCCCTCCCTCCAAAGTCTTTATAATTTTTTTGTTTGCCAGCAAATTTCGAACCCCGTGCGCTCTGACATTTTTATTTCATTTCATTTGCACATTACACTGCCAGAGGCGGAGAGGTTGCAGTTGGGGGGAAGTCTGCTTAATAAGCTCCCTGGTGTACAATTTTCAGCGCTCGACTCGTAATGGAAATTATAGCTGATGTCATACACAGGGGAAATGCCCCGACTCGGGTCGCTTTTCCATTACACGATCCCTTCTTATACTCTCATTCACTGAGAGAAATAGTGGATGCAAACTTTTAATGTAGTATGTCCTTCAAGCAGAAAAACTTTTTCAGTGTAGTCCTGGTTCTGTTTCAGTGACGCCCTTCGAGTGAAAGTGAGTCAACTAACTTCGGCAATATGCCCGCCCACCGTAGCCCCACCCAACTTGTTGCAAGTGGGTCGCCAGCGGGGGTAGTTATGTGGCAAGTAGGGGTGGTAGTATAGTGGGTGGCACCGGGCTTTTAATGCGCTGCCTTTGGCTTTAGCTTTGGCTTGGACCTGAGTGGATTAGTTAGTTGGCAGTAAGCAACAGCAGCAGCAGGTGGGGCGCACTCGGCTAGTTGATTTATAATTATGGCCAGGAAAAGTAACAACAAAACAAAAATGTGGCACTGCCACCACCGGCTAAAAGGTAAAACAAACAGGAGACGAACTCGAAGGTCCTGGTCTAAAACAAACTAACTGCCTGGCTCACCTTGTAGGAAAGTTTCAAGTGGCATACATATAGAGACAAAGTAGTTCGGCTTGATTTGCGGCAATTGTAGAACCTGTTTCTATTTTTATTTTAGCTTCCGTTTTGTGGGGTACATGTTTCTATTTTTATTTTAGCTTCCGTTTTGTGGAGTAACTTGGGTTTTAATTGAAAAGGATATAGAAGGACCTTCTTCAAAGAATTATTTGAAAAAACTGTTTTACAATATTTGTGGTTGTTGCGAGTTTAATTACAATTTCTTAACTTTTAGTAATAAACCTTTCTTGTAAATCGAATTAGTCTTTAATTATTTTATTTTAAACAAGAAATGATTGCCTTTCGGCTCTCGAAATTCAATGACTATTGTCCAGCAGAATCTAGACATTTGAGTCCACTGGCCACTTGATTTAATTTCCCATTTTTTGCAATTTCCTGGGTTTCAACTTTCCAAGGAGGAGACTTGCTCGCATTTCTTCTTGCTCCCAAGAAAGCTTTCTCTAGATGATGACTGCCATTACTCACGCTCAATGTCTCCGGATGGATGTCCTCATCCCCCGCCAGAGCCCTTTGGCAGGACACTCATGAGTCGGCAAGTACTTGAGCGAAGCTGCGCTTTAATTAAATATCAATTACGTTGCCAACCCTGTGCACTAGCTCAAGCTGAAAAGCAATCAATTAAGTGTTCTACTCGAGGAAGTGTCCATTTCCATTTCCCCGTAACCCAGACAATCCTGCTTCCTCCACCCTCTCTCTTATCAACATTCCCGAGCGGAATAAGTGCAACTCAAATATTTGTAGTCTGAGCTAAGGCGCAATAAAAACAGAACACAAATTGAATATGAATGATGGAGGAGCATTGGGCTTGGCCGGGAAGGATAAAGGCGGAGAGGGAAAACGCACTCGCTAATGAAAGTCCTTTTGGGCAGTGACAGTTTGCTGCCCATACACACGTATATGCACTGAGGGGAAATACCTAAAACTATTTAAAAGTATTTAAGTTTTTTAATGAAAGTGTTTAACTGAAACTAAACAAGAAGTTGTTTCTCCAAGTCTTTAAAACTTGGCCACTCTTTGGTCTTTTCTCTTAAAAAATACCTTTTTTCTCAGTGTAGGAATAAAGGGGCTTTGTAGGGTTTTTTCGATGGGTGGCCTGGCCCCGTGGGGGCTTCTGCACAAACGACTTGTAAACAAAATTAATGCCACGAACAAACATTAGCGCACTTTCGGCGTGTTCTGTTCGCGTTGTGTGGCTCATTAGGCAACCGCCCGCTCACCACCCACTGACCACCCACTTGCCACCCACAAGTGGTCTCGAGTGGTTTCGAAAAAGTAATAGAGAGGAGGCCAGAGCAGGGAACCTAAGAGTGGCCAGCTCGCTGACCATTAAGCCGAATTACTTAATGACCGCACGCGTGTGCTTTTGATGCCTACTTTTAGGCTCGGGACAGGACACACCCACAATCGCAATCATACACACACACATACACACACTCCTACAATTTGACTTTCTTTAATTCGAGTTTCAGCTTTCTTTTTGGACGGCTACTGTGTGCGTGATTGCTGTTTGTATATTGCTTTTTAATTTTCCTCGTTACTCGCAATTTCCAACTGAAACGTGAGCCACAAAAGGAAAACAAGCAACTAGAAAGAGAGAGAGAGAGGGAATTGAGAGAAAGAGACGAAATCAGGACTCTTTCCACCTCCGTGGGACCGACATTGTAGTTTCTATTTACGCCTCAACTTTGCCATATATTTCATAAGTTTCTGAAACTTTATTCCTATGCCTTTTTTTGTCCCATTTCCCATTTCTTGCTTCACTGCAGCAGCAGCAACCTTGCAGGAAGTTTTCCTTCCATTTTCTTTTCCTACGTTTTCCCAGGACCTCGCTCCTCCTATAAATTCCAGCTACTCAAGGCTTTCGGGGCGTAAAAGGAGTAATGATAAATAGGTTAAGCCGGCTTATGTTACTTTTACTCAATAATGAAAAGTTCAGAAATCGATGACAAACTTCTGGAGTGGCAGGA